TTCTCCACGCATGAGTAGATCAACGAGGCTGAGCCAGTTTCATCTACACAACATGTTCCTGTGGCTTACACACATACCCCAACGTCTATGCGTTAATGCAATCGCCTTTTTTGTGGCTTGCGCGAGCGAATCTGGAGCCCAGCGGCGAACTTTCTAATCTTAGTAAAGCCACGTTGTGTGACACACAGGCACCATCCCGGATCCTGGTCAAGATCGGCACACCCACACCAAAGCTACGGGAACCGGGGTGTAGGATGGCGCTTGTCCAGGGGGGGGGGGGGGGGGGGGGGGGGGGGGGGGGGGGGTGCATGCATCCACACATCAAAGCTACGGTAGATTCTTTTTACCTTTGACCGCCGGGAGTAGGCTCAGCCGTTGGGCTGGGCTTGGTAAGGTGTGACCGTTGGACTTTAGTGGAAATGAATATGTATATAGGTTGTCGCGCATCGCCTCTGTGTGAGATTCAGGTCAGATCGTTCGCGTGTGGTCTCTCCCCTCCTCTCGTGTGGATATCGGGTTGCTTGTTTGCTCCGTCGGTGCATCCTTGTTGTGTAGAGTCGATCCGGCAATTCCGCAATACATCAGTCACCTCGCAATGGCATCTTCCCTTCTTCGCCTGAGCGCTTTATTGCTCGGTGCAGTTCACTCTGTCACCGCAGTGCCCGTCGAACTCAATGGCAGAGGTATATAGTCCCACACTAGCAAGTTATACCGACTCCAACTAATCCACACCCTCTAGCCGTGTCAACATCCGTTCTCTCTCAATTGGAATTCTTTTCCGAGTACTCCGCCGCAGCCTACTGTCTCGGCAACAACAACAGCCCAAACACCAAAGTCACCTGCCCACAGGGAAACTGCGCCCGCGTAGAAGCAGGTAAGCTTCAATTCCGGACAAGCATGGAATGTACGTGATCTAATATACTGACCCTTGCCACCAGCAAACACCACCACGCTCTCTGAATTTGAGAACAGCATCGCCTCCGACGTAACCGGCTTCGTTGCAACCGACACAACCAACCAGCTCATCGTAATTTCCTTCCGCGGCAGCCGGAGCGTACGCAACTGGATCACCAACGTGCAATTCCCCGTGATACCAACCTCCATCTGCGCTACATGTTCCTCCTCGCTCGGCTTCTGGAACTCGTGGCTCGAAGCCCAGAAACCCGTCTTGTCAGCTTTGGACACGGCTCGGAAGCAGTATCCCAGCTACAAGATTGTGGCTACGGGACATAGTCTGGGTGGCGCACTGGCTAGTCTTGCAGCGGGCTATCTTCGCTCGACTGGTGTGACGGTCGATTTGTACACATATGGTGCGCCCAAGATTGGTCTCGCTGGTGTGTCTGATTATATCACTGCGACGGGTAAGGGAGAGACGTACCGTGTTACGCACAAGAATGATCCGGTGCCCAAGTTGCCGCCTGCGTTGTTGGGGTACAGGCATATCTCACCAGAGTACTATGTTACTAGTGGGAATGACGTCGCTGTCAAAGAGGCGGACGTCAATGTGCTGACGGGCAACCTGAACTTGAAGGGGAATGAGGGGGATTTTGGCGTGGATATTGATGCTCATTTGTGGTATTTTGGGGCAATCAGTTCCTGTGAGGGACAGGAGGGGATTGAGATTAAAGCTTAAATGATGTTTATGATTATGAGTAATTAATGTATATATCAAGCCTACTTTGCTGTGCCTGTGCTAAAGTGCAATCTGTCTGATGATAGCAAAAGAAACAGTGGTGAAAATGAGAAGTAGAACGACAATTGTTTGGGGATGCTAGAGTAACCATGGAGCTGTCTATCTAGGAACGCAGGGTAATTAATCACATTGAGATTTTATCGCGCTATGGAAAGAGTTCTTGTCTGCCAACCACCGAACGCCTGGTTTGCCTCGTCAGATAAGACTACGCTCCTTCTAGCTTAGCCGCCCTGAAGGTCAGCACATCAGACACAATGCTACCTCGTCTCTCTACGTGTGTGCGATTTGCTCACCAGTATGTGTCCGCCTGCGAATAACGATTTGCAATAGCCGCAACAACAAAGTACATCCAGAGAGATCTTGGAAAAGATCTGTCTTGACGAGACCAGTAAGTTGAATTTAAATGGTGTCGCGAGCATACCTCCAGCCTTGTGTAAGTTGCTCGGCTAACAGATATGTAGTGTTTTTGGTATATCCTATTGACGGTTGCCTCTACATCCTCGCGCTGTATGTATTGCCAAAACCATGAGTGGCACGTTGCTTTTGCGTTATCACATACCATGATCAGCTGAAGAGGACGCCCTGATTGGTGCGTAACACATCAGCGGCTGCATATTTAGCCGCTTTGATGAGTGGCTATCACATGCTTGCGCCACCCGAAGCTCTCGCAAGGGCTGGCTGTCAGCTTGGTCCTTGGGGCGAGATTGATGCATTCACCGGAAAGCCAACGCACCCGATGATCGCGCATAGGCGCAGAGCGTATCATCGGTGTTCCTACTCTGATATCTATCGAGGTCGCCCTTTCAAATTGCAGGGAAGCACTTGCTTGTGATTTCGACCTCATTTCCACATCTCTAAAGCATGAACGATTCCCAGCTACAGAATTTCCTGGAGCCCCTTGGCCAAGGCTCATCATGGGCAGCAAAGTGTGTAAGACGCCTTCTCGAGGCTGAAAACCTCACAGACATAGCCGCGGGTCTGGTCGCGCAGAACGGCTACAAGCCCGTGGAACTCGTCAAGGATGTATGGAATGCATGGGGCATTGATATGAAGACTTGTCATTCATACTGCGGCAGATCGAACTTCCCCATGGTATAGCGACAGGTGCTCTAGCCTGCCCACTTCAATGCTGAATCCTAGCAGGTCTTTGATTTTCCAATCTTTACATCCGGTGTGACAAACTACTTGTTACCGTGGCTAGGCCTGACAGCGCAACTTCCATACGAGACGGGATCCCCATCCGGGGACTTCGAAAGCTTCTGCCTAGCCGTTGGAAGCCCAATGTTGACGACTTTCTCTCTTATGTCTACAGCCATGAACGCACGCACCACGTCGGAAGCATTCACTGACCTACTCAAATCTGACTATCATCCAACATCCGACATGAAAGAAGCGATAGTGTCAGCGAAGCACTTTCTTAGCGCCTCTCAACAATGTCCTATCAGGATTCAAGATGATGACTTTCGAAAGCTATTCCGCGATGATGAAAAGCGGCTACATGACCAATGGGTACCTCTCGCAAGGCGTCTCGATGACACTCGCCGACCGTACACCTTCTCCCTCTTTGCGCAGACTTTTTTTGCAGTCGGTGCTTGGGTTTTGACCATCATTGGATCGTATGTTACATCGCTCGGTCAGCATTCCGAAGCTCTCCTGCTCTCTTCTGGCACGCTATGGACGTGGTTGATTCCGATAGTCTTGGGTTGGATGGCTGTCGGAATGCAGTCACGACCGAATACGGTACAAGACGCATTGCGAGGCGAGAGGATAAACGGGAAATATGACCCAGTGAAAGAAGTGAAAGCACTGAAAGCCGAATCTGGCTTCATTCGACTACCGTCAAGGAAGATGAAAGATGCCTTATTAGGTAAAATTCAAGGGGATGAAGCCCATCAAGGCCCTGTCTATAACTATGCACGTATCTTAACCTATCCAAAGCTACGAAACAGAGTTCTTAGAGCATTTGAAGACAAACTCAAATTGCTATCTGCACAGAAAGCTCAAACAACTAATTCTACTCATGCTTCGGATCCCGATTCAGCTTCGTCTCGCACACGAGCTAGCCCTACTCGATGCCACAATACTACCAACAATAATCCAGCCTTGCCCGAAGATTGCTCAGATCTTGGAGAGGGCCCACATCTTGAACGTGGCTCAAATTCCGAAGATGATCAACCGTACATGCAGTGGAAGGATGTTAGAGGAAACTCCGACTGGGTGTGGAACTTTGTGGTCTCTAATGCCATCGCTATATTTCTTCAGTGGGGTGTCACTGGGTCTGCTATCGTTATATCGTACCTGACGGAGGTGCGTGGCCTCGGCTGTCGCTCTGGTAGTTATCTACTGTAAGAAATGCTCTATCACGGACTATATCGTAGTCATGCACTAACTTTGTACTCGTACTGTTTAGGTACGGCATACTTGCTACTTCCGCTCATGTTCTTCTACTGACATCAGTGTTTCTCTCACACGAGGTGATGCTTGGGTATCAGAAAGAGCTCATGGAACAAGCCGAGGGCGTAACGCACAATGGCGCCCGCAGCAGCAAATGGATTCCTCGACTCGCCGTGGCTTTTCGATTTTTTGGTAAAACTATTGCCATCGTCAACGCCATCTGGATCATCTTAAGCTCTATTTTCGAGCTGATCGGGTTCTACGAAAGTTGCTGGTGCACTGGAACAGTTTTGGGGCTGGGTAATAGGGCTTGGGTCGTTCTCTTTGTTAGTGGTGACAAGATGCGAGAAGAAGCTGAGGCATCTTGGATTGGTGGACTTGCGATGAGCTTGTTCACAATGATCCTTACGTACCTTGTTCTGAAGACGTATTCCCAAGGAAGGAAGAACTGATTATGTAAAACATTTCCGGTGGACAATTTTCCTATGTACAATAGGAGTCGGCCTCCTTACTGTGTTGTTTTAATTTCGTGGAGTAGCGTAAGAACTGACAGCAAGTATCTTGATAGAGGAATTTCCTACTGAACAGAGTATTTCTCCACACAGAGATAGACAAGACATATGTTGTACATTCACTCACGAATCAAGTATTCCATGTGTCGCTGTTGTCGACAAGGTCCACACGCTCGCTCGCCTTGCAAACCGCTCTTGGGTTTTTGACTTTTGCTAGGATCTAGAGTGGTAAGGTCTCTACATTTCGCTACGGCCTTTCGCACTGCTATGAAGCTTGCACTGGCTCTTATTATATACTATTCTTTCGTCTACGCCTGTCTTTTAGTCCATAGCACGACAAATCTCCTAGTGTTGTTAGCGTTCTATCATTTCGAACCAGGGCAACACTAGAAACATCAAGTACCATAAACCAGACGATTGATTCATCTTTTAAAAAAAAATCTACACATGCAACGCTAACACACGACACCATCCCATCCCCGTCTCTACCGACGAAGTAGTCTGAAGCTTAGCACACTTAGTATACAAGAAAGCATCAAGCGGGCGCTTTGCCCCATTCTTGATAACGCCAGAACAAAAACAAAAAAACACACACATCAACATGCCCCGATTCCCTTCCCACACCCACTTCATGCCAAAACAACACTACTTCTTCTTGCCCTTGCCTTTGCCCTTGGTCGCCGAACCATTCGTAGCAACACTGCTCGCCCTACTCGGTGTCGCACTCGCCGGGGAGGCCTTGGCTTTCACTGTATCGAGTTGCTTGTTCTACGCTCACGTTAGTATCACCAACAACAACCTCCAGCAATCGAAGAAGATTCAACATACCTTGACCCCATTCTTCGCCTTCTTCCCCTTTGGCTGCTCAACCTCCTCTTCCTCCTCCGTCTCCTCGTCCTCATATCCTCTCTTGCCATTTTTATTCTTGACATCGCCCTCACCGAGCTCCCTCACAATGGCCGAGATGAGCGTCGTGCATCGCCTCCCAATCTCCTGCGGTGTGCGCGAGAGGAAGAACCAGTCGAAGCGAAACAACGGACTCTCGCGAATCTCATCGCGAATCTTCTCGTAGATAAACTCGCCCTCAACACCATGCTTGTGCAGCATGACGACGAGGAACTTGTCTTCTTCCTCGGTGTACACCTTCTTGTTGGTAGTCGAGACGGTGTACTTGATTTGCATCTGCTGGAGTGGCATGCGGTACATGCCAATCTTCTTTGCAATGAGCCGTTTCTTCTCTTCCGACTGTCGTACACGCAGTTCCCCCTCTTCGATGACGCCGAGATGTTTCTGCCAGTTGTCGAGTGTCTTGTACTTTTTCCAAAAGACTTTAGCGTAGGCCTTGATCTCGTCGGCGTCTTTGCCGTCAACTTCCTCCGAGATGCCTTCGTAGTTTTGACGACCGTATTTGGCACTGCCGTTCAGAAACTGCTGGAAGTCACGCTTGTTCCATTCAGGGAATCCTTGTTCGATCAAGCGTTCCTTCTCGGCCTTCTCCTCTTCCGTCAGCGGCTCTGCATCATCAATCTCCTGCTGCGCAAGTTGTTGGTCGGCTTCTCGCGCTTCGAGGTCTTCATCCGGACCATCTGGGAGAGGAGCTTTCAGGTTGTTCTCCTTGCGGTACCATGCTGTCTCTTTATCTTGAAGAACCGCTAGTCGATCAGGGAAGAACTGGTAGTCGTGAATGGTTATTTGCTTGGGCGCGCGAGGTATCCTAGGCTGCTTGTTCTCGGTTCGTCCACCAGTGACGAGCGTCTTTCGATAATATGAGTCAATGCCGTAGTTTTGCTCCTTGCGTTCGCGCTTCGAGGGATTGATCCAGGATATGCCGATCTCCTTCTTACGTGGCTGGAAAGTCTCGCCGTTCCACTCGTATGTTGAGTCCGAGGTGAACTTCTGAAGGTCGTCAAGACCAAGAGTCTCGTACCTCTTGTTGAGCTTCTCTGTCATTTCTTCACCACGGCGCATGACAGCTTCGAAGTCGTCGTCGGCGAGTTCGCCATCGGCGGCTGGACCGACGGGTCCCTTGCTTGCGAATACTTTCTCGGCTCCGTGCTGAATCATGGTCAGAAGTTCGTCCTTGGAAGCGGCGTTCTTGACAGGTTGTTGCGAACGACCCTGCTGGATGACTAGCTGGTCGAGACGCAGCTTCTGTGCAGCACGCTCAAGCACCTTCTCCTCGATAGCCATCTCGGTAACGAAACGGAAGACGTAGACCTGCTTAGTCTGACCGATACGATGAGCACGGTCCATGGCTTGAAGATCAGCTTGTGGATTCCAATCACTGTCGAAAAGGACGACAATGTCAGCAGAAGTCAGATTAATGCCCAATCCACCAGCGCGGGTGGTCAGAAGAAACAGGAACTTCTCCGAGCCTTCCTTGTTGTAGTCGTCGATGGCCTGAATACGGTCCTCATGGGCGGTCGAACCGTCGATACGGCAGTATTTGTAATCGCGCATGACTGAGTAGTCCTCCATAATGTCCAGAACACGACTCATCTGTGAGAAGATGAGCACTCTACTGCCCTGTGCCTTCATACGCTTGAGCAGCTTGTCCAGCATGACCATCTTGGCAGCATTGGTAACGAGATGTTCGTCGGTAGTGTATGGCGGACCAGGCTCGGCGCCTTCGAAGAGGTATGGGTGGTTGCAACATTTGCGCAGCTGCATGACGATGTTGAGGAGGCGAGTCTTGGATTCCTTGTTGCCAGCACCGCCGTTCACAGCGTCAATGTCCTTTTCGAGAATCTTCTTGTACCACTGTACTTGCATGTCAGACATGCCAACGTATAGGTTGATCTCTTTCTTGGGCAACAGCGACTTCTCGACATCGGCCTTGACACGTCGGAGCAGGAAGGGTCGGAGGACCTTGTGTAGTTGTTTGACGACGGCGTCGGAGTCGGCGTTCTGCTGCGAGAACCAGTCGTCAAAAGCGGCGGAGTCTCCGAAGACGTCAGGGAGGAGGAAGTTGAGTAGAGCCCAGAGCTCGTGGAGGTTGTTCTGGAGAGGGGTACCGGTGATGAGCAGTCGGCTTCGAGAGTTGAACATGCGAACCATCTGTGCTAAGGACGACTCTTCATTCTTGATACGATGTGCTTCATCGATGATGATGTATTCCCATGCGAACTTCTTCAAGTGCGACTTCTCGCGCAAGATCATCTCGTAGGACGTAATACAGACATCGAAACCGTCAGGCACCAGGCGCTCCTTGATGAGCTCGGCACGAGCATCCTTATCACCCTGGAGGACCAAGACGTTGACCTCGGGGCACCACTTGGCGAATTCGCGCTTCCAGTTATCGAGGGTCGACTTGGGCACTGCGACCAAGTGGGGACCGTGGATGCCGGCAATGTAGCGTAGGTAGCCGACGAAAGAGATGGTCTGGAGAGTCTTTCCAAGACCCATCTCATCGGCGAGGATACCAGAGATACCGTTCTCATGTAGGGAGATGAGCCAATTGAGACCAGCGACCTGGTAGTCTCGCATGGTGCCGCCCTTGATGAAGCCCGGCGACTCCCTGAAAACAGTCTCGTTGTGTCCACCGTGCTTCTCCTCACGCACCAGCTCGGCATCCTCCTCCTGCTCAGTCTTTCTGCGTCGTTCCGCAGCGGCGCCGCCTTTCCGTATCTTGCTTGCCTTGGATCGCTTGGTCTCTTCGGCATCCTGGCGGTCGATCTCGGCGAGAATCTCCTTGATGCGCGGGTTGGGGTTCGTGTCGATGAAGTGGCGGAACAGGTCAGTGAGACCGAGGAGGTATCGAAAGCGGCGAATGGTGTCGTCTTCCTGTAGAGAGAAGCCAAGTCAGTCTTGTCACTGGTGAATGCAGTGCGATGCGCAGTGACGTCGCGTACCTTGGACGCCCTTAGACCCTCAGCCTTCTTGCCGTACATGCTCTTTCGCATGTTCATCTCTTCGGCGCGTCGCTTTCGCCCGTCGAGTGGCGCGTTGTCCCCTGCGACACTGTTTGCTGTGGTGTTGGGGTTGGTGTCGGAATCCTATGCGCGTGTTAGTCCGTCGACTGGGTGAATGCGGTGGGAATTCGGAGTCATCGTACTGTGTAGTCTGGGGTATCGACGTTGTACTGCGCCTGCAATGTCAGCCCATGTCCTTCACTTGATCGCGCCTTCCACCACCTTGACGACTTGGTGTCGCGGCGAGGAAGGCGCGAACGGGGTCGTGCTTACGCCAAACTTCTTGAAGCCGCTCATTGTGTCGTCTGGCTGGTCCTGCATCTCGACATCTGAATGCGCCGACGCCTCATCCGACGAAGGCTCCTCCTTCTTCGCAGCGGCCTTCCGCGGCATATTGCCTGTTTGGGCTACTCGCCGCGTATAATTGGGTGAGTGATGTGACGACAATGGCGCGGTCGATTATGTGCCGTTTTTCGATATGTCGGCGTGTCGAATGCGATGGCGTGGACGCGTTTGGGACGTGTTCGTGTGGCGGCAGAGGTTTGCGCAATGTATCGCAGGAGTAGTGACAGAATAATGTGGACAGCCCTTGGCGCGTCTGGAAGAGGCGCGCTTTCCTCTTTGTGGCCGTGCTCACTACTACCCCAGGCCGGCAACACTAAACCAGCATTTCCATTCGCTTAACAGATCACCATCCACGCGTTTTCAGACTCCTACAGTAACTGACATGCAGACGCGATACTGATAAAAGGACGAAGAAGGGTAACGCGTGCGCGACGCGGTATTGGGCATGACGTCAGTGCAATCATTTCTGAGTTGAATCGTTCGGCATGGCATTGAGGTTTACAAAGCAAGAGTAGAGCCCCTCGCGAGTCGGCTATACAGAAGAGCAGACAAACTACACCACCAGCCGAGCTTGTTAAGCATCAAGACTCTATTCGGCGTTTCTCTCCACCTCTGACGTCACTACATAAGAAAACGATTGTTAAACAGTTAGAAAAAGAATTGACATGTACAAGACTACTCTAAACGTTTACTCTACCACCATATCCTCAACATGCCTGCCACATCGCTCACCATAATCTTTTCACCTTACCACGTCGGCGTTCGCGACCACCGCGTCGGCGATGGCCCAAACCGCATCCGCACACTCGGTCTGGTCTCTTCGCTCGAGAACCTAGGCATCAAAGTCGACATCGACGAAATACCTCCCGTCGACGACTTCGAAGGCGAGATAGGCCGTTCATTCGAAATCCTCCGCCTGACCTCCCTGGCCGTCAGCAAAGCGCAATCTAACAACTCGTTCCCTTTTATTCTCTCTGGCAACTGCATGGCTAGCGTGGGAGCGGCATGTGGGTTAGGCATCAAGGATCTCAACTTCATCTACTTCGACGCCCACGACGACATGGACACGCCTTCTACGAACCAGAATGGTTATTTCGATGCCATGGGTCTAAGTATGTTGGCGGGGAAGAGCTGGCATTGGCATACGGAGCAGATACCAGGATATGCACCGATGAAGTACGATAAGAGGTTCTTGTATGTTGGGCTAAGAGATGTGAACGAGGTACAGCGGAAGACGGTGCAAGAAGCTGGAGCAGATGTGATATGGGGTGATGCTGAGAAGGCTGTGGATTTCCCTGGCGAGTTGCAAAAGCGGCTTGAGGAGAGAGATATGTCGCCTTCGCTCGTGCATCTTGATTTAGATGTTCTAGACAAAAGTGTAGGCGTGGTCAATGGGTTTGAGAGCGAGGGCGGGCTGCAGGAAGAGGATGTAGTGCTGTGCATGAGTCTGTTGCCGAAGAAAGCCACTCCGGTGTCTTTTACTATGTGTTCTTTCAACCCGAATCTGGGAGATGGGGATAAAATTGCTGGCATAGGTATTCGTGCTGCTGTGGCATTTGTTGAGTCGTTGATTGTGGAGAAAGTGCTGTCAGCGCAAAGCTAGCAACCGTAAGAACAGAAGGCCCACTAGACAATCAAGAAAATGGTTACGCTTGATGCCATCAACGTCTGTCAACGGATGGGAGGACAACAACTTTGGGTCTCGGGTTGGTCATACGCTTCTCGCAATGTGCAAAACGTGACGGCGCGGCGCGGCGCTGTGTTGAAAGACATGGCAGTTTCCCAGAGCCACGGGCTTGGGAAGTCGCATCTCGGCCGCCTTCCCGCCAAGTCGCAACCCCAAATCGCCCCACCCACCTCCAATTTCGCTAATCCCCGTTATCAATAGCAATGACCAACATGAAATTACGCTCATGCACATTTACAGTTCCCGATTCTGCACGGCGCTGAACTGTTGTCCTTCCTACCAGATCATCAACGCGCGCCAGCTGATGCGCACATGATGTGGTCTGGAGGGCTTCCTGGACGACGCCCGTCCGCCTAGGCAACAGCCACGGCGTCGACTAGATACCGCACCATGATCATATGGTTGGCCCTCTGTACCCTCCCCTCCAGCTCCGTTCGTTTTTTGTACAGACGCCATGCATAGCCCCGCCGTGTACGGCCTGTCTGCGTGACGGGGCTGAAGCAGCTCATGCTTGGTCGCGAATTGAGCGTTTCCTTCTCAGCCTCGGAGGAGCATAGCCCCACTGCTCATATTGATCCTCATCAGTCGTTTCAGCCGCACCTTTCGCACGTCGTCTTGCACTTCGACATTGCTCACGAATACGATCTTGACACGCTACTACTGAGTGCTGGTATCATCTCCGTGCTAAGCCCAAACCCACAGTGCAAATAACACCACCCATACCTACGCTGTTGCATAGTAACGTCACGATCTCGTTGAACTTGTTCTACCCTACAGACGACAGCAGCAAGGAATTCTCAAATGCGCCTCATCAATTGCTCCACACTCCAGCTGGAAGAGTTCTTTGGTGATAAAACTCCACGCTATGCCATTCTGTCACACGCTTGGGGCCACGACGAGGTGTCCTTTGCGGATCTCTCCTTTGGTCAGCCTACGACCCGATCTGGCTATAAAAAAATCGAATTTACCTGCCAGCAAGCGCTTAGTGACGGGCTCAACTACGCATGGATTGACACCTGCTGCATTGACAAAAGTTCTAGTGCAGAGCTGTCCGAGGCGATCAACTCTATGTTCACCTGGTATAAGGACTCAACTATCTGTTACGCCTATCTCGCCGACGTCTTGAAACCCAGCCTGGACGAAGATTTCCCCAAGAGTAGATGGTTTACACGAGGATGGACACTGCAAGAGTTGTTGGCGCCACATCATGTCGTCTTTTATGACGAATGGTGGGACTATTTGGGCACAAAAATTGGTTACAAGGAATGGATAGCAGAGATTACGCAGATAGACACAGATGCTTTAATTGACATGCGGAGTCCTTGGTCGTCCGGGACGGGACTGGACTCTTTCTGCGTAGCCAAAAAGATGTCATGGGCCTCAACGAGACATACGACACGTGTAGAAGACATCGCCTACTGCCTGCTTGGAATATTTAACATAAATATGCCACTTTTGTATGGGGAGGGCGAACGGGCCTTTCTTCGTCTCCAGGAGGAAATCATCCGGAAGACCGCCGATGACTCTATTCTCGCCTGGGGCCTGGACTCAGATATGGATGATCCTCTAGGACTCATCCCAAATTCTGTGAGGTACTCAATGGGTGATCGCGTTCACTTAAGCGATTTTCTAGCGAGCTCTCCCAAGGACTTTAAAAATTGCGCTGGCTTGAAAATTACCATGGAATCAGCCACGGCGTTCACACTGACCAATACTGGATTACAAATCCAACTACCCCTTGTTCGTGTACCACGGGTGCGAGAACCCCAGGTCGGCAAGCATTTTGACCCAAACGAGGACTATGGATGGATCGGTCTACTCAATTGCTCGACAGGATCGAACCTTGAGTTTCTCGGTATCCCGCTGATTGGAGCGTACGACTACAGCTCTAGCAAAAGAGTCTCTCGCGCCCGGGTTCAAACTTTCAGATCCTCCTGCCATACAGTGACTCTGGGTTCGAGAGTCGCTGTAAGGTCCACTGTCGAGGCAATCACAATTACTCGGTTTGACGGAGGCCTCAGGGCCCGAGACTCTTACGAAAGCTATAGGCAGATTGTAGTCAACGATGATGGTCTCCAAACTCTGGGTTACCATGTCGAGGGTTGTACCGCATGGACCGTCGAGATACTTAAACCATGGTCTAGTATCGGTTCCTGGGACGCCAGAACGAAGATTCTCACAGTGACGGGGCATGAGGATCCCTCGGAGATAATCGGAGTATACTTCGAACCATCATTGAGCAGACAAGGCGCCAAGTTCACGGTGTTTCTGCGTAATTCGAGCAACGGTTATATGATTATGGTACGAGAAGGAGATGCCAATGGCTTTTCTGAAAGTACTATGCGCGCTCTCATTGAACACGAATGGTCGGCATATGACATGAAGAAATTTATGATCTATGACGAGACAAGACAGCCGCACCATGTCGAAGTTGACGTTCAAGAGAAAATAGTATATAAGCATCGGCTCTTTGAGCTTAATGTTGGTGCGACTCCCAACTTACATGATGTTGTGGCACAGTGGGGAGGGCTGGGTATGTATGTGGGGGCAGGCTCGACCCGCGATTGGGGGATGGGTAGGTAGAGTAAATCGAAGTTTATAGCTATTCTAGGTAGGCAGGTGTCTAATAAGGTATCGCAAGGTTGCTTCTAGCTCCTGATACACTCTTCGGCTTTGCGATATCACGTGAATATCTACTACACCACAATATAGAATGGGAGTCACGCCGAAATCAAGCTACGTGAAGTTACCATTGCCTGGCAGTCAGCCTCTTAGCAGACCGAGTCATGGAAGCATCTAAACGATCATGCCATTCAATAATTCCTGGCCACAAAGTTATGTCGCAGGGCATCATTAAAATTGTCTCTCAAATGGTCTTTTTTGGAGGCAGTTGCAATACATGCCCCCTCATTTGAGCATGACAGGCAAGATTTGCGTCGTGCGAAATTGGAATACATGTGAGATGACCTCTAGGCGGCTTGCGAAAGTCAGAAGCCGCGAGTGCATCGGTGTGAGTGTACTCAGAGACTAACTGCGCAGACTACTATCGTACCAAGTGGACCCACGTCATCGGTACATTCTTCGGGCGCTCGCCAACCACGCTTGCCCCGCTCGGAAAGCCGCATCTCCACTTCCTCTCCAAACCACGCGATAAGACCCGTTGCGTCTAGCAACGCACGGCGGCATCGGAAAGCTATCTCCTGCCTGTTTACGATATCATTGACGCCGTTTACGTACATGCGCAGCGCCCATAAGGCGTGCCGATGAGGCGGGCCAGTCACGAGAAAGGGCCGAGAGCTTATCTGCGTGGTTTCCACGTTTTACCCTGGCTGGGCGCATGCCTGGTAGACACCGACATGTCTTGTGCTGTGGATTGAAGACGAACTACGCGAAGGACCGGAATAATGACTCTGTGTCAGTGGGGTGCATGCTTTGGCGACGTTGGAGGATGATATGCGGCCGAGCTATAAAACACATGGCAGACCTGCAGCCATGTCGTGGCATATCTCGCGCTTCACCACAGGCCACGGTCTGGAATGTCCGTGGGCAAGATGTATCTCTCCCGGTCCTTGGGCGTCGCGTCCCTCATCGTCGCCAGTGTGCAGGCAGCCGTGTCCTCCACTGGCTTCACGGTATCGCTGACGGATGTCGATTACTTCCTGCCACCGAGGCCAATCGCCAAGATCTCTGGCTGCAAAGAGCTTTCAACCTCTTTCGAAGATGTCATGTTTGTGCCATTCACAGTGGTCAAGGCGCAAGGCTATGGTGTTGACGTTGCAGCACTTACAGCCAGCTACGCTGAAGATGACGTATGGCAAGAGGGCTTCATGGAGGGTACGCGCGAACTGTGCTTACTCAATACTTGAGCTAACATAGTTTTGTAGCGATATACGTCCAGGGAAGCGAATTCAAGCCCATGAACTCGTCTTTAACCGTATTATCCGGCACCTCATCCAAGGTATTGGCTCCAGGACCCTACTTCATCAACGCAGCCGGCCATGTCTACGAGGCGTGGAGACTCTTCTCCGATGTTCAAGGTGCTTTCACGGAGTCTGCGATCGCTAATGGTGACGGTTCATACTCTGTTTTGCCCGCAGGCACTGTAGGCCAGAAGCATGCCATTGCTGTTCCTTCGCGTCTGTACTTCACCAAGACGGCTGAGAAGCCGCTCGCTGGTGTTCGCATTGGCATCAAAGATATCTACGACATCAAGGGCTTACGAACTTCGAACGGAAACCGAGCATGGTACTGGCTATATTCTCCAGCCAACGCGACGGCGCCACCCGTTCAGAATCTCATCGACGCGGGAGCGATCATCGTCGGCAAGATGATCACATCTCAATTCGCCAACGGTGAGACTGCGACGGCCGACTGGGTCGACTACCACGAGGCATTCAACCCTCGGGGCGATGGCTACCAAGACACCTCGTCCTCCAGCAGTGGCGGAGGAGCTGGTACAGCATCGTACCCCTGGTTGGATGTCAGTCTTGGATCCGACACCGGCGGCAGTGTACGCGGACCATCCCAGGTTCAAGGTCTTTACGGTAACCGACCATCTCACGGACTTGTCTCCCTCGACCACACCATGCCTCTCAGCCCCGTGCTCGACACGCCCGGCTTGCTAGCTCGCAACCCGCAAGTCTGGATGGAAGCGGCACAGGCTATGTACGGCCCCAACATCACTATCACCAGCAGCTACCCAACGAGCGTTCAAACTCTTGGCTGGCCCACTACAGTCGATGATGTCGCAGATGAGCTTCTGATCGACTTCCTGGGCAACGTGACCGAGTTCCTCAGCGCTAGTGCGACAGCGTTTAACGTGACCGCCTCTTTCGACGCTGCGAACGCGGATATCGCACCCCTCACAACCTTCATGAACCTCACTTACGCCTTGTTGATCACCAAACAGCAAACCGAGCTCGTTCGCGAGCCATTCTACGCTGACTACGCCGCCATCCACGACGGCCGCCTGCCCTTCGTCAATCCCGTTCCACTAGCGCGCTGGGGCTGGGGAGACAACCAAACCTACACAGTCGAGGACGCCGTAGCCAACAAGACCATCTTCCAAACCTGGGCCAATGAAACCTTCCTCGCGCCGTCGTCCGAGACATGCTCTGAGTCTCTCGTCATGTATGTTGGCTCCACTGGCAGCACCACGTACCGTAACACGTACTGGGACGAGCCTGGTGTGCCTCTCGGGTTCGGCAATAGTCGCATTTCGGTCATGGCTGAGGTGCCGGATTATGTTGTGCCGTTGGGCGAGGCGCCATATAATTCGACGATTACGGGACATGTGGAGTACCTGCCTGTTACGGCAAATTTGATGGCGGCGAAGGGTTGTGATGGCATGTTGTTTTCGTTGATTGGGGAGTTGTATGAGGCGGGAATCCTGAAGGAGAGTATGGTTGGTAGGAGTGGGGTGACTGGTGGTGACATACTGTTGAAGAGGGATGGATTGTGGTGATGAGTATGCGATTAGACAGCATTGAGGAAGCATCCAATACAAATCACCATTGTAATGCTGCGTTTACCTACATCTTTTGAGTTTCTCTGGCTAGCACGAGATGATGTGAAGTCTAGATGGCAGCTGGCGAACTACTGCGGTTCGCTTGGCATTCTTACAGGCTACCTTGCGATCTCCGAGAACGTGCGGGGCACGAAGTTGGTGCCCACTCAAACATCTCGGCATCTCAACAACATTATTTAGAGCCTACGCGACTGCACTGTCATTGTATACGGATTTTGGATCGTGCGCAAGGTCTTTTCACTATGTCTTTTCGTTCATCTGATGCTTATGATCAGGTATGATGATCATTGAGCGCTGATCCTACCTGCACGATGATGACATTGGTGCAGCCTGCCATCAATACGATCATTCGTCAGCTGACACAAGGCTGCTAGGTTCGCTTAGACGTACGTGTCGGTATCAACATACTACTGATGCCTATCCTTCTCCCCTTTTATGACTACTCGTCAGCCCGAATTTCTCATGCAGATAGCAACGGCTCGTCAATGCTGACTCAAATCGAGCCTAAACACGCTCTTAGGTCATTCAATCTACAGATTGGTTTGAGGGCAGCACTATTTTCGCCATGAACACCGAAGAATGCGGCACTACGGTAGGACCAATGATCAAGGATATCACAATATTATGCGACTTCTGCATTGAGTTTACCAAACTCATTGTGCGACTCCCAGAAGACCTCGGGACAACTGGAGACCAGCCCAACAGAATTGACGAATTCGTCCCAAGTCGCGGGCTGGAGTCATGCCAACTGTGTGAGTTAATCTCATCAATCGAACCAACCACACCAGCCCATTTGAGAACATCTCTCATTCGTAGCGGGTTTACGTCGCGATATCGAAACTATGAGCACCGAAATCGGGTGTGTGGGACCCATATCAGAGGCAAGAAATTCAGACTATGGGCAGATAGAGGTGAAAAGCTGTGATTTTGTTATTTTGGCTTCGCTGACCATAGAATGCAGGAAGCCCTGCATGCGAAACTTTGATTGATCGCCCACCAATAGCTGACCTTCCTATGCACCAGATACGCGACCTAATCCAGCATTGGCGAAAGAGATGCCGTTTTCACAAACGTTGCCAACTTGAGGCTAAAACGCCAATGCCCACTCGTATTCTTGCGCTCTGTGAAGATCATGCTCAACCCTCGATCAGGCTTGTCAAGAGTAAGGGCATGAAGGGACGGTACTTGGCCTTAAGGGTAAGACTACACAGCAAATGCTATTTGAGAATGTCTATTAATCCAGTGACAGTATGTTCTATGACTTTTGTTACGTCTCAGTAGTACCGTAGGTGAAAAAGAAGCAGCAAGGACATCCGATGTTCTCTCACCCGCGGACTTGTAACTATGACAGCCCTGAAACAAAGTATGTGGTCAGTTACAATCGTTACTAATATCTTGATAGCCACTGCTGGGGCTCAGTGCAAAAGCAACCGCTTTGCACGACGCCTACAAATTTCGGGGAACATCAAAACGGCATCGCATTCGAAGATTTGCCTAGAACGTTCCAGGATTTTGTGAACATCGCACGATCCATCGGCATCAAATACATCTGGATTGACTCTCTTTGTATTATACAAGGCAATAGCCGAGATTGGCATTCGGAAGCAGAGAAGATGGGAGATGTCTACCGAAATGCGGCTTTCGTCATAGCAGCCTCAGGCGCAGAAGACTCTAGCCAAGGACTGTTCATAAACGATCGATCAGTCGAAAAGGTCTATAGGTTGCCTTACAGAACAGCTGCCGAAGTCAAAGGAACATTCAACATCGTGCAATCGCCTAACGAATCGGATTGGCACCCAGCACATGGACCTCTAGAAACTCGGGCATGGGCACTTCAAGAACGTTATCTTGCGCGGCGTTTGATCATTTTCATGCCACGTGGAATCACATGGAGGTGCAGTTCAATGTCAGTGAATGAGGCTGGGGAATCCTTCCTGGATTTTCGCCGAAACAAGAGTTGGTTCCTGCTCTTGAGTGAATATACAAGAAGAGCTTTGACATTCCCCTCAGATCGCACTGAGGCTATACGAGGAGTTGCTGAAGAGTACCAACGTTCCCAGAAGGCTCGATATATTCCAGATTACGGTGTCTGGGAGGACCAGCTTACGGATCAGCTGCTTTGGTTCAAGGATGGTCCATTTTTTGACAATGGTAGACTATCACACAAGCCCTCATGGAGTTGGATCACTACTGGAAGTGCTAAAATATGGCCGCAGGAAGTTCTCTTCGTGGATTCTGACGGTACATGGTCTGTCATACCGCCATCGACTTGGACTACAGCGGGGAGTGCGAAGATATGGCCGCAAAAGGTTTTGGCTGCGAAACCTGTGTTCCTCGAGACAATGTCCGACGAATTGGCGATCACCTCTGAAGGATATCTTCAGGTTTTAGGTCACTTGAGCACCGCTAGACCAGCTCCAAGCTATGTGCGAGACAGGTATACCGCACGTGACCTACAGGTGCCGGAAGTACAGTCTCTCTACGACAAATGGAGCGAACGACCCGCTTCCTCCTACATTCTCACGCAAGACATCGATGACGATTATGATCAAACAAATCTTGGGACTGCACGTTTCGACAATGACGCGATGAAGTCATACAGTCACGCATGGTTCCTTGGAAAGCAAACATTCAAGAGTGAACCATTGGTCCGGAAATCATTCGTGAAACGTGAACTTATTGTGAGAGTTCTCCCTTCATCTACAACATGTAAAGACTGAGATCTATTAGGATGACGTAGTCTACCATACAGAGCATAATCCGGAATTTGTCTACTGGGCGCTTCTTCTCGAGCGAGTAGACGAGAGCAGATACAAACGCGTTGGCATTGCGATTCTCTTACCCGTCGCGTATAAGGCCTTCCAAATGCAACTTCAGAAGTTTCAGATCATCTAGTTCTTTACAAGGTTGGAACACGAAATTCCGGCTTTGGTAAAATTACGTGCAGATTATCACACAGAATCTACGATAACAATTTCCACGTCAACAACAGTACTTGACCTGCGACCGTCTACATTGCCTACGCCCACACTTTTCCCATCTTCATCTAATTTCATACCCCTTCATCAACGATAGGCTTGCCTGCGCTGGAGTCCTCAAGAAGCTGTTTGACAGTCCAGGGCTTGTATGTATATCCCGGTACAGTATTCCTGTGCTCGAAAGGTACACTCAGTAATATATGGTCTGCGCAGCTCTTGTACGAGTCGTAGGCATACTGCTCTGGGTCGTGGTATATGACCCAGTCCCCAACCATCTTTCCCATGGCCTCTGGGTCCTTAGCGACGATATCCCAGTCTGTGTTGTGAAACACCTCACGGTTCTTGAAACCCGTCTTCTGGGCCGACGAAACCCGTTCAAACCTGTCAAAGCCTGTCAATCTTGTTTCGACACTTCTAATGTGCGCGTAGAAACGAAGGTTCTAGCAATTGCTAACGTACCTCATATGGTTGTGCACCTTGGTTGCGAGACATGCATCCTTCTTTCCCGCGATCTGTAAGCAAGTAGCTAGAGAGAATGCGTCCTCCATCGCCATAGTCCCACCGCTAGCTGAGATCGGAAGGAATGGGTGTGCGGAGTCTCCTATTTGCACCACCCGACCGATCGGCGATACCCACCGCGGCTGGGGGTCACGCCACATCAATTTCCAGTCGAGAACAGTATGGCCGGGCGTAGCTTTGATGACTTCGGTGATAAATGGCTCCCAGCCACGGGTCGCTTGGAGGGCTTTGTCGATCGAAGTCGACTGAGACCAGCTTTCTCCGCCTTTGTCGTCATCATCCTACCCTTGGTGTCAGCATCTGCACGATATGGGAAAAGACATTAGGAAACGTTTACCTTGCAAGTCAGCATCCAACACATCTTGTCGCCCGACAGGCAGGTAACCATGTGTGCTCCCGGGCCAGCATGTAGGATCCCACGGTCTCCAACGCCCTCAAACTCCTTTCTAATGATTGGATTCTCAAATGCAGGTGCAGCAGGGAAGGTGACCCTGTACAACACAAACCCCGAGCTTATTGGGGCAGTTTTCTCGCCCACAAGGTGCCATGATTTCGAGCCAACTCCATCCGCAGCCACCACGATATCTGCGGTTAGCTTGCGGCGGTCCGCTAGTTCTACTCCGCCATAGTCTTCAGTTTCGAAATAATCCACAGCATTTGTCGAAAATTCGATCGGAATTCCGAGAAGTGAAGCATATTCATGAAGCACTTTGTGTAGCTCCGATCAATAGATGGCCATGGATGTGTTCTTCTCGTCACCGAGGTTGAAGCTTCCTACGACATCGCCGTTGAACTTCTTCATTTTAAGCGTTGGAGGAATCGCTCTCTTTCTGGCGCGCTCCATGAATCCTGGCCACTTCTTTGACGTGTGTAGGGCAGAAGTTGTGATAATGATCATCTCCCCTACACCATGTTAGCCCGTAGAATTTATGAGTTGCACCCGCCGCTCACCTGCGCTCTCCTGGGACGAACGACGCTCGACAATGCGGACAGCGTGGCCCTTCCGGTAGGACTCGATGGCAAAACTCAGACCTGCGATGCCTGCACCAATCACCAGTATGGAAATGCCTGTCTCTTGGTGACGTTCCATCTTCGGAATCGATGCTGTACTCATTACAGACGCTGAAGCAGGGCTGCGAGGATGGATTCTTGTCTGTTGAACGAATTATGCTTTTTAATGGATCTAGGGACGTCTTCCTTATTTAAAGTATATCGAACATGTAAAATAGATGCTAACACTGACGCGAGCAAACGCTGCCGGATGCTATCATTGCCGTATCCGCCATTGCAGTTCGACTTTTTGTCCGTGGCGGAAGTTTTCCAGTCGCTCAAATGATTGTCGTGCAGATCGCTTCTGTACGGTATGCTATAAGTTCCACGTGCGGCGGATCGTTGTACGAAGCATCCGCTGTTCTGATTTCCACAGCGGTCAGCCAATTATATTGTCCTAAGAGCTTTTTGGTCTCCAATACGAAAACAGCACCTTGGGTAAATGCAGCAACAAGCATCGCAGGATACTGGCAAATTTTTGCTTATATCACTTGTCTTGATCACTTCCTACGTTGTACAGCTCGGGTGCTAGCGTAGCGTGTTTCTGGCTAGGTCGTCCCCACACCTTTTATACAACCAGATGCCCACATATTTTTGTACAATCGTAAGGCAAGGAAAATGTACGCAAGTTCTTTTGGAATCGCTACTTCCGAGAGCCGAAGCCTCATGACAGCCTTCATAATGTCGCTAAGGGGATGAAAGCAGTACGTGGAACCAACGAGTAGCCTAAACCCGCAAATTTGTGAGCTTCAAAGTCATGAAAATGGTGTGATAAACGAGTCGGCTTAGCTATTGCCAGCAACTAATGCTAATAAGCATGTATTTATACTGTGTAGTTCTTGCTTAGCCATTCTTTGAAAAGCTCCGCGATCTCATTTGGCTTCTCGTATGGTGTCCAGTGCGAGGCGTCCAACAGAGGCTTCTGATCTAAATGCGGCAACAACCCAGCCTGGATCGCCGGATACATCGCCTCAGAACGGCATGTGGCGTCTTCTTTTCCTCCAATGTAGAGAACTGGAACATTCACCTTGTCTCTGCTTTCAGGAAGTTCTTTATCACACAGGTGCTGCTGTTCCTTGAAAGCGCGATACCAGCACTGCGGTGCGTCGAAGCCGTCACGGCGCATCCTGTCGATGAAGTCCTGGCGAAACTTTGGATCCTGGGCATAAGGCCGGAGTTCTGGATCTGGGTCGCTGCTAGTGAGGTGTTGTCGCATAGCGTCTGGGACACAGAAGAAGCGTTTCATTGTATTGCCTGTGCCGTGAAGGCAAGGGTAGAGACGCTCAACGTTGTCTGTGAGAACTTTTCCACCATCTCGATCCGCAAACAGTTTCCTAAGATGATTAGAACTAGTAGTTCTTGATGTGGTGCAGCGGACAAACTTACCAATAATGGAAGACTCCATAGCCAAAAGCTTCCTCCGTCATCCTGATCATCTCATCAAGATCAAAAGGCTGACGACTTGGGGCATAGTAGGGAACATTGAGGAACACGCAGCCAGCGACGCGACCGGGATAGTAGTTATAGAGACGGGCTGCACATGCAGATCCCCAATCATGGCCGATAGAGATCACTTTGTCGACCTTTTCGGTGTCGATGATGTCAATGAGATCCTTCGTCATTACATCCCACCTGTACTCGGCTGGACCGGTCGGCTTGTCGGTACCATCGTAGCCAAGCATATCTGGAATAATGATGGAGAACTCGGTATCAATGAGACGTTCCGCAATACCCTTCCACATCTCGGCGTGATCGGGCCAGCCATGCTGAAACAACAGGGTCGGAAGAGATCTGTCGCCTTCAGACGTGTAGTAGGTGTAGGTGTAACCCCGTGCGGTCTGGCAAGTCTTCTTTTCGAAAACGTTCATTTTGAGATACTTCGTGATAGGTGCGGTCAATGGGAAGTTCCTTCGAGATTGTTGAAAAATGATGTCCAAAGCCTGGAAAGGTATGAACAGCAGGTAGTTCCAGACATTTGTTAAATAGTAGACCTGTGATTTGCAATATCAACCCGAAGTTTCATACGTACGTAAAAGTCGGAGAGTAAATGCTGGGTGGAGACTACCTTTGCTAAGCATATACAGGACAGTGCCCTGTGGATACCACTTGGCGAGCGACACATGCCTCGGTGTGCTTAGCTTAGGTACAAATCAGTCTCCGCATGGATTGCCATATTCGTTCCAAGCTCAAAGAGTAAAGCAAAGTCAGTTCAGGCAAGTTGCTAGTGTAACAGCGACTAAGTTTTGTTCTTAGATGCAGAAATCTTTAGTTGGTGGCCACACTGTACTGCAAATGCAGCTCTCACAACGTAAGCAGACTCCGCGATGCATATGACACGTTTGCAACCTCGTGTCACGCAAATCGCCCCGAAGTTTCGATGGCTATTTCTCGGCCTAATGACGGGGTTGTTCCGCGATGATTGATCAGCCAAAGGTCTTGTCTGTGCGTCAATTAGCTTGTGGAACTAAAGAACTGACTACTTGCAGTAGTAACACCCACAACATGAATTGGTAAGTCTCGAGGAAGATTGTCCGCGTTATCTGCCTCAATTCCGCTTTGCAGATACGGCTATTTGTCAGATTCGAGATCGCAGAGAGCGCGTGCAGAAGACGCATGGGACGCCTTCCGCAGTACTCCAACAACAAGGCCTTCCAAGTAGTAAAAATCTTTATCGTCGCGGACTTTCGTAGGTAATATATAGGCCTTTGCGTAAGGTCGCCTTTCCTATGTCACGTTCTATGGTGTATGCTCGGAGCCTTAGTGGTAAGAGGATACAGGCACGGTTAGAGTTCATGGCTGAAGCTTGAGTAGAAGCTGTAATATTAGTGAATCCAGTAGTCCGGGTCGCTCCCGCAGCTTGGCCACACAAGCGCTTGGGGGTATGACGACAGCCAGGTAGGGTTCACTTCCACAGCGTTGGTGAGATGATTGTATAAAGTACCAATCTTCCCTGGTTCACTAGTTCCAAAGATGATTTTTGCAGCTCTAGAGTGAAGGCCAGTGGGCCATGCCAATCGAAAAACAGTCGCCCCAGGCGAAATGAGAAACAGTGACTTTGGGAATCAAGCATCGCGCTCGCTCTGCAGCGGCGAAGAAAACCGTCTAAGATATTGTGACAGACATGAGGTGATCTACCGTCTAGAGGACGTCTCTTTCACCCTGTTGTATACGTTGACCTGATCATCTAAACCACAATAGAACCAGAGAGTGCCAACACCTCCTGGGCATCATGTGATATACTGCGACTTGGTGACAGCCGACGAGTCCTGCCCCAGGCGTGACTATCGTAGCGTGGTTAGAAAAACTCAAATGTGTCCGCAACGTGCTGGCAATGGTCAGGTTGCACTAGTTGATAATGGTGTTGGCTTGGAATCCAGATGCTGGAAGTAGCGCATGTTTGCTTTGAAGAAGTCTTTCGTGTTGGAGATCGATCGAGAACTGGGCGTAGAGTCAACGCTCATGCGAAGGCAGTGAGTAAGATATGTTCAATAGCCAGCGTGAGAGGAGGAATGAGTTGATACACACGCTCGGTGCAAAAACAAAGATGTCGCCTAGGAACTGCAGGGACCCGAGGTTGGTGCGGATTACCGACATGCGACTGCGGTGTATAAAAACGTGAAATGTTCAACGGGCATACCAGCTAGCGACAGATGGAGACTTAGTGCTTAGCATTAGGATTCAACAACGTTGCGCGAGTCGGACGTCCGAATGTACCTTGAATCTAAACCCTTGATCGACAGCCAATCACAGCATCACGAAAGCGCTGACGATGGGCTTGCCGAGATCCGCCCGCCCCACACGAACTAGTCGCGTGTTGCCCACGCTTCGCGGCACACCTCAATGAGGTCCGGAGTCAATGACGACACAGCATAAGCCGAAGATGGTTGCACACATTGTACAGGGCAAGAGGCGTTCGGCTCTCCGCCGCGGCACAATTGAATGGAGGGCCTGCTACGCGAAATAATACATCTGCCATCTCCCCATCACCCAGTCACATCAACCGCAACCGCAATTCATCACCGCCAAACTTCAAGATGAGCCACCCAACACATCCCGCGACAGTGCACTTCCCCATCACAACCACCCTACTCACGGGTGGTCTGGATGCGGTATACTTCCTCTCGAAGTACGCACCGACGTCTAGCGCTGTGGCCTCGGCCTGTACGTCCTTACCCTCAATGCAACCCCTAATGCACCTCATGGTTTCATTTAGCTAACAACGCTTAGTCAAAACCCTAGATATCGCCATAAACCCGACCATCTTCCCCCTTCTATCCTACTACACCACACTCCTCACGCTCCTCTTCTCCGCGCCCGCCGTCGCGACCGGCATGTACGAATTCATTCCCCTTGTCAAGCGCGACGGCTTGAAGTCGAAGAAGGCACAGGTCGGTGCGCTACACGCTGTCATCAACGATGTAACGGTGATTGGTGCGGCCTTCAACTGGTGGACGCGCAGGAGCAATCCCGGCATGGTGCCGAGTGACACAAACATCTTGATCAGCAGTGTCATTGCGCTGCCGGCTACCATGTTCGCGGCCTACTTGGGCGGCAGTCTAGTGTATGTATATGGTATGGGCTTCAGGGGTGGACAAGCAAAGGCGAAGAAGGCGCAGTAGACGTGAGAGATACAATGGATGCTGGCTATATCACTGTCAAGAAGCAACGCGGGGTAATGAAGTCTTATGCATTGGTACTCTGTTCCTCGTTGTAACTGATCTGGCTTGTACAGTCAAAGCAAAGGAGCAGAGGATACAAGGGGCAGAACAGTGAAAGTAAGGCACAAGAGGATCAGAAGAGTGAGAAGTGGGAAATGGAAGTAAAAGACAAGCCTAAAGGCATTTCGTTCCAGAAGTTTACGAGTCGTGCCCGTTCAAATTCCTTTGTACAGTTCGATATGACATGACCATCAAAGCCATATCCTTCGAGGGATCGCGACTTGCCAAGACGCCGTATTAGATGAAATCGGCGTCCGAGTATATCGTCATGGCTGTAAAGCTGTCTCCACTAACTGTGCTCTGGTTCTCCGGGTTGGTCACTGTCGTGGCGCTGATCGGCATTGCCCTGGATGTTTGCTTGAAGATCAATGGCCATCGGCGTCGGGGGGAGGAATCGTTGTGTTGTTGGATGCGTATACGCAGTCGTATCAGCCGGTTGTTGGTAAGAGAAGTTTGTTGGTACATTTAAGTATGGGATTGGCGAAGTCGGGAAATCTGAGGTGTTCATTGCAAACATATCGTCGCCCGTAATCCGTTGTTTGTTGACGATCTCGGCACACCCGCCCTGTTCAATTGCCGCATCACGCGCCGGTGAAGGAGCAACTGATCGAACGTGAGCACTGGTGGCACGTGTTGAAAAGGATAACATACGTGCGAGCACATGAGTATCCATGATATGGTCGATCAGCAGTCTTTTACTAGCAAAACGTGCATCGCAAGCAGGACAGTAGGGCGCCGATACCGTTAAGCCGAGCGCGCTAGGATGGTCCCGTTCGAGGTGATTTTCCATAAAACCTCTCTTCACGTATCCCATCTTGGAGCACCGGCAATCTTCGGCGAAGGCGCAGTTTACAATAAGCAGGGTCATAGTTTGCCGCCGGCGTGTATTAGATCGAGACGACATTCTACAAACGCTGTATAGTTCGTATTCGAAAGTAGTGCAGTGGAGATAGAAGTATGATAAGTAAGCGCGGGCGGAAACAAATGTAGGTCTCCAGAAAGCGTGAGGACATGTGAAGTGCAATGCCAAACAGAATGTATGTTATTCAAAGGCTGAAGGTGCGCGCATGAGCTTGTGATTTGGGAGATGAACAGAGCATTTATAACCAGATGAACAAGACCAGAGACAGGAGAGGCGTCGAGCCTGACCTTTCGTCTATACCCTCCGCTGTCTCCGTCGCTTCAATGCTCGTATGCACGCCAGCACGCCACAAAACCTAGGTATGCACGCAGCCGTCGGGTAAGCCATCGCATCTCAGATCATCTAAGTTGATGAGTTGCGCGGCAAAACAACCGCCCAATTCATTTGATTGGACAAGACGGAATTGCGAAGTTCAAAAGTTGGAGAACAGCCTCCCAAGATTCCTTGCGTCAGTTCGATGCGTCCTAAGTCAACCAGGTGATGTACACCGCCAAACTAGCGCAACGGTACTGACCACAGAATACCGACAGCTCGGGCTGCAGTTGTCCCGCTAGGAGCGACGCTCCCACGAATCACGGATCAGAGACAGACTATCGCTGAAGGCTTTCACACTCGTCTATTCCCTCCACAGTTGCTCTCTCTCCTGCACTCTCGCACCTCCCCCTGTACAATCGCACCTCCCCCTGCACAATCGCATCTCCCTTCTGCACACTCGTTGCGGGTCTTGCAACAGTTGAGCTCGTGCTTGAAGTGTTTCATCGCGCAGCTCCTCAAATCAGCTTATAGGTTTCGTCCACCTAGCGGGATAGCCCATAACAAGATGGTGCCCGCCACAATCCGTCATGCTCCATGGCTAGGGATAAAGGTCAGCCACTGGCCAACAACGTCTGGCGCGACGGCTATTCCCTGGTCGCTGTCCCCCAGTTGTTGTCGCTGTTCTCGGTAAAGCACGCACAAGGCTCAATCGGATGCGACCACCGTGTAATGTCTCTATAAGTTCAAATGTAATCAAGACAGTGCATACGGTCTTGACGAGGCGAGCCTATCAGTCGCTTTGCTCGCTCGTTTCCGCAGTCGTATGGTCTGTATTCTCGCTGGAAACAAGCATGAATAGAGGCCGGAAAAGAAACTATGAAAAGCGAACGGTACACGCAAAGACTTGATGCGTAAAGTTTCATCTGGGCTTAACTGGAAAGGTACTTGCGTAAGTCTCCATGTAGCTTCAGTCATTGTACCATCTCCAGCCTATCCAGGTCGCAATTGGAACGTCATCGATATCTCACAGCAGTGAGCAGACGCCACTCCCATCATTCCGTGTCATAATAGTATTGATGGGGACTCTGGATGGGGATCCTCGATTTCGCCTACTAACGCCGACATAACCTGGAAGCCAGACGATGAGAAGAAAGAGCACCGACGCACGAAGACGAGAAGCAAGCCGGCTGGTGGCGCGACGAGACGGGAGCGAGGCGAGAGGTGAGACTCACTCTTTCAGTAGCATAGACGCGGTGTATGAAGATTGAGCTGCCCTGGGGTTGGAGGCCCGACCGCCTGGTCCTTGGTGGCGGAAGTCGGATTGTCGTCATTCTCGCTCAACTACTTGGGGCGGCAACTGTTGGTATGTAAACGAGCCAAGTCTTCAATGCGGCAATTGGCGCGGATAAGAATGCGACGTTCAACGATGGAAACATCGATCGTTCTGTGGAAGTTCGAAACATGCTCGGATCTTTCAAGTCATTCCATACTATGTTAGGAGTGGCGCAATCGTTGCTGCTATTCTGGTGAGGTAGTTTAGACAGGTTAGCCACGTAGGAACAACAGATGGTGCCCCTGTCACTGCGGGCACTGTCAAACCAAGCCTCTTGGTGTGATTCAAACTTCGTGTCGACTTCACAGATACCAATATCATGACGCAAACTGCATCCTCGTGCCAGAGTATGATAAGTTCCACAGCGATCGCTGCACCGCTTCTCCATGGTGGCTGTTTCGGAACGATGTGGTCATTCTAACAGGCTGTAGCTGAGCCCTCCCATAATTGCTGCTAATACCTGAGCCCGCCACCAGAAACCTACCTTGTCTGACATGTCTTCCCAAAGATGTTCGTCTCGAACGATCACACGAGGATAACAAAGTACCTTTGGCGGGATGCTCTCTTTTTCACCTTTGGGCTGCCTGGATGACGACGCGCTACAGTTCCCGAACTCAGTCTGCCGAGTCGAAAGTGACGGTGAGCCCCAGGCGCCGTGGCGCACGCAAAGCTGCACAACCCACAATCGCCAACCTTGAAGTCGAGCAACTGCACTGGGTCATTGGACAACACGCGGAACACCAGGAAAGAGGCGCGTTAGGAGTGGGTGTTGTAACACTAGAACACACGGTTCTCGAAGGGCAGTATGCTCTAGCCGGCCTTTCAACAGCGACAGCCAAGTCGTCGGAAACGCCGAATCCGCTCCCTAGTTCAAGCAGGCTCAAGAATTGGTGATGGTGAAGCAGGAACATGGTCACAGTAAGACAATGTAATTCGAGGCTTGCAGATACAGGCTACCATGGCTCATGATGACAAGCAGGAGAATGTTTGACTACATGGCTGCTGTGTTGAACAGCAAAGTTTTCATAGAATTGACCAGAGATTCCCCATGGTACAAGTATACATAGTCCCTAGCCTGTTCCGTCTTTTTCAAGCCCTTCAACCAATCCTCAATACAATGTTTAGCGCCACCTGGAAGCTAAGCAACAAGCTTCACTGCTCTCTTCTTCTTCGGCGCTCCATTCCCGGCGTCGCATGAGTTCCTGTTCGTGTGACCGGGATTGCAATACCAATGCCAGTTGTCATCCTCATAGTTGATTGTGCCGTAATCGTCCCAGAATCCGCCAAGCTGGTTGGTATGTTGATACGGAAGCTGATCGCAATGACCACCAGCAATGATTGCAGTGCCACCTACGGTGTTGCTGGCTTTGGAGAGGGCTTCTGCTTCAGTATTGCCCTTACCGACTTGGCAGTACGGGGAACTGAATATCGCAGTGCCGACAGCTGAGCCGTAATCCATGTTTACGGCAGCTAGCCAGAGGGCGTGGGTACCAGTCGTTGCGCAAATGGCTAGGAGGAGTGATTTGACCATGTTGGGTATGCTACGATAGGTATCAGTACATATTGGTCCCAGGCTATCGTTTTGACTTACTAGAACAAGGCACTCAGATATGCGACAGCGATAGATGGAAGTGGAACAGCCGTATCGAATTTTGAGGGCTCTGATAAGCTTGGGGACAGCGACTTAGTGGACTTATATATGCTTTTGCATCACCTTCTGACAGTTGCCTTGCAGATATACGAGATCCCGGCAAAGGACCGATTTCATCCTCTAGCTGAGGCCGATCCCTAGTCGAACTACGTTGCGGCACTTAGGACACGGCTTTACAAGAGGAAAAGCGTTTATCAATTCCTCGTATCACATAGTGTAAGCCGTGACTTTCAAACTGGCACGACTAGTGAAGGAGACATCCATGTAAAGTCAGCAGACAAGGCGATGTTACCACACCTGCTGCCTACGGCTAAATATTACTCGGAAGTGTTACGGCTTTACTTCAAGTCTCAACTGCTAGGTTCTGACCATGTACGCACATGCATCGGAGGGGTTTGCAGGAATCTTGCCCTGCTCAACCCTACTTCAGAACATGATTCCCGACATTTGACCTTCATGAACGCCATCGTGTATAATAATCTGCCGGCTTCCAAAATCCAAGCTTGCGAGACTCACGGTTTATCGACGCACAGTTGATCACCACGATATCTCCTAAAAGTTTCATACATACAAATCACTACGGTGATTAAGAAAGCCAACCATTTTTTTGTTTCCCACTAACTACGAAGAGAAAAGTACACCGCCCTTGACTCCTCCTTTTTTTGAAGCTTCTTATTTATCGAATCCTTTTGCGCCTTTTTTGAATTTGGAGTGAATTCATTACGGTTCACTACTAGCGATGAGTACACAGTCGATGTATTAACATGTCATACGCCTTACATTCGCAGATTAAGTCCTTTGCCGTCCCCTTCGTCGTGGTTAATATCGATTTCGTAGACGATATGTCTGAATACGGAGCAGCTGAGGCTGTATTTTGTGTCGTAACTGAGGTGCCGGTCGCGGTGTCGCTATCTGATGAACCTCTGCCTGAGTATGCCATCTCGGTGTAGGAATAACAGCTCCAGAGATAAAATTGGAAAATCCAGTCAGTTCGACAGTTGGAAAACGATGAAAGGTAGAAGATATCGCTCCTTTGTTGACGAGGTTCTCTTTTAAATGAACCATCTCGTCAGATCACATCAAGCATATTCACATCCTGTTTCTTACGCCTCGCGTCTGATGATGCTACATTACGATGTTCGGTCCGTTCAGTTGCTCAAGCACTAGAGCAGCTCCCGTTCTCTGCCACATCAAGTGGCGTCAAGCGGCCTGGTGTCACTGCCTGGGTACGTTGCCTGTACACAGCCTCGTGCTGAGTTCACTTACCGCCAATATCATATCATGACATCGCACTATTATACTATAGCCCGAAGCGTACAAATTCGACATGACTCGTCAGTACATGAGCCTAAGTACGTCCGTGCAATTGTCATGGGCTGGCTTGTCAGGTATTTGAGCAGCTTATCCGACTGTATCCCTGAAACAGGTTGGGGTGATAACATTGCCTTTGGCACAGCCATGGTTGCCCAATTTTGCGGACGCTGATGTCAGAGCGGTCTCTTGTCATGATCTCTTCATATGAACAAGCGGCAGCACTTGGCTCTTTGATCCCTATTGAAATTAACCTTCCCCATTCGATTGAATCCCTAGAAGAGCCACAGACGACAACTACCAAAGGAATGGAAAATTCTCTCTGTCATGGCTCTAGCATTTTTAATATTCACTATACACTGATACCTGCTTGAAAGGGCAGCAAACTGTGTCGGTCCGGCATACTCATCTTTAGTTCAATGACCTAATGAACCCTGAGGGTTTAACGCTTTTCATGTTACACCGATCATCTGCGCTAGAACCAAGAGGCGAGTTTGATCTTGACCACCTCAGACTTTCAGACAGACGATGCGTTCGTTTGTATTCGTATACTTCTATCAAGGGACATCAGAGGCTTCTGATGCTGAGGTTTTCGGTGTCTTTCGCAAATATTCATGAGCTCAGCGACATTTCCATAGCATGCAGCCGTCTCTCTTCGCACGTAGGTTGTGGCTGTAGTAGGAAGCTCCCCATGTTTCGTCAGAAATGAAGTCATCCAATTGAAGTTGCTCGTATTCCCGAACTCGGGTCTTGTTGATCACGATCTCGGAGCGTCCGACTACTAACGTCCGGTTCGGCCCGATTTGGACAAGTGAAGGTTTGATCTACTGCAAGAAGCCGCGTGAGGCACGCTTCAACCCACAATTCTGTAGCCATGCCTCGGCATATGTGTATACGTACTGTATTAGCAAGAAAATTATGGGAGATCGTTTATTCCTTGTGGTGATCTGACAGAAGGTTGAACCATGTACGGCATGTACTTCTAGCGCATCAATTCGGTGTCGGGGCTTCAAATAGCCCCGGCTAGGCCCAGAAAGGAAAACAGACGCGTCTCGATTGTTTGATCGTCATTGCCGCTGTATGTTTGGATGCCACTGTAAGCAAATACACAGGACGCCTAGTCTAACATCCGTTCTATCGATTGCCCGCTAGTACGGACTCTTCATTCCGTTATGAATCGAGTTAGGCTGCAGTTGCAGGACGACTATGCAGTGACCTCCGATGTTCAAGCTTCAGCTTAAGCCTCGTGTAGCTTGGTGCACCTCATATGCTCAGTTAGTGCCTACATCGATCGAGCACCAGGAGAAGGTACAGAATATCGAGGTCACTGCGGGAATAGTCACGTCGACGTATGAGTTGTATAAAGACAGGCTGGAGCGCTGCAGACAGATTATCAACACTCACAAGCTTCAACAAACAGTTCCAAGCAAATCCAACATGCCATCACCTGCTTATCCCATCGCTCTTGTGGCTCTCATCGGGTCCGCGCTCGCAGACATCCACAATGTCAATCTTCCCTCAAACTTCTTCGATGGTCCCCAGAGCGGTATTGGATCATGGTACCGTGCCTCTGCCGGCCAAGATTCGACGAACGGAAAGAGTTGGTGTGCGTACACGTACTATAACAGCGATCCTGTCTTTGCTGTGGTAGGTACCAATCCTTTTCGAGATCTCTGGAATGGCCACTAATGAGAATGATGCTCAGTCCCTAAAGGCGATGGGCGGCAAGACTTACAATTCTGACCCAGCGGGTTGGAAGGCAGCAACGCAAAAGTACTGTGGTCTCGAGGCGACTGTTAAGGATCCCAAGACTGGCAAGCAAATGCTTATGTACATTGGCGACGCATTTGATGATAAATACGTTCTTGTAAGTTACCTCCTGGAGTTGTATTTCGCAAGATCACTTAGTAACACGGTTCATCAGTCGCCGGGGTCTATCGACATCATGATCGACGCCTTCTCAAACATCCACGGAAATCCGAACGGTAACAAAAACGACGTCATCAAGGGTGTGGAATGGCAGCTTACAGGTCGCGTCAACACGAAGTATGCTGCGGATGGCGCCGTATGGCCAACAAAAGCTGGAGCAGCACCAACGACTCCTGCTCCTACAAAGATGCAGACTTCTGCTTCACCAAAACCGTCTGCCTCTCCATCTGGTGGTGGCGAAGGTGCGAAGTGCAGTGATTCGACGAACTGTAACTCTGGCATGACATGCTTAGCACCTGATGGTGTCTGCAGCACAGCCGCTTGTAATTGGGGGTTAGAACTTTCCTCCTTTGGCTTTTTAACTCCACTGACCAAGGTTTTCAGATGTACCGGATGGACCTGTAGTGCTTCCTCGCCGTGCCAGAAACCAAACACGTGTGTGAGCGGCGCCTGCGCAGCTCCGACCACCGGCGCTGTAGGTGCGAAATGCAGTAATGCGACAGATTGCAACTCTGGCTTGACATGCTTGAGCCCCGATGGCGTTTGTAGCAGCGCGCAGTGCAACTGGGGGTGAGCGGTCTTTACGTGTGCGATGAGTCATGGGAAACTGACTTGAATCTACAGATGCACTGGATGGACATGTGATGCCTCGACGCCATGTCAGAAGCCGAACACTTGCGTAAGCGGCAGCTGCGCGGCAGCTTGAAAGATGCTCATAACGTGATTTGGCCCACCTGGACAAACTTCCAACGATCAGGGCTGTTCTATGAAGGTACCTTGTATGGATGGATATGGACCTGTTGGAAGATTGTAGAGATGGGAAGACATGGCAGAGCTGGAACGGTGGTAGCTCCGGCCCTTCTTTGCAGGTTGCTGTGCCATTGAGAGATGCATTGAGAGCATACAAATACTTAGGTACATGTGAAATACTACTGCCATATCCCGTTGACGACAACATTCATGAAAACTCACCGCATCTTAAGCATCACGATATAAATACACATCAAATTTACCTTGAGAGGGTCTCGACTTTAAAATGTCCGAATGCGGAAGGTCGGAGATGCAGGTCCGTCTACACGACCAATCAGGTGTAGCGAACTTCAGGAACCGAGGACCGGGAGATCCACTCACGGCCCGTTCACGAAAGGATTTCTGTAAGGCGTACCGTTTATCTGGGGGCATGCTCGTATAGCTCCTTGGTGCCTAGAGCTGTTTTTCCGTGCAGCTGTAGAAATAAGACAGTTCGCCCCGTGCGCATTTCAGCACACCTCAGTCACAACAACCTAAATCAATCAACTATGCGTTTCTCCTTCCTCGCACTTGCGCTTGCCGGCTCGACCGCCCTGACAGCCGCAGAGAGCGAATACGACCGCCCCGATCTTACGGACACATACTGGGACGTGAGCATTTCTACACAGTCCGGTCGCCCAGGCTATAGCATCCGCGACTTCAACGCTACTTTCCATTCATCGATCACCAATGCCATTGAGGGAAAGTGTCACTACAGTTTCGTGCCGCAGGGTACCAGTGCGCCTGCCGAGACGGACGAGTGTAGCACGGGATTGAAGTATGAATGGGACTGTAAGTCATCTTGATTCTTCTATCTACCGGACATCCACGTCTGTGAAAATCATTGCAAGGGGCTGATTTGGTGCGATAGACACGAACGTTACGTTCCTAGAGCAAACCCTCGTTCTGGGTAACGACACTTTTTGGATTTACGGACTGTCAACCAAGATAGAGACGACTCGCAGGAGCGATGGCATGAGCAGCACGACCAAGGGTAATGTCAGGGTGGATATCAGTCATTATTGTATCAAACCCGGATCGGGGACCTACAGTGGGTGTGGATACGCTAACGGCTGCGTATCCACGAAATGCAACAACGAGAAGACAGGTGCTGCTTAGGCACAGACTAAACAACCTGAGTTAGCAAAGAAAGCATTATTTCTGCGTATCCACTTTTTCTCCGTGGAGCACAAGAAGCTTGATAAAGACCTTCAAGAATACCATTACTTCGCAGAAAGACCCAGAAGTTAGCCATTATGACAATATAAGAGATGTGCTGAATCTCCCTGCATACATCAACAGATGGCCTATAAATGTACCTTTGTTCACAGTTAGCAAGCTACTGTTGACGTAGTAATATGCGTTCGCAATTGCGTATCAAGAGGCATTTTCTGTAGAAGCAAAATAGCGCTCCGTAAGCCCTCTAGTGTATTGCATAAGGTCTTCCTCCTGACGTAATCTTACTTTACGCTGTTTGACATTCTTCTACATGGTATTTGCCCAGGTTGGTTTAGCTTTCGCTTTCAGCTCATGAGATTGGAGCCATACCTAGCTGTAGTGCAGCCGATCTTATGCAGGTGTTAGAGTGGTCTGCCACAGAGCCACTAGCGATGTGTTCTTGCAAACACGTACACACTAATGACCACCTCTTCATCTCTATTTTCCGCATAGCATCTCTGTGCTGAGAAAACATAGGCAGCTGCCGTTTATGTTGTATGTGGGAGACTCCGCACAGTTGAAGCACTGACATACTGAGCTCTGAACACTCAAGGCGTCGGCTCAAAAGCGCACGCAATAATGCGGAACACGCGGTCGCCGACAACGGAGTCGGCTTGAGCGGAACGGACAGGACGCAAAGCGCAGAGGATTCAGAAAAGCGTTGTTAGCAAAGAATAGCATGGCGATGAAACTCTTGCTCAGAATGTACCACGTCAAATAATTTGATGCACCGCAGCCGACTCATCGTGAGCAGTTTCTTTGTTATACCGCCGCAGGGAGCGACATCACACTAATGTCGCATCCGCACACTGCGAAAGCATGGCAACTATCGGCGATACCATGGACTTTAACAGTAGCTCCGGTAAGACATACAATGTTGCTCCAAGAACGTTTGGCAACGGAACAAACGTAAAGATAGCATGACTAAATTTAGTACCAGAATCACCTGGCAACTTTGCTACACTTTGTCGTTTGTCACCATACAGCACAATGCGGGCCACGAAGGATAATGTCTTCCAAATCGCAACGTCATTCCTTGAAGTGTTCGACAAACTCTCAGCAGAGGCACATCTCTCCCTGCGTGCGGATATTTGTATGCACATCTTCGCCCCAACCTCCCTCGGTGTGCCAACCAAGAGCAATGAGGAATTTGCATCTCACCTGACCAACAACATCATTTTCCATCTTCGGTAAGATCACCGGTTCTGCGTACATCAAGAGCGGAAAAAGAAACGGCGCACTTCGTACACACATTATTTCTCTCCTCAACCCTACTCGGGGGTTGGGTAAATTGAATGCATAACACATGTAAACCAAGCCCAGAAAACAAAATATTGTTCATGGCTGAAGAAAAAGAAAGCGTTCGACTAAGCTCGTGCGGTACGGCCCGATAGCGGGCACCAATAAGTGGCTTGTCTGCTGAGTTCGCCTCACGACGACAATTCTAGAGCCACGATACCAGGGCTGCGAGTGTTTATTTGACAATGCGCAATAACTTATGATGGGCCAGTGTTTGGGTTCTACAATCTGCGTTCACTGCAGCAATAGGCAACTATCGAGAGCTGTAATCTGCTGTCACATTGTTTTTCTTTTTGCGCAATGCAAGCTCAAGGTATGCAGTATGCAGCTATACAATGCAGCAGTCGAGGTAGTCATATGATTTCCGTATGCGGAATATGGGCATCCCCAACAACATGGACGTAGTACGTTCTATCTGCAGCTTCAACTATAAGACGAGACCCTCACCACGCGATAATCTTCCTAAAATCACGGCACATCTCAAGCTCCTTCCTCAACACAAAACTTCTATCAAGTCTTTTAAGAACAAGATTACTTCGTCGGAATGACTGCAAAAGACACCATGATCGCGCAGACCGGAGGCGAGATCCTCGCAGAAGAGCAGGTAGCCCGCCTCACGAAGCTACCAGCACCACAGCAGGCCTACGATGCTCTTAACAGCGGCATCGTCAAGGTCTTCACTAGTGCAAATTTCGGTGGCGCCAGTTTCATGATTGATACTGAAGACTATGCGAGTGGCCAGCGTCACAGACTCTTGGCGGAGAATTATAACAAGGCTTGTTGGGTTACGTGGAACCTACCAGTGGGTACGGTGATGACAATGATGGAACTCGACAAAACCCCTGAGAAGAACCAGCCCATCGCCGATCCTCGTGGTTGTGGTCGTACCGTTGAGTTGGTAGGTACTGGCAAGACGGAAGCAGTTGACCTGACCCGAGTATATATGACTACTTGCGTGAAAGGATTCTGGTGGCGAGAAGTGGATCTATCGATGGGGGGCCGTCGAGATTTTTGACGGGAATGGGAGTCAGATCGTCGAAACCCAAGCATACCACCGTCAAACTATATTCTTGAGCGAGTGGGCACCAGGGGTTATCTATTCATTCAACTTCTGGTGGATGAACGACAAAATCAGTTGTGCGCGTTGGCACACACTTCTTAACCGACAAACGGTTTCCCTTTTCGAGCATGCCAATGGCACTGGGTTCGAGTTCAACAACATCCGGGCATGGGGAAAAACCAAGGAGGCCTATGACCTCCATGTTATCAACCACGGCAACAATCTCAGTGCATTTTCATGGACCTCAGTCAACCCTGTCAAGGAAAAGATCGAACCTGTTACCATCAGCCAAGATCGCTCAACCTGCTCAATGCTTTACAACGAAAAGAAAGGCGTGAACTACAGCTATCAGGCGCAGCCAAGCAAAATCTCGCTCATGGAACCTGCAACTCAAGAACTCACGATCGAAAGCACCGATGCAACAGCAACCTCGGTCAAAGCCTGTCTACAAAGCACTGTTGCATCTGGCTGCGAGAAGAGAGAATCTTACGACGTCCAATGGACACTTTCCGTCTCACACTCCTGGGACGACGCATCCGCCAAAAGCAAAACATACACACACACCGAAGCCCTGACCTTCGAAGAGCCACTCTACGTCTCTCCACGTTCTAGGTACATCGCCAAGCTCTACGTGCCTGTCCGAAAGCTGGTCCACGAGGAGTACAAGACCACGGCCACGCGCTGGTACAAACAGCGCCTAGCGGGTTGTGTGCAAGATGGCAGCCTGTACAAGCGAGATGAGACGGTGACGGTGCATGTGAATGGGACGCTGCACTATTCGCCTGAGATGATCTGGCAAGAGACTAAGTTCAATGGGTAGAGTTTGGGTGGCGCGATGGCGAGGGCGAGAGGGAACGATGTAGTGAACACATGTCAACGGTTTAAGTCCAGTTCTCAAAGGAATGGGATACAGACGAGGCTACGCTGTAACACCTTCAATACAATCTTCGGTGCTGAAACTACATGTGCTTGTGCTACCTTGGTGTTGGTTCTTTGGTCTGTTTGCTGAGCAGCGAGTAAATAGCGCTTAACAGATGGGCAAGGTAAGAATACTTAGGCATAGGCAAGGCGGCGCACCACTATCCTTTGCACTCTCTACGCTACCTATCACCAATCTCCTCATCTCCATCGCATTTGCATCTTCTATCGCTAAGGCGATTCGCACAGTCACAAAGCCGCCATTTTGATATTATAAAGCGTTATATAGGGCCAGACATTCTGATCCTTTTTGAGGTCCTCAAAGGCTCTATCTAGCTCACAGAATCAATCTCAGTATTGCACAGAACATCGCCATCGTGCGCGCAAGCGCAGACACCGAAGATGAACAAGAGGCAACACCGCGGGGACCATCCCCAGAGACGGTCGCCGAAGTGAGCGCACCAGCAATCACCGTCTCACACACGCTTGTTGTTCCAATTGGGCTGCAGGAACCGCGGATTGGAGCTCCTGCTGTTGGCGTTACTGGAGGCGTGATCAGGGCTTCGGTTGGCGTTGGCAGGTCGCTGCTCAGAGAGAGAAATATAGCCTGCGCAGCGTATGTGTCGGCTGCTTGGCACGTGAGTGTGGTCGTCGATGATACTGTTGTACGCACTCGTGTTGTCGTTTCCGTCAAGAATGCAGATTGGAGTGTATAGTAATAGTAGTAGTACGTCCTGGTACATACGTTAGCGACTGGTAGTATTTCTTGCATATAAGGCGCTCAGAAAAATAATCAGACTGACCAATAGACAGTTGTCGAATAGTAATCCAAATCCGTTTCTACACGCGCAGTGGTCGTTGCTGGGAGCTGCGGTGCCGTAGTCTTCCTTGTAGCAGGTGCAACTGTTTGCGCCGCAGTCGTCGTCCGCGTCAACGTTGCACCATCACTGAGATACACGTCGCATGATGAGTCTGTACAACAAGTGAGGCCAATGTATACATTGTTACGGTACCGTTCGTAGCATCGGAAAGGTGCCGGGCAATAGCCCTCAGTTCCACAACAAGCATCATTTTCAGCAATGCAGCCCGTATCTGAGCAACACTTGGGCTTGTCTGCATTGCACTGGCCCCTTCCACAGCAATCGCCTCCCGTGCTTTGACCGCAAGCTCCACTTCGGCAGCATCTGTTAGTGTTCGGTCCGCAGCATTGGCTAGTATCTAAGCATCCTTGTGAGCGGAGTAGGATAGAGGGGAGCAGCCAGCTTACCGGAACACCATCTGTTTGGCGAGTAACAGGTACCTTGCCTTTTGTTCAGGAGGGGCTGGGACCACTCCAGATCTGCAAATGTCGCGTTGGCTAGCTCAGGCAGCCTGGGTGGTTCTGGAAATGTGAACTGCCCTTCAATACTGACGGCAGCACTCAGTGAAGTGCATATCACGATCTTCCAAATCCACATCCTGTTTGTACCTTGAAAACTGTTGAGGGGATCGTCAGGCAAAATTGTTGTACACTGCCGATAATTGTACAGGGCGACGGCAAGAGACTTCTTATATCACGCAGAACAGAAGACTTGATGGCTGGGCTGAATGATGGGCTGAATGATGGGCTGAATGATAGGCCACGAGCGATCTGCAGCGCCATGTCCTAGTGCGAGACAGAGGAGTGGCCGTGCGAATCAGAGCTGCTGTAGAATTGAAAGTTAAGTTAAGGCCTCAAAGCCTCGGACGCCGTGCTCGGTCCCAAAGGCCCAAAGGCGGGCCATGACTTTCCGTGGCGCGAAACCAAAATGAGGGGATTCACATGCTCATCTTGGCAGTCTTGGTTGGCGCCTTGGTATTAGTATTGTAGCACCGATGGTTGAACGCGAGTAGGAAAGGAGCACCTACATAATACGAACATGATCGTTTCCTATCAGTTGTAGCATTGCGAATGGTTTCATCGTTCAGGCAATGTAGCTCAGCACACGGGCATCTGGCAACGCATGCTTTAAGACTGAGGTGGCCTGATGTTCTTACCTTTTCTAACATAGGCTGCAGGTGTGAGCTGAGTGCATAGCATGGCCTCCACCAGCCTCTTGCTCACACCAATCTGATATCAAAAAATAAAGTACTGAGCCGCTCAGTCGCAAGCCCCATCAGATTATTGCTGTAGGCTAGTGCACCTGATTACATTTTGTCTGCCACTAACAGGCATAGCGGCCAATCCGTACCTGCTATAGGTTTGTGTCAGCATCAACTATGACTAGCAAGTACCCTCTTGTATCACGCCAAGCTACGTGCTTAAGCGAGCGGGACCTGGCTAGTGAGATAACTACGAGCAGGCACAGTGCTTGGTGTTGTTCAGCCGCACAATCCATCTGCCTCATTTACAACCTGTAACCGGTGCGGCTCGGCTATCATCCCTGCTGTAGTAGTGATGTTGAGCATCAAATCATCCCTAATACCGGTCGCCTCTCTTCTGGCCACAAAACCAAAGGTTTAATTAACATAAGAAACGATTATCGTTACAATCTCTTACGTCGCAGCCACCTACATCTAATACATCGACACAAGAACTACTCCCTTGTGGGATCGTAATTTTCAGTAACTCGCCATAGCACACTATAAGAACCTAAAGGATTGAGTAACTATTACAGCTAAAACGTGAATATCAAAAGTATGTGCAACCTCCGGTAGTGCTAGTGTATCCTGATTTTATTCCCTGAGACCGTAGCAGAACAGCTATCAAGACGAAGCGTTTTTGTGTACTAGTGTACGCCACCACCAATATCAGCATTTGGAGCCAGCTTGCGCAAACACATGCCTAACATCTGGCACCTATCTACCCGTCATATTAGGAGCCTCTCCCAGACCCGTGACCACGCGTTGATTAGAGTCACGCATGTTACGGGTCTGATCTTTCCATTCAGGTTCCCCAGTATCCACTCCCGGAGAGACATTACTTGTTACTTTGCGTCTCTTACGAACAACCAAAGCGAGCCAGAAGACCAGACCGAAGACTGCTGCTCCACCTACAACTGCCCCGACGCCTATGCCTGCTTTGGCGCCTGTAGATAGACCACTCGTGGGAGCTGTGGTCGGACTTGGTCCCTGCGTCGAGCGGGGTAATTCGGAAATTGCTGTCACGCTGGTCAGTGGTGCGCTGGTCGTTCCTGGAGATGAGCTAGCCGATGCGGTCGGTATAGCAGAAGGTGTCGATGTCGAAAGTGGCGTTAATGTTGCGGCCAGTACTGACACTTCATAACAGTCGCAGATGTTGTCAGGGCAGGCCATGACCTTTCCAGTCTCTTCGCAACACCTATTGATGCTGTCAACACGATTTCAGTTCTGGAAGTTTGGGATCAGACGTTGTCCTACTCCTTCCGATCAGGAGTATGTGATTCGTGCATAGAACTTACGGGGGTGTATCTTGAAGTGCGATAGGATATCCATATTGCCACACCAAGGGACATTTCCAGTCTCCTTCACATTTGGTAGAAAAGGAGGTATTCAGATAACCTGCAGGGTAACCAAGACTACTGTCTAGGCCATAACAATGGGAACCCGTGGTATCATCGCAAGTGGCATATGCACACGTTTCTTTGACGTGAGTGCAATCTGCTTTCCCTTCTCGTGCGAACGTCAGGCCGCTGTCACAGTCCGCCATCGAAGAAAATCGAGTTGCAAAACTATGTGTCCGCACACGGTTGATTGGTAGATCGAAATCTCGACTTGAAACACAGGCATGCAACTCGCGGACGGTGTGGAAAGGAAGTGGGATGAGAACGGGAAGACTGGACTTGTGGATGTGAAAGCTGAGGGGGGTATAAAGCTTAGAGACGACACTATAAGCGAGTGGCGTCGAAGTAGTGACCAAAGCCGAGTGGAAACACCCAGCCGCGTATCGTCCTCGGACGAGAAGGTCCTGGCATGGTGTAACAATGGGGCCAAAACTCTAACCATATGCGGTCTATTTTCGATAAAATGGCTTTCAAATGCAGGCTGGCATTGGTGGCATAGCCTGGAGTGAGCATCATGCCCAAGGCTGAGTCGACGCATCAGCAGACAAGGCTGTGGATCTTGACCAGTCTAGCTACGTGCTATACGCTCTATTATGTTCCAGCGTTATTACCGAGATGTCATGCGCTTCGGCAATAATTTTTGCGCATGTAAGAAGTTCGCTGTTGTTCCCAGGCTCAAGACAGGAGTCTCAAGATAGGTCTCCCGACACTCTGCTCGGAGCAGTGTGACGTATTACATAGGAGCTCGGTGACTATGTACATATATGAATGAAATCGAAGAAGATTTGCTCCATATGTTGCTAAGGACAGACAATAGCCCTGCTGCAGATTGTGCTCGCAGTCTAGTAAAGTGTTGGACAGATCAGTTGGCTGCGGCACTTAGTACCGGTGTCAATGTGAGCGCCAAGCATTCGACGCAGCCGCAACCTCGCCGGATACAGCAAAGTAACCTAGTCGTGAAGGTCTTCGATGAGTAAAGTCTCACTTCACACAAAGTAATCTCGATCGTTACAGACCGAACTCCAGAATGACGTGATCACTGGTGCCTTGATTACACCGATGAGTCTTCCCCTCCGCTTCCCCTCTCAAAGTCTGCTCCATCAAAAAGCTCATTTGAACATCACTTAGCAACTGACAGCGTTGCAGCTCAATGAGATCGCTCAAATGGCAATGAAAGCACATCACCATATCGTCGCGCAACGTTTGCTTCCGACTCAGCGCGCTCGTGCTGAAATTGCTCGTCGTCGTGGCTCCAGTACCTGTCCGCAGCACCGAAGGCGTGCGCAGCTCTGGTAAAAGCATGACTGCGAAGCCAGATATCAGCCATTTTCCTTCAGGATCGAAGCGGAGGATGAAGGCGTTGTTCGTATCGGTAACGCCGGAGAACACGCAGATCCAGTCATTTGGTCCTATCTCATATGATCCAGGGCCACCTCCGCAAGCAAGTCCAGTGATGCCGTTTGTGCCTACAAAGGATGTGTAGCGTGCGTGTCGTTGGTCGGTGTTTCGCCGAGCCAGCTTAGTCCTGGCATTCATGTATAGTGCCGCAGCGTCATCTGTTATACTTCGGGAGATGATGTTGCGTACGACTTTATTACCACCATCGCCAGGCCGTGGACTGGTAGTGGCCGCCCGCCCTGGCTCCTCAACCGCTCGGGAGAGACCGTCGATCACCCGATCCGCGGAAGCTTCGATCATCGCTTGTCGCACTTTCTCCGTTGGACCAGGGTTACCATACGCTACATGAGGGTCGGCGAAGCTGAGTAGTTGTGGCGTCCCTTCTCTAAGGACATATTCCCCAAGATCTTGGATATCTTGGGGTGAGAAGGATCTTGGATGCATGTTCGATCTGATCGTCGTCCAGCCTCCCGCCTTCCAAGATCCGGGCTGGAAAGCCTCGTCATGATCTACAAATTCACCAATATCAGTGATCGCACTGACGAAAGAAATGGATGCTGTGATGCAGGGCGTGGCAGCCAGGATATAGAGATGTGGCTGGAGATCTGGACACAGGTTCAGGATGTGCTGTGCGAGAGTCTCGCGTGAGACAGATAGCGCTTGCATGAGAAAGGCCAAGAAACGATAATCATCCGAATCTCCTCTTCTGGTATCTTCGTGACATTGGTTGCGAAGAACATCGACCAGAAGCTCGACGGGTTGTTTGTTATAGTCCGGCACGATCTTCTCCCCGCGACCAGTAGATGCCACTCCCAGAAACCCGTAGACCCTATCGTACACTACAGAGCTTTCCGAGGTTGCAAAGTCTTGTAGGAGATCGCGCAGGCGAAACGTCGATTTCAAAGTCTTGCTGTTGCGGCGACCCAGCACGTCTCTTCTGTAGTTCTTCGTGCGTTTGAAGTCCTTCCGGTGTTTGAACAGTTTGTAGCCACGACTTGTGTAGATCAGATTTGTCGGAGAGGCCACCGGCGTTGATGTTAGGCCATTGCGCCAGATGGTTTCGACAGTCGCAGCATCTACCTGGAGGTCGCCACACCAGATGTCGACAGATTGCGCCAAAACGAACTCCTGAACGACCCAGACGCGGCTCCAGTAGGGCTTATTGAGCACATCTGCCAGAGCAGTATGAAACTCTTCGACTCTGAGAAGATCTGGATGGCGCGCAAGCATGAAAGCCAACTCTTCAGATCCCCGGGGAAGGCCGAGCCATACGATAACAGACTTCGCTCCAGTGTATACATCTCGCATGAGCGAAACTTGGTGGTTACGTTCCGGTATGTTATCTTGGTCGATTGCTATGGCATCAATCCATAAGGGTAGGGCTGTCGGTGGATCTTTCTCACAACACTGTCGGAGATACTGCTTCCTACGGTACTGCTGTATGAAGTTCCACAAACCCATCCCCACAGGAAATCTGGATCCTTGGATGTTAATATATTTCTTCTCGCCATCCTTTGGGTCCCACGTGTAGGAAAGCGCGATAAAGGCAGGTTTGTCGTCCAGGTCGGAAAGAGATAGAGTTGCCTGTATAGGCTCGTGATCTGGTGCTGGCAAGATCTCCAGAAGCCTGACACATTTCTTCGTTGGATCTAGGGGGGCATACTGTAGTAGGGGTAGCGCCCCCAGTGGGTCATCCTGGTCGGGTGTTGCCGGTGGGCTAGTGGGCGCGGTGCTCTTGCACCTTAACTTCTGTAGCTGAAATGGTCGAACAAAAGTCTTCTTCAATATGCTCTGCGTCGACCAGTCAGGTGCAGCCATGATGCCGTAGAATGCACAAGTGCGACGATGTAGTGACAAAAGACTCGGTGAAGCGCATCAGTAGTAAGGCTGAGACGGAGGTAGAACGTGGCGCAAGGAAACGTGGTTTATCCAAGCCATCGTTAAAAGTCGCACCCTTCACTGTGACTCGCCCAACGAGAAGGCAATAGGCGCTGTGTAGCGAATAAGCGACGATGTGGCTTGCGAACCGGTGTTCAGATGATGGGTGTCTGAGGCCAGAAGTTCGTCCTTCGAACGGGGACGAGATTATTCGGCTGCCTGGGTGACTAACCGTGGGGGCCAAAAGCCACTTTAGCCGCCAAAACTCCTTTCCTACTATGACATCATCTGGTGACAGTGTACTCGATCAGCTCGAAATACGTCGCCATTGTGAGTATGGCTTAATTACCATCTGCGAGGCTTGTTGTACGAACGTGCTGCGATGAGTGGTCGCTGTGGGCGGAATGTATTCCGAACCCGTGATTCCGCCTCGGCAACACCGTTACCTTCGCGCATCGCCCAACTGACCAGATTCCGTCTTCAATATCATCGCGATGTATACCTACAATCATAGTCTCGCCAATATTAACAGTCTGCTCTCAGAAGCAAGTCGACACAACATCGAGCATACACTCGACCCTACCATTCGGGATAGTAAAGCCAACACTAACTGGTCGCCCGCGCCCCCAGACCACACGCCTTCAGTCGTCTTTTTCCCTCACACTACACATGAGACGTCAGTCATCCTAAAAGCATGCAACGATAGATGCATAGCCGTGACACCCTTTTCCGGCGGTACGAGCTTCGGCGGCGCGCTTGCTGCTACCAAGGGAGGAGTGTGTATAAGCTTCGAGCGCATGAAGAGCATCATCGCAGTTCATGAAGATGATTTAGATGTTGTTGTACAGCCTGGCTTAGGATGGCTGGAAATGAACGAGAGTTTGAAAGAACGAGGATTATTCTTTCCTGTTGATCCTGCGCCGGGAGCCAAGATAGGAGGCATGGTATGTTCTAGTGTCGTTGTTTGATACGCTATCTTCTTCTATACGTTCACCGAAATGAGCTAGGACATTTTTTAACCGAAGAGAAGATAGCAATGTCTTGTTCCGGAACGAATGCCTACCACTACGGCACTATGAAAGAGAACGTAATATCTCTCACTTGCGTGCTTCCCTCCGGCAGCATCATAAATACGCATAACCGACCTCGGAAATCGTCCGCTGGATATGACCTCACACATCTCCTTATCGGATCAGAAGGTACGCTTGCGCTGGTGACGGAAGTTGTGCTGCGTCTCTCGCCCCTGCCGCGGAACCTTCACGTCGGACTAGCAAACTTCAGTACGTTCCAAGAAGGCGTTCGGGTCGTTGTCTCCCTGCAGAAATTAGGTCATCGACTCGAAGCGCTGGAGTTGGCCGACGGACCAACGATGCAAAGTGTCAATGTCTCAGGGCTGGCACCACAACGGACATTCAGAGAGGTGCCAACACTATTCTTCAAGGTTGCAGGTCCATCAATGCACATCGTACAAGAGCAAATTTCAACGATGAAAGAGCTGTGTCAAGCGCAAGGCGCGTCTAGTGTCGAGATCACGCAACAAGAAGATGAGATGAATATCATTTGGGGGGCGCGCAAATGCATGGGCACAGCTCTTCTCGCCATGAAGAAGAACCCCAAAGATATCTTCTTGCATAGTGACTGCGCAGTGCCAATTTCCAATCTTGCAAGCCTCGTCGCTGGAACGCAGGATCTTATCGCCCAGGCTTCAGCTGCCCATCAAGCATCTTGGTTCTGTGCCAACGTGGGCCACATCGGTGATGGCAATGTTCACTCTAGCATCGTGTGTCCACAGGAGCACTACGAGGTTGCGATGAGTGTGATCATGGAGATAACCAGGCTGGCACTAAGCCTAGAAGGAACAGTCACGGGAGAGCATGGGATTGGGCTTAAGTTGAGGGAAGCGTTGGTGGAAGAGGTAGGGGATGATGGTGTGACTATGATGAGAAGTATCAAGAGTGCGTTGGATCCGAAGGGGGTCTTGAATCCTGATAAAGTGTTTAAGATAGAGAAGGAAGGGAGCGCGCCGAAGCTTTGAGTCTTCCTGCTGGAGGGAAATGAAATAGTATGGCTAATTGGTAAATACATCAACTTTGGACCAGGCTTTCTCCGTATGCCGTAATTAAGTCGTCCTTATAGCTTTGCCATATCCTTGGGACTGCCAGTAGCGCCAACTGTCTTCAGCGCATTCCACAGCTTCAAACCCTCGTCTAGTCTTGTGTCTTCCTCGATAGCGACGTTTCCATCACTCTTCAATGTCCTCAGTTGCATCGCATGCTGCGTACCCCATTCCATCTTTTCGCCTTTGAGAAACCTGCTCAACGGTTCGTGAAATGTCTTCAACGCGATGTTCTTCTCTCCTTCACTCAGGTCGCTGCCATTGCCCCAGAACCATATCGCCATGTCGGAGCCGTGACTAGCACCAAAGTGCTCGGGCAGCTCTTTGTCAACACATTGCGCGCGCCACTCGATGCGGTATCTATGTATGAGATCTCCCGCGCCATGCTTTACCAACGTATTTACCATCCCACGCCGCAATGCGTGAATCTGCACGTCTGCGTAGATATGACCGAAAACTGCCTGCCAGCTCGTGTATTTGGACGGCAGCTTGCGATTGGGGAAATAATGCGACATCAACACCTTACAAGCTTCGCGAGGATAGTCCGCTTCAAGTCGGTAGAGCATGTTTTCATACCCTGGCTTAGGAGGTCGCCAAAGGCCGTAGACGAAATGCTCGTCGCTGCATTCCCCGATGATAAGCTTCACATTACGACACTTCATACGTTTCGCATAAACCCCGTTCGACAGCTCTTCCAGAAGACCATGCCGCACAAACGACCCATCTGTAACTGCACGGAACTGGTGATGCTTGATCTTGTTGCTTGCTTTTATAACCTGCCTTGGGCTTATTGCGCGGAGTCTCGCCAGTTTGTCAGCTGGCGAAGCGTCTGACTCGATATTCAAAGCCTTCAATAGCTCGTCGAACTGATCCTGCGCCTCAGTCAAAGTCTTTGGCTGCATACCTGGACCGTTCGACAGCATTAACGCTCTCTTTACGACTGCCTTCTCATCGGGCAATCCGAGATCATACGACAATTGATGAAAGACTGAGTGGCTCCCTGCCGAATACCCGCCGATAGTGATATTTGAGGCGTTACCGCCAAAGTAGCTGATATTCTCATACGTCCACTGCAGGGCCATGCGCTGATCCCAGAAGCCGAGATTGACGCCAAAATCTGGGCATGAGTCGACAACATCCTGGGAAGCGAGAAACCCGAATACATTCAGACGGTAGGCGGGAGCGACGACGACGCACTGGGTAGGGGATTCACTAAATAGCGCACGGAGGTCGAGACCGTTCGGGCTACCCCATTGCAGGAACCCGCCATCTAGTAATTTTTAGCGTTGATCTACCACGTGGTTGTGAACTTAATATCCCGCCACATTGTACGCCGAAGATGAACCAGAAAGTTGTTTGCCGTGAAACGGCGATGCCAAGCACTAAAAGGGTGACGGAGCTGAAAACGACCACTTACGAATCCAGAATAGTACCGGCCAACCTCCCCGAGTCAGTAATCATTGGTCGAGCTGAATGGAGTCAGGGACATACCTTCCGCTGGCGATTGACCAGCTGGAATCCAAATATTGATCTGTAAACAGTCTTCGTCCCATGCAAGTTCGTTAAGAACTTCCGTACTGGATCCTGGCTGTGGACAAAGCCCGCATCCGCCTGTATATCGCCCCGGGTTCGCTTTCGTTCCGTAGCGATAGCACGGTGGTAGTGAGCGTGGCTTCTGGAAGCGAAAGGGGCCAACAGGTGGGAGAGCGTATGGAACGCCTCCGAAGTAGTGGCACTGTGCTTGGCTGTCGCTATCAACGTAGGTGAGGCCTTCTACGAAACCTCGGAACTGGAGATCACGATGATATGGTTTGGATGGCTTCGACATGTTGATGAAGGAGGTTGCGCCAAGGTCGAGGTGGTGCGGATTAGGCTTGTTGATCAATGATCGATGTACCTCGGCTAGACGGGATGCCCCTGTTGCCGATCATCGAATGAAGATCATCATCGCGCGAACATGTCCGTTCACCATCGGTAAAGAACCACCCGTTCTTATTGCGTAACGGTGCAGCAGTGTAACAACGGCATGAGCGGTTGGGCGCTTCTTCAAGTCATTAATTCATTATCATTATTGTTTACGCTCGTGTATGACGAAGCGTTTAAGCCCAGTCGTGATGCCGCCGCGACGCTATGCTCTTACTATCAGCCGTCACTTCCACGTGCGTGGTCTTCATAATGGTGATCGGCTGATCAGAACCCTTCCTCTCGCTGACGACCTCACCGTCTGGTAGTATGCCAAGCTCACTATCATCATCCGTATCATGCTTCCGCTTCGATGACTTCCCACTCATCTGAGGGCCGGTGTTTTGGAGTGCGTAACTTTGCCTTGATCCCTTCCCAGATCCTCCGGTGATACTGGTAGGAAGGACCTTGCGGAGGAGGTTCTCAAACGTCTTGCGGAGCGGTGGAAGACACGCTGTGAAAACGCCAACGAAGACTTCGGCAATCGCGAAAACGCTGAGATTGACGGACGAATAGGTAGGGTCTGGTGATTCGTTCAAGGATTTCATCTCGTAGAGTTTCATCGCGGAGATGGTGGTTGTACTGGAGGACGTTAATGATGCATGTAAGAGGCGCAACGAAAAGAACACTTACATAAGACCACACAAGAACACTGCGCGAACACCCCAGATGGTTCGCTTGGGAAGCTGCACCCTCGCAATATAGATGAGAGGGGCCATGGTGTAGAGCAAGTCCGTCAATATGTTGACTGCAGCGCCAGAGTATCCAGATATGACTCGTGGTGTCGCACTCCAGCAAGAACCAGGTTTAGTTCCAGCGACATCCCAATGCTTCGTGTATGGTGTGCATTCGCCGAAAAGAATGACTGTAGGAAAGACAACGTTGACGAGGACATGGAGCACGACTGAAGCCCAGATGATGATCCGAAATGTTCTCGAAAAGTCCAACATGAAGATGTAGGCGCATACACTCAGCTTGACCAAGGCCATTCCGTACAGATTGAGCAGTTGACCCAGCCATAGGTAGTAAAGATATGTTTCCAGGTTCCGAGGCGTCAACATGGGATCCCAAATATGCCTACCACCCCCGACTTCTGCCATCCTGTAGCAGCATGCCGCACCGGCTACGGCTATGACCTGAAGATTGTTTAGTATAATCTCCGATACCCTTGCTTGATTACTGCCTTACCTGTCCCGTCCATAATAGATGGTCTGTCAGTAGGAGAAAGTTCCTATTCCTCCAATTAATGCCCAAGCGGAGCAAGACGAATACCGAGCTGAATATGATCAATGTGATGATGGGTATCTTGAGCGCATTGGACCGATCGTCCAAAGGAAGTCCTTCCGGGGTTGTTGGTACACCCATGGCGGGTGCGAGAATGCAAAAGAACGAGGCAAGGAAAGACGAAGAGTCCAATGGAGAGGGATGGGCGGGGTGTACTCCTCGGACTGAGCTCCTGCAGATCTCCCACGTTGTAATGTTATGCAGGTTCTTGTATATAGTACGGGACGGATGGACGTGCTGTTATATTTGCTCTGTTAATATCCTCCGGATGGCCAGCCAAATACAGCGGAGTGGCCGACCGATGTCAAACTCAGCCAATCCCGCAAAACGCAACGAGACATGCAGGAGGCGTCTAAAGCTTACCCACACGACAGTGCGCTGCGCACGAGCGCACATATAGCGGTAGGCCGTTAGTCAGGATGCGTTCCTGCTAAGGCACCATGGTCCAGATCGCCAGTGATCATCTTGCAGGAGGCTGCCGAGCCGCAAGGCTCTGTAGATCAAACGAATCCACTTTCCTGTTTCTCGGGGCTTGGAAACCATTCGTCGACGATCGGGAGAGTTGCCATGGCCACTTGCGATTTGACATTCTGGAAACAAACCCAACCAAACTATCGCATTACTGCCAATCCAGATTCCCGGCATTAAACCCATCGTAAGATATGGCCAAAGCGAGAAGCACGACATCTGTCACTCGGTTAGCCGTCGTGGGATGGACTAAAGCGCTGTGGTTCGCGCCGTTGCACGAGGTTTTAGCCTAGGCCGGCGTGGATATCTGGCCCTCAGCTTCGAAACGGCCTTGTCGCGTATTGTGGCTGCCGTCCGTAGCCGTCGCGGCGCAGTCAATCAGCACGCAATATATCCTGAGATCTACTGTGTTTCAGGGCAGAATGTACTCCCCACAAGATCTTTCTGAATCACAAAATTCGATAGGCAGATTCCCCTGGACAAGATGTTACCAATATCCAGGAGGCGGGCCGAGCGGGTATAACAGGCGCCGGCTCTGCTACTCGCTCTTCGGTACCGCAATGATTCTAGTAATCTCGCAATTGAGCAGGGTGCTACGCGACGGTTGCTGTGCAAAGGAGGTCAAAGAAGTTGGCAGCTTTGAACCGTCGTCAGGCTAGGGTTCAGGTGGGGAGACGAGCTATACCCGTTCAGGCCACCTCCGTGCGCCATCGATAATCTAGACAATTGACCTCCTGCTGCAAACTTAAACACTCGTACACCAAAGTCAAATATCGATCTAACGACAACTTGGCCGAGCGCGAGAGGAAGGTGACGACGTTGGAGATTTTTACCGAAGCACGGCTCGTCCAGCTTGACAGCCGTGGCCCCTGCATTCCCGTGGTTGCTTCGCCAGCACAACACCGTCGGTCTCGCCCTCTCTACCATGTGGACCACACGATAAAGCAGTGCACCATGCAGGGTAAAACTTCCTCACAATTACAGTCGCGTGGCGCACGTCACACGATCACGCACGTGGGTTTTGCAAACGGGGGCTGATAGTCGGCGCCACAGCAGCCATGCTGCCTTGATGTCGCTGCCCGCAGCTCTAGGGCTGTCGATAAGCGTTCTTTGTGACAGGATCATAAGCCATGCCGCTATCGGCCAACTACCAAAATATGCTTTCCACCAAGGTTTGCGGATCTCAGCTTTTGTTTCCGTGCGGCATCGACCCAGAATCCGAGCAACAGGCTATATCGAGCACTACAGGATCTGGTAGCTTTGAGCATTGCTTACTGGGAAAGGACATTATAAGCATACAACGGCTAGCGGGTAGCATTTGAGTGTTATGCTCTGCCGAAGAACGGGTCTTTGCAAGCGAAGAGGCTTTAATAGCTTCGCGTACTCAGGGGTGGCCCGACCGCGAACTGCGTGAGCTCCGAGGAAGGTATAAACCTTGGACGAACCTTAGTCTTTCATTTCGTCACTTTCCTGGACCCTCACCCTTGCGCCATTCATTTGGTGCTCATACACTCGTTCTGTCCATAATTTCTAATATGTCTCTCCTTCTTTCAGGCATCTTCTACCTGGCGTCTTTCGTGCCACGGATATTGGATCCATCCGCTCCAGGTAGTAACAGTGGCGAGCAAGATGTTGGAGGACAGTCTTTTGATTACATTGTTGTTGGTGGCGGTTTGACTGGCCTAACAGTTGCTAACCGCCTGAGTGAAGACTCGAGCCGTAAGTACAGGAATCGCATATGTGATGCACAGTCTAACACTGTCAGGCACCGTGCTTGTAATCGAGAATGGGTTCATGGTCGACGATGTAACCACACAAGTACCTAGCTTTGCAAACAGCATCAATTCGGCTCTAATGTACGACATCACGTCGGCATACGATACTAACACAGGCGGCACACACCCTGTCTGGGTAGGCAATGTCGTTGGGGGTGGGTCCGTGGTCAACGGTATGGCCTTTGACCGAGCATCCGCCGCCGACTATAATGCCTGGGAGCAACTTGGTAACAGTGGCTGGAACTTCAACAATTTGTTATATTACTTCAAGAAGTCGACCACCTTTACGCCACCCACGGCATCCAACGTCAAAGAATTTGGCACTACCTATGACGCCTCCTACTATGGGACGAACGGTCCAATTCAAGCATCCTTCCCCAACTTCGAGTACCAAGATACGAAGACCATTTGGGCAGCATACAAGCGTGAAGGTGTACCCTTGCCAAAGGAACATGCCTCTGGAAATGCGGTGGGCGCTTTCTGGATACCCACTGCCCTGCGGCCCAAGACGCAAACCCGATCTCACGCAAAGAACGAATACTACGATCCAGTCAAGACCCGCAGTAACCTCGTTCTCATCACCGGACAGAAGGTCAACGAGATCTTGTTCAACAAAGGCCTACTTACAGGATACACGGCAAACGGTGTTCAGTACAAATCTCGTTCAGATGGCTCGGTCAAGCAAGTCTACGCAAAACGCGAAGTCATCATGGCTGCCGGCTCAATCTTCACACCACAACTACTCCAACTCAGCGGCCTTGGTCCCAGAAACGTGCTCCAAGCTGCCGGCATCACCGTCAAGAAAGACATGCCCGCCGTCGGCGCAAACATGCAAGACCACCCAAACGCCAACATGGTCTTCGACCTCCAGAATCTTTCCTTCCCAAGCATCTACAGCGGAGCAAACCCCACATACAACGCCACGGTATGGTCAGAGTACGACACGAGCAGGAACGGCCCTCTCACCCAAGCGCACGGTAGCAGCTTAGCGTTCCTCAGCCTACAGACCGTCTCCGACAAGTGGTCTTCCATTGTTGCAAGCGTAAAGTCGCAAAATGCGCGCAGCTACCTCCCCTCCATCTACGACGACGCTTCTCTGCTCCGCGGCTTCACCAAGCAACGCGACCTCATCGCCAATCTACACGGCAGCGCCGATGCCGCCGTCGGCGAGTTCCCCATGGTCCCCTTTGGTCTCGCCATCAGCTCGCTGCAACGCCCCCTGTCCCGCGGCACCGTCACACTCGATCCCACCAACAAGTACGGCAACCCCGTCGTCCAATTCAACTCGCTGCAGAACCCCGTCGACCGCCAGATCATCGTTGAAATGGTGCGCTGGACGCGCAAGCACTGGGCGAATCCGGAGCTTAAGAAGTTTTCCCCCGTTGAACTTACACCCGGATCACAGGCACAGACTGACGACGAGATTATCAATGATCTTGTCAATCAGAAGGCGCTGCAGGCGTCTTTTGCACACATGTCGGGTAGCTGTGCGATGATGCCCGAGGCTTATGGGGGCTGTGTTGGTAGTGATCTCGCTGTGTATGGGGTCAAGGGCCTCAGTATCGTGGACGCTAGTATCATTCCTTTGATTCCGGCTACCCACTTGCAAGCCACCATGTACGCGGTTGCGGAAAAGGCGGCCGATTTGATCAAGGCCAGAAACGCTTTCAACATTCTCAACCCGTTTAGTCTCCCGACTGTCAGTCGCGCGCCTTCCATTCTTGGGGGGCTTGGAAATCTCTTTCGGTTTGGAGGGAGTAGGAGATTTTGAGTTTTAGTGTACCATGTAATACACCACACTTTCGTTGACTATATTTTGAGTTGAAACTTTATTGAACTGCAGTGATACATGTGCTTCTGTTTCTCTACATGACTTGCAATTATCCCATTGTTCTACGTCTTGCCGCCAAGGTTCTCGCAGCTAGTCATACCTTTATGATGTCCTTGCTTAAAAGCTGCAAGAGTGCCGACAAGGAAGCTCAAGTTCACGAGATGCAGGGCCAGTCACGTATGCGTGTTGCAGACTTACGGTCCCATAAGTCCACTCCACTCGTTGCAAGAGCCATCAACACCAGAGCGAGCATCTTCATCACGACTAAACAGAACAAGAGGAGCAAGACATGAAGTGCCCTTGATGCGAGACTTGTCGAGTTCTATCGCTCGTTCTCCACCCATTGAATCACAATATCCAATATCCAATAAGCCCTCTACCTCAATTCTCTTTTGAACAATACCTTAATCCCAATCCCCATCACTCCCCCAACTCGCCCAAAAACCACGGCGCATGCTCCCTCAAAAACGCCACCTAAACGCTCTTTTTCCTCTCCTCCTCCTTCCCAACCTCTAATCTCAACCACTCAGCCCACACGCCCAAATCATCGACAACATCCAGTGCACGCGCCAACCTCTTCACCTTGTCATCTTCCTCCTCAAGAACAACATTCTGTTCAGTAAGGATCAACTCGCCATTGGACTGGACATCGATTGCCAGCGCGAGGGGAGCGTGGTACGCAGAAGGAGGCGAAGGAGAAGAAGAAGAGGTAATAGAAGGTTCATCGAGATGAGACAAGAGGTCCGCTATCATCGCAGCGTCATCTGCGTCTTTACTCTTCTTCTTCTCCTTTTCAGATGAACATGCCGCCTTCGCCACAGCAGCACGCGGATGAGGAACATGCAGCGTGAACCGAGGCACAGGCGGCGCATAACTCAGATTAACATCGAGTTGCAACCTCGGCAAATCTCCTACCTGTGTAGCCTTGTGCGGTGGTGGTGGTGATGGTGTGAGCACATGGCCCAATTTATGCGTCGGCACTTGCTTCTTCGGAGCTTCGTAGAAACAAGTCTTGAGCAAGCTCGTAATATGCGCATACTGTCTCAACACAGGCAAAATCTCCACCAACTGTTTTGGATGGCTAAAAGGCAAAGCTTCCAGCTTGCGACTATACTCGAGCTTCGGTATGAAGAGGCTCATATCATGTCGTCTATCCTTTTCCCGTCCCCCACCATCCCGAACCAAAACAAGTCGGCTACTGCGAATCTCATGCGTCACATCACCCGTCGTGCCAGACATGCCCGGATCAAGCTCGCCCGGCCTGAGCGCCAGGCCTGCAAAAGTCTCGGGACGGAAGTCGTCGGTGCGCGGCTCGATGCCGACGAGCTGGTAGAGCTGCATGTGGACGGCAAAAGGGACGACAAGTGGAGGGTTGAACTTTGCGACGAAGCGGACGTTGGGAAGGCGGCCCGCTGCCGAGTCGAGGTTCATTGCGTCGTCGTCGTCGTCGGCAGTCTGCTCGGGGCCCGGTTCGAGGTACGTTGCCTTTGGGTCGAGCCAGTCTAGGGGTGAAGAGGACGAAGCGTGCATGAGTATGTTGTCTAGAGTGGCGTTCGCGTCGTGCGTATCCGTGGGTTTGTCGATGCGGTCGCTGATCCAGTCGTCGGATATGCGGATGGGTGTGTACAGAGTCGAGGGCGAAGCTTCGCACTCGATAGTCAGGGAGTACATCTTGTTGTGGCTCTTCTCTGCATCTTCGGGGTAGGCTGCAGATTCCACGGGCGGGTCGATTTGCATTCGACCGTCCATCCAATACTCGAGGCTCAAGCCCAGACAAGATCCGCCGTTGAGTCTGGGGCGGCCGCTCTTCTTGCACAGCACCTCGCGCTCAGCTTTGTGTGTCCTGAAGCGCTCGTCGGGCGTTCGATTTGCGAGCTCCGCCTTCTTCTCGTGTTCAAACAGCTTGCGCAAACTTGTATAAACCCCCGCAATCGCATTGTAGCAGCTAACCCCTCCGTTCTGCGCTGACCCCAATTTATCCAGCGTAAGCAGCTTTTCTAGGCTCTCCGAGAAGCGCTCGAGCGTGACATTGAGTTTGCTCTGGCCCGGCAGGGGTTTCAAGCTCCGGACGAGTATCTCAGACCCCGTTGTGCCGAAATGGAGATCGGGTCTCGATTCATCCAGGCCAGTTTGCAGATTGACGCTCGCAATCTCGTCGTTGTGGAACGTCACGTCGCAGAGGGCTTCGTCGCCAATGAGCAGACTCCAGGTGCCTGCCTCATCCATGTGTTTCTCGCACGGTATGCCCATCTTCTTGCACAGCTGCAGCAAACCCTCCTCACTGACCCTGCCAGGCTTCTTGCCAACGAGGTCGATGATGGCGCGTAGACGCCGGCTTCGTTCTGCCTCGTCGGCGCGACCCATGGCGCTCGCGCTCATGCCTAAGCTGGACATGCCGAGCCCGCTCATGGTGATGCCCATGCCGACGCCGCCCATGCCTGAGCTGGCCACGTCATTGAGCATGTTCAGCACCGCGGGCGAATCGTACGTCATCATGTTTACGTTGCCCGAGGGAGGTACGCTGCGCGGGGCGGGCGAGGAAAAGGCGTTGAGGTTTTTCGAGGGCGTTTCCTTGTCTTTGGGGGTTGGGGTTGCCATGGTGGGTGGGTGCGTGGTAGTTGGCGGTACAATGTCGTCGTGTGTATTATTTATACATTAAGGAACCCTCGAAGGGTTTGGCGGGCCGTAGATGTTATGCTATCATGTTGCGTTGGTGGAAAGGTAGAGCAAGGGTTCACCACAGAGGAAGCGCACCCATGGTTGTTAGTCTTGGCGTCGCAAGCAAGTCGCGACACCCGCGCCCGTCTTCAGCAACACCACAACTTGAAGCTTCTTCATGTAATTGTATTGAACAGAGTGCAAACATTGTCGCAGGGGGGTATCATATCGTCTTTCAGTCCAACTCCACAACCCCATCTTCCTCCCCAATCTCAATGATCCTGCTCTTCGCCCGAGTAGCCGCAGCCCTCCCCGTCGTCTTCTTCTTCGACCCGAGCACAAACTCGCCATCGTCGTTTGTGTATTCGATAGCCCTCACCCTCTTCTTTGGCCTCTGCCTCCCACCCTCCTCTTCTTCCTTTCTCCGCTCCGCCGCTTCAACCTCCCACCGCTTCCTTATTTCGTCTTCGACTTTATTTTCCATCGTGTGGAAAGATGCGTGGTGTCCACAGCCATCGCATTCGTACGACGATGATGACTATAGCGTAACATGACTATTAGCCATGTGTGCTGGCGGCATGTGCCATCAGGCGTGGCAATAATGCCTGTCGCCGTCGGCCAGAGACAATTTCATGACTCACCTTGAGCGGATGCAACATGAACCTCAAACACGGACATTTGGCCGCGAGGAGAGAAGGCTTATGGTTACATTGTCCGCGGGGAGGGACGTAGTTCATCTGCGTCCAGACGTTTGGTGCGGCGCTGTTGTTCGCCATGGTTGTGTTGGGATGCGCTGTGTACGTAGATCTAGACAGATGGGAAGCTACACTCATCAATGATCAGTGGTGATCGAAGCGCGAGAGCACATTCCATCACATAGTTGGCGCGCATGGGTGAAGGACAAGGTGCGCGCGCGCGAAAACACCAAATTGTCTCGAGTTCACGTGCTGCGCTGTGCGGTAACCGGATTGGGAAAACCCCGCTCCGCAAAACTCACCCAGGTAGGTGTGGCATCTGCGCGTCATAGTCGTGCGACAAGGCGAGTATGCGCCTTGAACACACTGAAAAATGCATCACAATCATAATCCTGGGCAGACTTCAAAGGTTGGTTCACTCTCGCACTGCACGGCACTGCTCACCAGGCGCAAATCATGCGATATGCTTAGTTTACTGCTTATTCGGTCCGCAGCAAATGCTTTGATTTGGAATTTCCCCTCTGTTTCCAATTGTAGTGCCAAATTCCGACCCAGAACGGATTGCCTGTGCCGGTAAGTCGATGTATCCTGCGTAAGCGGATAGCTTCCCTCTATCCGTGATGCGTCGGCGGGATGCCGTCGCTGAGGTAAGGCCTCGGCACTAGAGTAGTAGTGGTGGAGACCCTGCCGAGTGGGATGCCGTAGGGCGCTACACGTCGACCAAGCTGGCGAGTTGGCGATCGCATACAGCGGGGTAGACAGTCGTGTATAAAGCCCGAGGTGTACATGTCGCCAACACCCTAACATTCAAACACGACTCTTATCCTCTCGGCCCCAGCAACTAGACAACTCTAATAACTTCTCTTTCTACTCTGAACCCACGACAATCTCTACCAAAATGGCCTCTGGAGGATGCTACTGCGGCGCGGTCCGCTATGAGGTGTCCGGTGAGAGTGGAGGCAGCATCCTATGCCACTGTCTCGACTGCCGCAAAATCACTGGTTCGGCTTATAGCACCAACGCGGTCTACCCAGAAGATGGCTTCAAGGTCACCAAGGGAACACCAAAGCAACACACAGTCAAGGGCGACAGTGGAAACGAGGTCACTTCCAACTTCTGGTATGTAGAATTCCATATTCGCTATCGTGATGGCAATGTAGCGAACAAATCTCCTGACCTATTTTGTGCAGCGGCGACTGTGGCTCGACCATGTGGCGTCAGGGTCCTTCGTTTGCCGGTAAACGCGTCGTCAAGGTATGCTTGTCCTAAGCCTGGTGGTATCCGCCCGGCCTTTGCTAACGTGTGTAAAGGTGGGAACCCTGGACGACACCAAGATCCTCGACAACCTCAAGATGGACGCCGAGTTATTTGTAGGCCACAGGCCGAAGTGGGTCGGCACGCAAGAAAGCGCAGCGCAGAAACCAGCCATGTGAGCGGTTCGGTTCGAGTGCTCGTGAGCAAGAGAGGACGGAAAATGGTAGTCGGCACTAGTCTTGCTCGCAACGAGACCTGAAATCAAGCGGTTTGCTCAAACTCCTACTCGGAGTCTGAACTCTCTGGCTCCTTTAGGCGCTCCCTCATCATCTGTGATGTGATTTGTGTCAGCGTTGAGCCGTCATGCCGTGGCATGTTTGTGAAGCGCACCTGGTTCAAACGCGCTTTGAGCTCGTTGATACGCGTTTCCTTGACTAGTATGTGCTCCTCGTCGAGCTCTTCAATGATGTATTCGTTGTTGTTCTTGCTGTCAATGTCGACCAGCATGGCTTTGATGGATGCGTCGCACTTGACGAGCGTGCCTGTGAGGGTCAGCATGGTGGAGGGGGGACGGAAGCGGGAAATGTACCTCTGATTGCTTTGACCATCTCGGAGTCTCTGCCAGAATATCTGCGGGGTGTTGGTGGGTTAGTAGAGGAGGGTTGGACAGCAGGGTGCGACCTCGCTGACGCGATTGCTTGGCGGAATCGTTCCGTAAGCACGCTAGGTCCCGATGCCTCCGCTATCCTTTAGGGAAAAGTAATCAACACTCCGACACCTCGATATTTCATATTTCTCTCGAGTAAAAGGACTGTACTCGGACTATCCACAGTCACTGTCATCGTTCAAAATGCTTTTGAAGCTTCAATCGCAGGCCTCGTGCTCCTACCCAGTGTACATCATAGCAGGCGCGACTTGAGGCAAACAACTCTTGGGCACTTGCCCTGCAAGATGTGCAAGAATGGCAGGCTCCTTGCGGTCAATGTTTACAACGCCCATCTTGTCTGGCACTTCTCGAATCGCCTTGCCAATGCCCTAATCACCGCCCTCGCAGTATCGTGTGCGCATCACTACCGTAGCACTCCCACGGATGCATCGTTATCCTCACCAAAGACCTCTACTACACTCGCTGTAGTCTAATCACCTGTGACAATGGCTTACCTCAATGTGCCCATCGAAACGCCGTCTTCAACAAACATATCACCAACCGTCCCCAGCGGCGAAGACGCCCCCTCCATCGAGCACATTTCATTCAACTACTACCTCCTCTTCCTCGGTGTACCTGTTGCACTCATCGCTCTAGTCTACTTTCGCATATACCGACACAGAGCCACACAGCGTCAGAACGGTCAGCGGACAGAAGCGAGGTACGTCGAAGGATGGCCTCGCATTCGCAGTCTCGTGCGTGGGACATATGGGATTAATGATTCTGTTGTTTCAAGGCAACCTGAGGGTCTGAACGAGCATGTGCCCAATGTCGATGTCCATGTCGAGGACGGGCCGAACGAGAACGGAGAAGCGCCACCACCCTACCAGCCCAAAGTAGAAGAGACAGAGGCGGTGGTTGCGATATCTCTTCAGGCTCTACAGATGGACGAAACTGTTCGGCGAGAGACGGTTGGTGAACAACCGCCATCACAGTACACTGCAGCAGAGCGCACGGCTTCCACTCTCAGCACGGGAGAAGAGGTCACGCAGACAGAGGCAGAATCTGGGGCGAGGTCACGATGTACAGGCCGGATATAGGGACTTTAGTTGATAATGGGAGTGAAGTGCCGAGACACGACCAGGGACGCTGCGCTAGTAATGTATGTCGGTCATTGTGAATAGTAACATCGACACCACACCCCCTGGCTTTCTATTGCTATTCATTGTCTATGCGTCTCCCTAATTGACACGGTTCAGCTCTACCCCCAAGAAAGAGACACATCAGAGAGGGATAGACATGAGGAAAACATGAAAGAAGAACGATAACAGAGAAAGAGCCTGGTCGTCCGAGACACCCATTCAACTCCAAAACGGACCTATACCCTGTTGCTGTTGCGGACTCGAATTCTGTTGCTGTGTCGATGCCGATGATGCTGGAGCAGAGGCGTCCGGTATACTGCACGTCTTGTCAGCCCTACGTTCCTACATTGAGTTTGTCGCACAGAATAACGTGCAGCAGAAGATGGGACGTTAGAATATCAAAACATACTGAACCTCTCTCATATTCGCGCCCGTGGCTGGTCCACCTGGAGCACTGGCGTACAGATCGAGTACGTAGCCCATGGTAGGTATGGCATTGCGTACGTGATGGCTTGCTCTCAGGGCTTGGACACTAGATCTAATTGTGCCCTCGACGTCTCCAGATGCCAATGTACAGCCTTTTGGTAAAGAAAGGTCAGCTTGGAATTCTTGTATTCGCATTCACTTTCGCTTGTGCTACACACAACGTGTTGCAGTCTTGCTCCGAGGTTTTGTCGTTGGCATACACGAATACGGACGTACGTACCGGCGTGTCCCAACACAACAATCATACCCAGCGGCTTTGCTTGGTCGGCATAGTAGATGCGACTGATGGTTTGGTCTCCGGCTGTTACACGTGCACCATCTGTTTTGAGGATTGTGGTATGTGGGTTGGTCGCGTTCATGTACCGGGCTGGATCAAGAACAGTGCCGGAGGTAGATTCAGTGCAGCATACTGATACCGTCAGCAAGTCGTCATGGCCGGAGAGACGTGGTGAAGAGGCGGGAAAGAAGGGACAGAGCGAGTGGGGGTGTTCAGAAGGGGATGGAAAGTCGACTTACCGATATAAAGGACAGGAGCGGTAGACATGACTTGGACGTGACGATTTATCAAGACGAACAGCGGTATGTTTACTTGTGTATAACGCTTTGACGACTTGAATAAGAGAATGTCCAGAACTACAAGATGTCTTCTTGTTATTCACCGCCCGAGTTACAATGGCATTGATCTTTTGCCCACCCTTGACATTATACGACTCTTGCTCTTATATCATCCCATATCGCACCGCAGAATACCAAACGTCTCGCCATCTGCTACCACACTACCCAGCGGCGCACATTGCAAATCAATCTCGCCTTCCCATACAGCGTGCTCGTAATCAGCATGTAACCACAACATCCTACCAGCACTTCTCTTGCTTGTTTCTCATTACCTCTAGCTGACCAACCGATAGTATCTCGGCTCTCTTGCCTTAACCCTCGCCTCCTTCTCTGCCATAGTTCGGGGGTAAAAGTTGATTACACACGTCTTACTCTTCCTCAATTCTGCGAAAAGAACCTTGGAAGAAGCAAGGAAAAGAAAAGAAGGCCTGCATGATTTTAGCGAGTCTACAGAACGCCGCGTGGTTCACGGATCGGGAACATGTATGGCAAGATGGTATTTGGTCCCATTACTCCAAGTAACAAGCCTGTCTGTGCTAGCAGACGAGCGGCCGATACAGTACTAGCGCCCATGGTGACAGGGGATGAAAGGTACCTAGGACGGATGGATGGATGCTTGCCAGCACGTAAGTATATTTTGCCATGTTTAACAAAGAATGATCAAATCACCCATTCAACTTCGCCGCGCATCTTGATATGTCAACATTCCTAAGCCAGGCAACGGCCGTTATTTGTGAGGAACGTAATCCACAGCCATGGATACGAATCGAAGGCATCTCAACATCTCAGCCCAGCCGACATAAAACCCAAACCAGCTACAAGAACGCCAGGTTTATGGCGCGTCATGTCCATTGCGAATGGCTTTCGCATTCCAGACGTGTGTATTGCAACAACGTCAAAACAGTCATTCAGCGACATGTCAGCTTACGCAGGTGACCCAGGTTCTTGATTCTTGGATGGCATCGTGCCTTTCCGCTTTCGGTAACGCGTGCAGCGGCGGGATGACGACATCGACAGGCAGCTCTGATGATGACGATTGGTAATGTGTAGACTGCCACCTCGATGACACAGCTGCGTCAAATACAAATCCCATGTATGCTACCTGACTAGGCGAAAGGGCAGTACACGCCTGAGACGTGCGGACAAGAGGAGGATGCGACGAAAGGTATTTCGTGGTTAGCTAACAAGGTTATGAGGGAACTTCAAACCGGGCTCAGCAAGGCTGTAAGAGGGTGAGAGAGCGCGCAAGTCTGTTGTCAATCTTAAAGCATGTCTTAGGAGTTTGTGAGAGTGTGCTTCAGGCAATAGACTTGGACTGTCCGCCAAGTAAAAAGTAGTATCGCAGCGGATGAGGCGCGCTGCGAGTCAAGTTCGACTTAGCTACCGTGTCCGTGCGTTTGATGCCCGCACTCGCTCGATGCTTAGACAGCAGCACGACAGCTACCTGAAGATGGAAAGCTGTAGAGCTACAAAAAGTCTTATTGATATCATCATGATTCGGGACTATATTACCCATACACTTGTGTTATGGCAAAGAACGACCTCAGCAAGATCACGTGCTACGCTAGCTGAGTAAGGTGGTTCGTGTGGTAACATCAATGTTTCGAGGGTTTGCTCGACTCATCCGATAACGTGGTATGTTTACAAGTGAGCAACCACAATCCACAATGGAAAAGGACTCAAGATCAACTAGCATCAGGCTACAATAGCTAATCCACAGACTACATACTAGGGATTGCCTGGCGTCAGACCCGAGAAGGCCTTTGTACGCCAGGTCCTCACCGTAGCTAACGAGCAGCAACCGGGCCCGACAAAAGGACACCGCACACAGCTACTACCGGCCCTCTAGAATAGTTTCCGACGCCTTCTCGCTCAGCATATAGACACCTGCAACCGGAAAGGCTCCAGGAGACCGAGGAAACGCACTAGCATCGACGACCCGCAAGCCAGAAACACCACGGACGCGAAACTTTGAATCCAAGACTGCATTCCCATCAGAGCTGGGTCCCATGGAACACGTGCCGATGACGTGGTGCCCAAAGATATTCTCGCGGATAAAGTCTTCGTCACTGCTGGCGATGGAGCAGCTTCCGTCGGCACTGACCGTGCCCGCGCAAGGCGGCCAAGAGACGTTGTAAGGCGCAAAAGGTGCTTGTACGCGGTTGAACGCACGACGACCCCAAGCGAGGAACTCCTTGATAGCAGCAATGTCGCCCGCAGCACCTGTACCATTGAAGTGTCGAAAGTTGATTTCAGGCGTCACGGTCGGATCAGCCGAGCGCAGCTTAAGGTAGCCAGCCGTGCTATTGCCGTGAATATGGACGCTGTGCATGCCCCAGGTCGTTGGCGGGTCGTCCCACTCCTGTCCCGTGTTGCGGGGCCAGAAGCCGCGAAAGCCAAAGGAACCGGGGAAGATGGCAATGTCGCGCTCGTCGTTTGTGGTGTGGTTGGTTTTGAGGAAGGCGAGTTGGGTGAGACTAGGCTGGACGTAGGGGCCCTGGCCGCGGAGGTAAAGTGCAAGACAGGGGTCGCTTGGAGCCCCGTAGGTACATTGCGAGCGAGGACCGCCAGGAGCAGCGGAGTAATCGAATGTCTGGGCGCCGTGGCCGATGACGGCGATTTCGTTGTGGTCTTGCATGTTACGGCCAACGCCTGGTCGGTCGGCGATGACGGGGATGTTCAGGGCCTTGAGATCTGCTGCCGGTCCAATACCGCTGAGTAACAGCAGCTGAGGTGTACCAAAAGATCCACCACTGAGAATGACTTCTTTTCGAGCAAGAACCCGGCATGAGGGCTTCTTGGCTGCCGGATCATAGCGGAGGTCGCCCTGAAAAGCGCTTTTGCCTTGCAGGTATTGGACGCCATTGGCGCGAGGCAATGAGCCTTCTTGAGGCTTGTCGAACAGGACTTTCGTAGCGTAGGAGTTGAGGCGGACCTCGAGGGGGTATTTCTTGTCGCCTTTCTCGTCCACGGCGCGCAAGGTATCGAGGACTCGGTTCCTGGAGCTGTAGCGGGCCCAGGTGGCATTGGCGTGTTGGGGCAATCCCGTAAGCCCTGTAATCTGGTCTCGGTCGGGATTCAAGATTTGATTAGGGTCAATGTTTAGGATCTCTTCCAGGTCCTCTGGATCTTGGCCCGCCTCGGCAGCCATGGCCTTGAGAATTGCAGTTGCTTGGGGTGAAGAGAGAAAAACGGTTCCGTTGCCCAAAATCGTTTCAAGATACCCATCGAAGCCGTGGCCTGGTGTACCACGTGGGCGGTATTGATTCTTTTCCAACTTGATGAACAATTCCCCCATGTGGGTAGCACTACGGTTTTGTTCGTTAGCTTATCCGTGTCCTCTGAAGAGCAAAGAATGGAAATGATAAAAAACAGGATCGGGGATACCGTACTTCCATGACTCATCTCCGGTAAGGTTCTTGATATAGTCCCAATCGCTATCGGCAGGAAGGACAGTCAGGGCAGAATTAACAATGGACGATCCTCCAAGTGTAGCGCCGCGAGGATACTGGATACCAACAATCTCCGCTCCTGCAGGCGCCTCGCTGCCCGGACCAACCCACAACTTTCCATCTGGCAGCCTCCAAGTAAGATGGCGGTACCTTTTCGTCAACTCGACATCGTCGTAATGACGAACCCAATACGTCCAAGTGAGGGCCGTAGTATCTGCCGTGTTTGTCAACGCAATAGCGTTTGTAATCATGGCAGCACTGTCGTCGTCACCGGCTTCGAGCAAGAGAGTCTTGAATCCAGAGCGTGCGAGATTGGCGGCCAGTGGGCCTCCTCCCGGTCCGGAGCCGACTACCACATAGTCGTAAGTGTCGACTGAGTTGGCCGTTGCTGCCAACGCAGAGACAGTGCTGGCGACGAGCAGGATGCTGCCGAGGTGGGAGACCGCTTCCCAAGGGCTCACGATTCGCATAATGAAGTAACGATGCAGAGGTGTGATCGAGAGAGAGAGAGAGAGGTTGCCAGAAGAAGACTTGCTGTTGGTAAGATAAACTCAACGAGAGGTGAGTATTTGAGACGGGCAGACGAGGCACCCTTTTGTACTTGAAGCGCAAAGTATCACGTCCCGTGCTCTTGTCCAAGTTTACTGTTATTCGAGTCTTGCTCGATGACATTTTTTCCCCATTTGGATTAGCCGACGTGGTGTGTCGCTCGCGGATACTTGGGGTAAGCAGGCGCAATCAATGTAAAATGCGTCCGGCACGACTACAAATTCCCCCGAAATACACCGCATGGCTTTACGTTAACGCCGTAACGATAACCTCCCCGCATAAGCTGAGCCAGAATGCTACAAACAGCGCAACGTGTACTCTCCCAACTGTCCTGTCTACGATATCCGCACCTACCCGTACGACAAAGTAACAAGTTCAAAAAAAAAGAGTCTAGCTTCTCATTCATACAAGTAAGCATTTACCTTGTCACCCCACACGCACACACACCATAATTCACACACCAAACTTCAATTCTCATCCATAATCAAAAACAACATGATTCATTAAAAGTTCCTATAAGCCTTCGGGGCCCACCAAACATGAACCTATAACACACAACCAACACCCCTAAACCGTATATCCAAAAAAGAAAAAAACCAAAACCCGGGTATCCAAGAAAGATAAAGAACCACCCAACCCCCCTAACCGTCCCATCCTTCCATCTGCGTCTCTCCCCCTCTTCCCTTTCTCATCTCCCACCACCCCGACAAGACCAAGCGGGGGGAGGGGGCGGGGCGGGGCGGGACGACAAAACACAACTACGGCAAATCCCCATAAGTCTTCCCACTACTCTTCCCCCTCTGCCAAAACCTCTTCTTCTTCTCCGGCACCTCTTCCCTCCTCGTCTGCACCACGGGCTCAGGCGGGCCCGAATTCTTCAAGAAATCCGCTAAGTCAGACGTCGCAGTCCTACTGCCACCGCCACCCATAGCGCCCATACCCGTCCTTGCATCTCCCACAACAGCAGGGGCACGGGCTTGCAGCCTAGGTTTATTCGTTGAAGGAGATGGTGCAGTACCATTACCATTGCGAGAAGCAGGCAAGTTAGAAGACGAGGGATTGGAACCATTTTGGCCTGCAGCCGCCCTCGCCCTCGCCGCAGCAATAGTCTCTTCACTAAGCAGGAAAGGCTGGGGTTTAGCCGACGACGCGCCTCCAGGGGGATCCATGCCGTTTAAAAAGTCCATTAGGCTCTCCTCCCTCTGCCGAGGAGGAGCCGCTTGTCTTTGTGCTGGTTGTTGTTGCAGCAGTTGTCGTTCGGGTTGGTGGTTCCCAGTGGGCGTAGGCAGCGCCGTGAGTTGGTCTTCGTCCTCGTCGTCGTCCTCATCGTCGTCTTCGTCGCTCAAATCAATGGCGTACGGATCCTTGATACGCCGTCTCGTCTTGGTGATGCCCTCCATTGCATCTCCCCCGCCGGACATGCTGCCGCTGAGTTGCCCCGGCCCTCCCGAATACGCAGGCTGAACCACACTAGGACTCGGGATAAGACCAGTCCGGCTATTAATCGTCGCCGTGCTGTCCTTGCTCTCAAGCGTACTAGCCGCAGAGCCATACGCTGACTCCGCTACATTTCTTTCCGTGGTCCTGTCAGCCCTGGACTCATAAGCACTCTCCACGCCTCCATGTCCCCCGAGCATAGTATCAAAAGTGTCGCTATCAACAGTCGTCCGGAACGGGGCGATATTCTTCGGTATCCTTGGTTGTTTGTGGTTTGCGTCTGGCGGGCCCTGTCTGATAAAATCGATCAAGTCACCGTTTCCTGTAGACAGGCCAGCTGGAGAGCGGGGTTCCATGTTGGGTCGCGTGCGCGTAGCTGGAGTATTGTTCGCATTACCAGATTGCCTGGAAGTTGACATCTTGCGTCCGAGAGAGGAAGTCGAATGGTTGCCTGATTTCTGGCCGTTATTGCTAATGTTGACAAAGGGCTGGATGGGCTTCTCTTGGCCAGGGGAGGGACCAGTGGAACGGATAAAGTCTGCAAAGTCGCGCATGGATTCCGACTCGATCTTGGGGTCTCGAGCGAGAGGTCTGGTGACTACCTTACGGCTGGGTGAGGGTTTGTGAGAAGAGGCAGTGGTCGGTCCTTTTGCCCTTGGTGCTGTAGTGTTGGGCAGGTTGGCTGTGCCAAAGCTTTTGTCAGAGGCGTCGGTCCGAGGGTAGACTGTCACGGAGGCAGAAGAGGCTGAAGATTTGCGTGGTTCCGTCTTCTTCAAGACGGGGGACTCCTACCGCATGTTAGTATATGTAGGATGGAAAGAGAATGGCGGCTTACATTAGTAGTTCGTACACTTTCAGGCGTCAACGTAAACTTGACCGTGTCCTGCCCCTTGACCAGCGAATCGAACTCGCGCGCTCGGTCTTCCTCAGACATACGTCCGCTCAAGCCACTTGCACTCAGACCTCTGGAGCGATGGCTGGCGCTCGAGTCTCGTCCGCTGGACGTAATGGGATAAGCACCTTTTCGAATAGAAGAAGAGGTACTAGCACCACGCTTCAACGAAGAATTATCCGAGGACGACTTATCAGCTGGACGTGTCGAATCGTCCGCGGACATGCGATGTGGTCGTTTCTCGGATGTGTCAGTCGCAGACGTAGGGCTACGCCTGGAGCTGTCTGCAGTACGCACACTGCGACTGGTCTGGATGGAAGGAGTTTTGCCGCGGTGCTGGGTAGTGTTGCTCTCGACTTCTTGCAAAGCTGGCAGCGACGAACCACGTGATACTGAACGAGCCTCTTGTCTCCTGGGTGCACTCGTAGGACCTTGGCTGTCGTATGTGGCGACCGCCTCTCCTCCAGGCGACTGACGTGAGAGACCTCCACCTCCCCCACCCATCCCTGGGCCCAACACGAGTTCCGCACCGTTGAGTGATCTTCGGTTGGCTTGTTTACGTTCAACGGCACGCTCCGGCACCGTAGGTTTCCCATCAGGCGAAGGCGTGTTCCGATACGTGAGACTTGTCGGCGTGAAGTTTCTCGGCGGCACTTCAACGTACCCTCCACTCCCGGGCCTCTTATTCCTTTCGTGAGGTGAATCTCCAGGGGAATTCGACGCGGACCTAATGACATTATCGCTTGTCCTCGCCACACCGATAGCTCGATGTTCTGGCTCCTCATCGTCCTCATCATCGTCAAGATAACTTCGTCCCTCAGCATTACCAGTCACCTTCGGTGTAGCCAACGGCGTACCAACAGGTGATTTGAGACTCGAGCTGCGCGTAGAAAAGGTACGGACTAGTCCAGGTTTACCGGCTCGCTCAATGGACATCCTCTTGGACCTCATGACCTGAGGGCTCTCAGTAGTGAGCTCGTGCGTCTCAGGCTCATCAGCTTCCTGTGAGGGTCCTACTGACATCCTCTTCGGTTGTGTGACCTTTGGTTCGCTCTCAGTGACCTGATGGGTCGGCTCAGTTTCAGGTTCCTTCGTCGCTGATTGTCCGATTGCGCTTCGACGGAAACCCATGCCCGTAGCTGCTGCGAATGCTACCATTGAGGCGTCGGGTTCAGGCGACTCGTCTTCCCGACTGTCTACCAAATCGCGTTGCTGAGACATGTTGTCTAGTGTAGTTTCTTGTGTGGTCTGTGGTGTGGTTTCCTCGGTCGCTTGGGAGGGGGTTCCTCGCTCGGTATCGTGTGTAGACTCTTCTCCATCATGCGTAGGTTCCTCTTCATCCCCCGTAGGCTCTTCATAACCATAGTACGTAGACGGCATGAAAGTTCCCGCAGGACGCATCGGCATACTCATGGGCCTCGCCTTCTTCCCCCCATCCCCGAATCCTCCCTGGGACAGCACAAGCACACTAGACGGCCTCATCGGCCGCTGAACAGGCGTCTGCGTGCCCTCTCTCTCTCCCTCATCCCCATATGGGGGCGCCAGGCCAGGCACCTCGATCTCGTTGACATCGTTGTCGCGCATGGGAAGGGGTATATTAGCGGCGATATCGGTTTCGGTAGGAGGATGCTCGGGCAGCGTCTCGTGCTCGCGGATCTCGTGCTCGCTATGCAAGGTGTTGATGGTCTCGCGACTGGCTCTGCGGTGGTGTAGGCTCGAGTAGCTCGAAGCAGCATGGACGCCTCGGCCAGGGGAGATGGGCGAAGTAGGCGATCGCACGCGTTTCCTCCACGTTCTCCAGAGGCGGCCGAGGGCCGAGTTGAGGGCAATCTTTTCTACGTCTGGCTCTTCAATGACCAGCCGCTCGATGGGCTGTTGCTCGGCATGGTCGTCGGCTTGCTGCGCGAGCTTCTTCATCCTCGCAGCCATGCGCGCAAAGGCAGCCGAGCCTGCGACAAGCAGCAACTGCTCAGCGACGTATTCAACAACCGAGGTGAGGAAGATGGCCGACGCCCAGGCGACAAGACCAGCCTCGTCGTCCTCGTCTTCGTCCATGCTCAGACCGCGCTCCTGTTGCACATAGCGCTCCTCGTCCTCGTCCTCGAGCTCGCCCAGGCGCGTGTAGACCATGATGCGCAGACGCGTGCGCTTCCATACCTTCTCCACGTCCCATCTGTCCATTTGCTTGGCATGCTCCGTGGACATGTCCTCGTCGTCTTCTCCCGCCAAGAGGCCCTGGAGCTCCTCATCCGCGGCCTCGATGGCGTCGCGGGCCAGTCGCGGCTTGAGCACGTCGGACACGGCGGGTCGGATGGCAGCCAGGGCGGGCGACCGCGCAGACGAGAGGAAGGCGAAGAGCAGGTGGTCGAGGAAGGCATTGAGGAGGGCCAGTGCCTGTTCGGAAAATATGGCGTTTTGCAGCTCGTCCGTATCGGCGTCTTGGTCGCGCAGCTGCGCATTGTGGTGATCGGTGACGGTCTGTGAAGCCACGGATGCGGCGATGTAGGCAGGCGCGGGTCGGACCGTGGCGGGCATCTGGAAGGTGACGGATGAGGCCAGAGAGGGTGTCTTGTCGCTGCTGAAGCTGTGGCTCCTGCTCGAGCGCGACGACATCATTCCGGCCGTCTCGGACACGGCGTGTCTATGCATCGCGTACGAGAGCCGTCTGCTGCATGCGTGGGACAATGTCGATACTGGTCGGTCGGGGTATCGCACCCTGAATGAATAAAAAGCGAAGCGGCAGGCTAAGGAGTGACTTGAGATATCATCAATGCTGGATCTCGAATTACAACAAGAGAGAAAGCGATGATCTCCAATTACAACAAGAGAGAAAGAGAGGTGGGCAAAAGCATCGGCAAAGGGAGATTGCAAGAATGTCAGGCCAGAATCGGGGTTGTTACGGCGTTGTGTGAGGTATCCCAGCGGCGATCTTTGGATTCTAGTCCTGCAATGTTGCCCTGGACTAGCTGCACTCAGCTCGTCATGTGGAGACACCTCACCGAACTACTATAGCACTTCGCCTCGTCTATTACTATTGCCATCAAGAAAGAGAGACAAACAAACTTTCAGCTAACATAGCATCTGCAACTGCATCTTGCGCCGCCACACCATGACTACCAGAGCACTGTCTTGCATTCGAGTTGCATAGTAAGTCGTGCTGGTGGAGTCGTCGCACCATTGAATCGAGCCCTAGAAACGTCGTTGCGCACGATAATCTCCGCTGTGCTTCACCATGTAGCTGCCCTGTTTCTCGACTCGCATTTTCGTGCTACCAAAAGCCATCGTGGTGTTTTCGGGGTGAGTGTCACACTGCGACAGCCATACACAATAGTGTTAATTCCCCGGAGGATCCGTCCCAGCTGTGTGGTTCCCGACGAGTTGGTGTTAGTGCATGGCTTTCGCTAATCTCAGGGGTTGGTCTCGTGAACGGTTGTCCCATGAACTTGACTTTTCGCTTTGGAGATTTTGGCATCGTGGATAATTCTCCCCACGACAAGTCGGTACAAGGACACGGCCATGGGTAGATGCATAGTATATATCAGGTGCAATTGTGCAAGCTTCGCAATGATATGCCGATGCTCTCTCATAGCCACCGCTGCTATGATGGCTGTGGTTGCGTTTGTACAAACCAAGTCTTGAGTAGTAAAAGCCATTTTCAATCACTACTTCTCAGTCTGACATAAAACCATGATCGGAACAGCAAGTGTAATTCAGAGATCGGGAGATATAAGTAGGCATCGCAATGCGGTGCAGCTATCTTGTCTGCGCTACTGTTGCTAAGCTCACTGTGGCTGCGCTATTTGACACTCCTCATCGACACAAACACACGACGCAAATCAAACTCCAATGCCTGCCAAGCTCGTACAGCAATATGATGGCCTAGCAAGTATGGTCTGCGATCGGGAGAGTCCCGTCGAGATTGGAAAGCTTTGCAGCGAACTCGTCTGCGCCACTGATGGCTGTGGCTGCACTACTACTTCTGCTTCCCGTCAACGGAAACATAAAACGCCACCGTCAGGTTTGCGTCTTACTGCAGGGGAAATCATCTCAAGTTTGACATGTAACAGGTCCCATGTTTGTAGCACTGGATTGATACTAACACGTCGCTATGCCCACGAGGCAAGAGCATCGTGGTTGCGGTTGCTGTTACGTACGCTGTAGCCAATGAGAGAAGCTGCAATGGTAGCCCAAGCTCCCTCCCCTCATCTTTCGCAACCTAATCATAACAACATGCCATTGAAAGCTTCTTTCTAGAACTGATTGCATCGTGCTGTCAGGAATCCTTCGCCTGTTCAAAAATCTTTCCTGATCGTTGATATCCTGCGCTTCCATCGGATGATGATACCGAACAGGAAGGCGCCTGGCCTAGCCACAAAATCGTCTGCCGGCGTACGCAAAGAGCTCTTTCGTTCCAATCCCTAACCGCTTCGGATGTGGTTATGTGTCAGGTATAAGCCTTTGCTTCACTCCCACGTCTCCTACTCCAGCCTCTCTTTCAATCTCCCTTTTAGCATTGTCCCAACGTCGGCGAGTGGTCGCCACGTCGATCCATATGCCAGACGATACCGACATTCGGAACAGAGCTCACTGCTATTGCTTGAACCTAAACACTCAGCATATGTACATGCTACGACATGACCGCTGACACATTTCGACCGGCAACATGGCTCGCCTACGAAGCGATCACGACCCCAATGGCAGCAGGGCTGGTGGTACACGTGGGAGATGTAGCACATGTTTCGATGTCCCGCAAGTAGCATGCCCTTCCTGGACGATCGCTTTGGAGGTCCCACCGGAGTTTCTGATGTGCTTTAGTTGTTGCACAGATGACTGACCTGTTGCAGACGCGATTATATTGGTGTTGTGCGCAAACACACAAACAGTACTTCTGTCTCTTCATTGTTGCACCAGAGGCGACATATTGAAGTTGAACGACCTGGGAGCAATCCGGGTATCTCGCTCCGATGTTTGGCGCTCCCAGCTGAGCCACGTTTGGCTTGGCTCTTGCCATTCCGCCCCACGACATCGCGATTGCGGTAGGACAACGATAAATGGTAAAACCAATGAGAAGATGCTTTAGAAAGGACGACGACGATGCCGTTTCGGATTTTTTTTTGATTGCTAAAGTGCTGCGCAACTGGCAGTTCACAGTTGTTGGGTTGGAAGTTGCCCTGATTGGTCGGCTCGATGTTGCCTACGGACCACGAAGTACCTAAAGCCAGCTCTTCAACGAATCTAACGCATCCGAGCCGAAGCTACAACAAGGCTCCTTTCGCCATCGAAGGCCAAGGGATCAATTGTCAATTCCCCGTGGGATTATCGGCAATACTCCTGGTCAACCGGCGGACGTCGACACGATAAACCACGAAGCACCGACAACTACGTCTTCATTACTCTCAATGTCCTTGGGATGGCGAGACGGCAAGCTCGCTCTGGCAGGCGCACGACGTTGAAACAACCTGTGAGGTATGCTGACTAACTGCTGCGAGTTCAGTGCGCAGCCTCCTCCACAACACCATCCCTCTCTGGCTCCAGCCCCATCTACCCCAGATTTTCACACCGCCGACCTCCGAGAAGCTAGGCCTCCGGAGTTGGCGCCCGTAGCATGGACTCAACGCTCGGAACGAAACGGGGGAAGGTTTTGGCATGGCACTGGCGCCTTTTCCGGACTCTCTTCTGCAGGTACACCCGTCCGTTGCCACCCCACCACCATGATATTGCGCTGCAGGTCATTATGTCGCTCCGGTCCGCACCAGAGGGGACGTGCAGGGACTTTGCTTCTGTGCGCTTGCTGGGTATGCGCGACCTACTGGTCAGTGTGGTGTGGCAGATGGGACCATCCGCTGATGTGCGCATTAGTGAGAGCAGAACAACGTCAGAGACGTCTGATAGCTGTCTCGCACCTCCCTCTCCTCTTCGTCGCTCTGTGTCTGTAGACAGCTCGCCCTTCGTATTGCTGTCGCGTCCTGATCAGTGTAGGTCGCACGTGTTAGCACCCTCCAGCACCGCCCATCCCTCCCACTTGGACGACTGACTGCATGAACCATGCAGACGAGGCTCTCGCTGTTTGATCAGCAATCTCTGGGGAAATAACAAGCATTGCCGACCGTTTTCCGTTCCAGCATTACGAGTAGCGCAGCGAGCCTCAGCCTTGGCCCAAGCCGGACATGACACCGCCACAGATCTTCACATATCCGTCAAAGTCAAAGTTGATACATGTAACTTTTTGGCATCGTCGTTTCACATTTGTATTCATGAATTCTTGTCCATGGTGAAGGAAATGCGTTGCGACTGCTCGCACCGTCCAGCATGACACAATGCGCCGCCGGCGTTACTTGATAGACTAACGTAAGGCGGAATTTGGACTTTGTCCCTTATCTCTGGCACCAGGGGTGCACGCCCTACTTAGCGGATCGACGGCTCGCCCGCATACCCCACTAAGCCCAACGTCGACGCACGATAATGTTGAGCCGACGTCGCAGTGCGGCTTTTTTGCCTGTGTTAGGTGCTGGAAAATGTCGAGACCGTGGTGGGTTGGTAAGAATCGTGGGGTTCAGTCGGTTCAGAGTTCAGATTATGATTTCGGAGACGCGGATTCGTGCGATTTGAATGTTAATAGGCCCGCCCGCGTGCGCGCGCGCGCTGTGTACACATGTGTTGCTCTGCCGACGCCCAGGCTAGGAAACCTGTGGGGTCAACATGGGATTCTCTGTTAGCCGTATTGTGTACCACAGCAGGCGCGACAGAGACTTTCTTCCAGCGGCCTTCCAGAACAAACGCACGTCCTCGAGTCCCATACAACAAGTGAACAAGTCGGGCGCACCGGCTGCGACAACGTTTCTTGTAGTCAAGTTAACTAGCATCCGAGACTTATTCACGTCTCTTCCGACGGGCGAGCGCTGTTGAGTGATGCTGCTATGACGACGGCAGGCGAGAACGAGACTAACTGGAACCGCTGCGATTGGCCCACACGGCCCTTATCGCCCCCGACTCCTTCAACCCCGGGCAACGGCGCCCTGCCCAGAACCACGGTTGTATGCACTACGCTGCAGGTGTCGCGAGACGTGTGCGTAAAAGGTCACTGTGCATTCAGGGTCCCAGGGATTACGCAGCTCGTGTTGGGCATAGAGTACACAATGCATACGAAGGGCAATAGTCGGTCGCTGAGTTAGGGAGCAGTAGCAGTAGCAGTGGAGCGGTGTACGGGGGCGGCCAAGTGGACGAATCTGGTAGGAATTGGGTAATAACCGTAATTGGGTAAATTTAGCTACACGTTACAGGCGACGCTACCCAGCGTCAAATCGCTCAAACTCGGAAGTGGGAAAGTCAGTGCGGTGCTTGAGGCTGTGCGGGTCTGTGCGTCGTGTACCCCGTCGGTCAGCTCTGTTGCGCATCGTGACATTACCTGAGGACAGCGTGGGTCTTTTTTTTGCAAAGACATCTTTGAAATGAGGGCTGCGAGATTGGGCAGAGAAGACGTGTCCAGACGGGCGGGTATCTTCTAGACTAGAACTAAAGTTACTTGCAGAGTGGGCAAGAAGATAATGCCAGGATGCGGCGTAAAAGTCGCGCGTTTAGAGAAGGTTGATTGCTTGCTTCTCCCATCCCACGGAAACAGTTCGGCGACGCCTCTTGGCTACGGCCAGCCTAATTATGTATCTGAGCACGGCTAGCCCCGCCACAGGCCGAGACAGTCAGGACAGGTCAATCGCTGCCGACGAGACATTTACCTTATAACTGAACGCCCTGGCCCGCTATCCTTATCTCTCATTCAAACTCCCCACTTCACTTTGAAGACCTCGTCCACTTATAACCCCTCTATTACCTTGTCTTGGTTGACAGTAATTGCTCCTCCTTCTTCCCCCTCACAACCACCAAAGAAACCACACACACACATACCGCAGTCATGGCCAACTCAACGATTGTTAGCAATGCTGCCAACGTGAGTTTCTACCTGCTCGCGTGCCCAGCAACCTGCTAATGCAACAAACAGCTCAAGAAGTACCTTGACCTGCCCCAAAAGGGTGCAGTCATGGCCGAGTACGTCTGGATAGATGGTTCCAACGGCATCCGCTCAAAGTCAAAGGTGAGCTTGATTCCAGCTTTGCGGTTCCGATCCCCGATTCCTACACACTATTCCGGCGAAGCAGTCAGTTGCAAACTGGAGTATTTCAAATGCAAGAGAAACAACTGGCTGCGATGCGCGGTGACACGGGCTCGCGATACACACAATGCAGACGATGGGGGGTTACGCTCGATCTACTGGGGAAGTTGGAGTGTGACGCCATGGCGCCAATCGCTCCCTTCTGCCGGGTGGGAAAGTTTGGGCGTTCCTTATCTTTATCGCGAGCCGCTCAACCCCACCATGCAGGTCCCTTCCGCATGCCCACCCACCCGTGACGTCGTTTCCCATTCCGATTACCCGAGGCACCTCACCTCGCCTCCCCTCCCCCTTGACAAGCATACTGACATGGCCTGCTAGACACTCAAGAAGAAGGTCGAGTCGCTCGACGAGCTCCCAGAATGGAACTTTGACGGTTCATCAACGGGCCAGGCGCCCGGCGACAACTCCGACGTCTACCTCCGCCCCGTCGCATACTACCCTGACCCCTTCCGTCTGGGCGACAACGTCCTCGTCATGTGCGAGACGTACATGTCGGACGGTTCGCCCAACGCATACAACTTCCGCCACGACGCGGCCATAATATTCGACAAGCACGCCGAGCACGGCTTCTGGTTCGGTCTCGAGCAAGAATACACGCTGCTCGACGAGTTTGGCTGGCCCTACGGCTGGCCCAAGAACGGCTTCCCTGCTCCCCAAGGTCCCTACTACTGCGGTGTGGGCACTGGCAAGGTCTTCTGCCGCGACATTGTCGAGGCGCACTACAAGGCCTGCATGTATGCCGAGATTGCCATCTCAGGCACCAACGCCGAAGTCATGCCCGCACAGTGGGAGTACCAAGTCGGTCCCTGCCCCGGCATCTCTCTCGGCGACCAGCTCTGGATGTCTCGTTTCCTGCTGCACCGTGTGGCCGAGGAATTCGGTGCCAAGGTTACTTTTGCCCCGAAACCCATTCCCGGTGACTGGAACGGCGCCGGTCTGCACACCAACGTGTCCACCAACGAGACTCGTGCCGACGGTGGCATGAAGGCCATTGAAGCCGCCATGGAGAAGCTGTCCACCCGCCAGGCTGAGCACATGGCCGTTTACGGTTCCGACAACCAGCTCCGTATGACGGGTAAGCACGAGACGGCTTCTTACGACAAGTTCACCTGGGGCGTCGCGAACCGTGGTTCCTCTGTCCGTATCCCCCGTGCTGTTGCTGCCGAGGGTAAGGGATACTTTGAGGACCGCCGCCCGGCTTCCAACGGTGACCCATACCAGATTACTGGTATAATCGCCGAGACCATGTACGGAAAGGTTGAGGGTGCCGATGTCGCCAGGTTTGCCAAGAAGGCCGAGGTCGTCGAGACGGAGATGGTTATTGATGTCCACAAGCCGTAGACGGGGCTTGGGTTGGGCTACGTCTTCTTCTTCATACCCCCTTTTAGTTTTTTTAAACGCAATTAGATCGTTTGTTTGATGACGGATGACATGGATGATGGTGCCTTCCAGCTGCTTGATGGCTGGCGATGGCGGGCAAGAGATAGTTCGGATTTATATCACGTACTTGCTGCGGTAATAGCATGAGCAATGAATTTTCTATCCTGATGTTTTGAACAACGCATTCATCCCTGTATACAGTCGTTGGAGTTTTGTGGTGTTTGTCTATCTACCTGTGAACAGTAGGTAGTGGTGGAGAGGTCTCAGAGGAGGCGCACTGTTGCTTGTTGTGCTCTTGATAATGGGCTTGTAGGTCGCGTGATTATGTCTTCGCTGCAATTGGTGGAATGTATTCCTCGCACCTTCATTCATCCATCCAACTTCTTACGCAGCATACGTTTCTTTTTCTTTGTGAATAACTTTTGTACTGCCATGGTTACCTTTTCCGAAGCATGTTATACAAGTTTCAGTCTCGCAAGCTTCATATTCCGCTGGATGGCGAGGACTTGGTTCGTTGAAGGAGATGATGTTGTAGCTGTCTTCTAGATTATGTGACAGATGCCATCACAAGCACATATGGCAAAAAATAAAAAAGCTGAGATTGCCGCTATGCAGTGCCTATAGCGACGTTGGGAAGCACGCAATGATATACCGCTTTTCCGCATGCAACGGAAGAATCCTTAGCCGTGTGGTCGGCAAGCGAGCCCGTCTCGGCATTCGTACTCCACCCCAACTTCACGAGCAGTCATAAGAATGCGCCGCCTCCCCACGGGGAGCATTGTGGGGTACAATTGTTTGGCCGTCTCCAGACTCTTTGACTGCAATGGCCAAGTCTGGTGAGAAAGGTTCTGTCTTGCCTATTGAAGGCGTAACGGATTTGGAGCGAGTAGCTACTGTGGCACCGCAAGAATCTGCTGCTGCTGCTGATGGCGAGAAAGATGCGTTACCGGATACAGCACTTGAGGCTGTTTCCACGACGGCATCTGAACGCTTGCCCTTTTCAAAAGCACGATGTGTGGCACTTGTCACAACAATCGCTGCAGCACCATTTTTGAGTGTAAGCAACAACAAACCCCCCGTCCTACAATGTTTTCTAAATAACATTAAGAAGAAGACGACATGAGCTGACGCAACATTCCCAATAGACCATGGCAGTCCAAGCATCAGTCATAATCCTGCCCACCATCGGCGAAGAACTAGACATACCAGTCAGTCGCCAACAATGGATCATTTCCGCTTACAACCTCACTTTCGGCTGCTTCCTCCTCCTATGGGGCCGTCTAGCAGACGTGTACGGACGACGCATGATCTTCCTTTGGGGCTCTGCCGCCTTCACGCTCACGTCCATTATCACACCATTCATCCCCAACGAAATCGGCTTTGACATCTTCCGCGGACTCCAAGGTCTCGCTGCCGCCGCCATGGCACCGACTGCGCTCGGCATACTGGCTTCTACGTTCGCGCCTGGGAAGACAAAGGACGTGGCTTTTGGCTGTTTTGGCGCCGGAGCACCGCTTGGCGGCGTCTTTGGCAACATCTTTGGTGGTATTGTGGGCGAGTATCTCGACTGGCAATGGGTTTTCTGGCTATTTGGTATCATAGCTGGCATCTCCACCGTTGCAAGTTACTTTGTCATTCCTATTCCGCCCGCGCTCAAAGAAGAACAGCAGCCCGTCATGCGCAACACGGTCGACTGGCTCGGCGGCTCACTCATCACCATCGGGCTCGTCATGCTCGTTTTTGCCCTCTCCGAAGGCAACGTCGTGGGCTGGCGCACTCCATGGGTCCCCGTTCTCATCGTCGTTGCCCTCATTATCATCATCGCATTCGGCTTCTGGCAACACTACCTCGAAACCAAGACGGCGAAGCGGCCCTTGATGAAGATGAGCATATTCAAAAATGGCAAGTTTACGGCTGCGAATGTGCTCATGGCGCTCTTCTTTTCTAGCTTCAATAATTACCTCATCTTCGCTACGTATTGGTTCCAGGACTACCAGGGCCATAGCGTCATTCAGACGACGCTGAGGTTCTTGCCGAATGGCATCACGGGGATATTGGTTGCGACGATTACGGGACAGATCTTGTCGAGGGTGCCTGGGGATTATATCCTTACTTTTAGCACCATCTGTGTCAGCATCTCCTCGCTGCTCTTTGCGATTCCGATTCCAGTCGATACCACGTACTGGGCGTATGGGTTTCCGGCCATGGTGCTGTGCGTCTCGGGCGCGGACACGATTTTCCCGGTGCTTACTTTGTTTGTGGCCAAGACGCTGCCGGCTGAAGATGCGTCGTTGGGTGGTGCGCTTATTACTGCTGTTGGTCAAATCGGTCGCGCTATTGGTCTTGCGATTGCGACGGCGGTGCAGACGGCTGTTGTGGCTAGGGAAAAGGGTCTGAACGTGGATCAGATTGGTACTGAGGGACACAAGACGGAGCCTTGGGATGATGCGCTTAAAGTTGGGATCAGGACGACGGCTTGGTTCAACTTCGGCATGAGCGTTGCCACAACCTTCATTGTGATCTTCTTCATTAGAGGTATTGGGATTATTGGAGGAAAAGGAAAGCGATAGCGCTTGTATATGATAACGAAACGAATAGGATCAAGAACATCAAGCAAGATGTACTGATGAAAGCTCACAACATCTAATTTCTGCCCAAACTCAATAATCACGCTTGTTATCCAAAACGCTCCTGATCCCAGAAATGAACCGCATCCACATCCCTAGCGCCTCACTACACCTGCTTTTCTTCCTCGGCCTTCTCATTCGGAACAGCCAATGCACCGACCACCTTCTTGATACTCGCCTTCTTCCTCCAACACGCCCTATACCACTCCGCCAGCTTCTCAAACCCTCCACCCCCTTCCTTCCATCCATCCCACTCCCCAACCAGTACATGTACAACCGGCCAAACAAACGCATCCGCAATACTAAACCTACTCCCAGCAACAAACGGCCCCTCATTCCCCCCAACCATCTCCTCCAACCGACCCACCAAATTCTCAACTTCATCACCTGACTCCAGCCTCCCTCGATCCGTCCAAGCTTTCACTATGCCGGCCGTGAGTAACATGATGGGATACGCATTGGCAGTCACGCAATGCGAGGACGCTGATGTATCAAGCGGGTGATACCGATCCAGATAAAGCAGTATGGAAGACGCACTGTGGATTTCAGTATGCATAGCATCGGTATCCCTGAGCGTGACTTGGCGGTCTGCTTCGAACGCCGGGTCTAGAGGCGGCGCTTCAATGGCCGTGTAGGCAAGCTTCTTTTCTGCAAGGAGAATCATGACTTGGTTGTTATGAATGGCCTGGTTGCTCAAAAACAGCAGGGGGATATTGGCGGACGATGGCGGCGGCGCGTGCAAGTGCAAAACGTCAGATCCGTCACCGTAATGTTCCTCCCAGTTGAAATCCGGATCGTGGTTTTCGCGGCTGAAAGCAGTGATGAGGCGGACGGTTTCGGCCTCGTCGTTGGAAATGATGTCGGCGGCGTCGCGTTGCGTCTTTGCGCTTGCGCCCTGGCCCCAGATGACTGTTTCGCGTGCATCGAGGAAGGTGCCAATGTGTCGGAATGTTAGGCTGATGCGGATACCGTTGTAGGCTGTTTCGCTTTCGGTGCGTTCGTTTAGAGGCCGTTTGTCGGGTTGGATGCCGTGGAGCCACTTTGCGTTTGAAGCGAGGCCGAGAACGAACATGGAATTATGGGGAAGGACTACGTGTTGGGTTCTGCGCTGTGTGATAGTGTCACTGTCCAAATGTTCGTCTTCTTCTTCTTCTTGCTGCTCTGCCGACTGAGCCTTCTTGGTGCGTAAGCGCATCGTCCGTTGCGAGCCGAAGCTTACATTGACGATTGAAGAGCCTTTTACTATATCGAGTGTCTTGTCAGAATGCTCGGATATGAAGTCGTTGCCGGAACGGTAGAGTTGGATTAACACGTGGTTGAGGGGGTGGCCAACGAGTTTCTCAGCGTGCTTTCGAATGAGCTGTACTTTGGGTGAAAATCGTAGGAGCGGTAGGCTTTGGTCGGATGGATGCCGGTATATCGGCATTGAGCCGTCATCGCCAAAGGCGCCCTGACAGCATACGAGTCGGGGGACTTCGCCTTGCTGGTGGAGCATCTTCTGCCATGGCACTTCGTTGTAAAGTTGGGTGAATATGACGTCTTTCAGTGGCTTCGATGGAGCAGATACGTGGACGTAGTCGGCAGAGAAGAAATTGTGCATGATGCGCGAATCACCTTCTGCAATGTGATCTCCAGGTCCCAGGACTGGGAAAGTTGCGAGGGATTGCAACTTGCGTGATTGTCGCATCGTAGTGGCTTTTCCTGATGATGGAGGATCGATTTCTTGTGTGACCGCATGAGACTGCTCTCGCTGTGGGAGTTTTGACGTCGGTTGTTTGTCGTCTTGCTTCACATTGGTAGAGGCTGCATTTGCAGAACTGGTAGATCCTCTTTTCGACTCAGACTCTGATTCAGACTTTGCCGCCCTAGTAAATGACATGCGGACGCGATCCGAGAAATCTGATAACCTGTTCTTCTCCGTCTCCTCGCCATCAGCTTTGGTAGATAGCATAGGGACCGAAGTAGCGTTCTTCAATATGTGCTGCTTCCCTTCTTTCTGCCGCAAGTCTGCAACACTTCCAGCTTTCGCAACCTTTGAAGTTCGTTGAGATTCGGTTGATGCAGGTGGAGGTATGATTGTAGGCGACGTTGTGGTTGGTGGTGTATCTTTCGTACCTTGGTCTGTAGACGTGCCAGGCTTGCCATCCGCATCTCCGTCGTCACCTTTTGGTTCCTCTCCTTCCTTCGTTTTCTTTTTCTTTTTCCTGGATTTTCCCGTCCTCATGCGGATCTTCGTCTTGACAAGCTCCGGTTTCTTCGCCTCTTCCTGTGCGCCGGGTACCGTTGCTCCCTTTGTGAGTATATCTGAAAACTCCTTGTCGCTAGGATCTACTGTTCCCCCGGCGCTAGACTCTTCCGCAGTCCTTGCCGCGGTCCGTTTCGCTATTATGGATGTTGCAAGAGACATTTTAGCCATCATCTCCTCCACGTTCGTATCACTATTATTCTCGCCGCCTTTTGCGCCTTTCGCAGGCACCGCCGTCTTTTGCACAATCAATTGCGGTTCTTCCTTGAGTATCTCCTCACTATTAACCAGAAAAGCGCTGAAGAAGTCTTCCATGCGCTTCAGGGCCAAATCATGTCGATTCTCCTTTCGGTAGCCGAGACAATCCTCAACAACATGAATCTTCACACCATGGCGCGCAGCATCAATAACCGTCGCCAGTACAGACACATTGGTGATGCATCCCACAATGAAAAGCTCCGTGATAAGCCTTGCGCGCAACGTTATGAGCAAGTTGGTACCTTGGAACGCAGAGTAGTTGGTCGTTCGAATCACGACATCCGTCGATAACTCAACCTGGTTCGCAATGACATCCGCAAACTCGGCGCCGTGCGTGTCTGGTACGCATGCCGGCGTCCTCTTCTCGCTCCTCAACAAGAATAATTCCTCGTCTTCCTCAGCCTTGGCTTTTGCAACTTCTTTTGGCAACGTCTTCCTTCGCGCGGACACACGTTTCAGCAGGTCTATCGCGCGTTGCTTGTGCTTTGAAGATCTGGATTGCGCTGGTAGTGACGCTGCTTCTTTGGCCAGTTCTTCCTCCGCCGCGTCATTGTCCTTCTCGTCACCATCGACAAGCCCGCCTACAACGAGCGTGTCGCCTTCACCTGTATCGGCGCCGGTCGCAATGCGGTCCGCTTCAAACAGCGTTTGAACCCATATTACGTTGCCGCTGCGCTCCCGAAATATCGGAATCAAGGTCTTGATGCGCTCTAGAAAACGCGTTTGAGTGTCAACTGGAAGTCGTCCATCTGATGTCACAAAGTCGTTTTGCAGGCCAATGATGAGAAGCGCTTGGTGGGTCTGGAATCGTGGTTGGTTCTGGGACACAAGGTCCATCAAAGACGCCATGTTTGAGTCCATCGTGTCAAGAACGCGGACTGCTGGGGTTAGACGCGGAAGCGAAAGGTCTTGGCATCGGTGCTAGTGAGCATAGGGTTTTCTATCAATAGACCAGGGATTCATGAACTCGAAAGTGACTGGAAGTGCAACAGCTAGGATATTTGTATACTATGTGTCGGACCTGAAAGCTGGTACTTGATCATGAGACGCACGCAGGGGCAAAGCCAAGCAGCCGCTGAGAGACAGGTTTTAACTCAAGTCGGCAAACCGTTCGGCATGCAGGAACAACTGGATTGGAGGATTGAGCTGCAGGATGCGTTGCGCAGGGCGTTTGAGACCATTGAAAGGTCATGATCGGTGGTGTTGGAGATTTTGACAGCCGCTAGATTTCCCCACTGGCGTTAGCGCGGGGCAACGGAAGGGCTGGCACGTTTTCGCTCAACCGCGTCTCTAGACGTGCTCAACTCCGTCTCGTAAAGGGCTTTCCTTTTCCATCTCCTGTACTGTACATCTTCACGGTCGCATCTCCGGCCATCTTGCCCATGGATATAGGTCGGACGGTATACCGCCCGAAGCGACAGGCTTAGACGGACCTCTTTCTTCACCGCCGGACCCGGCCTACTGGAATCCAAGTCTCGCTTTCACTCGTTGCCGACAATCTGTTTCTGTTGCCCTGACGTGTCGATGTTGCTCTCGCCGGACCCGTAGATACTAGGACTAAAGCAGCATCCTATGTGCGCTCGTACACCTCGAGTCGAGTGGCGGAATAGACATAGATAAACATAGGAGGTAACGCCGTTGGCCCGATACAGGGACACGTGCCCCAACGGTGCAACCAGGTTACTACGGCCTTATCAACGCATATCCTTATTTCGTTGCACCACTGAACGACTACGTGAGTAGGGTCTGCTGCTATGCACGTTATGTGTTCTCTCTCAGCAAAAGAGCGTCTTCGTCTATTGCCCTTTTTGGTTGCTAAATTCTTGGCCATTGCAGTGACAGGGATAGAACGTTCTTGATGACTTTGTGATACTGGCGCACCGTCTATGCGCAAACATTATCGGCAAAACGATTGAACATGCGCATTACGCAAAACGATACAGTGCAGCTCGACTGTCAACGTCCCGATCTTGCTACGACACGACTGCGCTATGGCGCTTCAATAGCATAGGTCACCTGCGTACAGAGGATAAGGCAGTAAGAGTGTTATCAAGTCGAGGATATCGTTTAGTAATCTAGGAGGCTGAGACCCTTGATGGTTGTGCAGTCTAGTCTAGCATCTGTTTCTAATCTTTTGAAAAAAGGTCCATGTGAGTTGCACCGAAGGGTACAAAGTCAGACAGCTTCAGCACAGGTACTTGTTAGGCTCGAGAAGCTGGACCGAGAGCCAAGCTCACAAAGACCAAGCCATAGTGATCGGCGAAGAAGCCCATGGTCGTGCACCACTTCTGCTATCTCAACCTGAGAAGAATCGACAACAAACGACAGGCATATTTGACCGTACTACTTGAGGACGCCTTCAATGGCCAAGGGACTACCAAGTCTTTGTCAATTATATAAAGACATGTTGTCTTTCCAATGCATACTATCATCATCACTCAATTCTATCCTCTCTCAAATTTCCAACACAAACACAAGTCAAACTTCTTTATATCCTTGCTCACCGCCTCAACATGCGTTCAACTACTATCTTGTCTGTTGCTATCACTGCTCTTAGCTTCTTTGCCACGACTACGTCGGCTTGGTGCGATGTGAAAAAATTCCTTGAGGATTGCTGCCTCCGCGACGACAAGGCACGACACGATCAAGGAAATGGCTTTGCAGACGGAGATTTCTGCAATGCTGAGATTTTGAAAACTTGCGACGCGGACTGCTGTTCTATGAGCACTGGATTGGGTATTGGTTGCCCTAAGTAAGGTTTTGGGCAGGTGTTCCAACAGATGATCTTCAGACTGTAAGCTTCCTTCTACAAATTGTCATTCATTATTTAACAACATCTAGATGGGAAGTTGCCACGGATATCACTGTGGTTTTTCTGACACTCAAACACCCCAAATTATAGAGTGGAGGATGACGTGGCTCTACAAGTCTTATGCACACAGTCTGGGTACCATCTCAAGCCGAATCAATCATCTTTTCACTCGAATTCTTTCACCCTGTGATACCAAAAAAAAACACAAGATGCTCAGCTGTTTGTCTAGCCAAAGTCCAAGTGTCACGCTCACGGGCTCTATTCGCAATTATCTACCATCTAGTTTCCTGATTCTATGCCTTTTGTGATGGTGTTGGGTACATAAAAGTTGGATCACTATAGTTCCAACATGTTCAAATCAAGAGAAGGGCATATGTCTTTCGATATATCCTTTTTCTCAGATGAATATCGTGCTTGTTCTTCCTTTACACTCATGTGCAAAATGGTGGTGGTCTCGCTGGCTAAAGTGCTTCGTGGGATCTGGCAGGACTACTAGGAAAGAAGGCGTGAAGTATGTTTAACTATGTAATGTTTTACCTCTGTCTTACTGCAAGTGTATAGAATTACACAAGCCTCACACGGCGCTTCGAAAAAGTCTCTTCGGAGGACTTGGACAGCACGAACCCTGGAAGAGTACAAGCTCTGGTTCTGCTGTCATTACTCTGTATTGTCTCTCTTTATCTAATTACTTTAGCTTTTTAGATTATTAAACCACCTTCCGTAAGATACCTTCAACTTCGCTTCAGGGACTTTTCTAGGATCTGGTGTACCCGTGACTGCGATTAACATCATGCTAAGAAGCACTACCGTACAGAACGCGAAAAGCAACCCACTAATCCATCGAAGTCTTGGCAACACCATAAAGATAAATGCTAACATGGCCTCAATCGCACACACCCCAGAGATTACGGAGCCTTGGATATTAAGTTAGCTTTCCTTTCTGCAGACTTTGCCGTCTTCGTAAATGGCGCGGGACACTCACGGTTCTTTGTTGCGTCAAAATTGGGATTCTGCTTTATGTTCATTCGCGTTGTCCGGCTACCGACCTCTTTGTACAGCACCCATCCGGCCTGGTCTCCAAAGACGCTGAAAAACATGTGTGCTGGATAGGTACGTAGCTCGCGCCCCGAACCGACCGTCCAAAGGCTGGCTATGTTGCGTGACGCTTCAGATTCTACTCCGTATTGCGTGCACAGGACGTCCGTGAGGAACGCGCGGACTTCTACCGACGTTGCACTTTCTGAAGGCAGTGGAGGGTCGTTGGACGCGCATGTCAAGCTGTCCGCCTGCTTGTTGTTGTGATCTGCGTTCTCTAGATCACTCCGCGTGCCCGTGCCTGTGGGCTTGGCCGCGTGGGCTCGGGCCGCCATGGCTGTTACGAAATGACGACGAGATCGGTTGAGGGAGTGGACAGCCTCGCTCTCTTTAAGCGGTTGACAGCACCTGCACTGCGTCATGCCTCTCCACTTTTGAGAATACATGCCAAGCCATCCGCGCGGAACGTACGGCGCGCCAAGGCACATGCAACTACTATCCCGGCGTGGCGAGGAAGAACGGCACTGCACGCGACGTCAACATAAACTTCTAGCAAGAGAGTTGCTCGCAGGCAGATCAACAAGGACCCACTTTTGCTATACAGCTAATTAATTTATCTTGGCACTCTTGCAAAGGATCCCACTAGAGATCCACGCATGCATTGCCTTGCTAAAATTCTAAAACTTGTCAACTCTGAAGGCTGTTTGATCTTCGAAGAATATAGTTCGTTCTTAAAATTCTCCAGCATTGATAAGACCGGACCTTGAATTGATAAGAAACAATTTTCTCGATGACTTTGTTTTCCATTAAAAGTTAGTGGTTGTAGGATGAGTGAAAAAGGTGGCCTTATTGACCTGCCCACGAACAAGTCCCCTCCAGCAAGCAGCTGTTTCTGAGGATAACATTCCATGTGCAGTACCTACTGCACCGTCGTCAACTTCTTTCGGGCATGATCTTTCTTTAGGAAGGAGCGAGCAAGCTTTACTGTGCAATACAACGCAGAGTCGAGTCTGCCCCATCACTCTAGCTGTTTTTAAGTCATCCTTTCAACAACAAGTGCTTACCCGCCCTTTTTATCCGCACACTTTTGCTGAGCCGATTGCTTGGCCTTCACAGGTTCCGCGGTTAAGCCGGAGCGCTCCTTCATGCTCGTACATCACGGCTTCTCTATTCTCGTCATGATTAACCACCTGAACAGATCATCCAACAGACACTTCCCACAGATTTGGGGCGTAATACGGTTCGCTTGCAGTGCTTCCTCCAATGAGGTTTCGGAAATATGTTACTCAAGAGCGACTTACAGGAAAGGCGCATCGATCGAGGTCTTGATATCTTGGAGGATATCTTGGTGCTTTATCACTTGACCGCGATGATACAGCGCACCTGCGCCGTCGGCAGCTGGAAAGGTCTTGCAACTGGGCCTGCGACGAGGTATAAAGGAAGAGCCAAAGTGCCAGCAATCCATCGGACACACATTCCCATCCTCAATCCACTCTCACACCACTCTCTATCTCAAACGTCTACGAACTCGACTTCTCCAGACAAATTCTTGCCTTCGACACAATGATCTTCCTGCATGTAGCACCGCTTCTGGCCTTTACCAATACGGTTGCTGCCTTCTCTTTGACATTCTACGTAGGCGATCAGTGTCGCGGTGAACGGCTTGGTGGCTTCGACGTCTCAATTGAAGACAACTGCGTACCTGACGATTTATACAGCACGGCTTCTTCATCGGTCACCATTACTCGACAAGATGGGGACCAGCTCGACCACATGCTGTACTTCTTCGAAGGCGACACTTGCGATATAAACAACCCTGCTAATCCTGTTGCTGCCGGTAACACGGGTTGTATCAATGTCGGATTCGGCAGGAACGATTTCTCAGCCGTCAGAGTTTTCGGTGGAGGTGGCAGTCCACAGCAAGTCGCTTCGCGTAGGACACGCACGGCGGGCAATAGACGAGTCGCTCCTCGCAGGGCACGATCGGTGGGCGAGCTCCAGCACGGCGATGTATTTGAGCAAGACGGCAAGGACTACCGCTGGCAGCAGATTGCCCGTGGCACCTTCACCGGGGTGCCTACGGACAAATGGGATACCGCATTTCGAGTGATGAACGATGAGCCCCTGATCTTCAACGCAAGCTATCCTTTCAATTTTGAGGAGTACTACATGGCCAACCCCAATATGGCACCCCGAGGTCGAACTCAGAATGACAGCCCAGGTGTGTCCCTCGCCGAACGACCTGACGCTATGCTTGTCCCCGAACTACTCCCTTTCTGTCGACGCGCGTATGAATGCGTCGTATATCTCCCCTGGGCTGCCAGCATATACTTCCCAGCCCAGACAGAGTACGTCGTCAATGCCATAGAAGCGGCACGTACCCAGGCCACCCTAGAAAACCTCTGGAACTTCCTCCTGCAGCCCGTCATCATCCCCATCGGCACAGGTGTCGCTACAGGCTACATCTCCGCCCAGCACTTTTCCTCAGGCTCTGCCAGTGAAGTGCCAAGTACCTGCTCTCAAGCAGAAGACACCGCTGTACTGGCTGCACTGATCAATAGTGGCGCCGTCACTGAAGACCAAGTCAACGCTGTGCGTGCTGAAATTTACGACTCCAACGCTGCACAGGCAGCGACGATTGCCGTGGCCATCGTGCCGGAGTACGTCAACAGCGGGAATCAGATCTGCGGTGCGCCGATCATGGGCAACACGCTTGTTGCAGCTAGTGATAGAAGATGAAAATGCAATAGAACTGAGGAGATTGGTGATACGTAGCGTAGAAAGTGGAAAGGATGGTGGTGTGCCGCCTTGCCTATGCCTAGGTATCCTTACCTTGCCCATGGTCTTGGAGAGCCTTTGAGCATGACAGGCAGATAGGGGTAGTATATATACTTAGGTAGTATGAGGAAGTTCAAACCAAGAGAAGCAAATTTTTCTTCATGAACATCTTTTCACTGGATTAGATGTATGCTTCACACCGTCTCACCTTTTCTCTTCCGCCTCTTCCGAACATCCCCTTCTGTATAAAGAATCCAACTCCCTCTCATACATCCTAGCCATATCCACTTTCCTTACGCTTCCCTTCGCGGTTCTTAAAAAGGGTTCTTGAACCAGAAGTACCATGTTTCTCTGCACCCTCGCGTAGACCGGCGAGCTCCCATTGACTTCTTCAATCTTCCCCCATAGCGCATCATCCACTACCCCACCATCTTCCAATCTCAACACAAGCGCCGCTTTCGGTCTGCGCGTACCTACAAGCAGCGCCTCAGCCACCTCCGGGAACCCTGCAATGCGCTGCTCTGCCACGGTAGGATAGAACTTTTCGTTCGTAAGGAAGACTAGAAGATCGTCTGCGCGACCGTAGTGTTTATATAATGTGGTGTCGGAGGGATGCTGGATAAAGAGATCGCCGAGTCGCTTCTCGCTGCTGTCTGGGTAGAGTTTAAACCAGGGTTGGACGTAGCCGTCCCAATCTTTCCCGTTGTTGCGCTTCATTATGGCTTCGAAGACGGTGTGACCGGATTCCGAGATGGAGACGGGGTCGAAGTGGATGTTAAATGCGGGGTGGAAGGCGTAATACTCCCATTTTCCATCTGAAAAGTCTTCTTTCTTTTCCTGTTCTTGGTCTGTGGCGTTGGTGTTGTAGTCGATGCTGCGTGGGCGGATAAGCGGCCACAGACCCAGTTCCGTAGATGCAATCGCGTTGAGGAGTTTCATCTTGTGTGAGATTGCGTCCCCGGCTTCACGGACTATGCTGCCGCCGCCGTAGCACAAACCATGTGCACGCTGGCTCAACCTGTGCAGTTTTCCGGGGTATCTGAATACATTTTCGACGCAGGGTGGTACCATCACTACCATGTCTACTACCCTTTCGACTTTTTCTTTCGCTGCATCACTGTTTGCAACATGCCTCTGTTGAGCCGCATATAGCACGTCTAGGCCTGAGAGAGTGGCATCTACGGCTCCCTCTGGCGTCGTGTATGCGGGTGGATAGATGGGCGTCACGCCGACGAGGAGAGGTAACAATATCATGAATGTGACGCCGCTAGCATGAAATGGAGGCAAGGCGGCGAATACTCGGGTTCCTCGACTCGCATTATATAAATCATCGTCTGAACGTCTGAAACCACGAGTGGCGCGTAAACGGGTGGTGCGCGAAAAGCTGCTTACCCAGTCGTGTGTATAAGGAATTGGTTTGGGAAACCCGGTTGTGCCAGACGTATCTGTTTTCTATTGTTGGTTGTGATTTCTCTCCAATGAGCAATTTGATTTGGGAATGAAAATTGGAAAGTTGGAGAGTCAGGCCGACTTACGCAAACATAACATCTCCTCATCTTTGCACTCCTCAAACGTCTTCATGAACGGATACTCGTCCACCTTGCTTGCGAAACATTGGTCAACACTTGGTATCTCATGGCTTTCCAGCTCTATTTTCTTCAAAATCTCGGTCACGATGGGTAGTGGCGTCTCGGGGGTTAGCATAGCTTCCGCATCCACAGCTTCAATTAACTTCAATAGAGCTTCGACACCATATCTCGGCGACGGGAAGAGCATCTTTCAGTGCTTGTCAGCGCCAACCAAAAAAACCCACTTATTTCTTCTTTTGGGAATCTTGTACAAAAGAACACGACTTACTTTGTACCCAGTGACTATACTTGCGAGAGATAGTACCACATATCGTATGTCGTTTGGTCCGATGTATACCAACGTTGCTTTTCCATTCTTGTTGCCTTCTTCCAACCTCCCTACATTTTTGTCGATCCACCAAGCTAAAGTATTGACGGCATTTGCAACATCCAAATATGTGAATTCGCGGTAGCCTTCTGAGATGTCGTTGGGGTTGCGCGGGAACTCAGCATAAGTGATATTTGGGTACTGTGAGGCTAGCAAGCGAAGAATGTTTGGAAGCGTGGTAAAATGAAATTCGGGCCAAGGAGTGGGGCGGGCCGCCATGATTGATAGTCTTTTCCGTGGGAACCGGTGTTGGTGATGGACTGTCAAAAGAGGAACGAAGCCGCTGGTACCAACTGCAAAGTCAAGAGTAAACGGACTTTGGACATAAGAGCAATATATGAACACAATCTACTAATCACTGGCGTGATTGCTATATTAACTCGTGGCATACTTCGCGCTAAATATTGGGGTCCGTGCAAAGTAGATACGTACGTAGCAGTCTGTCAGACTTGTGACTTCTTGCACACTGACTTCCGCCATTGACCCAGTATTTAACATCTTATAGCAGAAGAAAAGGTACCTAAACATACAAGTAATAGTCAGGCAATTACATGTTAATGTTGCACTCGCGAGGAAAGGTCGTGCCATGAAAGAGTATTGTGAATGCAAGGGTGTACGTAAGCTGGAGATTTTATACTTGGTGGTTGATTCACACTATCATGCTTTCGGTATGTAGCAGTGGAGTCAAAAACTAAGCACTAACCATGTGGTGCTCGGGATTAGCGGAATGACGATACATATCAACTATACAGAATGTGGGGCAGAACATAAGCTTTGCTACCCGTGCGTTACCCCTCAATTGCTGTTTCCAACCCGCCGGAAAATTCCCGGTACGCACCGAACAACTCTTGCAGTTGATGTTACTGCACTGTGTTCTCGTCGCGCGTCTTCTCCTCTGCTTGATATCGACATTTTTAATTCGGCACCGATGTGAATTGCGCTGCGGCTGGTATATCTACCTGCGGCGAAATCATGTCTCAAGATTTCTCCAATACCCTTCCACTCCACATCTCTCCATCATAACAAGCTAATGTTCTACGTGGTCCGTTTATGCTTAACAATACTCGCTGTACTAAGCCGCCGAAGTTCCTAAGCGATCGTCTAGTGATAGAGATGACCATCGTCAAAAGTCTAGAAAGGGATACAGCGCCGAATGTGCCAATCGGTAATCACGAGTAAATCGCATTGACATTGATTCATGAGCACGCACTTCATTACGAAGATGCTTCTCGTTGCAGCATTTCTGCTGCAGGCAGCAAGCGCTATCAACATGACCATTTACAACCCGCAGTATGGAGTCGATTATGCTTTCGGCTCATTTCACGAGCAGCAGACCTTTCTTTTAACTTTGAATCCCTTCTCTATTCTTATCCCACAGCGTGGTAGACTCCTTTTCCAAGCAAAGATTTTCAAGCTAGGATTAAATATCTGCGGATCTCTTTGCCCTAATTAGTACTATAGCTAGGTTAAACCACACTATATTAGGTATTGGGGAAGTTGAAACATTGGTGATGCTATGCTACTAGATGATAGGTGAGTTGTCTTGAAGGTAAGTCGTTCGTTTGAAACGACAGATACTTTAGCTCTGACTGCAGTGAGTTTATGGTTGTTTGACTAGAAAGTAACATTGCTTGCTCGAATTCCAAAGTCTGCTGAGCTACGATCCTGATGATATAGAAGGCTGTGGATGATCCGTGATACATATAGATGCGAGGATCGACTACTATACTCGACTGTTGCATGGTCTAGGAAATCTTTGCGACCGCTCATTTGGTGACAAAAGTGAATTTTCAATTTCTGCAAACTTTCGAACTTAGACCTATTCGCTAGTCATCACGCTTATTTCTCACGAGTCCACGGGCCGGGCTTTACGAATGTAACCCTTGAATGAACAACACTGTTATTGAGCAAGTGAAATGTCCCTTTCTTATCTCCTACTATTAGAAGCTTTTTGTCTAATTTTATGATTAAAATAGGCCCGCGCCACGTTACGAGGCACTTAGTGACAGACATGAGGTCTGGTGTCGTTTAAAAACCCGTAACTGCACTATGCTTGACTCTAGGTCTACACCCACTAAAACAATATCCTTATCGATGTTGTAGGGAATCTCAGCTAAGCTGTCAGACTCATTGCTTCGGCACGCCTCAATCTACACATGTCCGACAAAGTATACACAAGCCTGGAATGACTCGACAGTGAGACCCCACTCGCGAGAGCTCTCGCGATACTCATTGAACGAGGAAGTAGTAGTTGCCATCAATTGATAATTGAGACTCATACTCCCACAGAAACCACAAATGCCACATCAGGCCGGAATACTAACGCCAGCCAAATGATTTGTTTCGATTGCATTCGTCTGCGAAACACCACCCTTCCTGATGGGCGGCGAGTGTTCACCGTTAGAGAGCTCGGGAACAACATCTGTTGTTCACACACACACACACACACACACACACACACACATACGCAATAAACTTGCGCAACGGCGCGATAGTCGCTTTTCTAGTGCCGCGAATCCCGTCAGTTATAGTAGCTTGTACCATTGCAGAGTCTCGGAACGGCCCGATAAATGACTCGTTGTATGTTCCTGCATACTATCAAAGTGGGTCTCTTAACTTGACGCATACTAACGAGCGCGAGTCTAGACGCTGCATATGATACAAAAACACTATCAACCAGCAACAGTATTCAGAAGCGATATTCCGCAGACCCTTCGGTCATCATTGTTGTTCCTAGTGAGCAACTTCTTTCCTTGCTTTCCAAGGTTAGTGTAGGCTTTTCTTACTACCTAGGTAAGCACCTTGCACTTTGTCATGGAGGTTTACGTACTCTGTATACCCAAGATATTCCAGACAGCTATACAGCCATTCTATCTGTTAGAAACAATCTTCTCGAGTTATGAAAGGCTCGAGTACGTATTGGTGGGGATGCCATGGGAGCATTTGCGGATTCAGGCGAAGCGCAAGTAATCTGGGGCTGTGTGACAACGTACAAGTGTTCGGATAGCGATCAGTAGAACGGTCAAGTATATGAGGCTCTAATGCCTGTACGTCAGCTCTATTTTGATGTCGATATCGGGAAAAATGAACGCAGTCTGTTCTTCGCCCTTCATTTACTGACTTATTAATAACATTTCGACGTCTTTCTTTTCCTCAAGACCAATACTCCATAAAGATCGAGCCTTCGATCAATGGTTGCTTATTTCTTACTAAACTTGTACAGTTTGTATTCAGCAGCAACAGCACAGGGTACGAGTAGATTAATGCGTGGCGGAAAGCGTAGATGACGAAACATATAGGGAAGAGCTAGAACAAGAAAGATTTCATCTCAGCATTAGAACAGTGTGATACCACTTGCTTGAGCAGAATCTGCAAGCGGCATAAGATGAGCAACGGTATTGGCAGGCTCTGGCTCTGCCGTCCAGGAAAACTTGTTACATGACGAGCCGATAGGCTTATTTCACTGGCTCCACTCTTGAGATGATCTATCTCCAGTAGCCAGATCTTTGAACCACGTTTATAGTCGATATGCCACTTTCCATAGTCCCTTCAACTGACTGAAGTAGCAAAAAACAGGCTCTATAATTGCTTGAAGAATTAACATTGCTTGCCTAGCGTGCGAAGTGTGCTGAGCTATGCGTCTTTATAAATGTTAATGAACCGAACGTAATGAACAATACGTGTTACATATGAATGCGAGAACTGCAAATAAAGGCAAGATAGTGACATGTTGAATATCCATTAAGCCGTACAAGTATCGTATCCTACAACCTCCGCCCTTGCCTCCTCCTCCGTCCCCTCCTGTCTCCGTTTCCTGAGAATCCCTACACCAGGTCGCAAAACCAGAAATCCAGATCAGAGGCCACAGTTGAGTAGTTGCACATTGATCAAAACGCCCTGTTACAAATACATATTAGTATCGGCTTTAGAAGAGTGAAGCAGGCACTTAACCGGATCGCATGATTGGAAGTGAAAAAAATGGTATCGTAAGACTGAGCGTGGGGAAAAAGAAACAACTTACTTCTGCGGCCTGGGTGTTGCAGCAAGTCACCGAGCCATCACAAGCGCCACCAAGCACCTGAACACTGCAGGTCAGGAGACCGAGCAACCCGTTGTTGCAGCACACTTGTTTGTTGTTTCCGCCGCTGCATTGGTTTACATTTCCGTTGTTCGTGGGCGCAATGCTTGTAGGCACTGCCGAAACAGCCATAGCCATGGAGAGGATAGAAACGATGATGGACTGCTTCATCTTGAAAAGTTGGGAATGGGGAACAAGAATTTTGTGGATTTGGGAAAAGATGATAAGGATGAATGGCAAAGAGAAGTGTGCTTGGTAACTGTATGCCTTTTGCGTTGTTCGGATGGTGAGTGGACAAGTATGAATGGTGGTAGGTTCTTATATCTTCGTTGTAAGAAGCATACAGACCCCCTCTCTCTATCACGTAAGCACTACCGGTTAATAAGGGCTGTCATCTGCTACGTCCTGCTATTAGAGTTTCATGAGAGAAACTTTAAGGAGCAGCAAAGAGTATGGAAGGGAGCGAATGTACATCTACGGCCGTTACCATGATTGGGTAGGAGAGGGGTTCCCATGTGTTTCTGCAGGCACCGATTCGCATGTCTCGCGCTTGCTCGAGGACCGGCGCTTGAGATCTCGTCTCTACAGCCCTTGAATCTCCTTTCTTTCATGTTTGCATTGACTGCACAAGGCATAGCTGACCCCATACTCTTCCATCCAAGGTGATTGAGGCGATGATGCCCCCTAGGGAACAACCTCTACATCTTTAGAAGCACAAAGACTCCTTCATTGAAACTCGGCTGTCCCCGGATGTCGACAAATCAGTCTTCGAGCCCCCTACGTTCTCTCTGTTCTTGGCAATAATCTGGGCATAAGCCGGGCAAGAGAAATCCATAAAGGTAAAAGATCCATACGTTCCGAGGTTACATTATCACCGTCAACAAAAATTACAGGATGGAAGAAGAGAAGCCAACATTGTGGCAGGGCACAGGTTGTGAATAGTAGCGGATTACCTTACACGAGATCGGGCCTACATCCTTTCCGATTACAGCTCCATGCCAGTGAGGCGACTTGGACGTGGTGTGTCTAGAGCTATTCTGCCGATGCACAAGGATCCCTGGTGCGGATATACACGATGCTCAACCATCCAAACTCATCTAGGGATAGTACTTGCTATGATAGGACTCACTAAAACGTCTTTATTTAGAATTAACCTCATCTTCTTACGGACAAAGGAAGAGAAAAAGTGGTTGAGCCAATATTTACTTCCCTACCCCTGGCAAACTTCATTTACCTAGCAATCTCGGATGTGACGAGTGATTCCTGTGCCTTGACCATCTGTATGGTTGTTGGCGTGGCCAGTGTCATCTGTATGACCAGAAGCCTTTCTTCCACTTGTGAATGTCACAGCGTTTGATTGAGCCGATTCCGATGAATACCGCGATGACCGCCTCGAACCGTACTTCTCCCAACGCGAGCCTAATCTCTGCATTCCTCCCCTTCGTCTATTAGATGACGAGATGGCCTTGGAGAAACACCTGGTAGTACAGCAATTCATCTTCCTAACCCTAGTGTTGTGTGGTATACGTGGTTCGTAGAGACCTGTGAGCATGGACATATATGCGATGCGACTAGTCGTCAACGGATCATCGCATCACCCCCCTTGGGCTCACTTGCCACCAAAGAACGCGGTAATCTTGCGTGTCCCATCGGTCTTGGATGTCTTTGCTGCACTGCCGTTGCTCGTGGCGCTCCTGGTACCCTGCTTCTTTGCAGGCGTTGAAGTCTTCTTTGCAAGACTCTTGGTGGGCGACGCAGTCGCAATACGTTTAGATCGCGGCTCGCCTTCCGCGCTACTGGCGACCATATCCTCGTCTTCGTGCTCTCGCTTGATGCCTTTTGACTCACACGTCCCAGGTACAGGCAACGGCGCATTATCTTCGGTAGTCCCGACTCGGTCAGTCATAGCACGCGTCTCATCGTCGTCGTGCTCGACTTTCACCATGTTCGTTCCATGAGCCGCCTTGGATTCGGCGGCTTTCTGTTGATTGCCAAAGAAGTTGGCAATGTTGTTCTTGTTCGCCGCGCTGTTTATCGGTACGAGGAAAGAGGGCGAGTTGTTGCCAACCTTGCCAACGTCTTTGCTGACCGGGTAGCATTCCAGCTCACCCTCATACGGTTTCAACAGCTCCTGCAACTCCTTACTCCATTCCGTTCTATTTGGGTCGAGCCAGGTCCGCACTGCATCAGACCCATTGTCCAATATGACAGGCATGCGATCGTGCAGGAAACTGAGCTGCTTGTTCGAGTCGGTGGTGATGATGCTGTAGGTAAAGAGCTTCTCGCTAGAGTCTTCAAACTGCACACTGTCCCACAAACCAGCGAAGCACATGAGCTGACCGTCCTTGCGCTTAGTAAAGTGTGGTATCTTGTCCTTGCCTCCGTTCTTCTTCAGCCATTCGTAGAAGCCCTGTGCGACGATGATGCAGCGCTTCTTCTTTTTCATGGTTGTCCACATGCCGCGATCTTCAATAAGGGAATCGTCGCGGCAGTTGATTGTCTTCATCTTGGAGCCATATTCTGGGCTGCGCTTTGTCCAAAAGGGCACGAGTCCCCACTGCATAGACTGCAGCTTGTACTTTGTGTCTTCGGTCGCACCTTCCTGCTGGTCACCTGTTTCGGGGCCATCTGCTCGGTATACGAGACCGTGGTAACCGGGGGCGAAGTTGTAGCTTTGGCGCACGTTACTATCGTCGTCGGGTGCCTCTTCTACCGGCATCTGCGACTGCTCGAGCTGCTGGCGGACCTCAGAAGGCCGCTGGGAAGCTTGTCAGATGGCCCATGGGAACTCGTGTCAAGGCGCATACTCACCAGGGCCAGCACGTAGCGACCACACATGGCAAATCGACTCTGTGCATTGCCCGTGAGGTCGAGGCTGCGGGAAGGCAACGCGACGGCGGCGCGTTGATGGTTGACTACGTCATGAGGCTTGTCGTCAGCCCTACGCGGAACTCAACGCGACGCGTGGGGCACTAAAAGTTCGTTCCGTCATGCACTCGCTCCACCAAGCGGCCGCCGCATGCCACCTCGCACGTCTTTTTGTTCATTGCCCGGCGCACAATGTTCAGCACGACCATAGCCCGAGGAGCGGCGCCCCGAACGAGCGCATTCACACTCGCACGCTGCGAAGCGCGAGCTTCCCTGACAACGCGATGCACACCACCACGACTGCCCGCTAAGCCATGGCCGCGGCGGCCAATACAGCAGCAATTGAGTCGCCGCTACCGGTCGACGATGCGCGAGCAGTTCTCAGAGCAATACCACAAAAGCCCCGTCTTGTTTCCCTTTGCGATTGCGACCATCGCGCTCGTGGCGGGTATCTGCGTCTTCTACATACCCTGGTACTACAAAAACGTCATCATAAAACCCTACCACAACTTCCCCGAGCCCGTCGCCAAGAAGCTGCGGAAAGCCTTGTTCTATTCTCGCGGGAAATGGCTCGATATTCGCGAGGCGAACAAGCATTTCCGGCAGGCGCTTGCCCTTGCTGATGAGATGGGCATGGATCCGTTTAGCGACGAGATCATGGGAGTGAAATACACCATTGCCGCCTTGTTCGAGGACGCCGGGTACTACAGCCTGGCTATCGATGTGTTGGAGATTATGCGGAATGACTGCCAGAAGTGGGTCGACGAGTTTTCGGATAAGCACTGGACGACGGGGAACAGGAGCAGGGTGAAGAAGAATATGGTGCAGATTAATCTCAAGCTGGGCCAGCTCTACGACGTGAGATATGTCAATGAGCCGGAGAATGGAGAAAAGCGACTAGTCGAGGCTGTTGAGAGTGCGCTCAAGGAGCAACAAAGGCGGGAGAGGGACGGTGTTAAGAATGGCGAGGGGCCATGGCTGACCAACGATGAGATGGGTGGAGTGCTAGAAGGTATGATGATACGATGTTTGCCTTGGTGTATGCATGCTAACGTCTTGTAGCTCTTGGAACACACTACGAGCAATTCGACTCACACTACCTCGCTGCGCCGCTGTTCGTCAAGGCGCTCCAGCTCTGCCCACCAACATCATGCCACAGCGTCGTCCTAAGTACGTACACCACGCCCCCACGCTCCTCCATACTAACAAATTCCACCACAGTGAACAATATATCCACCTGCCTCGTCCAACAAACTCCTCCCTCCACCACCGACGCCATCACCATGGCCCCCGAACCCTCCGACTTCCCCGTCTCAAACTCCGCTCCCCGCGCCCTCCTCATAGACCAAGCGCGGCAATGGGCCGAGCGCGCACTAGCACAAGCAGCACACATCAAGGCGCCAGAGCGGAATGAAGAGTGTGATGTGGGCTGTGCGGTTGCGACACATAACCTGGGTGAGTTTTTCGAAATGGAGGGCAAGCTTGGTGAGGCGCGGCAGAGGTACGAAGAGGCGGCTAGTCTGGCCAAGAAGATGGGGTTCAAGGACGGGTTGGTGAATGCGAGAGCGGGTATCAAGAGATGTAAGGATTTGGAGAAGGCGTGATGGGTGAGAGATTGGGAGGGAGTGGACGTGGTGGATGGGAAATGCGTCACGTGCTGCTGGCTTGTAAGATGGGCTGGATGGTCAGAACTATCCGGTACGCGCGTATGCGCACATGACACCAGGAGCGGTAGGCCAACATCAGTGTTTGTCGATATCTAGCTGCTTCAGTATTGCAGTATCGAACAAGAATAACGCACATCTCCCCTCCAAACAACCTGGGACAACTGAAAAATGGAGTCGGAGGAAAGTGGTCCCGACTTGGTTGTTTGATCTCACTTATCCATGAACCTCTGGTAGGCAACAGTTTGAGTGGTTCCTCAATGCATCGTACCTTCTTGTTAGCACTGGCCATGGCAGTCAGAGCGCCCTTCTCATGGCAGGTGCCAAGCCACTAATACCGACATCAACTTTGTTACTTCCACCATTTTCAAACCTACATTCCTCGTCCTTCTCAAATCTTCAAATTTCCATACGTCCATCCAACGACAAGGCCGAGAGCAAGGCTTGCAGCGAGGCGTCTTATCGCTCGTTCTGCGCCACGCACTCAAGCGGCGATTCGTCGGATAAAGCACATGCAACAACTCTTTCCTACAACCCCCACATGTTCGTCAATTCGCAGGATCGTCATGTGAAAGCGGTGATCTTTTTTGACCGGTATCTTGAGTCTGCCTCAGAGCGCCTGTAGGCTGCCTTTCATCAAAGCTGTTTACAACCATACTGTCGTACCAGCGCCTTGCCAAAATCCTGGAGGAATTGCACTACGAAAGCATGGCGCCGCTTACAATAACCGTTAATTTGTGCAACGGTGCCTATGGTTCATTTGAGAATCACGATACGACAAGTACGCCTGCAGCGAGGCGAGGTTGCTACCCCGCCTGCCGTGCATGCAGACGTCGAAGATGGTGAGTGCCAATTAGCGCTGGTTGGTAGACGCTTGCAGTTTCAATAAAGCCGTCAGTTCACCGGTTGGTTTTCGCACGTGGTTTGTTTCTATGACCATCTTCCTGTTTCTGTACTGTCCAATCCATATTCATATTCATATATCTAACATAGATTATAAGCGAGTTGCGAATCCAAGCGAGTTGCGAGCCCCACCAACCTTCTGCACCTCTTAAAGCATATAATTTAACCACGTAACAAAATAGTATATAGATATTAATACAATAGATTAAGCAGTACATACAGTATCTTTTTTACACGTACGTGCGTTGTGCCTAGGCTCTCTGCACCTGCTACAGCGCGCTAAAGCCTAGCGGCTGAGGCCTAATTGCTCTCCACCTTGACGCTCCTCACGAGCAATCTGCTAATTAGCCTCACATTAAGCAATTATATCCTCTCCAGCTCCCTTTGTTAAGACTCCTCGCTTCTGTATACGCTTCTTCTTACGCTTCTTTTGCTCTAATACTGCCTTATTAGCCTTCTTAAGGCTAGCAATCCAATCGCGCATTAGCTTAGCTAAGAGCATTATTATCTCTGCTCCTTTCTTAAGCTAGTTGATTGCTTTAAGAATAGAAGCTAGTGACGAGCTCTTATGCTTCCTAACGCGCTCACGAATTAACGTTAATTAAGCCTCAAGCTCACGTACGTTGCTTAGTGTACGAGCCTCCCAGACAGCCTCTGGCAGAGCAGCTGGAGTAGGCGTACGCAGCTTTACGTCTAGCTTTGACAGGACAGCGTCTGGCTGGAGAGGGACAAGGCCTGCGCCTCTAAAGGCTAAGCAGATATTAGCTGCCGTAAACGCGCGATTAAAGGCTACCTTAAAGGCTGGCAGAAATTTAAGCTTAGTAATGTGGTTAATGCGGTAGCGGATTAGAGCCTTAATCTTACGGCTATAAGCGCGCTTTAATAGCGAAAAGCACCCAACGTCAAGCGGCTGCAGTAGGTGGGATAAGTGAGGCGGCATACAGAGCGTGTAGATGTTGTTCTCCTTGCAGAGCTCTTCAAACTCAATAGAGTGGTGGCTCCTATGGCCATTAAGGACGAGCAGGCGACGGGCACCTATAACGCGAGTCTTCGTGTGAGCATTAAAATGCTTCAGCCACTCGACTCTAAGCTCGTTGTTCGTCCAGCCGTTGTCGCTAACTGCGATCGCCTAGTCGCGTAGGATCTCTGCCTCCTCGTACTAGGCAGATAGGTGATACTAGCTAGCAAAGATAAGGAAGGGTGGGATTGTCTAGCCAGCAGCGTTAATTGCAGCAATTACTGTTACCCACTCGCGATTGCCTAGTTGAACAGCCTTTGGCCGGCCTCTTCTCTCTAACCTAGTCACGACGAGCTAAGTTGTAATCTTGCCTATTATGAAGCCAGCCTTGTTAAAGTTATAGACGTCCTTATTGCAGATGCCGTACTTTATCTTTGTCTGCTCTACAAGCTTAAACCAGCCTTGGACAAGAACAGGATCCTCACACAGAGCTCTCTGCCTATTGTAGGCTCGATTAAAACACGTCGTAAGACTGTCTGTACGCTTGACAAAGTTGCGTGGCTAGTGGACGCTAACGCGACCTGCGCTGCGCTGCGCGAGCAGCGAATTAGCTATATTACGTACAGCTGCGTACGTAGGCGCAAATCTACGCTGATCTAGATGAAGTATATTACGCACAACTACTTCCTCTTCTAGCGTAGTAAGCTTCTTTGAGTTGGGCTGGCAATTGCGTCGAGCGGGCTTGCCAGCGCGTCGGTTACGTAGTGTTGATTCGACGACATTATACGTAGCTGCAGCACGGCTAACAGCTCGTATTTGTGATGTGCTAATTGCTGTAATAGCAAGCTGGATATCTGCTTCGTTTGAAGGCATTGAAGGAATAGGTGGTTGAGAAGTAGATGTCTACGTGTAGAGAGGTGCAGAAGGTTGGTGGGGCTCGCAACTCGCTTGGATTCGCAACTCGCTTATAATCTATGTTACAATCTTTCCGCATCATGAACCGATGCGAACGCTTCACCAAAACCAAAAACTCAACATTACAATTGCAATATGGACCCTGCCAGCCTCGCCCTTACGGTCATTGGCCTCCCAGCAGCTCTTACCATGACGTTCAAGTCGCTTCGGAAAATTGTAGAATCTATCAAATACGCGAAACGCGAACTTCGAGATCTTGAAGAGGAGGTTGATCTTTTTGCCGGAATATTTGACAGTTTTCTCGATGCGTGTGACGAGGCATCGCTGGAAACCGAAGGCGCGTCGATAATAAAACGCCACTTGCGATCTTGGACGGAGAAGGTGATGGAAGGATTCGAGAACCTACTTGATCGGGTGCAGGCGGTAGGCAGGGATCCTAGATATGAGCACTCCACTATTGAAGTGATCACTGCTCATTACAGATGGATCATGAGCAAGAGCACCTTGAAGTACCTACGTGCCTGCCTTAACGTGGCAAGACAGAGCATGATCGCATTCACAAATATTCGCGTCCTTGGAAAACTGAATGAGGAACTGGCCTATCTCCAATCTGCCTTGAACTCCACGGCCGAGAGACAGAGCATCGAATTGCGACATGGAGTCAGGTTGGAGGACCGCATACAAATTGTACAAATGAAAACGTAAGTCAGGAATAGATATGGACGAGGCTTCACTAATTCATGCAGTTACAACCGACGTATGCAGCGGCACAAGATCGATAGTCGCTTATATGAAGGAATCGATCGAGTCAGAGCCTACGAGGAGAAAAATATAGATCATAATCTTGTTCCACAAGAGAAAACGCTGCTGCAATTTCAAAGATCAGTAGATCGATTCGTCGACCAGATTGTTTGCCAAGAGAAGTTTGATCGAAAGGCTCGCCGAATGCAGGACAGTAGCTCAGTACTTACGTCTGATTCGAGTGCTACTACCCCAACACAATCTACTCAGCCTTCGGATGATCCAAGGCAAGCACCAGAGTCGCCTCCGACATCCCCCGAACCATCCATAGCAAACACTCCAATCATCGAGATACAGCCCGAAGCAGAACAGACGAACAGTATGTTGAACTTCTGTGAAAGATGCTCGGGTACATGCACCAACACTGAGGCCCACAAAACTTCCATTCGGCCATCAACTCCAGATCCACTGCCCCAAACAGTCTGGCACTATTCCCCCACTCAGCCTAGCGAAGCAAAGAGAATACGTACCCCATCCCGTCCACAGTCGCAGCCAACGTCGCAAACGCAGCCGAACAGCGCCAATCCGATGCCTGCATCAAGACTTCGTACTGATTCTCGTCAAAACTACCCACCAAAACCAAGTGCTGAGCCCGTAGAAGAAGACAGCGAGACTTCCCATGCCGATCCTGTAACCCTAGGAGAAGATGAAGATGATCCCGAAGATGGGATATCTGAAGAAGGTGTCTCAGCAAAGGAACAAGCCACAGGGTCAAAGCCAAGTATGTGGAAAGCTGTCAGTGGACAAGAGGGAGATATGCCGAGGGCTTTGCGTATATTGCGGGAGAATCGTTCACGTTAGGACTTTTGGTAGGGTGGAAGATGTTCAGTCTTCATGGTGTCTGCTTCAAAAGTAATTCCACAAAGCCCAATGCCTAAGGTCGCCGAGAGAACGGAAGCTAGAACTTCGCAATTTGGGATTCATCATGTTCTCAGCATACATTCGATCCAGATTCCGTATTCCATACGCTGCTAGTGGTATTCAGAGTGCCTATGCAATATCGGGAGATGAACACTGTATCGTGAAAGGGATGTGGATCATACCCCTTGACCGTGTTCCATGATCTAAAGCACAGAGCTCCCGCGCCGGAAATCAGACTATTGAGATGTCTTGCCTGATACTGCTAGCGCGATGTCAAACGATCCGTGCGCCGGAGCGGTCCGTGTTACTTCGGCAAACTCGAATGCAGGTACGTAGTGAACTAGAACGCGTTCTTTTCGCTACACATGAGCTGTAACTGTATATTGGTACTTCGCTTTGCCCCACTGTCGAGCGCCGAATCAATGTTTATCGAATGTTAGGATTTAAAGTCCGCATCAGTCTCGGGCCGCCCGATACGCCTGTGCACCATAGAAGTTTTGCATATCTTTAGCTCTGCTCTCTCTTTGGCTGTCACGGCGCTTCACTTTGGCCGATAGACTACGAAAGCGAAAATGTGTACACATACAGCCTCGGCCTTAGTGCGTTGACCCATGCTCCAGCCAGCCACAAACCAGAGGAAAGTGCTATTTTGGTGTCCAACCCGAACATCACGTATAGTCACGGTCCGACCTGGAAACGATGCAGCTTCTGATCTTGCGCAGAGATAGCTATAAGATGATGAAACCTGTGTGTAAGCGTTATTCAAATCGCTCTGCATTCTTACCTTACTTGATATCCTTTCGTAATCATTTCGCCTGCGCAAAATGCCACCTAAGTCTTCAAACCCATCAAAACTTGCTGCAAGGCTGCAGCCCCAGGATGGTTTCAGTCAAACTGGATTCGTCGAGATACCGAACGCTGAGGCGGAGGAAGAGAGGACGACGGAGATACGAAAGCGCTTGATCGTTTGCTGTGATGGGACTTGGTTTGCTTCAGACAAAGGCGCTAAGAACCTGCCATCAAATGTCGCAAGAATTGGACGCTTAGTTGCGAATGAGGGCGAGGCTATTGTTATCGAAAATGGCAAGGGCGTGCTCAAGAAGGTTCCCCAGATCGTCTACTACCAGAGCGGAGTCGGTACAGGTAACCTGACTTTTGTAGACAAGCGGGTTCAAGGTAAGATCAAACACCTCGTCCTTGTGATAACGGGTCGCTGATAGATGTTTACTCAGGAGCTATCGGGCAAGGGCTGGACGAGAACGTCTTCACAGCATACAACTTTCTCTGCAACAATTACGCGAACGGAGACGAGATCTTCCTCTTCGGCTTCTCTAGAGGCGCTTACACCGCTCGCGCATTATCTGGTCTTATCGTTTCCGCTGGTATCCTTCCACCAGGCTCAATGTCAAAGTTCTACAGTATGTACGATGCATATAAGAAGAAAGACAAGGGCAAAGCTTTCCAAGAGTCCGATTGGTGGCGTGATAACGCAAAGAACCTGCGCATCACTCACAAGCATGTCAGTATCAGGTTTGTCGGGGTATGGGACACGGTTGGTGCTCTGGGTCTTCCGGATAACTTCGTCTCCAAATTCTACGACTTCAATAAAGGTCTCAAGTTTCACGACACGGAATTGAGTGACAGTGAGTTATATACTGAGATTGTATGCTTCGGTGACTAATTGAGGCATAAAGAGATACGGAAAGCCGCGCATGCTTTAGCGCTAGACGAGTATCGGGGCACTTTTAATCCAACGATGTGGTACCATAGAAAGCCCGTCGACAACGGTCGCACGAAGTTGATCCAATGCTGGTTCCCAGGCTACCATGCACATATTGGTGGTGGAACAACGGATAACTTCGACGATGAGTCATCGATTGATGATATCACCCTAGCGTGGATGATTGACCAAGTCGGAGACGATCTCACGTTCAGTCAGGAGGAAATGGACGTATTCGTCGCGCAACAAACCGATTCCGAAAACCACCGATGGGGAGAAGGCATGTTGACTGACAGTGCGTCTTATGCTTACCTGGCGCCGGGCGCAGGTGGGTGGGTTCCAAGAACTCCAGGCGAGTATAAGCTGGAGATTCCAGAGTGCGAAAGAAGCGATTACCACATGCCGACAAAGTACTACGAGACAAACGAGTTCATACATCCCTCTGTGCGCTACAGGATGGGCAAGATGAAGGTGCAGCCCAAGAAACTAGGCAAGACCAAAGGATGGCTGAGTGGCGAGACTTCAATCACGAAGTATGCCCCAGCAGCTTTGAGCGGGTTCCAATTGGAAAACTCACATTGGCCTGCGTGCTGGACTAAGGCATCACGTATAAAGGGCGATCCGGATATAGAGATCCCCGAATATCAGCTCCCGGCCAAGTGGGGTGATTTCGACGGAGGATTAGAACGTCGACTGTTGCCTTCGGAAGTGATGAGCGAGCTCGATGAAGGGAACACTCCTCAGCAGCCTGTCCTGAGGAATACTGGATATGTTCCACCGCAGCTTCATGACATGCATTGAGTATCGAAATATGAGCGGACGGACGATAGCTTTATGGTGCACAGGAGAGACACAAGTCTGCAGTCAGACTACTACGACCAGATCGAAGCTTTTCTCAACCGCTTTTCTTTCTACTCATATGTTGACTCCTTCCGCGAATATCGTTTGTCATGATATCACGTGGCTGCTTCATGAGAAGAACATGGATTGTTTCTTCTGATGTCTTTATCCATGGCAATGCTTTCTACAATGCCATCAGAGTGATACACCCTGGCGTTTTGAGGTGTCAGATATTGTCTTTGTCTTATCGTAAGTGTACTTGATCAAACCAACCGAACACGGCGCCACGTCCAAGTCCCATTTAAAACAGGTCCAAGTCTTGAAAGATCAGTCAGCGCTGAGTGTATGCAGAAAGAACCTATACGCTCAGCAGTAAGTCCATCAGCCTTCCAGCAAACGACAAGCACGAAGATTGAGTGAACTACTTCCTCGTCCTCTGGGCTACATCTACCAGCACATAACGTCAAACAGGACCATACACACGTACGTACGTTCTCAACCAACTGCTCAAAAGAATATATCTGTGGAGAGTGGGGGCGATACAACCTCCGCCCAGAAACCATGAACTTCGGAATCTCTGCAAGGCTGCCAGAAAATTGGTAGACATGACGACCGTCTGGCCCATCATCGATGGAAAAGCTGGTAGCTGGTATCGTGGGTGCATAGAACTGGATTAGTGTTACGGTATCGAGCTCGCCTTGTACATCCTCCTTGAAGTTCGCGGAAGACACAACACTCTGTCCAGAAGGTGATTCTAGTCGTGCACGCCGTATATAGGGTTGATGCCTAGCTTCTAGAACGTTACGGCGCCAGAATTTCACTCCTCCGCTCCATCCATCCCAAGCCCATGAGGGGAATGTGATTTGTCTTTGAGGTGAACTATACCCATCCGGATACGATTGCCACGATAATGCAGCGGTGACTAGATCCTCAAGTCATAGTATGAGGGTTTTTTTCTGAAGGTCTGAAGAAAGGTAGGCCGCAAAGGAATTGGATAGCTGGTTGTGATCGCCGGATGTGATTCATGACACCTTTAAACGCGTCTAGCGTATCCGCGTGGTTGCTGATTCGTCGTTGACTGTACATCTCCAAGATCGACGCAAATTCATCCCAGCTCCAAATGGAAAACGCTCCGGACATTCTGTGGTCGAACTCAGTCTGGAGGATCAGGTTCAACACGTTTGGAGGAGCCTCATAATCATTGAGAGTAGGAGTTCCCATTCCTTCCATCCAATGATCTCTTTGGCAATAAAAAGACGTCTGATGGTTTGTAAATACCAACATACGCTTACTAAGGAACCCTTCTTGAAACGTCCTACAGATTGCGCGTGCCAGAGATCGCCATATCAGTAGGTTTCATAAGAACTGGGAGTACTGTGTCTATCTTACCATGCTCGAGTGAACCATTTCGATCGTGTAGTTTCAGTGTGCGGCATGATTCTATTCGCGAAAACAATGACGTCTCCAATGTAGACAACATTTCCCTCCGTGCGTTTCGTGGATCCAACACCTGGCAAGCCATACATCTTATTCGTGCCAGCTACAGCTACGATAGTGAGATCTACACCTTGATAGATCTGATCTATTCTGCTGATTTGTTCACTTCGGTGGATTTCGTCGTTCTGATCGATGCAATACTCGTCAACCCACAGGAACCGATAATCAAGCCGTAGTGTGACGATGATGGCATCTCTGATGGTATTGGGGATCCTCATAGATAACCTTGAGCCTGCGCGATATCTTTCAAGGTCTCTCTTTTGGTGTTCGACGCCCCACGCGTAACTCAGTGCCAGCCATGGCGTTTCTTGTGCTGCTTTTACAATAACCATGTTCGCGCAATCTATCAAGTTCATCCCCAGAACTCGAAGTGAGTCCGATTTGCAGGCAGTTCTGTGGCATCTTGCGCAAGTGTCCAGCCATGAGCGTACCTTATCACAGTCCCAGATCCTGTGCACGGGTTGGCAGACTTGTCAACAATCAAGCCAGCTTGATCGCTATCAAGCTGGCGCATCAAGCTGGCTAATCAATCAAGCCAAGCTGGAGTAGAGGTACAAATCAATCAAGCCAAGCTGCTGTAAGCTAGCTTGATTGTTTGGCTTGATTGGCTTGATTGGCTAAGGCCTACGCGTAAAGTTGTTGCGTTTGCCGTAGCAGCGATCACACGATACTTTTTTGGTGTTGAGGTCAGCAACTAATATACAAAAAAAATTCCCAACAACGCTGTATATACATATATATATACAAAAAAACCTCACGATAGAGCTATTACTGCCGCGATTCGAATACAGCAAAAAAAAATCTCCTAATACTACAGTGTGTCGCTGACGGCTGCCTGCTTCGGGCGACCGTGGGCGACACACTGTAGCACCAGCAAGTACAAATACAGTGGCTATTATACACCTCTACTACCGCTTGCTAGACGTAGTAGAGACGATTGTAGGCCTAATATTACTGTATATATCTATGGTGTTGAGGTTGTTGCTACAGGTAAAGGTAGATGTTGTGAATAACGAAAAAACGCGTTGTTTCAACTGCGCAATTGTACAACTACAACACAATATTTATAGTATATTGCGCTGCGTATCTCACAAACAGACAACTACAATTCAATTGCCGCTGTTGAATTTAATTAATTGTTGCGTTGTTGTGGTTGCTTTTAGTAGTTACGATAGAGGGTGCCAAGCAATACATCTCGTGCTACTTGGGTAACTATCTCATATTGTAACCGTACAACTCTGTATACACAACGCCACCCACAACACGTACTTTTCAGCTGTATCACGTACCGCCTACGCGCCGCTGTATTGCCGCTGGCTTTCTGCATTTATTGCTATATCCTTGTCGCAGTTATGCCGCAGAAGAGACGCGCCAAAGACGCTGTTACAGCGTCAACAACAAAGCGTCCTAAACCTACACCTGGCAGCACCTACAGCCAAGCTATACCTATCGAAAGCCCTCAATCGTCACCTCGTCCGTCGCCCCGTAAAGCCGTGGTTGAAGCCTCCCAGGTATTAAGTTTCGAAGCGCAATTGCGCGAGTCGCAAATAGAGGAGTATATCAACCCACCCACCGAGGGCAGCGAGGAGGCAACGATAGCAACCAGCGAGTCCAACAATACAGCTTTAGACGAGGAGTTAGAGGATAACTTCAATGGCATTGATTGGGATCGTCTCCCTCGGTTTATGAAGCCTATAGCGTCGCAGCGTCACAAGAAAAGCTGGGTCTATAACTACGGCTGGCGCGTCGCGCTGCGAAGCAATCCTCAACGCATATATTTCGTATGCCGCTATTGTTACGAGCATAAGCTTATTGACCTCGGCGTCACGAAGGTATACGAGACAACAAACTCAACGTCTTCTGCCCATCGACACCTTGGAGAGAAGAGACGCGGCCATGGCCACTAACCACCTCACGTAACAGCTCGTTCTACAACGATAAGTGTCCTCCAACAAGTACTTACTGGCAATCGGGTTAGCCAGAGTATCGCGAACGAGCTCTCCGGCTTCAACTCCTAGCGCTTTCGGCTTAACGCAGTTAGCTGGCTTATTGAAGCTAACCTCCCACTGTCTACGTTTGAATCGCCAGCTTTTCGACAATTAATATCGTCAGCCAACGTCCAAGCAGAAGCGGCACTGTGGACGTCCCACAACAGCGTCTCTCGTTACGTTATGCGCCTGTACGACCACTTACGGCCGCAAGTCGTCACAGAACTGTCGCGGGCACAGAGCAAGATACACATAAGTTTTGACGGCTGGACGACAAAGGGTGGCAAGCGTGGGTTCTTGGGTATCGTTGCCCACTACGTTGACAAGCAAGGCGATATTGTAGACTTACCTATCGCGCTGCCGCAGTTGACAGGCGCCTACAGTGGACATGGGATGGCAAAGGTTGTTATCCAAACGTTGAAAGAGTTCGGTATAAACGCTCAACGTATTGGCTACTTCGTACTCGACAACGCAAGCAGTAACGACACCGCGATAGACGCAATTGCGCTAACAATGGGCTTCAACCCACGCCATCGCCGCCTCCGTTGTAGTCCTCATACAATTAACCTTGTCGGCCAGATGCTCCTCTGGGGAGAAAACAGTGCCTCGTACAACAACGATACCGCTGAGATTACTGCTGAAAGCGAGTATATGAGCGAGTGGAGGCGCGATGGGCCCTTAGGCGTACTCCTAGGTATCGTCAACTACATTAAAACACCACAGCAATACGCTCTTTTTGCTGACTTTCAGCGCCTTGCCCATCGCGAGCTACTAGCTGACGCACCTCCCGATAAACGCAAGATCCTTGAGCCCGTCAAGCCTGTTATTACACGCTGGAACTCCTTCTACTCGTGCTTTGAGCGCGCTGTACAGCTTCAACCGGCGATTAACGCGTACGCCAGCCACCATATAAAGCGTATACGGGACGAGGATACCTACGCTGAGTCGCGGCGCAACAAACTGCCTCACGCGCCACACTGGATGAGATCGGACGGCCTTACAACGCACGATTGGGCGGTAGTTACGGAGTATATGGACGCTTTGAAGCCGCTGAAAGCTGCTACAAAGCGCCTTGAGGGGCGCGGCAACAGCGGGAGGTTTGGCTGTATCGCTGAAGTCATCCTAGTATTCGAGTATATACTCAACTACTACGAATCGCGCGTACTGGCTTACGAGGCCGTTGAGTATAACGCCCACGACGAGGCGCCCGAGGACCACCTTGCGATTAACATGCGCGCAGCGTGGGCGAAAGCCAGCGAGTATTACTCTAAATTAGACCTATCGCCCGCCTACTACGCAGCTACGATACTCCACCCGTATTACTGATCGTATTGCGACAAATCCTGGGGTACTGAGAAACCTAGCTGGCTTGAGTCCAACAACCTCAGTTTCCGCGGCTTGTGGGCTCAATACAATACCAGTCAACTAGCTGTACGACGCCTAAAGGTACTATCGAACGATATAGACGACGCAATTGACAGCATTATTGATCCTACAACTGCCAGCAACAGCGACGAGGCAGCTGACGACGAGTATACCTAGTGGAAGCTGTGCGAGCGGCGGGTGGAGAAGGGCAGCGAGTACGCCAACAACCTAATAAAATACTGGTTATTGATGCGGGATCGCTATCCTCAACTCAGCAAGCTTGCGCTTGACGTACTGTCTATCCTAGCGTCGAGCTGCGAGTGTGAGCGTATGTTCAGCGAGTTGGGTGATCTCCTAGAGCCTCGCCGACGAGGTATACAACCACGACTTCTGGCGGCAATACAGTGCGTACGACGGTGGCGTACAGCTGGTCTAGGCGACGATAAACTCAACAACAGAAACTCTATAACTGACGATGAGATAGAGGCGTTGTACGGCGTAAGCGCGTGGGACGTTGGAGACAGCAGCAATACTAACAGCGATTCGGAAACTCAACTCTAAAAAAAAGTCACGATATAGCCAATACCACCTATTTGTATAGCCTCAAAAACGCTTTGACCATCAAGCCAATCAAGCCAAACAATCAAGCTGGCTTGTTTTAACCCACCAAGCCAATCAAGCTAAGCTGAAGTAGAGGCACCCAACAATCAAGCCAAGCTGGGGTACCCAGCTTGCTTGGCTTGATTGTTGACAAGTCTGCGGGTTGGACACACCCTAAACTCTGTGAAACATCGCTAGCCAATCTACAAAACACGGCACCAGATGGTGAGGTGAAGCGACCGATACGATTTGGGAGGAAAATTCTCAGCTCGATAGTACTCCGCACAATACCAGTGGCCGCGGCGTTGAAGAATGAACCCAGCTCGAACATCTTTCCCAAGTGGTCTAAAGGGGTACCCGAAGATATGAGACTGCAGAGCTTGCAATCAGGCGAATATCGAACATTTTGCGGTATAGATGGATACAAAGAAGCAAAGCGAGGATGATCGTATCGAGCATGATGAAGCAGGTGGTGGAAATCGATCTCGCGGCATGTTTCGCAGATAGATTCCCCGTCTGCAGAGGCCATCTCGAGCGATCCAAACTGCAAGCAGTTAGTTACATGTCAGACATCAACACAATGTATATAAAATACCACACTCAGATGTTCAGATGAAGAGTCGGCCCGCTGAGACATGACCGCTAACGAGGCTGGGAGTTGTGTGCAGTAATTGTTTTGAACTCAAAGCATGTGTCAACGTGATAGTCACGATGTGCTCCGCACATGAGATTCGCCAAGTAAGGGATGTAGAAGCCACAGGCAAATGTGAAGTCCCCGAATGTTATGTCGGGGGGAGAAGGCTGAGGCTTGCAGTTGGTGCCTAAAATGCGGCTCGCTTATACCTTCCCCTCAGCCTGAACGTGAAGCGACCAGATAAATAAAGAAAAGAAGTCACGATGGAAGGGAAGAAGGTATGCGACCGGGGCGAGAACGGTCTTGGTGCATTTCATTTCTTACTCATGATCCTACACGCACGTCGCAAGACCAGAACACACGCCCATACCGTGCCATTCCATTCAGCGAGACCAACTCGAACCCAAAGAAAGGGTGAGTCAAGGTCTCAAGCCAAAAAGGACAAGAGCTAGGCTATGTGCCATGGTGATGAGAGACCGCGTACGACAAGAAGCCAAAGAAGAGTAAACAAGTAGGAACCAAGAAGAAAAACCCTCAAGTCCCACGACCAGAAGAGGACCAAGGAAAAGACGCCGACATGCCCTATACCCAATGTCCCGAAACCCGATAATCCAATAACCCAAAACACCAATAACAATGCAAAAAAACCCCGTCATATCCATCCTTTGGAAAGCAACGACGACAACCGTCCTCTAATGTACACCCCTCCACCCCGCGAGCGCATTAAAACTAACATCCCCCTCCATGCCCAAACTCTCCTCATTATCCCCAAACCCCTCCCACGGCAACTCATCCTCACTCTCCTCATCTGTCTTGCCTCGACCACCTCTTCTAAACTCGACACTCTCATCACCGCCATCCTCACCGTGATGATCGCCACAGTCCGAGACCTCATGTTCAGACACAAAGCTACGAATAGTAACCTTCTTCTTCTCCTTCTGAGCAGGAGCAGCAGCAGCAGCCGTATTAACAGCCTGAGTAAGCTCTTCAACCTCCTCCTCACTAACATCTTCCTGTCCCTCAAGCACATCATGCAGCCTATAAATCTGCTGGTCTAACCAAGACAACCTACGCATCAAATCTTGAATACTAACATCGATAGCCGCACGGCGGCGAGCACCTAGGCTAGGATCGTGCTCGCTCAGCATGGCTTGCTGGACAGCTAGTTCGGCAGTCAAGTGTATGCGCTCATCGTTAAGTCCCTTGACGACCGTGGCAAGAGCCTCTCTAGGAGATTGCGCAGGCCGCATTGTAGCATCATCTGCTTCGTCGGCGGTGCTTGTGCGTTCCGACACTTTGACCAACTTGGGCACGACGAGAGCAGCAGTAGCCGTCGTGTAACCCTCGCGGCGACACACGGTACAATTATCATTGTCGTGTTCCTTGCTGATGATGACGGGCTTGGTAGTAGTAGTAGCAGCAGTAGTGTGTGTTTTCACTCCGGTAGTAGTGGAAGAAGCAAGTTTGATATCCGGTAGGATAAACGCACTTGTCATTTCCGTGGCGGGCGCACTCCGCCTTCGCCTTCCAGTGTTGCTGAGCATCGACGCATCAGACATGGCTGACTGGCGAGTTTGCGTTGCTTCGGCATCCGCATCGTCGGCGGCGGTATCTGCATGGGACAGCTTGCCTGTGTCTTCGTCAAAGTGCGTGGTGGCGGTGCGCTGTGTGGTGTCTTTGAGGCTAGACTTGCGCACAAGAGAGGGTCGACGTGAATGCGATGTGCTCTTTGCACTTGCCACGGACCGCCCTGTATCCTCGCGAGTCTGTCGCTGACTCCTCACAGTGTCTTCCCTCATCTGCTCTCCAGTTTGAGTTTTACCAGCCCGCTCATTCGCACGCTGTTCCTCCAGCTCGCGCCTCAACCGCGCGATTTCCTCCTGGGGGAAGAAGCTCAGTTCCGTGAGGCTCAGATCAGTGGGGGGTTGAACCGTCATCGTCGTCTGCCTAGTAGAAGAAGCCGGGTTCCGCGAGATACGCAGAGTGGCGCGTGGCGCAAGAGAGAGATCGGTGGTCGATTCTACATCGCTCTCTGCGCGCGCATGCTTATCGGCTGGGACAGGTGCAGAAAAGCTGCGAGTTGAGAACCTCGAATGTCCGGTGAACGACTTCCGTGGGCTTTCCTGGCTGGCAACTTTGCTGTTACGGACCTCCTGCTGAACACGACTCCTTATACGCGTCCGTGTATCTTCGCGGCGATAGCTAGGCTTGTCTTCGAAGATGTGCTCGGTATCGTTCTCTACCCTAGCTTTCCTTGCAGCAATCTCACGCTGTCGAATCTTGCGCTGTAGTTCCGCCTCTCTCCTCGCCCATTCTTCATTCTCCTCGTCTTGCTGAGCTTGGAGTTCTCGGAGTTCGTTTCGGAGATTCTCGTTGTCTAGACGCATAGCTTCATTTGTACGCTCTTGAGTCGTCGTATCCTCAAACAGCCGAATAGTATCGTCCCGCCTCCCAACCTTTGCTCTTAAACTCTCTTCCTGCCTCTCCCAGCGCTTGACATCCTCTTCGCGCTTCCTCTTCAGTTCCTCAACCTGGGCCTTGAGTAACTCATGGTCGGACTTCAATCTCGCGTACTCGGCGTGTTCTTGACGTGCCTTGCGCAGCTCCATGTCTCTGCGAGTCAATTGCTGAGTGTTTTCGTCCTGTAGAGCGCGCACGCGAGCCAACTCTGCGTGCAGGTTCGCGTTCTCCCTCTGAGTTGCGTTTGCGGCTTGGTCAAACTGTTGGCGGAGCTGGGTCGTCTCTTCTCGGTGGTGGGACAAGTCTTGTTCGAGTTGATCGCGCAGAGATTCGTTCTCGGCACGAAGGGTGTCAATTTCCTGGCGGAGTTCATCGTTTTCCTTGGTCAAGGCATTCTTTTCGATCTTGAGCTCCTCGCAAGTCTGGAACGCGACACCCAGCTGATTGGCCATGTTATCCCGTTCGGTGCTCAGACGTTTCTTCTCGATCTCGAGGACGGCGGATTTGCGATCGGCGCGATCGAGCTTCGTTCGGAGGGTCTGTACAGTCGCGTCAAGACCTGCTTGTTGTCAGTAAAGTCCTGGAACTTATGTGTTTTGGAGGAGTGTGATAGTAGACGCAAATCAGAATAGTAAGTTTTCAACAATAGTTTTCAGACAGGGATAACTGAATGATAACATTCGACATCATATTGTGCAGAGAGGAACAGACAGGAGGAGTGGCAACTTACGTGTCTTTTCGACCTTCCAGCCGCTTTTCCCGCCAGCGTCAGAGTCTTGCGCGCTGTCGCTTCGTCGGAGCTTCTCCTGAGCTTGCGTAGTCGCTCTCAGCTCGATCAACTCCAGCTCTTGCTCATCAATCTTCTTGTCCTTGTCTTCACGCTCGCGCTCCATGTCCGCAATCTTCTCCTGCAGCTGCTGGAGAGCAGCGAAGATGGCCTTTTCCTCATCAGGTATAGGCGCCCCATCGATGGGAATATGCGATGGTCGGCGACCGCCGTACGGTGGAGCCGCAAAACGTGATCGTGATGGTGCAGTCTTGGAAAAGACGGGTGTGCCATCGTCAAACACGCCAGAGACGAGCTCGGTGAGGTTGGGAAGGTCGGGCAAGATGAAGGACTGCGCAGTCGCGTTCTGTGCTGTAGCAGGCCTTGAGCGAGGTGTAGCCTTTGGCTGTGGAAGAGCATCGGCAATGCCGTCGGTTTGGAGAGAGGTCTGTCGGCTCCTGTTACCCCAGCGCGTGTTCTTGGTCGACTCCATGGTCAGTGTTGGTGGTCGATGCTCCATGAACGATGACTCGTCTTCGGAGAGCTTTGCGTGCAGCTGTGCAAGTGAAGTGCTCTTGCGGCTTTCCTTTGTGGAGAGGGCGGGAGAATTGCGCTTGCTTGCAGGACGCGGGGATGCAGTGTAGTCCAGGTCGTTGCGCGAGGCGCGTCGGATGGCCGCGTCGCGTCGAAGGCTGCCAGTGTCTGCCTGGTATGATTTACGCGATCTGTTGGTGGGGGGTGTGATGTCGTAGAGGCTGTTGAACTGGGAGCTCATCTTGCTGGGGGTGCCGCGGTTGCTGCGGTTACCTCGCGCCTGCTCGATGGCCATGCTCTCCTCGTCGGAGATGCTGTGGTCAAAGTCGCCAAACTCCTTGTTGACCATGGACGTGTCGGGCTGGACCTGCTCGGAACGAAATGGAGCCCAAGTGTTCATCTTCTTCGCGGTTGAACGAATCCGTGGGTATCCCGGTAGTGTGTTGGTGTCTTCCGCGATGTTGTGTTGTGTGGACATGAGAATGTCTGGGTCGTCAAAGAATTGAGACGTGTTGGTGCCGAAACCCGACCGCTGCGTGGGATTCGAGTCGCTGGGTGGTGGTGAGGGCGATGTGATATTTCTGGGGCTGTGACTGAGACTGCGTGAGAGTTCTCTGATAGCGCGCGCTTTCCCTTCGCTCATGGGAGGAGAGGACTGCATGTTGCGTGTTGGAATCCTGAGGCCGCGCGGGCAATCTCAAATCGTGGGATGCGCGTCGCGTGTCAAACACGTACGTAAATAGGCTATCTCGAAAGGATGCTTTGTAAAGATCTACTTCAGCTGTATCATTACCTCCAAGAAAGACAAAAAAGATTCCCAGCCCAAGTATGATGGGGCGCGTTGTGTGGGAAAGTGCGATGATTCAGTGTGGAAGATGGAGCGGGTCGGCGTGTTTACTCCAAAACAAAGCTAACGAACCCTGGCCCCACTCCAGCCACCGACGCGCTCTCGTACCAAGCAAAATGAATATACTGCTACGATGGTAATGCTGCCAAAATGCAAGCACGGCGATGTTAGGAATTACGGTACAAGACCATGATGATATAGTCTTCTCTCTTTCATATACGTTTTTCAGCAATTGGAACTAAGATCCTCCGATGTATACTTTAAACCATGAGCATATCTTCAACTATTTTATTGCGCAATATCAGTACTACAGAGGTATCACAAGTTCAAATGCATCAAGTCCAAGCCACCCCATGTCTTTTGCGCCTTTTTCGAACACCACAGAGACGGATTATAGAACATGTCTTCCTGATACCCACAACAACAGCAGCAGGAAGAAAGTCATGCCCAGTCGTCGCTACATTCCATCCCAAGCCACACTCCTCCCAGCACACAGCCTATCCACTCTCCAAGTCACACCCACCACCACCAAATGCGCGCACAAAAGCAGGACCGAGCGTCCCAACCCACCCAACCCGCCAACACGGAAGAAGTCGAGTGACGCCATGCAAAGTAACGGGTACAGTACTCGCGCATCTGCTGCAAAAGGCTGACAAGGAGAAAGCAGACTGTAAGCCTTTGCACAGAACAGCACAATTTTTGCCGCATTGACAGCCGCAGGATCCTTGACATGTCTGTAGAACCTTGCTAATGTCGTGGGTGGTAGTGGTGGAGGTAACATCAACCGTTGCGGACTCGGCGTTCTCCCTCCAGAAGGCTGCGGTGGTGGAAACTCCAACTTGCTTCCTCTCCTCAGAATGACGGCTCCATCTTCTGATGACTGTCTCCTCATGAATTCTGGACGCGGCGGACTAGGCGACCGATCCATGACGGTAGCACTAAGATGGGATCGTCCTGGCCGTGTGTAGTTTACGCCCCTGCTCTTCTTGTTGCCTTGGGTTGGCGACGGGCTGGGTGTGTCGGCTCTCGAGATCCGCGGACTGAACTCGTCCAGACCAGATGGGGCGGGGTATGTGGATGCATTGTACTCGTCGAAAACTAGAGGCGACTTTAGTACGTGTAAAATCTCTTCTGCGCCAGGCCGTTCGTCAGGGTTGATAGCAAGAAGCCTCTTCAAACTCCTGTACAATTTTTCAGGCAAATCCGATCGAACGCGTTGTTCGTCGTCGATGCCCGCCCAAGTCGATATCTCAGCACGCAACTGGTCTAGATCCTCGTTATCCTCATCAACACCATCCGCATTCCGATACGGAAGTCGCGCAAAACACATAAAGTAGACAATCATGCCAAGCGAAAAGATATCACTCTTCGTGGTGAAGTTGCCAAACGCACCACCCGGTCTCTCTTGCCTCAGCACTTCCGGTGCGCAATACGAAATCGTTCCAGTCGCTCCCGTAGAATTCCTGGTTCCAGATGCTGACTGTACTTCTCCAAAGTCGCTGACTAGGACTTTGACTTTGCGGCCAGTTCGATGGAGCAGACAATTACTGGGTTTCAGGTCCCGGTGGATATAGCCGTTGGCGTGCAGGTGGCTCAGTCCAGACGTAATGTCTTTGAAAAAGGAAATAATCTCTTCAAAGTGCATGCGACGCGGACCATGCACATCCTCTGGATCCCCCAACTGACCCTTGGACCTCCGCCGCAGTCGCTCCTTCATCTGCTCCTTTGTGATGGAAGTTTTGGCCGAGTCGAGGATATAGCTATGGAGATCGCCGCCGTTGCAGTACTGTTGCAGTATGAAAGCGCAAGGCACACTCGGTCCGAAGCTGGATATCTGGTAGTCTTCTAACCACACGTGGCGGTAGGACACTAGGTTCTGGTGGGACAAGGTCTGGAGTAGTTGGACTTCTATCAACACCTTCTCTAGCCATTCATGGTCGTCGCCCACCGGCACGCGCTTGCATGCGAACTTGCCCAGATGCACGCCATCGAGAACATGCTGGACCAGTAGAACCACGCCCTTGCCGCCTCTGCCCAGCTCCCGCTCTTCTACGAAGAAATCCTTGAAATAGTTTGGACTAAAGGCCCGAGCGGAAATGCCCTGGCTCCTAGCAGGCTGCACCGGTGTGCTCCCCACAAACTCGGTTCCTTCTGGTGCTTGGAAGCTGCTCATGCGCATGGGTGCCGGCGCCAGTTGTTTGTGTGGTGACGAGGGTCGCGACGGCTCTGTTGAGCCTGGCTGGCTCCGGCGCAGCATTTGGAAGTAGGCGGGATTGACAAAGCCATTTTCCGCGGGGATGCCTGGCACGGCATGCTCTGGCTCGTCGCTGTCGTGTTCCGAATGCGGCGACGGTTCACGGTAGGGTCGGTGGCAGTAAGGGCATGACGTGGAGCCAATGTCGGTCGCGTGGGAGGCATCGCGGAGGGAGAGTTGTTTCGAGCGTTGGTCGTAGACGACGACGGCGGAACCATGGCGACTGTAGCCGTTAGCCTCTGCTCATAACTGCCCTCCTACTCATCAGACTGCCATGGGTACCTACAGTACAATCTCGCGCGACTCGGCTGGGGCGTAGGGAATCAGCGACATGTTGGTGCGACTTGCGACGTCGGCCTGGCCGCCAGCTTCAGAGGACGGCGCAACGTCTTTGACTATCTGGCAATGTGCTGCAGTTTTTCGCCTATGCAAACAACGGCTGACGTAGCCGTCTCCACCTAGTTACCTGTGATGTGTGCAGTCGTAGCACCTCGCGCGGTGCGGGGAAGCTGTAGAGGTATAGAGATATTGGCAGGGACCTCAGTCGATGGCCCACAGACGGTGACTGAAGGCGTTGCGAGCTGCGTCGCGATTGTCGTGTACAAGTAGCATGACACTGTCCCTCAGGTAGCGCTGACTGTTGTCATGGAGTCGTCTCTTGTTTGGGCGGCGCGCGCAAGTTTTGGCGGGGAGTTGTGGGACGGCAAGGGCGACCCAGCTGGCAAGGGTCTCAGCGCAAACAAAGTGCACAACATCAAGCGGCCAGACTCACGCATTAATTTCGAGTATTTGCTCTAGTCTATCAGTCTCTCTCCCTCTTCAGTGTCTTTCATCCCTACAAGTGGCTCTTGACCAACATGCCACCCTCCCACACCTCGCCCTTCTCCAGCCTCTGCCACCCATCGACAGCACCAATCTCGACGCACACCATGTTCTTGTAGCCGTCGTCTGGGGAAAAGTCGCCCATGGCCTTGGCCTTTTCGATCCACGGGTTCCACGTGACCGTGTCCTTGACGTTGTCGCGGATCACATCAAAGCGAGGCTTGCCGTCTTCAGTAATCGATGTGGTATCCTGCTTGATGTCCTTGTACACGCGGTCCGTCTCGCCTGTGATCTTGAGCTGGTTGTCGCTCTGTGTGTGCGTAGAAGCATTGAGCACTTTGTCAATGTACTCGGTGCCAGACAGGCCCGTGATGGCAATCTTAGACACATCTTGAATCCTGAAGTACGTATGGAGCAGGAACTGGAACTCAAAGCTCTCCTCGCCTTCGTTGCGGACTGTGAGGACAGCCTGTAGGCTGTCCTTGCTAAGTGTGACGCTGTATACGAGTCCAAAGTCCAACGGCCATGCCTTGCGCGACTCGTCGCTAAGCGATTGACGGTCGAGGCCAAAGTCGAGCTTGACCGAGTTGGAGTCAAGAGCATCTTCGGCAGTCGACTTGCCCATGTACTCCCAGCGCGATGCACGAGCAAAGCCATGTTGGGGGAGCGACGACGTGGCGTGTCCGTCCTTGGGCGGAGGACCGAAGACGGGGAATACGACGGGGATGCCACCTCGTACAGGCTTCTTGCCGGTCACGTCAGCTGCATCGCTCAGCCAGAGGTTCTCAGTCTGTCCGCCGTTGCTCTTCCAGCTAGTAACGGTAGCTCCGAAGAGCAGCACCTCGATGCTCTCGCCAGACGGCAACCTTGCCACGACCTTTTGGCTACCACCCTCTCCGACAATGTCGACTTGTGGGCCGGGCGCTGAAGGCGTGGGCGCGTTCAACGCTGAGGGCTTGTTCGTGCGCTCGACCATGATGACGACGATGTGTTGTGATAGCTCGGGGTGTGGAGGGGTATAGTACGTATCGACTTTACACGAATTGTTTGTGGCGTTGATTGATTGACTGATTGCTCGAATCTGCAATTGCAACTTCAGCGTTAGATGGGGAGAGGCAAGCGATCAATCGGGGACAACGTACGTTAATTGTATCGAACTACTTGTTCTAGAAGGGACCTGCGAGGTGCTTGCGGCAAGGAGGGGCAACAGCTCATTGCCCCACCAACACCTTGCCAGCAGCAACCAAGCATCACTGAAACGCATGGCACGTTTCACCTCGACTCTCTTACACCCCACTTGGCTATTCTCCTGCAAGATAATTGGGTCTTCCAGACTTTTGGTGCACATATGACCATGTTGAGGCTGTAGATCCAACAGGAAGATGCATCTTCGCCTGCATCTCTGGTGAACAACGGGCCCGAAGCTCCCGGTCACCGGTCAACGATTGTCTTTCCTTTTCACCTGTCTGTCCAATATAGCCTGAAGTCGGCTTAGTCGTACAAGATGACGGTGTCTAGTCTCCAAAGGTGAACTCGGAAGATACAAACCTTACGACACCTTGCACTACGGTTCATCCCGGTCGATCATGAGATGTGTACAAGGTGTGTCGCCTTGGCTACCGGCCTGATCCGCAGGGCATCAAACTGTATCGACGCAGGAACAGTCGCATAGAATTTTCTCGTCTGATGGTTCCAGTCTGATCCTTACATATCTCGACCTGATGTCCATCGAGTCAATATGATCAGATTGGCGATGGTACATTACAGGCCTGAGGGTTGTGGTCCATGAGCAACTCAGTAATCACCCATTCTGTTTAAGACTTGGAGAATGGAAACACGGTCAAAGAACCAAGACTGCTACAACTCCCGACTTGCTTGTTGCTAGCGCCCTTGTCATGAACAGAAACTGTTGCTAGCAATCGACGAGCTTTACCAGATTGGCATCGGCCCGGCTGGCGCGTCTCATTGGTTCATGCAGCGGGATCCCCCACTTCAACACCACAGCTAAGCCACCGCTAACGACCCGCAGAGTCTAGACAGAGCTGAAAACGCGTGGCTGGCAGATCGCCGGCTGCATATTATATGAGATGCTGCCCCGCATCACTGCGTTCACTCAAGATGCTATACACATTTCACCGACCATAATAGAGTCGCCAGGGTCTTGACTCTCCATGCACTAGTGCTACCAGTGCGCCTACTACACGGCTGGAACGAGGAGGACATATAATCCAACATGCCTTCCAAGGGCGTAAGGTGCTTCACATACATCGCCGTTGACGGGGTGGAGATTGAGTACACAGTACCAAAACAAAGCGTCAAGCTCAGCTCTCAGCGTCAATTCCTCCACGACCACCTTGAAGTAGAGTCATCCAACCTGCCCCATTTCAAGTTCACGGGAAACTTCGAATTCATCGTTCGCCAGCACGGTCAAGAACTCACAAATCAATGGGTTGCAATCAACAGCATGACAGGCAAGCTAGAAGATGGCACAATGGTAAAAATGGATCAAACACCTAGCATCTTCGCCAACGATCTCATCATCACCTATGGATTCTACGACGCTGGACCAGGGTTGGCGGAGTTGCCAAAACAACATCAGTGTTATATCACTGTTAGCAAGAATTACGAGAACTGGATGCGCGATGTCATCCCACAAGGCTCAGAAAAATCGCACCGTCCTTTCCATAAAATGGTTCTACCGTCCTCTCACGACATTGGAATGAACAACATGTCCAGCAGCCTCTCCCTCCTCAAGAACGCAGGTACAGGCGTCATCAAAGAAGTCCTCGGCCGCAGCCTTCCCCACGCCCTATCCATCATCAACAAAGTCGGCGACGGCGCCATAAACCGCATCGCACCAGACATTATCCGCGCACTAGCTATAACGCAGAAGGACACGCTCGACACCATCCTCAAGATCGGCGCACGATACTTTGAATTCCGCCCCGCAAAGTGCCATCGCCAGATGCAAAAGGTGAATTCCCTCGAGGATACGTGGTATTTCCAACACGGCGCCATACCCGGTATGCCGTATCGCGTATTACTCGACCACATCATCCGTTTCCTGGACGAGCACAAGGACGAGATCATCGTCGTGCACAACAGATGGGACGGTGTGCCAGCAGACTGTCCGCGCCCCACCGACGAAGAATTACTCAGCGTACTCACGCCGCTCCTCGCGGGCAAAGAGCTCAAAGTAGGCAACCAGGACGCCATGATGCGGGAATCTATTCACAATCTGCGCGCGAGCCACACTCGCCTCATTCTCCTAAAGGACTGTGCGCAGGTCTCAAATTACGACGACGCTGCCAATGCTACGTTGACTGGCGACTCCATGGTCGCTAAGCTATCGGACATGGCCGAGGACCCGCCAAAGGGTCACCCTATCACGCTGCTGCAGTGCCAGGCTACAGCGACGAATATTAGAGATGTCATCGTTGCTAGCGTGCTGGATAGCGATGTGAGTACGAGTCCGATCCTCGCGACGAAGCCGGTGTGTGATGGCAAGATACTGCCGCTGCTGAGGGGCGATATGGGGAAGAAGTTGACGAGTGAGGAGAGTGTCGTGGTTATACTTAATGACTTTTTTGATGGTGCGACGGCAGATGTGGCAATAGAGTTATGTGAGGAAAGGTTGGGGTGAGGTGAGAATCTTTTTGTTTTTCGGGGCGAATAAGAAAGGCAAGCTTGGTTATGTTTGTTACAACAGATTAGATGTTGAGGTAGAATCGCTATATGACTACGCGCAGATCTAAATATGCCCTGATGGTCTAATCTCCCACTCCTTCCACACCATAGCGAGATCAAGGGCAATAGAGCAGTGGACAGATGAAGATGACATCATGTTGTCGCATCAAGGATTATCCTCACGGCGCCTTGTGAAGAGGAATTGCCCCGGGGAATGCTGTGGCGGTGCGACATGAAGATAGTACAGCGCGGGGATGATGTAGCTAGACGTGATATCATCTTAAGCACCACCATGCAGGCCAGGCGTGAAATCAGTCGTAGTCAAATCCGGGTTTCCCTGAACCACAAAATCCTTACTCCTCCTCTCGCCCAGCGTGTCCAAAAAGGCATCGTCAACATTCAAATGATCCTTGACAATCTGCCTCGGCGTGATACCCAGCCACTGGTTCACGCTGATATCACTGTATTGCGTCGATTGCAGCACCTCGAGGTACACCAACGTCTCGTTGCCCGTATTCTCGAGATAATGCGCATTAGGCACGGGCACGTATCCGACGTCGCCGGCCGAGAAATCAAACGTGCGCGACGCAGCAGGCGCTTCGTACACGGTCAGGCGTGCGGTTCCGGACAAAAAGTACGACCACTCGTCCGACGTGGTGTGCCAGTGCAGTTCGCGCATCGCGCCGGGTTCGACGGTGATGAGCGCAGCGGAAAAGGTGCTCGCGATGGGGAAGGTAGCCGGGTCGAGGATCTTGATACTACCACCGGGTACTTTTACGGGTTCCTGCTGGCTCCAATGGTAAGTATACGCGCCCTCCTTTGGAATCACGCCAGCGGGCCCCGTGACATTCTGCTCTGAAATGTTCTTCGGCGCGGGAGTACCAGGGAAGATCCAGAGCTGCTCTTGAGGAATGTTTTCAAATGTCTTGACTGATGTGCGGAAGTTCTTTGCTATCACGCTTTCTGGGTTGCGCAGCATGAGTTCAGAGAGGAGGAACGTGTTTTCCTCGCTGAAGGAGCCGTCGTTGAAGATGAGCAAGAATTCACAGCCATTCTCAAAGGCTTGGATCGAGTGCGGGATGCCGGGAGGGAAGAACCAGACGTCGCCTTCTTGGACGTCGTCGACAAAGGTTTGGCCGGCTTCGTTCATCGAGGCTATGCGTACGCTGCCGTTGAGCCTGAGCATGTTGTTAGCTTGAGTAGGCGTGCAAGGTAAAGGGGTGGTATGTACATCAACGCCCATTCGCCTTGCTTGTGCCAGTGCAGTTCACGGTACGCGTGCGGACTCAGTCGCATGTTTGTTCCGGCCATTGCGACCGAGGACGGTAGTTGGTCGGTGTTCTGCGATCGTGCCCATCCTGCTCCGGCAAGGCCGTGGCGGTTGTGGCTGAGACCGAATGGCCATTTGGCGTTGCTTACCTCGCCCATATCGGAAGATGGCGGAGCGTATACGTCGCTGTTCAAGCGATCATAGGCCGGTGTACTGCAATGGAATCAGATGACTCTATTCATGACGATGCAGTGAACTTACCGAGGACCAGGCTCCGTAGGTCCTGTAGTACCTCCGCGGATCGGCTGCGGGTTCTTCACATTGGAAAGATCAATATACAATCCCAATTTTGCGTCCTCTGATTGTCCAGGTGCAAGTTCGAAGTCTTCGGGTGGAATAACGGTGGACTTCATGTCGACTGGATTCGAAGGATTGTACCCTAGATAGTCTTCTGAACCACGCAGAGAACCTGATGCTCCAGAAGGTAGTGGCATATTGAGGACTTGCGAAGGATCAACAGGACCTGGTACCGTAGGGCCAGAGGCTCCTGACGCCTGGGGTGCAGGTGCAGGTAGGCCATTGGCGGAGCCTACCAAAGAACAGAGGAGTGCGGCGGCTGAAGAGTATCGCATGTTGATTAGCAGTGGTCAGCTCACTCTGCGACTGCAGGGTAATTGGAGAGCACGCCATTGTCTTTATACACAGCCGGACAAAACAACAGCGACACTACTCCATGGTTTTCCCGACATACTCCACCGAGCATACGTAATTCGAAGCGACATCATGACTATCGAGAACAGTAAAGTGAGAGGTACACAATCCTGGTATGCCTGCGGCGTTGAACGCTTACATGCATGGGATACTCGATCAAACTTGCCAGATTCGGCTATATCAATTTATCCTTTAGTCAGGGGTGTGGCGCTCCCGGGTATGTTCACCAACTGCCGATGGGGCTAGTGGCTGGAAGTCGATCGAGGATTGGCTGCGGAGCATGAGGCTGGCCACGATTGTGTAGACTAGGGTTTGATTTGTTCGGATGTTGGAGGGAGTTCATCTTGTTGATCGTGACGATGGTGACAGAACGATGCTCTCAGTCTTACATCATTGGTAACTCGGAAACGCGTCCAGTAGCACTGGTATTGTGACTCTGAACCTCAAAGCATAGATGTTCTTCGTGATTCGGAAGAGATGGGAACAGTGACAGTGTGTCTCCGCCTTTGAGGTCCCGGTGTGAACGCGTCAGCTTGCTCATACTTGGTAGTCTGATCCGCTATTCCCGAGGGCCGGCCATGCCGCCCGCGCGATGTGGATTTGGTGCCGGACCGATCCAGGCATGCAGTACACTATGGGCAGCATCAAAGTATAGAATTGAAGCCTCAAGACTAGCGGACTGTCCAGATGCTCGCGAATGTAGGTGCAATTGCAATACGCTGCTCTTTTTCTACTGGTGTAGCAATGGCGTCGCGCATGTGTTATCAAAGCGTGTGTTGGAAACAGCGGGCGTGAAAGTATGTCAGTAAACATCAAAGCTTTCACCCATGTTGAGAGTGGAGAAGCATTGGTGTGTCAAGCTTTGCGGAGAATGCTTAACCTGTGGCTAAGGCGGCATTTAGCGCGATCCAGACACGTCATCGTGTGGCTCATTGTGGCTAGTGACACGGTCAACCTGCCTGATAAACACCGACACCAACCCTCCCATCTCCACGCCGGCGCCTATGTGATTGAACTGACACGACAGGAAATGTAACGAACAGGGTCGTATACCACTCAGCAAGTTCGGTACTTGCGTCATGTTGCCTGGCATGCCCGATGATCCACGGCATTCAATCAACACGTTTCGTTCGCGCCGAACGGCAACCCGAGCACCATATGCTCGTAGCGACAGCTCTCTTCAGCCTAGCTATACATCAATGCGCATCTCCGATACTGGAAGTTCTTGCCGTTACTATCTATCTCGAGTTGGAATAGCTGCCTGCTGACTTTGGGAGATGTAACCATGGAGCCTCACCGACTGTGGGCCATCCTTGGATCACACCTGGTCGGCTAGCAGGCGATGTTTATCTCCAGTTCGAGGACGGCGCATAAAGTCAGCCCCGCCGACGGGTGGATGCGGTGATTCCATCAATCGGTACTCGGCATATCTTTTTGGCCGAACCAAAGTCACAAAGTCTCGAACGGCTTGCTCTTCCCGTAGGGCGCTCCGGCAAACAGGCCTCTCAAAGGCTCGCTCATCGAAGCTCGATCGTATTCTAGATGAACCACCTGTACGCAGTTGGGGAAGGGCTTTGAACATGATTTCATTAAAGTTCGAAGGAGCGATGAGTTAGGCAAAGCGTCCTTGCACTGCTAACAAATACAAGGTTGTAAGGTCCGCGAGTCTGAAGACTCCAGAGAGCCTCAAGCGCCAGATATGACATGAAAGAGTACAACAAATTCTTCTACTCCCTATTAGCGCCAACATCCAACTATGGTAGCTTATAGCTCGTAACCATCACCTAGTTCCAAGTCCTGATCCTCGGTGGACTTAGCAAGGATATCTCAACGGCATGTTAAGTTCCTTTTGCTGCCTTAGCTTTATTGGAACGCCAAGGACTATCCCCACGAAAGATCGCCAAGGTAAATCCTCGCGGGAATCGGTCACCATGCCGAACTATTCAAAGATCTAAACAACAATGCCAAGTGGCTATCAAAGAGTACTACAAGATTCATACGCCTAGAAGTGAGAGAGCTTGGCTGGTGGCGAGCGGATTGCTGGAATTAAGTCCGGAGTGAGTTCATTACTCACGCCTCCGTCCAGCCGATGGTGTAACAGCAGGAGAAGGAGATGTAAAAGAGAGTTGAGGAATTTTGGCCCCCATGAAGATATGCAGCAGATTTTTCCGGTGCTTAGTCTGCGCATCCCGTGCTAGGTCGAAGTTCTGGTGGCCTTGTGTAGCCTCCACAGCTGCGTCGAGCACCATTATGTTGGGGTGTTTTGCGTTCATAGCAAAGCAGTACTCGATGCACTCCTGGCACTTATGAGCGAAATGATGTCGTGGAAAGCACTCGGAACAGGAAATACTGTGAAGGAACCCGTGCCGACAGCGGGGAGGGCGCTGCTCGAATGGACGCTGTACGGCATGTTTCTTGACATGCCAGCCATCGGGGTAGATTGACGAATGCCTCCTGCCAGGGGTGGGAAGCATGCCACCTGGGTTGCTGAGCCGATCGTTGATGTCTTCGACAGAGGTGTCAACGAGAACGAAGATGCTATCCGTAACGGTCCTGTGCTGCTTGCAGATTTGCGTGATCTGCTGGCTCCGGGGATATGCCGTTCGCTGCTCAACATCGCAAACGTAGCGATCGTCGGACTCGTCTTTAGACATCTGACGAAGAGGGAACTTCTTGAAAGACCGCTGCTTCTTCGGATTGTAGTGGCTTTCATCTTGTCGACGGTACCATCGTACAGCTTCCATGGCGGCCTCGCCACACTTGCACCGTCCATAGACGTGTGGATCGACCAACCGCTTCTCTTCGACGTTGCTGATCCATTGCAGGATATGCTCGCTGCCATAGTCTACCTTTCGAAATTGTTCGTTTGTTCGCAGGGTATTCTGTACTCTGCCAACCACCTCTTCTATTCTACAATCGAAGTTGTAATCAGCAATGCCTTCATTGATGGCAAACTCCTCTTCGACATCGAGATATGGCCTAGCCGAGTCGTTAGGTGAGTACTGGAAACGCCAGTGGGGCGGACACTCAGGCGTGTATCGCTTCTGGGACTGTCCAGTGATGAGCTTGATATATTCAAGGTTGTAACTGGAAGGTCCGTTATTTGCCAGCCTAAGCCATTCTATTTCCAGATCACAAACGAGTACGTTGAAGCCGCTTCGATCTCGGGTCCTGTACCAGTATTCGGGCTGCATGGAAGCGATCTTGTCGATTGTCCGTCTCGGAAGATACTTCTGGAGCCGATCGCGCATGTAGTCGATGTCAAACCTATCTGCCGCCACAGGACGATCTGGCCAAGACATCAACCCAGCACCTTGTTCAGAACCAGGCAAACAAACAGGCCCGACTTGACAACCGTCGTTAGATGCGCAGAAATCCTCACCGATCCTGAAGGTGGGGAAGTCATGCTCGAGGAGGACGGCTGCTAGCCGAAGTCCGGGAGTATCAGTGGCGAGGTCAGGAAGCTCATTCAAAGAACTAAGAAATGCTTCTTGTTCATCCCAAACCGTCGGTGAGGCGAGGAGATCATTGGTGTCATTACTATGGACGACCAATTGCGACGCCTGGACGACGCCTTCTGAGGGTGTGACTTGACTCGGTGAATCTGCGATACCATCCACAGACGTGACGTCTCGCTCGGGAACGAAGTCGAGGGTTGACTCCTTCAGCCAAGCTTGCATCCGAGGGGTATATAGCTCGACGATATCCGAAGTCACTTCCGCAAAGTCGATGCTCTCGACCACCGTGATAAGCTTGGTGTCATGATCAACAACGGATCGAGTGTCTTCTGGAGGAGTGACGACGATAGCTGGAGAACCAATTTCTTGAAGACATTCAGGTGTGGTGGCATATGGCGAGTCAAGCGGTTTTACAACCAGCATCTCATCAGGCTTTAGCTGCTCATGACCGCCAAATACTAGCCAAAGCAATAGGCTTGCTGTAGCATAGCTTGAGAGATCTTCGGAGATAAACTGCGCGAGCCACAGAGTTACAAAAGTAACGATGAGCATGACGACGCTCACCTTGACAGGCGAGAGCTCAACAGCCGCGTTGGTTCCGGAGGACGATGAGACAGGTATTGACTGGATATCACGTCCGGTAGAGTCATGAAGCCACTGCGGAACCTTGGTAATGCCGTAGGAAATGGTGAGCTGGAATCCGAAAAGTGTTGGGTTTACAGTGTAAGTCTTGGCGGTATCGGACATTAACATCTCCGACAAGTCGCAGGCTGAAGACGAGCGGCGCAGTGTCATAGACGTGCTTGGCGCTGCGGATGAATATGTGATTTCGCCCCATGTAGACGTGCGGGAAGAAATGGAGTTAACCGCGTCCTGCATGCGTGGACTGAAAGGTGTTAGGAGATTTGTCTAGGTAAGAAGGGCGGTCACTGACCTTGGTGGAGCAGTTGATGAATGCTCATTGCATGTGACCGCAGCCATCGGTGCCATAACGATTGCTGCGGTTGTGTTTGTTCCAGTAGAGGCGGGAGCTACTATACAGGTAGCGGTTGTGCTGACGTTCGAGAGCGGTCGTGATTGGATTCAACTATTGGGTATGCCAGTTCACAGCTACCGAAAGTTGAGTCCAAGTTGAGTGGGTGGTGTTAGGTCAGCAAATAGAGAGCTTGAACGAGCCTCTATACAATGACAGAAGGCAATCATTTGCGCTAGCAGTGTTGCGTCGTACTAGTCAGACGTGCAAGTGAATGCACGTGAATCGTAGCAACGGAAGTGTGCTCTAATTCACAGATGTCCAGATCACCTGACTTATCAGGTGGCTGTAAACATGTACTGTACTTCTTGGAGCTTGCTGAGCATTCTTCACCACGGTGAATTTAGTGTTGCTCGTTAGCTCAGCCATAGTGAGGTCGTGCTCGAGCGTGGCGATGAGCTACTTGTTGATGCTAAATGTATATATGAACTCGCAGCAGAGCGGTTGACGAAGTATTGGGTTCGCTAAAGGTGTCTTGAGCGGCGGTCAGGTAGCCCTCGAGGGTCGCAACCTACGCCATAGAATCCCTCTGTCGCACCGCCACAGATTTCCCTCCGGGGGTTCTCCTTGGCAAGGCATCGTGGGGACATTTGAGCCATATCCTTTGATAGAGTCAAATCTGGATGTCTAAGGTTCTACTAATCATATTCAAGTCATTCGATTGAGATTCAGGGAAAGGGCTTTGGACGATGTTGATACGAATAGCCTCCAACGTTTTATGTAGCTTGGAACCTTGATGCACCATCACGTTGTTGAAGGCAAATAAACAAAGAACAATTACGCAATGAAAGACTAGTTGAAATGAATGTGGGTGCTGACAAGAGTCGAAGCACTCTCTATTAATAGGATGTAGGTCATGGGGTATCGTTACGAAACTTTGATCAAAGGGTGTGGAGTGAACATAAGAAAGATCTAAAATCTACCGTGAGGACACCCGCACGTGTTGATTGACCAGCGACTCAGTGCTGTTCTCCCGTTGGGTTTCCTTGCCGGAAATATTGTCCGACCAGTTGTTCTGCGAAGCAGGCGTTCTCCAGCCGCTTATTCTCCTTCCATCGGCACCGTCAACTTCGACGTGGATGTCGGTCACGACCTGGATATCTCGCCCCTCCTCGCTCGAGCCGTTCGAGCGCTTTGTTACGTCTAGAACGTAGTCGTCCTTGGTGCGTAGCGCTTTGCTGCCACCCCTGCTGCCGTATGTTCGATTCTGAGGTCGAGAGTGCGAGTATATGCTGCGGTGTCTTGACGGAAAGGCTCTTGGAAGCCATTTGGTGATTAATGGCCTAAGCAACGGCAAGCAGGCGCAAATGATGCCAACGTTGGATTCCACTGAACTCCAAGTAGCTGCGGGGGGATTGTCGTAGCTTGGATCGGCGGAGTTTGAGATCGCTACAAGGGATTGTAGACGCAGAATGGATACCAGGCAAACACTGCAAGGTTGCGCGTTAGTGTGACTTCTTTGTAACAGATGAAAGCAGGGGTAGATCTGCTGCCCAACCGACCGCGAGAAGAGCCGGGAATACAACAAGGTACGACGCGATAACCAAGCCATTTGTGGTTACACGATGAAACACATGTGCAACCACTTGCACAAAGGCCCGATGGAAACAAGGTAATACGAGTGAGGGGTACTTACAATCCACCGATCGCAAAGATCGAGATGAGTCCAATCTTTTGCCTTTTGCCCAAGTTGAGCTTCCGGATAACTGGTATAGGGAGGAGAATGATTGCGAAATCCGTGATGATATTGATGGCGGCGTTGGTAAACCAGACGGCGAATTGGTTAAGGCAGGTAGCCTTCTCATGTGTCCAGAAAGCTCGCACGGGTACACACATGAAGATACTGGAGAAGACCGTCCAGATAGTGTAGCTGATGACAACGGCCATTGTAATCCAGTTTGCGACCTGGAAAGACTTGGTCGGGAAGATACGTCGGTACTGGAGAAGCATCGATCCCTTGGTCAAGCCGAGTGACAGATAATACACGATAAGACTGGCCCAGAAAGCCTATAGCTTGGTGTTAGTGGAGATTTAGGATGAGTGATGAGTGTTGCGTACTCTTAGGAACGTGGTCATATCACCATCGTTGATAGTGTCGGTGTGTCTGCCCATACCATTTTTGGCCTCTACAGAATGTTAGCCTCCATAAAGAGCTGTGGTTGGATGTAAGGGGAATACTGACGGACACCGATGCAGATGGTCAAGCCTATGGAGCAAAGCTAGCAGAAGATTAGCAAGAGTCTACACAACGTGGCGTGGAAGTTACTTACCATCGCAAGTGCTATGCCGGCATCCTCGATCCCCACGCAGCGAATTAGAAAGAACCGTGTGTATAGTCGAAGGCAGACGACTATGAAGGCTAAACCAGTGAACACCGTAGAGATCTCGACGGCTTGCCTGCCCCTCGGGTTATCAGATAATGATCCAGCCATGATGTGATAGTGTAGGCCTGAAGATGACCAGATCAGGTGAATCAGGCGTCTTTTGCGGGAAACATGGAGTATTTCACAATCTGCTCAGGGTCTCTGAACGAAATTGGTGGTATGCGCATCGATGGTGGCTGTACCTTTAACCGCGCTTATGCACGTCCCCACTTTCCGTACACCCACTGAACAAGTGACATTCGCCAATAGCTCCGCGGGTGCCAGGGTCTGCAGCCCTGTCAGAAAACCTTCGGCATGGCCCTGAGTCGAAAACGCGAGAGCCACCAAGTGTGTGAGATCGGTCTCAACACGTTCCTTGCGATGTTCCGGTCTTTCCGGGATCTGCAAGGAACCCAGTCCATGAGGTGTAGTAATCAGTCCGTCCGTGAGGCATATTGGAGAAGTTGTTCAACTTCAACTGTCATTTCCGTGCGATAATTATGTACGGGATGCCCTTGAACCGTTCGTGGTTCGTACGTTTTGCAATGGCGTACATGGTGCCACCAACCATGTTTGCCGGGTGCAATGTTTCATCTCGATGCAGGTGGCTCCTTCGGCTGCCATCATCCCTGATGGAATTTTCGTAGAATTGCATGAGGGCCAAGGGATCGTGGATGTGATTCCTTCTCGGGACTCCCACCGAACAGAGAAGGATGCTGTGGATTCGGGGGGATCAGTCGAATACCGGAGGGGTGCACATATGCAGGAACGTGGCGTGGATGGGGCGATGTCGTACAGGAGATGGGAAACTCTCATTCGCGGAAACTTGTAAGCGAAGCGTAAAAATCTGTGCACACAAAACCATGATCATCCTTCGTGCCTGCTAGATGGAGCTAAGTATGCACGGATCGAATGTAGAGATGAGCCCCATGTCTGTACGCATATACTACGCACTCTCATCTCTTACGTCGCTGTAGTATGGAGCTTTGATTTTGGCGGTACATTGTCACGAACCGTCTAAAAAGGAGCCTCCAAGAGTCCAACCGCACCAGAACTTGGTTGACTCAGGCCCGGGCCGGCTTCCTAGTGCTGGCCCATTGAAGGTGACAGGACGCTACCTCCTCCGTCGCAGTCGTCTAGCCGATCTCACAACGTCGCAACCTGATCTGCTGACTGCTGACGGGCTCGCAGCCTCATTGCAAACAAATACAGAGAAGCAAAACTCCCTGAAAATCTGCAGATCGGTCATCGACAATACGCGCGCAGCTGCTCGATAACACTTCGAGTCGCCGAGGTAGGTCGAGAGGTGGGAACGCTGGAAAATAGGTAAGATCAACCTTCGCTAGAAATTGGTGAGCAGAATAACTGTGGCCCTAAGACGTCTGCGGGTAGCCTTTAGCCCGGATCTTGAGGTATGGGTGAGCCGCGATGACCCGAGGCCGGCCTTTTCTCGCTGAAACTTGCTATGGAGATTACCAACGGCCTGTAGCCGAGAGTTCGCACGGGAAGAGCTGTATATTCGTCGCTTGCTCCCTCACATAGATGAAGCACGGAATGGACTGCACAACAGTTTCGTTAACATGTTGTTGTTTTTACTAAGATTTTCCTTTGTTTTTTTCCACCCCGCGGAGCAGGGTTTATTCGGTCCTCCTTTCCCGCACTGAAGGATCTGAGCCTGAGGATGATACCGATGAGGAGGGACTTAGCCTCTGCGACATAAGGATCGTCGACAGCGTAGTGTTACAAAAGGGTATGGTGTTGTGGAAACAGAGCGGATCTCTTCTCCACATCTTACGATTCGTAGGCGACCCCATGAGCTGGGCACCACGCGACGCCAAGGGGTTAGTACGTTTCGGTACTGCCTAGATGTTCGACAACCCTCAACTTGTCAGACATATTGTCAATCATACCAGATTCGACTCATAGACAGCCCTACACGCCGTTAAGTCGACATCATGCTGATCTCCTATCAAAAGTGGGTGAGGCGCACGCGCGAGAAGCTATGGGTTGCGCATCACATATGCCGAGTAAGGGAAAGAGGGGTGTGCGCTTAAAGCACCAGGCTGTCTTCTCGCCCACCGAACCCTCCCCTTTCCAGGCCAAACATGATCGATCGCGGTGAAAACCGTTACATATGCCCATTGCGTTGATATCAAGGTAGCTGGAAAATGCCGTTTGACTGCTCATCTCCTGCACTCCAGGTTGGCGCTCTGCTGCGCGCCTCCTACGACGCAGCTTTTCTTTTCACGTGCGGCAACCCACCTTTTCATTCTTTTTCGCTGCCGAGGAGCAGGAAAAGCAACGCAACGCCTCACCCGTGGAGCCTCAATTGGATCGCATTACTGCATGACGCTGAATCTAAGTTTGTTCGACGATGCTTTTGGGCTACAATCGAACGGCATCCTAGGACCCGAGAGGCACCCGATGCCACTGTACACGTACTGTCGTACGCATTGCGAATCGGCGCTTTTACTTACCAATGGTTGCGCCCAACGCGCCGGGTCCAATTTCGGCCGACGTCGCAGGACCCAAAACCAAGGCTGAAGTTGGGGACGGTTCGAACAGGACACAATCGTGGAGTCAACTCGAGATCGCAGGGGTAGAGTGTTCGGTAGATCAGTCGTCGATCGGGCGAAGTGCCTGACCTTTACCGTTGGTGTTCTACGGCACCCTTGGTAACTACTCTAAAAGCTTACTATGTTCGGGCCGCTCATCACAGTACTCCCACCGGCTATTGAAGTAAGCACTACTAGACGACAACGATTCTAACGATTGCGAGAGAAGTAATCTCAATGTCCTGGCAAATTCTCAAGAAGCTCATGTTGTCCCCTGAGTGCAGTACGTCGCATCGCTCGACAGAAACGACTTTGCGCTGGGTCAAGGTAAACTCTCAATGTAAGAATGGTGCGGAAGACTGAGTCGCACCAGCAGAATACATTGTTGCTAGCCAAGGAAGTTGCCTGCAGTTAAGGATTGCATTATATAGATACTATGATGGCACGATGCGGAGACCGCTGCATTGAGGAGGCCTAATAGCGACGCACGATTGGACATGATTGTAAAACAAGAGTATGTTATCCATATTTTGCCGTCCAAGTAAAAACCATGTAATACTATGTTTCGCTAATCGCATGCATACATTGCAGTGCATATGTTCGCCTTTTGAGACCCCATCACCCGGTGGCAGCATCGCTACGCGACACCAACTCTTCGCTTTCGCTTACAGTGCTCGTAGCCCAGCCTCTTCCCCCGCAACTAGTAACCATCATCAGCTCAGAATGGTGCAACAAGCGAAACGAGCCATCACACGTCCAGCATCATCGACGAAACCAACAACGCAACCGATTCTAAACCCCTACGAACGAGTAAGATCAGAAAACCGACGGGATGTCTATTGTGATCGTGCTTCCATACCTCCATCTTTTGGCACTGCTTCCACAAGTACCACGGCTCGGCTGATAAGCCCGTTTCGGGGCGAAGCCTTTTCCTGAACGGTGTCTTCAGTGAAGAAGTCTCTGGATTCCAAAAGAGCAAGCTTGTACTCTTCAGACTCGTGAGTCGATACAGGTCCTTGCGACCACTTCATATCGTCGATACGACCCACGAGAGCGGGGCTGACACAAAGACGAACACGATACTGCGTGTCTGGTATCAATGCGCTGCCCTCTTCGTCGGGTATCTCGGTCATCCAGCTGCTATCAAACATGGTTCCCGGCCTAACGAACTCGATTCGATGATGATATCGCGAAACGACAAGCTCCAGCTTCAATTGCATGACTTCATGCAACCATACTTTGAGTTTGAAACCATCATGATCGAGCGACTGGTTCAAAGGAAGATAGTTCGCAAACTCGTCGTAGAAGTCCGCAGACTGCTTCGCAGCTAGATTGGGGACTTCAAATTCTCCGAAGTGACTGTTTTGGCTCATCCCGATAGTGGCTAGGGTGTCTAATGTTCTCACCATCTGAAGGCCGCCTTTGGGATAGTCAGCTTCGTCGTCTCTTCATGGGTGATGTACTTACACTTTTTTGCAACCCAACAGTATGTGTTGTTCATGTCATCCCGCTCTGAATCGTCGACATGGAACGGTGAATCAAAAACCCATCGTAGCACATGTGCCACGAAGCAAGCCAGCGCCAGGCTCCGTTCCGTAGGGAGATTTGACAACTTCGAGAAACAGCCATCTACGTCGGCTTGCTGAGACGACGACTGCGACATCGCCGTCACCGTGGCAAAGGCGGATGCGAAATACTCCTTGTCACGGATATCTGTCGCAGGCGCCTCATATGATCCAAATCTCAGCGTTCCGATCGGCTTCTCTATGATCTCGTTCCATTTTGCACCGATAACAGTAGCTTAGCCGCCGCTAGAATCTACACGTTCCGCATCGATATTCTTGGGCAGTAAGTCCTATAGCACTTAGCGTACCTAGGTATATGCGGACTGGACTGCATGCTGGCGCTACGATATCTAAACTATCGCATCACTTGGAGTCCTAGAGTTCTGCTTTCGAAAATGAGTAGCCTTAGGTCAACAAAGAAACCTAATTGTTGTGTTGCAGCTCAGGCTTGTTCTGGCGAAGACTCATGCTTTGTTAATCCAAAGGATCAGAATCAGTGGTTGCCTACTTAGGTAGTAAGAAGGCAGACTGTTGAGCGGGGCTGATCGGTGCGTTTCGCGCTCAGCCTCACTTCAGGCCCCCACTGTAGCGTCTCTTATCACCACTCTACGCTTTACTCTTCGCAGTTCGCATCAATATTGCTGTACCATCATTTCACGAATCAGGTACCTCACTACTAAAAAAACGCGCTCGCTTGCGGCACTTCTCTCAGCAGTCTCCATGCGTCTTTTACAGCAACAAGCCAACGGCGATACAGACTTCAGCCTGGTTGAATTTATCGACGACATCCCACCGTACGCCATTCTCTCACATACTTGGGGTGCGGATCATGAGGAGGTCGTATTTAAGGACATTTACAAAGGGAAAGGCAAGGGAAGGGCAAAGCCTGGCTACGAGAAACTTAGGTTCTGTGCGCAGCGGGCTACCGAAGACCAGATTGGATACTTTTGGGTACCTATGATCCGCCCTCTTTCCTTTTTTACCTCGTTTACTAATTGTTCTTACCAGATCGATACATGCTGTATAGACAAGAGCAGCAGTGCAGAGCTTACCGAGGCAATCAACTCAATGTATAAATGGTACAAGAACTCGACGGTATGCTTCGTCTATCTATCAGACGTTCCTCGACGGACCTGGAACATTGAAGGAGATGGACTTCCTGTTGCGTCGCTTCTTGGAAGCAGATGGTTCACGCGTGGTTGGACGTTTCAGGAACTACTGGCGCCTAGAAAGGTGATATTCTTCGCTGCAAATGGTGAAACACTAGGACGTCTGGAAGATTTCGCTGACTCAATTGCGGTACATTGTAAGATACCACTCGAACTCTTCGACGCTTATCCGCGAGAGTTTCGAAGATATAGCGTCGAAGAGAGGTTGAAGTGGACGACCCATCGACAAACGAAGCGCGAAGAGGACGCTGCGTATTGTCTTTTGGGTTGCTTCGACGTGCAAATGCCATTGATTTACGGTGAGGGGAGAACGAAAGCTCTCGTTCGATTGCGAGCGGAACACGACCGTTCTAGGAATGGGAGATACAGAAGATTTATTCTTGACGAAATCCCAGAGGAATTAAGAGACGTGACTAGCAGAGTAGTATGTCTATGAGTGAGATATGAACTGTAGCTCGAGGCTAATAAACCAACAGGGTTTGAAGATGACACCAATTTTCACCAAGCTTTGTCCAGCATGTCTAGCGAGGTCTTTCAAATTTGTCGTTGGCCTCATGAAGAGATTTCAGTGGTGTATTTGGTTTGTCCTTACGTTCCCATTAACACTCGGTATTTTCTTTCTTATCCGGGCTTTGACAAACGTCCAACTGGAAACATCACTTACAGTCTATTGTGCGATGTTGGCAACGATTTTCAGTTTTGTCTTGGATATGATCGTGTTGTGGCCTACTTTCGACTCGACTTTTCATAGTATCATGCTTTGGGTTGTGATCTACACTGCCTTGGTGATCGGCGAAATGAACGATGATCAAAGAAAGTTCGTGAGATCTCAATGCGCATGCTCCAATGCAACGAAGAGTACGTAGACGATGGATACGTTCTGCTGTCACAGGCTACAATACAATATTGCTTCAGGGCTAGCAACGCAACCCTATCGACGAGCTCGAGGAAGTCCCCCCAACGTAGATGCATGTCTCATATTGTTTTGGTCCATGAGATGCAATTTCATGTGTTGAGATCACAGTCGTCGATCCGGTTCCGTCACTCCAACGGACCCGACCTTATCGTTATGGCGACAGATAGTTCCGCCACTGCGGACGCGGACAAGCTGATAGCATAAAACGTTACAAGGACGATCTTCCTAAGGAGGAAGGAGGCATAACGCCACAATATGTGGTACTTTTAGAGGTATCTGTGTCACCTAAGCGAGGTTTTCGGCATGACTTCGAGGTAAGTGCGAAGTGGGCTCCCGAGAGCCTCCCCGTGGAAGGTTTGCATTGGGCTTGGGTTACAGTCATCAATGTTTTGCTTCGTTGTTTCTCTTGTATGTCTCATATCGTCAAAGGCCGCCAGAAAACCTATCAAAGGAATTTTTCATCCACGTTCCAACCTTCTGTTCTCGTTTGTTCACGCTGAAAACGGACACCGTGGAGAACGATCCTGCTGCAACTATTTGGCGTCTGTTGTGCTGAGTGAGCACTGCGAGTGTAAGTAAATACCGATCGAATCAGAGTCATAACTCCGTTCTAAAACAGATATGGAAGTTCCTTTGTCCTCTTGACAGGTCGAATCAAGAATCTTCAATAGCATTGTGCGTGGTGTAAATGCGGAAACGCGCGTTAGAGATCATGAGAAGAAGGCCTTTGACGATGCATCTCAGACTGGAAAATGCTCTACGTTGTCATTTATGAGCATTGCGCAGATATTTGAGGCTACAGAATAGTGATAGGATGACATAGCTCAGGTAGTATCACCACGATTGATACAATGATATAGTTGAGAGTTCATGCTGGATTCACTGGTTAAAGTCGCTACAACTAGCTTTGACATTCATCGCAAGTCCGCGCTCACTGGAAAGCAGGGAGATTTACCGCCTGCTATTGCCATCGATCAAGGTCTTCACTGACCACTCTAGCTCGCTATCTCTCTCCCTCTTCCTTATCTGCTGATTGTACCTCTATGGAAAAGTTGCGGACCTTGTTTAGGATCCATAAGCAGGGGTCCGGCGCTTCAACCCAACCATGTACCACCACCTCTCCCAGCTTTCCTACAAACGCGGTCTAGATGGATACTTCCCCTGCTACACAACCCTCGACCACCTTCCCCACCAAGTCTACGCCCTCTACCTGCTCCGCCGCTGCGCCTACATCATCGCGCCCATCATGCGCCGACATAGTTGGTCCGTCCCCATGCTGCATGAGCTCTCTCCTTATTCCTCTTGCCACGGCAAATGTCAGACTGTAGAGCGAACTACTAGACACGGATCCACCAAAGCCAGGCAGACTATTCCTCTGAACATAGAATTGCGGCTACGTGAAGATGATGATCCCAGTTGTTTCATTGCCATCCATCATCTGACAAGGACGATGTTGCACGAGCTATCGCATTTGGTGTATAGACGCCATTTGGTGGGCTTTTACAGGTTCAATGCGCAATTGCTGAGCGAACTTGTTAGGGACGTCGAGAAGGGGGAATTAAGGAAGCGTGTAAGCTGGAAGAATGTTCCCAACAGAATTGCGGGAACGGAGGAGATTGTTTGCACAATGACCGGAGATCTGAAGAAGAGTCTTGTGAACATGATTGCTGGTGGGAAGAAAGACCGACGCAGGTACTGGGAGTGATAATCGTATATAGCCTAGACGACTTCGAAACACGGTGCCTTTTCTTGGTCAACGGACGCTCGGTGAAGCGAATCAACCATCGAGACAAGACTTCTGGGTGGCTCTTGGGCATCAGATCGCTTAATCGTGAATGCCATCGACTGAACGACTGTATACCTGATATCCGCGCGCACAGTCTTCGGTACCCAACCTAATTTCTGCCATCCCAAGACTCCCCATATCGACCCTTCCAGCCACTTATCAACCACAGCATCATTGGCTATTCCTACTCGGTATGTATGTCCGTCTTCGAATCCAGCAAACCTGATCGATCTCAACCACGAAGTGTCGTTTGTGGAGCTCGTCTTTTCTCGTCCGTCAGCGTCCCGAGGTATAATGCGTGTCTCGATAACATGCGTTTGCCCTGGGTATAGTGTAACGTAATTACATCTCGTAGCCCATGATATCCCGCCTTCGCTTTGGAAGTAACATATATTGATCGTGTTGCGTGGCACATGCTGCCCGGTCTTGGTATCGGTGAATGTAAGCCCCTGAGCATGAAGGATCTTGCCGTCGAAGAGACTGATCTCTCTCTTGTACAATGTGATTGGTCTATCGTGACGAAGTGTAAGATTGAGCCGAATACTCAATTCGGTAGATCCGTCGATATCGAAAACGGCAGGCGAAGCAGTGATTACGACGTCGATGGTGGGAAGACCAGCCATACTGTCTTGGAAAAGTCGTGTGATATGTGAATAACAAAGCATCCAATGCACTAGGGTATACTCATCAAATTATGGAAGTAGAGGATGTGGTGCTGAAAGCTGTTGCCTTGACGCGTCGCGTCGCTCTCACATGCGCCCGCTTCCGCATTGCAGGAAGTGGGACAGTATCATCAATGTTGCTCTACAAGCGCTTCTGAGGACGCTTAAGTGATACTAGCGGTCACATTGATTGTGGTAGCTGACCGTGAACGAGGTGTTGTTGAAAAGGGTTCACAAGATTAATCGCCGAGTGATGTCATGGCACCTCGGCTGATCTGCATTTGGCGCTAGCGTGCTTACGAGCTATCAATGGAGATCGCCAAGATGAATCCTCGTGGGGGATCGCCAAGGTAAATCCCCACGAGCTTGCTGCGCACGAACTATGTCGACTCCACTACATGTTAGTCTGATGCAAATGCGAACATACGAGACTCAACTTCGTGGCAACCGATGGCAAGATACTGACAGCTTCAGGTACCAACAATACGAGAATGCACTAGTCGCACAACGACAACACAAACCATGGAGTCTGCAGTGATCACACGAAACAGGATTGTCAGCGTTGGAGAATGAGTGAAGGTGAAAGGACATTGAGTGAAAGCATGGTCGAAATGTAGCATGCGATCTCGTCCAGTTCTATTGTACCCCCCGATGAACCTAATTACAATGGGACGCTCTTGCGTCTTCACCTCGTCGCACAATACCAACCCCAAGCGTCACCACTGGGAAAGGACGTAAACGGTCAGATATCACGTCTTCACCTTGATATAATAGCTGCTTATTGAGAATGAGTAGCAGACGTCGATAGTAGGACTCATACATAACCAGCTCATCTCCCTGCAGACTCTACCGCTAGAGATTCAGCTTTCTACATCTTCTTTTTACGACTTTCTAATTTCATTATCGTACACTTTGACGCACACGTCATTTCTACTGTTAAATTTTGACGATACTCACGAAATCATGTCTTCACCATCCCTGCCTGTGGTTGAGCTGGTCTCCCCTGACGCCGCGATGTACGAGGCTGCCACCATCCTGGCTGGACTTCGGCACGCGCGTACCTATACGTCGGCTGCAAGGCCAGGTCTCAAGCTCAAGCTGAGATGCATCCAATCTGCCCTCCACCCCTCCACCTCTCCCATTGCTGGCGCTGGCCATAAGCGCAAATTCACCCACCATGAAGACGATGTCCAGCTTCCCCCAATTGCCCCTTCGCTCCCCATCCCCATACCCACCATGAAGCGGCTGAAGCGCATCCTCGACCCCCAAAAGACCGAGCACGCCGCTCTCATTGCCGCCGCTACAAAAGACGGCGCCGAGTACTACGACTCGGACGCATCCAGCGTCGCTGGCGACGTCAAGGACACCACGAAACCAGAACTCTTCCGCAACGTCACCTGGGGCGCCTACGCAACCTCCTACGACAACGACGCCGACTTCCGGGCCCAGCCTGAATTCACCCAGTTCGTCCCCGGCCGCTTCGAACTCCTCGCCGATGGCACCGTACGTGACCAAAAGCATAAGCTCGTCATCAAGCTGCTTGACAAGAATGGCAAAAAGCGCGTCTTCGCTAATCCGCCGCCGCGCGACTGGGCTTCGCAAGAGGCGATCACGGCATTGAACAAGCGCACTGTTCAGCAGATTCGGCGCAATACCAGCGTGAGGTTCCGCGAGGTTGTGCAGGCTTATGTGCAGGAAGAGCGGACGTGGATCCTCGCCAACCTTACCAATGGAAAGCCTACCAAAGGGTGGAAAACCTTTGTCGACGAGTTCAACAAGACGTTTGCGGGCAGGATTCTCACGGGTACAGCTGGTGCTCGGCCCGTTAGGAGTCATTCTAGTCTCACCAAGGAGGTGGAGAGATTTGGAGCTGAGTTCTACACGAAGGGTCTTGTACCGGTGCCAGCCAAAAAGGAGGCCAAGAAGGGATGAGTGGTTCGGTTGTAGTTGGATCACGGGTGCTTGTGGTGGACTGAGCGCTAGTCGCCCGGTATTGTTGTCCAAGTGATCACTAGCAAGTTACAAGTTTGGGCTGGTCCCTTGTAACCCCCAAGGGTGTATACATTTGCCCTTTCAATACTTCACGATGTCTTGTCATGGATTGGTGTCAATGTGGTAACCTGGATTACCTCTTTACTGCTATGCCTCTAATCTGTAAGTTCGCGACCCATGTCAAGTACCTCCAGCCTTCGTCATATTATCGCAAACCTTCCTTCAAACAGCCATGCTATCCATCTCCGCTGCCAGATTACCAACAGCCCTAGTCATCTGCTGTTGGCTCTCCATCACTATCACCAGACATCGCATGACCTGACGCCTCGCGGCATTCGCATCTGATGGCCTCGCACCTTCTGTAAGTGCAAATCGATTCATCGAATCCAACACCTGAGCTATATAGCTGTTCGACTCTCTAGCATATAGTTTTGATACGAGATGATAGATGTTGTCAACAAACTTGGGAATATTCCGCATAAGCATGTCATCATGAGTCATAACCACGATTTCGTTGTGAAGGTAGATTGCCTATAGGAATGACGACGAGAGGTCAGCGTGTTTCTTGCTAGCTTCTTTGTTCGATGCCGACTTACCTTTGCGCGGCGCATGAGAATATATCTTAGTGCTGGCAACGAGGCGGCTGAGTACTTGTTGCACTGTCCTGTTTGATGCGCTCGGTGTCAGTTGAAGTAGGAGAATATTAGAGACGTAACCTTTGGTATGTTATGGGTGAAGATCGGCTCAGTAACTTCTAAAGAGCTTTAAAGCGCCTAGACACTGTGAAAGTCCTCACGGGGGATGACCAAGATGAACCCTCACGGGAGATTGCCAAGGTAAATCCCCGCCAGAGAATTCCAATCGTCACCTGTAAGTCCGGCTTGAGTTGACGGCGCTTGCTATATACAACTCGTGGCGACTAAGCCTGACCATGAATTAGAGTCACTTAAAAGACAGAGTATATACTATAGGTTCAATGTGTTCATTCGCGGAACGTATTTATTAGCAAGGGATCTTAAGAGGGTGTGCTTCAGATGTTCGCCCTAGAACAAAGACAAAACCTAAAACAAGGGGAAGAGCGTGTAGTAGCGGCCAAGCTCACAGATATATATACAAACCTATCTTGAAGCTTATCGCACATGTAAGTACATTGCAGAGATGGTACAGACGTTGTAGGCTATGACATTAGCTGGGACAGACTGCGGGCAAGACCTCTCACCCACGAGGCTTTCTGCTTAGGTAGTGGCAATGTGAAGAGTACGGGCTCAGCCCGAACGGGTAGCTCAGGAGGTAGTTGCAACGAAATCGCAGCTAAGAGCGCAGCGAGATCATTCACCCCGATCTGACCGACAGGCGGCGCACCTGTTCTCGGGCTTCCGAAGCGGAGATGCACAGCTAGTGAAATTTCTCGGGCCTTTTGCTTTTGTTGTACTAATTTTCCCTGTTCTTGTAATAAATTTTTTCGTTTCGCCTCTTCGGCCGCTTCAGCAGCTCCTTGTGCATCGTCTAAATTCCTGTAGATAGAATCTACGACCACGCACCGCGCGACGAAGATATCCGCCCTTGTCATGAGCCCAAACCTCTGCGCGGTATGTTCATAGAATCTTTGTACCGACGGTCTCAAGAAATTTGTACCCTTCAGCATTGATGGCAGGTTGGGTTCATCATCATCATACATCTCAGAGAGTAGTGCTTCGTGCCACATCTGGATGGTCGGACGAGCGCGCAGTAAGCATATGAGGTTGGCTTTAGCGATATGGGCTGACTCGGACTTGCATATTATGTGCGAGATATAGGTCAAGTAGTAGAACCACTCTATTGCTGGGATGTATGACTGGATAGTGGAGAAAATTGATGGAATTTTTTGCCAGCTCGGACGGAGGACCGTAGGCTGTTGTGAAGGCATGGCTACGTTGATGTAGCTCGACGATTCGAGGATACAGAGTCGCTCCGTTTTGTCGAACTGTTGCGGGTAGTCGGAAGAAGATTAAGGGATTGGCAGTGTTCTTTTCTCCAGCCTATGGAGGAGGTATGGTAATCTCCATGTCGAGGAACAATGTCTAGATGATGGCTGGGCGAGACTATTCGTTGGAGATCAGCCAGAAATCTGTAGAGCGTCGTTTTGATCAGCAATGTGAATCTACATGTCGCATTAGTCAATAACAATGTTTTGATAGATAGGTCATGGTTCGTGATATCTTCTCAATGTTTGATTGGGATGCAATAGTTCGCTTGGGGACTCGCTTCGTACGGCTTCTTTTGTCAGGCAGTTCTTGTGTCGCCCACAGCATGAGTTGGCGCGGCTCACACCGACGGCGGTAGTGCACATGCGGGCATACGGAATGCAAGCACTACAGCCTCCTGGAGGTCAGAGTAGGCCTCGAAGTTACTCGTGATGTGTTTCGCAATCCAGATGGGTGTGCACGGGGCTCAATGAATGACTAAAACATCCTTTGCACGTGATGGCGCGACAACAATCTCGCCAGCGCCCCACCGTATATCATGAAACCTTGCCCTGTAATAGACGAACACCAAGTGCCATATTCGTTCCACTTCGACCCTCCAACCATCAGTTCCCTTACTCGGCTCATCAATATCTGAAATCATGTCGACAGCAAAGGTTCCCGTGAACGGTCGCTTTCCACAAGAAAACATCCAGGGACATGGTCCTATCCAGATCCACAGTATGACGGCTACCGTCTCCATGGCCGCCTCCGACACACCGTTCAAAAACGTCATCCTCCAGGTCCTCAAAGTCGAAATGTCATGCACAGGCAACCTCGACACTCACACCATCCTCGTCGAAGACGCTAGCCTTCTCCCCATGTTTCTAGTGAAGGACAACGCTGTATTCATCGATTTGGATGCTCTCAACGTACCTGTACTAGTCTTCGCGTTAGAAGCTGCGGGTCCCATGCCTGATAACGAAGGAGAAGAAGATACTGACGAGGACTTCGAGATGTTACAGAATGCTTGGAAAACTTGTCGTCTCGTGTGGAAGCGGGGAAAGGTTGTTGCTGGTCAAGCTAGCAGTGGTTAGTGATTGCCTTTGCTTTAAATCAAGCTTTCGTGTACCGCATCTGAGATCGCCCGACTTGCCTATCGTATACTGATATTCACATAGCTAATCGCGCCGAAGTTCCAGTAGTAAGGTCAGGAAGTGGTCTGAATGGAAAGCGACGACGGGTATACACACAGCAAACAGTAGATCCTTCACGTACCCCGAAGACGCTAAAATCTTCTATGCAAATTGGCGGACACGCCATCCCGCAGCCAGAGGACGAAAAGCGTTCTAGTGACGTTGCAGTGGCTCCGATACTAGGAGAGAGTTCCTCGATCATACACCACAGCGAGCAAGACTTCAAGGATTATGATGAGACCGAGTACGATGACGAAAATGATGAGGATTTCGACCAGTCTACCAAGGTAAAGACGAAGCGTCCAGGTACCCACAGGACCCCTACATCATCCAAGAAGGCAATGGGGAAGAGGCCCAGGAAGCCCATATCGTCTGCTGCGCCGCGCAATGTGAAGCCTCGCAACCCAACAGTGATGATCTGGCCGACCACCATAATCACAACTGGTACCGCGGGAGGCCGTCTACGTCCTCTCATGGCAGAGATGGGCCAGATATTGACGACAGACGCTCAGCGTGAAGAGTACATGGATCTCGTCTGGACGCGTCGCCGAGCCGCTGAAGGTGACGACATTGCCAAGCAAGCCGTTGTCCATGACCTCGAGACATTTGTGCGTGCTCATGGTATTGTGGACCAGCACAACTTGTGGGCACGTTGGATGGAGTCTGGCATCAAAACCGCCATGCCCATGTACAAGCCGGTCGGTACTGGTGAGATGGATGCGACTGAGAGGAAGCGAATGTTTGAGAGAAAGAAGGCGCGTCGGACTTAGGCGTCGCTCGCGACTTTGCAACGGAGACTATTTGGGGGCGGATTATGAAATCATCTGGTTCGACTATGCTCTACTAGCTGGAGGGTAGGTTGTAGCTCGTTGAGCGACGCGATCGAGTCTATGATGGGTCATCGTAAACTAGGCGCGAAAGAATCATGATGAACAAACACCCGGTTCGCGCCTAGGAACAGACTAGAAATAAACCACAACATAGAAGATGAGGCGTAATTCATGAGAACAAGTGCTTGCAAAGACACAGTTGTGGTCACCGTTGGCTGTCGTGAAGTTTGGCGATTGACGCGTTAGCGCTAGTCGCGCTGATGATGACGTCATCTCTCGCACTGATACTCATATTGGTCTTGGGATGTACACGTTCACTGCGACCCACTCACGTTCTACTATCTTTCTATATGCTCACTAGAAGTGAAGGTCACACGCTTCGCCATCGCTTGCCATCGAGAACGCTGCTTGTACACTGAATCAGATCGGTGCCAAGCAACGGCGAGACCGCGCTTTCTCAGGATGTTGAGAAATCCACAATGATCCTTACAATTTCTGGATGAGCTCCAGCAGGGCCTTTCCAATCGCAGCAGCACTCAGAGGATTTTGACCGGTTACCAAGTTTCCCTGCTTTCCGCTGATAACGACCTTCGCTCCAAAGAGCTGGCCTGCCTTTTCATACTTGCCACCGTGGTTCTTCAGCGCATCTTCTAACAAAAATGGCATCGCACTTGTAGAATCGTTAGCGTCTTCCTCGGCGTTCGAGAATCCCGTGACATTCTGACCCTGGATCATATACGAGCCGTCCGAGAGCTTCACGTTGACGAGAGCGGCTGGACCATGACAAACGGCGGACACAATCTTGCCAGACTCATAGAACCTTCGGATCAGTGAATGGGAGATGCTGTCATCTGCGAGGTCGAACATGGCTGTAACAAGATCATTAGCTACTCAGAAAGCTGATAGCCATTAGGCGAAGACTTACGGCCGTGACCGCCAACAAAGAAAACCCCGAGGAACTCATCAGCCCTCTCGATTATGGTACCAAGTGACTTGGTATCTTTCCACAATGCTTCTTTATCCCTCAGAAACCGTCGGCATTCTTCGTCGTCCTTGGAGTCTTCGATCGAGTAAGGGTCGATTGGAGCCTCACCACCTTTCGGGGAGGCGAAGACCATGTCCACATATGGGTTGAGGACATTGTAAGGGTGCACCAATTCAGGGAGGTACCATCCTGTCTTGACACCTTCTCGCGTGGGAAGAATGTCCTGAGACGTGAGAACGATAAGGAGTTTGGAACGATTTGACATTTTGAGCTGATGAACTTTCCAGAGGTGGTTTGTTGTCCTTCATCATGAATGAAAAGCCGCAAGTCGACTGATATATTCCGAAGGTGTTTCCTGTATAGGAGCTTGATGTTGTTCGAGGCCGATAATTTTCGGATCACTTCTACCAGAACGAGCGCGATTCGGTCTTACGCGGAGATTATCGAGATTTTCGCATCGCTCGGACTCCGATGTCAGCAGTGTGCATATGTGCAGGTTTTCGCTTTTCCCTTTGCGTAGACATTGTCATGACGGGGGTTCGTCACCCGTCTAAGGTCATATCCGTTCCGCAAGCTTGAAGCTTATGTGATAATCTATCTGGGTGTACAGCGAAAAAAGGCCGACTCTGCTTGAACCAGAATACAAAAGGCTCATGCCAGTGTGTCGCAACTGACAAGGACATCATCTATCCTACGTCTTTCTCGTCATCTTTTCCGCCTCCAAAGATCTTCTCAACCTCCAAATCTTTGTACCACTCTTGTCAAGCTGCACTGCAACCACAATGGTCATCACAATCACCGTTCTTTTTCCGAACGCGCCGGACGCCAAATACGACATCGATTACTATGTCAACAAGCACATGCCACTGATTCAGACTCTCTGGGGAAAACATGGCGTCAAAAGCTGGTCGGCAACCAAGTTCTCGAACGGTGTCGACGGCTCACCCCCACTCTACGCTTTCGGATCTATGGTCGTGTGGGAGAATCACGAGGAGATGAAGAATGCTTTTTCTGGGCCAGAAGCCAAGGAGGTTATGGGAGATGTTGTGAACTTCAGCAACAAAGAGGCGGTTTTCCTCATCGGCGAGGTAGTGCACTAGATGGTGTTTACCAGACTAAGGATGGGTTGGGATGAGGATTTGGAAGTCGGACAAGGTTTCTAGTTGCGTCCAAACAAAGTTTTCATTCTCTGACACGATCGTCCCGACGAATATTGTCGATACTAATCGCATGTGTGGTGTATGACTGAAAGGTTTTCCGGCTCTCGTCGGTTGTGCAAGAAACGGACCGTATACGTTTTGACTATCGCGCCACAATGTACACTGACTACCATGGACAATGGTTGCCTTGCTAACTTGATCGTTCCTACGCTCTTCCAATGGCGATCTCTTGATCTTCTGAATGGGGTGTGTAGAGCACCCAAATTATGTAAAACCAGCTCAAAGGCACCCATTCGCCTATGTGAACCTCAGATATCTTTAAGTCTGATACCCGAGACAATGACGCGTCCAAAATCCGACAAGAAAGAATCAGATGGCAGAGAAGTTCTCCGACCCCTGCCACTAACATTTATAGCAGTCCCTTCTTTTTCAACCAAGAAGTCTCACAGTTCTACGTCCCGACCTGCAGCAGCAGATGGAAAGGTTGTAGAGACAAGCCGTGAGATAATGATACCGATGACTAGCTCGCGTGACAGAAGATCCAAGCAAACAGTCAGGAAGCATGATTCCAACAAGAATGACCCATATCCGGTTGAATCCCATAGAAACGGACCTCAATCCAAGATACGGAAAGCTCCCAAGGTCTACGATTACTCGTGCTCACTCGTAATGGCAAGGGAAAATCCAAGACGCTCTCAAAACAAGAAGGTTGCTACGCCTGAGGATTTCATCGACGGCTCTGTACTTGGTAAACGTTCTCGTAGCGACATAGACGATAATTTGGAGGAACAGGATGTGCGTGGAGAGGCTGATATGCAAGGAGAGAGCGTTTTGGGCAACTCCATCGCAGAAGATTCTAGGAGCTCGGGAAGGAACGATATTCTAGAGGAGATGAGCCCAGACGAGAGTTGTGCACACAACAATGGTTCGAGCGTCGAGCCAGGCATTCCTCTGAAGGAACACGTCATTCCAGACTACGGTACATCACCAGACCCGATGGCATCAGACGCGCAACGCATAACAAGCTACCGTACGTCGCCAGTCTCCGTGCGAGGTGAAGAAAGTAACTCAACGGAGTCCGTAGGGTCGACGACCGTAGACACCAGCGAAGAACCTCAGACACCGGACCCCCTCACCTGGTGCCCAGCCCACGGAGTGACAGCGACCGGTGTCCATTTTCTCAATATGCCATTTGACGACTTACGCAAGGTGTTACTACTCCAAGCTCTTGAGCAATCACAGAAGCGACAACCACAGTCTTCCAACAAGATTCGCGCCCTATTCGTCTCCACGGTAACTGATGAGCAAACCGCACCCGAAAGTTACACGTTCGAACATGCCAGAGTTAAGCTTCAAGCAGGCCGCAATGCGGTGTATGGTATACAGCTGAAGGAGCGAATGGCTACCATGCGTATGTTTGCCGCCCGCGCAATGCAGAAGTCGCGTGAGGTAGTCGATGAGCTCACAACAGTCGTCTACGAGGCACGCGAAGAGCTCGCTGCGGCCCAAAAGGCGCTTGATGGAGGCATTGAGATTTTTGCCATTGTGGAGCAAGAGCTCAAGAATATTATAGGCGTTTCTGTATCGGAGCCGGATAACCCAGCAATAGAAGAGGATGCTTTGCGGCGGTACAACATGATCAACGAGATCAACGCTGCTATTGTGAAATATGGGAACATGGAATGGTCGCATACTGTTCGCAAGGAGAAGGAGGTTGAGCTGGAAGATTAGATTGAAAGACTTGGAGCAACAGACAGGAGACGGTTTCGGAAATGATGCATTTCCAGCAGGGTGTCAGGCACACGTATGACACCTCGTAGGCTTTGAAGGTTGAATAGTACACGGCGGCGGGGACTGGTCTTGTAGAACCACTAAGTTGCACTATTGAGGTCCAGGAAAGAGTCATATGTCTTGAACGTGAGCGCATATATCGGTTCGTAGTGAAGATTGCCTGCAGCTGCTCCGGATCGGATTTTCGTTATCCCTCATTGTTTTCCAAGGTGACTGGTGAGTGCGCAAACGAACGTTAAACAAATCAAAACAACATTGCAAGCAAACGCCTTCTTCGCGACTATCACCATGTTCTAATTTTGACTGCTTCCGTCCCAGCACCACCAATTTCTAGTCTGCTCATACCAGTACGTATGACAGTCAGCGAACATGCAGAACGACACACCAGATTCACGACAGTTTCTAACACCCGAACCTACCCCGCCGTTCAACATGACAGCGCCTAAAACATATGCAGCTCCTATGCATAAGTCGAAGACATCCTCCGGAAGGAGGCTAATCACGACGTCGCATGACCTTACCATTTTCGAACCTCGATTGTTAGCTATCATGCCACAAGCGGTAGCGAGAGATCTCATCAACACTATGCGCTTGATTCTCACGTTGGGTGGTCGGAAACAACGTCTGCTTGGTATGCGGAAGCAGAAGATCAATGATCTGCTCCACAATCTAGGCAGCAAAGAAGCGATCAGGGTGTATAACGAGTTTGCGACTGCACATGACCAGGTTGGAGAGCGGTCGACATTCAAACTACCTTTGATCGCGGAGCTAGAAGACGGAAACGATGAGGTGAACGAGAGTGGAGATGAGTCCGATTACCACAGTGCGCAGGAAGAGCTTGGGGGAGAGGAAACCGCTGCGGACGGCGCAACGCAGGAAGAAGTCGGACTCGAGGTTGTCCAAGATCCACATCTCGAGATGGAAGATCTGCTCTCAGCAATACAACAAGTTTCTGCAATACCCGATGTTGACACTCGGATCGCACCACCACCCTCGCCGCCTGAAGCGCATGCGTCACCAGTAATGCCTGTGGGTGTTCCATGCGACAAGCACATTGATGGCCCTTGCATGGTGGTATCGATCCAGAACCCCGAAGCTTTTCCTTTGACGAACATACAAGAGGTTCAAGCCGAGTACTACCCTTCCACCAGCATTCTTGACATGCAAATACATCACGACCGCAACGAACGTATCATCCAAGTCACGGCGACTTTGGATAAGGGCCCAGTCGACCAGCTCATCATTCACGATCCACGCATCATTACTCTCCTGGGTCTCCGTCAACCACCATACGCTATGATCTGTCTTCAGCCCAATCCTCGCATCGATGAGACATATCAGATCCACATCCAGCCAGGTCAAAGGCTGCGGAACGCAAAGGCTTGGAGCTTTGGCGAGCTGGTGTCCGCGCGGCATGCATATCTATACTGGCTAGATAGCAGGCGGACTTCAGATCCAAGGGCACCTCCTACCGTGGCAGAAGCTAGGCTCTTGGCGCCTAGAATAGGTCGAAGGGCCGGAGACGTCTGGAGAGAGATTGAAAAGGTTTGGAATATCGAGCAGGGTAGTGGTGGCAGGCATTTCCGAGAGAACAGAATGGAGTACTTAGGGGAAGATCCGGAGTATGGGGGAGGTGAAGAGAGGAGGTCGCAGAAGGGTATGTGGGTGTAAAAAGGCGATATATGGTCGTATATTCGATGCAACTAGACCGTCGTGATGGTACTCAATGTTCACCGGATTATAATCTTCTAGACGGCAATTGTAAGGCTGATGACCTGACAGTCGTGATGCGCACATTACCCACTTCACTTGTCAACGTCTCTTCAAAATACCAATCTTTCTGAAACTTGCTCTTCTCAAGTTCAGCAATGTAGGTTAGCGGGTCCAACATCATATATTCCTAGGCTTGTACGACAATGTCTAATCACTCTTTAGTCATTGCGACATCCAAAGTTGAACGTTCTTTGACCGACTCGCCGGCCCAGCCTATAGGGCATCGTTGAAAGAAAGATACAAGATTTGTGAAGGTTTGGAGTTCACTTGGGCACTCAGCTGGAGCTATGACGTTATTGATTACTAGGCACGAAGTTGCGTTCTCCACACGTTACCCGCAAACCTCATCCGTCCATCCATGCCCCCCAATGCGACATCGACCATGACCTAATGTCGCGACTCTGGAAAGATCTTGGCATTGATTTCGTTTCGCGATACAAATACATTCCGAACATGTTCTCACTTACTGTAACTACGCCACCCGTGCCGTCGTGACGTTCACGCGTCGCGCGCGATACGTCCCACTGATCGAAAGCCAGCTAGGCATCATTTCTTCCCCGACTGCATCCCGTATGTCGCCGTACATGACATCTGAGGCTGGCAAAACTTTTATAACGAACGACTACTCAGAATGCAGATACCAACATGTGAAAAGGTGCCTGGATCTGGGGTTACAAATCTTGTTCATCACCTGCTTTGTTGTGCTCTCCAGATACCTCAACCGCTGGAGCAACGTTTGCTGGGACTAAATCTTCTACAGCTGTTTATAGGTCTTCACTCTCTTCGCCCGTTACCGGCGATACGCTAGGTGCGTCGCGACCGTTTGGGAAGCACTCGTCCTCGTATGATCTGAAGAAGAGATCTCCCTCATTGTCGGATTCGCCACCATCCTCGCCAGAATCGTCTCCGCTCGAATCGCTTAGTGAAGCCCACAGTTCTTGTGGTGTGTTGATGATCGGTACCGCCATGGATCGGACTTCGTAGAGAGCTCTTCGATTAGCATCCTTCGCTAGGACCGTCCCCAGCTCTCTTCGTTTGTTTCCTACGACCACGAATGAAGATGGCGCGTTGCTGAGCTCGTTGTAACCTCCGGTACCCATGTGTTCGTCTCTCGCACCCTTTCCTGGCTGAGCTTCTCTCGTAAGGCTGGCTGTCGCGTCGATATTCGTTTCGTCTTGATCGTCCTTTCGTAAACGAAGATCCTCGATCGTCATCGGCTCATAGGGCACTCGAACACCGATTCTGGGCCATTGCAGCCGCTGCCAGAATTTGCTTAGCGATGTGTTCGGATATAATAGTCCATAGTGGTCATATAGCCTGGAGCTGTACACAGACATCCCAATCGTCGGCACATAGCCATCCGGACCGCCTTCATCTATACCTTTGGGAGCGTCTATCTCCTGTATTGGCCACTCGATAGGGTCTTTTGGGCGTTTCGGTTGCTCAGGATATGGGATCCAACACTCATTCGAAGAATGAGTCCAGAATGCTCGGCATCTCCCAGGGTTGGAGGGACACTCCCTACGAGATCTTGGCTCTAAAGCAATAGGTCGATTCTCTGTCTCAGGAAAGCCCTTAGGTATGGATGCAGATGGAATCTCTTCATCTACTGGGGATCGTGGTGGTGAATGGACAGGTGACGAGTGTGGTCGCAAGTGGTATGTGTGCCGTTCGCGACGACCCGTTGTTTCTTCCACCCACTCCGTAGTATACCACTTACGTAAGACAGGCCTGTAAGGTTTCTTCCCTATACAGAACTCTTCGGGAGGGTAACGGTTATCAATCTTCGCCTGGATATTTCGACTCTCGTCTCCCGGATCCGTAGAGCCGGCTTTGTCATTCGCGGGCTCTTCGGCAGTGATCGATTCCGCAACTGGCTCTCGGACGTCCCCACGCTTCTTTGCTCTCTCATTACGTGCCTTCACGAGTATCTCTTCGGCCCGTTTTGCAGGGACCTGTGGTGCGCTAATTCCACCACCATTATCACCATCCGTATACTCGAGATTGTCATCCGGGTTAATCAATTCTTCTAGGACCTCGTCCCTGATTGCGCTAGTTTCAGGGAACCAGCCCGACATTACTGGCCCGAGGCAGTCGTATGAGGTACGCCAATCCCAGGAGCTCTCTTTGGCAGAGACGAACAGACCCTGCTCTGTTCGTATCTGTCCCCACCTGTTTTCGACTACAACTCCGTTTGAGGTATTGATCACTCGGTCACCTGATGTGTCAGGCCTGTCGTCTTTGTATCTTGCGACCTCATGGCGACGCCTTGCTTCATGCGTATTGAACTCCAACCCCTGCGTTTCGGTATCGGACTGCTTCTCGATCGCTGCTCGTTTTTCCTCGATCGCGGCATTGTCCAGCTTGAAGTGATGCGGTTCGAGATCCTGCCGGACATCTTCGTCATCGTCGTCGCTACCGTCGTCGTCGCTTAGTCTCGAAGGACGCAGGCCAGCAAGCTGACGCCTGTAATTCGGTGTCCACAGGTGAAGCTCACCCGGTCCCACGACAGGCAAGGTGGCTTCTTCTTGCCTCCCCTCAACGTGATTTCCAAGATGGTCGTGTCGACCTTGCTTGTAGTCTTTGCCACCTATGTCTCTCAAGTCGTACATCTCAAGCAAGGAATGCACCCAGTCAAAGTGGCCGTTGTCGTTGCCTGATGTTTCACGCTTGTATCCAATACGCCTGTCAAATTGCTCCTTTTCAACCGCCTTCCTTTGCTTAGGATCTAGTAGCCGCAGCCTTCTCCGCCGCTTGGAGATATCCTGATAGTAGAGCCAATCTTCGAGCTCTGCTTGAGCTGTCATCATCGAGTCATGCTCTGCACGACGTTTCACCTTATCAAATCTGTTGTTTCTTCCAGCCTTCTTGTAAGCCTTCTGTGCTAAATCCCTTGCTTTCTTGGCTGATTTCGTTGGTCCTTTCTTCCCACTCTTGTCCTGACTAAGCGCATCCTTATACGCTTGAACCTTTGCGGCATGATCCGCCTCCAAAGTGTAGTAGTTATAGTGGTCTTGCTCGATGTTGGTTTCTTTCTTTTGCGTAGCTTGGTGTGACTCCAATCGCTTTCTCAGTACATCCCATGTATCACGCCGCCTTCGGGTCACCAGGACAAGTTGAGAGATACGCTCGTGCTCAGCTTCTGCCTTACCAATTCTTCCACTTTTGTTCCCTGGCTTTCCATTTTCGCCACTTTTGTTCTCTGGCTTTCCATCTTTGCCACCTTTGTTCGACCCAGCATTGCTGCTCGACTTCTTCTTAACCATCTTCGCTCTGTTAGATTACGTGTACAGCTGAAAATGCTTGCGAGTATTGGAAGCTTGTGCGAGGATTGAAGTCAGAAGGATGAGATGTTCAGAGACGGGAAGATGATCATTAGCAGGCACAGGCACTCGCTATTGTTCTGGAAGATCGGCCGGAAATATCGCTACAAACAAAGAGCCATCAACTATATCTGGCGGACTCGGTGCACTACAATGAACCAAAGATATCCCAGCCGAATACAATTGTCCGGAAAGAACTTTCAATCAACAAAGAAATAATTACCCGAGTCCAAGACCTGTGGCCACACACTTCTGAGGAGTAGGCCAAGAAAACTTGCAGCGACGCTCTCTATCAGCGATTCTCCAATATCCTATCAATATAGGTTCTCTTCTTCTTCTTCTTCTTTGGTTTTTTTGGCTTTTTCGGAGGCGGAAGTCCAGCATTTTTCGCATCCTGCCGTTCCCACTCTTCTTTCTGCGCATCATAAAGTTCCTGCTCTCGAGGATCCATCAGGCTACGGTCGTAAGTTTTCGCCAGCCACAATGGTTTGATGTTCATATAACCATCTACCTTGTGTGTACCCTCGAATTTAGGATCCCAGTTCCGGTCGCGACTGGAACCCATGTTGCCAGTCTTTGCGCATACTCTGTAGTGCGCCTCCTCCTCATCATATGGCGACTTGGAATTATCGTAGAAATAATTCTTCGTCGATAGCATATTCTTCACGTCGCTTTCCTTGATGCTCTCTACGGACGAAGCGTCGTCAGAGGCGACCTCGCTACCAGTGGATTCTTCGCTTTCGTTGGAGGTCTCGTCACCCGCAGAATCCTCGCTTCCAGATGGCTTAGTCGTCTCTTTCTTATCTTTCTGAGGAGGTTCGCTTCGAAGTGCGGTCTTGTTGTTGCTTCCAACGGAGCCTGCGGACAGCATATCTTGAGGTTGAGCGGATGCATCTTTCAAATCGTTCTTGTGGCTTCCCATCGATGTTGTGGAGTCGTGAGAAGATGACCGAGCCTGAAGTCGCCCGGAAATCCGCTCTTCATAATTCTTCTGGGGGGTGTTTGCTGTTTGCGTGTCTCTAGCAGTTTGTTTCTGAGACTGATCAGCGGTGAGACTCTGAACGTTGACGTCGGCAAGAGTCATGTTTCTATCGCCATCGGTCTCAGAAACTTGGATTGCAGCCTGCACACAGCTACCTTCTACCTTCAGCTTCGCAACCATCGAATGTTTCATACTAGCGCGAGTGTCATTCGATGATGGATCGTCGACCGGGGTTGTCTCTCGGATTACGCGTGTGGTGGCCTGCCCGCGTGCTTGCTTCGTCGCTCGTGTAGTCCGGGTGGAAAACGCCGCAGCCTTCTTGTCTTCTTCTCGCTCTTGCGACTGCTTCCCCTCCCCTGCAGGTTTCGACCTCGTAGAACGTATCCGCTTGTTTGCGAGAGGAGCTCCTGTTGGACGACGCTTGCGCTTGCTGTGTAGGCCTGAGACTGCGTCCGCGGTTGGCTCGACTACTGTTGTCACATCCCCGCCATCTTGGTCTTCTGCCATCTGTACATCTCCGTCATCGTCCTGTTCTGCTATTTCGTCGTCGCTTGGGCTGGCCTCGTCCTTCTGTGCATTGGTCTTGTCCTTCTTGGGCTGTGCCGGCGTTGTTCCTGTTTTCTGTGCATGCGCGCGCTGACCTGTCGCTTTCTTCTTCCCTGACGTCGTGCGCTTACCGCCTTTCGCCTTTGCTTCTCCCTGCCTTGTCCTCCGTCTTGCGTCCACATCTGCGCGCAGCGCCTCCTTCTGTGCTTGGCTCGCCTTGGTCCCGACATCTGGATCGTCCAAGGTTAGGGGAGCATTCGCCCTATCGAATTTCTGTGCGATATCTAGGAAGTCTTGCTTCTTGAGGTCGTGAATGTTTGTGCATCCGAATTGCCCTTCAAAGATTGGTCGAAACCCTGGGTTTTTACCGTTCCCGTTAACGATAAATTTACTGTATCTATCTGCCATCTTGAACGAAGGCCGAAGATTATCTGACTCAATTCGACTTGTGCCTGTAGTTGTAGGTTGGGCCTTCTTGGATCGTGGTGTTATCAATGTGTAGTGGTACCGGACAAGAGTCGTGAGTGAAGTCGCGTTATATGTGGAGCGGACCGCTCATTGCATCGACTGTGAAATCACAAGAGAGTCGCCGAGATTGTGTTTTCACGATGAATTACTTAGGTCGATGGCAACTGCGAACTGATTCGATCGGATTCTAGCACTAATGATATTGTACATCAGCTACGGCGTACTGCCCCGATCCAACGGCCATCATACTGCTGACGCGGGACGCAATACTTGACGCGGGATACAATACTTGACACGGATGTCAACACACGACCCTTCACGGTGTACATCTGCTACAGCACACCAAATGGGCATCCTAATTGCTACCAAAGTCTTACACCAAGAGATGCTGGCTTGCTTCACACATTTGTCTCCGCTACTACGTGTCCTGGCATGTTATACTCAATTCATAAGAAGATGGTGTATCGTGAGAAAGAACGATGGGTAAATGTTGTATTGCATGGCTAGAAGATCATCCCTACCAGTTCCTGCGACGAAGCGGCGAGAGAGCAATACTTCCCATCCCCATATCATCTATCAGCGGCTACTTCAGTTTAAGGCTTACTGACAGCTATCTGGAGCCATACCTCCTAGTGTGTCCTAGCGAGGGGGGAAGTAAGTTTCACCCTTGGCTGCTTGAAGTGCCAGAAACTCCCGCATCTCTTCTATCTCCTTCTCCTTCTCCTCGGAAGACATCATATTACCCTTCTCGCCCGGGTAAGGATTCATGCCCCTCATCATACCGTCTTGCTTGAGCTTGCGACGCTGCTCCAGCACTTCAGGGTTAGGATCAGCTCCGTTCCTGATATTACGGACAAGAGGCGATTTGTACCAGAACTCCATATCGTCTTCGATGGCCTTAGCCCACCTCCGCGCCTTCTTGTCCTTCACGATGAATTCTTCCCGCCTGCGACGAAACTCCTCCTCGTTGGCTTCGCGCGCCTTGCGTTCCTCCTTGAGCCTCTTCTGCGTAGCGGCTTCGAATGCAGCGTCCTCGCGGCGGCGTCTAGCGAGAGCAGCTGGGGGTGTTGTCTTCATGCGCGCTGGTCGCAAGTGACGGGTATCCCACACATACTGACGGCGTTCTTCTGGGTCGGTGAAGTGCGAGCGCGGGATCAGACCTGGAGGATCCAAAGCACTATCCATCGGTACCGGCATGGTGCCCATCTGATTACCGCCCTCCTGCATCCCGCCCATCTGCGTACCGTCCATTTGTGTAACGACCATTTGTGTACCGCCTATCTGTGTACTGCCAAGAGCTCGCATACCGCGCGTCACACGCCTAGTCTCTTGTGTATTGGCGTCAGATGCTTCGCCAGCAATGACTTGTTCTGTAGCGCTAGTTGCGTTGTCCGCGTCGGCTTCGGGTAGCTGTCAACGTAGCATTACGAAGTCAGTATCTATCTCACCAGCGTCACCTACAGTCATAACGTACCTTTGACTTTGCATCGGCGTCGATGCGGAGCTGTTCCTGGCGGAGGTTGTCCGAACTAAGTCGCAACTTCAACATAAGGGGCACATGCGGTGGTTCGGCCATCTTGAAGATGATATTGGCGAAGCGCTGGGTGACATCGGTGGGAGACTTTACTAGAAGTGTCTGCTTGCTAGTGTTCTGGCTTGCGGTCTTCGTTGATCGATTGCTCGCTGAAGTTGTTTGCTTCGATACAGTTACGCTTTGCTCGATCAGTCTCTCTTTGCTTTACGAAGGAGGTAGCGGGGCATTCTACTTTTTGATATTGCCCTCTGACCTCCTCGGCATTTCATTCCCAGCGGCTCCGGTGGCTTTCTCTCCAGACTTAGTCGCTCGTGGGGTCTTGAAAGTGTGAGATGACGCAATGGTCGTATGGTTGGTCGTTTGCTGCTCTGTCGATATAGTGAATACTCCTTCTACCACACCACTCATCAAGATCTTACCAGAATCGCCTTGTTCGAAAGCGTGATCAACGTTCATGTCATCTTCGTCAACGTCTTCTGGGTCGGAATCTTGCTCTTCATGGAAGCCTTGGTCTCGTCCTTCTTCAGAATACTCTTCTTGTCCCTCTTCGAATTCTTCATCTGATCCATGTTCAGATTTCTCGTCTGGAGGATCCTGCTCGTCGAGCTTGGCCTTGACCTGAGCCATCCAATTGTCGTCAAAAACCTTGGGATTTTTCATGAAGGATACTGCAGTGTGCTTGTCCTTGATGATATACTTGTGCACCGCGTCAGGCGCGTTCTCCCTATCCCATTTGTCGATGCGATCATGCAGTTCCTTCAGCTCAGGTGCATTCTGACTCAGACCTAGGTACTTAAGACCTTGTCGGAGTTGGTGGCGGTTGTATATACCACTCTTGTAGTCGTGACTTGCTGTCGGAGGCCCAGCCATCTTGTCGGCTCCGGACTGTGTTCTCGGTGTAGTCTTCGTAGTGGGTGAGGTGTTCTGATCCAAATCAATATTGGTGTCGGGGTTGATTTCTGTGCGGGGTTGAGTCGTTTGCGAGTTATCAAGTGGTCCTCCGGCGATGCTGAGCGGCGCTCCGGGACCACTATTCTCCTCTTTGTGGTGCCCATGACCACTACCACCGCCATGACCATCATCATCTTCACTACCGCACGGACAGTCTTTCAGGCTGCTACATTGACGGTAGCTAATCGCAAACTCATCACCTTCGTCGTCACTCGAGTCTTCATCACTGGATTCGAGATCACTTTCTGGCATCCTGTTCATAGTCTCTTCCTTCGCCCGTTCTCTACGACCGTTTGTAGCTTCTGCCCAAGACGTGGTCTCGACATGATGGTGGCCAACACTTGCGTTGTATTCAATAGGCGTCATTGGTGGCTTGGAGAACTCATTAAGCTCGTCTCCTTGTAGCTCCAATGTGGGCTTTGCTGGCATGATCAGCGTGCGGCCGGGTGCTACTGCACCTCGTTTATCATAGGAAGTTTTCCAGTCGAATGATGTTTCTCTAGCTGCGATGTGCAGTCCGCTCTCCAAATGAGTTCCGCTTGAACCACGAGTTATTGGTAGAGGTGATGGAAGTTCTAAATCTCGTTTCCGCCGCCCGGAATGGGATTCGTACGTAAGAGATTGATCACCTTCCGCGTCTTCAATCTCCCTTCTTCTCCTCTCTATTGCCTCAATATCCAGAGGCAGTTTTATTGGCGACAGCAGACGTGGATTTCTAGGCCTACCTAATCCTACTGCAAATCTTCTTGCCCTTGGAAGCCCTACATGCAAGTTATTGGGACCCATCTTCTCGTAGTCTATCTCCTCTGTCGCTCCGACATTATCCTGTTCAAATAGATCAATAAACGGACGCAACTTCTTATCATATTTTGCGTCCTCTGTAAGAATAGCAGGCGGTAGTCCCTTTCTCATGGGCTTTGCCTTTATACGCTTCGTTTTATCGAATTCCTCCCTATACTGCAACCGATGTTCGGGCGTTTGATAATACAAGAAGTCTTCGTATAAGGAAATTGCCATGCATCGATTCTCATGCGCCTTCGAGCGTACATCGGCTTTGAATTTGTTGCTCCCGCCGACTGCTTTGTTTGCCACAGCTATGATTTCCTCTTGATCGTCCTCATTGAGCTCTTTTGCTCGGACCTGGTCTCTAAGATGCGTTTCAAAATCAGGTATCTCGGCTGCCTTCTCCGCATTCTGTAGTGTTTTAATCAGTTTCTGTCTCCGAGTTTTTAGATCCCGGTCTACGATTTCTCGAGGACGCTTAAATACACCGATGTCACCTCCAGATCCCGTGCCTTTGTTCGTGGCTGAGAATTGATTACTCGAAGATGATGGCAGCCCTTGCGACGTTGCTGGTTTTGGGTTACGGTCACGTAGGACTCTAGTTCCTTGACTCTGGGGGAGCTCTTCTTTGTTGTTTTTCTCATTTGAGCTATCTCTTGGTGTTTTGGGTGGCATTTTTGATCACGATGATGGATATTAACTTGATTGGAAAAGCAGAGCAAGAATGGGCACGAATGCGAGCTTTTGAAGACGTGTGTAGATTCTGAGGGCGACATGACGGGAAGCTACCTCCCAGAATTCGCAAAATCCGGGTTACAAGTCGTTCTCTTTGTGTTCGTTGGTAGTGCTAAGTACAATGGAGTTGTGAGGTCCTCCCGCTTCCGCGCTTTTCCTACTCAACAAAGGATACGAAGCCTCTAGAGGAAAGATCGCAGCACCCATAGAGCATTGTGCGTGATATTGTTGTCCACGACAAACGACTATAGAGTCAAACTTGAAGACAGATGAGAAGCTGAGGGATATAAGGACTACTTCACAAGTAGATAAAACACTACAAATTCATCTCTATATACTTTATTTATTCCCATTCTGAACAAACAAAGCCTATCCTTTGTCCTTCCACACCGGTGTCAACCACATAAACGAATCGGAGCCAGATTCTACTATCCTTCTTCTTGAAGTTGTTTCCTAATGTCGTCCTACGAAGCACGTCAAGGCGAGGGTCCACCCATCCAGAGGTCTAGATCCCGTCCTTCCTCCTTTGCTTGGTCTACCTCACGCTCGTAGAGGCGTCGTGTGCCCAGTTGTTCGCTAGGTGCCGGCTTAACACCAGGTCGAACGTGCCCTTCCATACGCGCAAGGACTGTCTTGTTCCTGACACGATAGGTGTCTGCGAGAAGAGGATCAGAATAGCGCCCCTGCTGAAGCTTGTTGTAGATCCTCAGCTCTTCTTCATCATCTTTCTGCTGCTGTTCATCTGCTAGTTGCTCCACAGTCTTTGTCGCGCCAGCTCTCGTGGCTTTCTTCCGAGCTTTTCGACTCCTGGTCACCTTCAGTCCAGGGCCGCGTCGTCTCCCAGCGAACCCTTGCGACTGTTCGGTACCAGCTTCAACTATATCATTGTCTTCCTCACCGATGCGGCCCGTGGCATCGTCTGTAGGATCGTGGTCTTGGTCCTCGGCGACCAGTTTGCGCGCTCGTAGCACCCTGTGTTTGCTTGCGTCGAGGTGTGTCTCGGTAGCAATCGTTCGGCTGGTTCGAGACTCATGAGAGTTTGTGTTCTCCTGGCGTTGTTCCCGAGTCAGCGTGCCAGCTGTCGGCGTAGACTGCGTGTGGTAACGGTCGTCACTCAGGTCGCCTTCGTTGAGCATCTCGACATCGTCGTCTTTGGCCATCGTTCTGGTCCTGCTCTGGCGCTTCTGTGGCACGAAAGACATGGTCGACACAGTTTTGCGTTTCCTAGAATCTGCTGGTTTCATTTCAGGCTGGTTTTGTGTCGGGACAATCTTCCTTGGGACAACAGACTTGCCATCCTTCTTTTGGCGTGGCAGGAACATGGCCATGCGCGGGGCATGATCGACATCCCACCGCTGTAACCACTGGGCGAGAACAGCCTTGCTAAACTCCTTTCCATGAGTATTGTTCAGGCCAGCTGCAGCAGCCATAGGTCTCAGATCGGGGTTGACAGTGTAGGACTGGTACTCCAGTGGTCGAGGGGTCTTGCCGTCCGCTATCGTACTCGACGAGTCGTGTTGGTCAAAGAATCGGGCGGCACTTTTGAGATCCTGCTCTAGTATTTTTGCTGGCATCTCCATTCCATGCTGCTTGAATAGTGGGTGGCTTATGATCCTGATCTTGAGCGCGTCTATCGTCCAGGTGCCGTCGTCGAGGTTGGTCGAAGCCATCGTCGTTGCGTGTTTCGAGGCGATAAGGTTGTCTGATACCCCAGAAAAAGCGTCGCATGTAGCAAATCTCGTGGGTGGGGGTGCCATGCACGGTGTGGATGGAACTGCGAAAGTGGTCCGTGTCTCGCCGTGGTAGAAAGATATCGCGCTTGATGCCGACGTGACCAGCGACTCGAACAGTTGTGAGCCAATCGCTGACGTTCACAACATCTCTGTTCCAGACTAGCTCCAATGTCTCTCGAGACTCTTTATATGCTCATGGTGCGCGACAAAACAAGCAAGCGGTGTCGGTATAGGTCCGCTCGTATGAGACACTATCTCCTAAGGGGATACATGTGAATACCTCCCTCCGCAGCAAACTCATTTAAATCACTCAACTCCATATCATTCTGTGATTTGGACGGACTTACCAACTGGCTTGCCACCAAACACCAGTCCAGTGCAACTCGTCCACTCAACCACAATCTCAACCACCACCACAACTACAAAGAACAAAATGAGCCATCACGGCCAACCTTTCGTTAGATGGGGTGACTCGGAGCCACCATCCCCACCACATACAGGCATTCGCGCCCCTTCGGAAGACCCTGCCTGGCAGGATAACGAAAACTGTTGCTGCGTAGCCAGTACCGATCTGAGCTCGTATAGCAACACCACTGACGCGACTAGCAATCCCAAACGCATATTCCATTACGCCAATATGGGCCTCAACCGTCCTCATCCACTCGCGCCACACCGCACTCCTGACTTTCAGAACGGCGACCTTATCGAAGCTACTGAACCAGAGAAGATACAATCCGTACGCATGAAGAATCATCTCAGGGCGCTGGAGGAAGATGAAGGAGATTTGGCGGAACTGTCAGAGCGCTTGGTACCGTCGGAGCTGCGATCGCTTGCTCAACAACGTGAAGACTCCTCTCATTACGGGTGGCAGCCTATCAACAAGACCAAGGCTTCGCACTACAATGAGTGGCAGTTGACCTTCGGCGGAGAATCGAACCCCAGTGGCTGGACGTTGGTCGACAGCGCAGCCACCTCTGGCACGCCAGGCGGAGGAACATCGATGGCCATTACCCTGGCAAGACAGGAAGGAGATACGCCTATTGCAAAGGATTTGGCGACCGATACACCAGCTACTCCCGTGGATGCTGAGATCACTGGAGACACCTTGAAAGACGCTGACGATTCTCTATGGATAGACGAGAAATACTTCGACCATTATGGTTACTTCAACTATGTCAACAGTGTTGATGGCAATGAGAACGATGAACTGTTAAAAATCCAAACCAAGCTCAACACACAGGACAGGAAGGGAGTACAGCTTACCTTGGACCAATTTCTCTCGACATCTCCAGCCCTTGGAAAGCGGCTAGCATCCCTGGGACAGCCTGTTGAGGGTTTTGCAAAGAGGCTGACTACTAAGGGCAAGCCGATGAACGATCGCGATCCGCCAGTCCACGATACCTTTGACATTCATCACCAAGCCAAGGCAGGAACCAGCGAAGACACCTCTTCAGATGAGATGGCCAAGTGGGTACTACTGGAAGGCAATGTCTCTGCCCCACGGACCGGTAATGTCTCGCCCCACAAGCTCACCATCAAGCTCCGTAACACCATGACCGACGAACGTAAAACTCTGACCTACACGGAGGTCGAGCACGATGAAGTCGACTGGAAATCCAAACAGCAAATCGCCGCCATTACCAGATGGCGCAGCGGCGTCTTCCACGAGCACGGTATCAACACCAAGAAGAACGTACTCATGTACACACCCCTCGAAGACGCATGGATGACGTTCTTCCACCGCAAGCTCCGCGCCACCATCGAAGCAGGCCACATGATCAAGCTCCCCGGTCCCTCCAACATCATGGTTCCTTTCAACGCCTACTTCGAAGGCAAGACGCTCAAGGATACAAATGGAGAAGCCGTAGGACCAAGACCTGCGCGCGATGCAACATCCATCAGGGGAAAGCTCGATGGTAGGGCGAGCAAGATTGCCGAAATGCGGAAGAAGATGCGAGGACTCCTCCCAACCGACAACGGTGGTCCTATATTCATCCCAACTATCACAGAAGAGGAGCTGCTGAGGTTTCAAAAGGATGGGTCGGTCGCTGTTGAAGTTTCAAAGGAGGCTGATAAGGATGCATCATCGGGTAGTGATGCGAAGGGAAGCAGGAAATCGTCGCCAAAGCGAAAGCGGGAGAAGGGTGACGCAGGAGAACAAGATGGGAAGAAGGCAAAGAGAGCAGGGAAAGCGAATCCAAGAACCTGAAGATAGCTCACAGTGTGACCGTATTCAAACGTAAAGCCGGTTGTCCTTCGTATAAACATATGTAGGAAGCTCTCTCAGTGACGGTTGTAAATTCAGTGAAGCGAGAAGTGTTCGTAGCTTATTGCTTATACATGTCGTCATCGGAGCACTACAAAATGAAGTAGGTTTTGCGCATACTGCGACTGAGTGGGTTAGAAGCAAGTGTGTACAAGTATATTTGAGCTGATGTTGTTCGAGGGCTTACCTCGGTTTTGACCGAATACCTGTTCTAAATCGGTCGACCAGCCATGCAAACTGCAGGATATCAAATCGACGCCAAAATCCCTCTAGCCCAATCTATGTATCGTATTCGATATGCTTTTAGTTCTAACCCGTCTTGTCTTCCCAGATCTTCAAGAATAGCTTCCATAAAATCGAAAACAGTATACCCTGCAGACCATTCGCGATGATTCTCGTCTTCAATCCTCGTCCGAATAGACCCATCTTCCCGTCTTTACGAATGACCTCCTTGGCTGCTTCAGTGTAGGATATCCTCTTATCATTGACCTGTCGATATGTCTTTACGACGCGCAACGAGTTGGATATGGTGTCCGAAACGACCGATGCGCAAAAGCCAATGAAAGCAGCACGTAGCAACCACCACCCAATTTGCTGTCTCGTTGGATCTGGAATGGTCTCGGAGAGAAAGTTGTATACGGCAAACCAAGGGTAATGTCCGACAAAGGTCGCTGCCGCAGTAGCGAATGCACCCCACCAGAGACTGCCAATGCCGTCAGTCTTGATACGTTGCCGGAGGAGCGCCCAGCCACTAGATCCCTGGGCTTGCAGTGTGGTCTTCAGCGTATCGATGGGAGTGAGTAGCATCCTGAAAGATGCGGCGCACGCAGATGCGAAGATCGTTTGGACGGGAGATGGAAGCTGTTTCAAGAAACCGTTGGATTGGAGCAAGGCGAGGATACCAGCATTGGCGGCTGTGTCTCCAAATCGTGCAATAGGCCCTTGAACGAGTGCAGCGCCCATACCTTGGTAGTATCGGCTAATGCCGCCGTCTGCGTACAATGTCTTTGTTGCCACGGTCGTTGATGTTCCGTGGCGGTATTGGTAGTTCATGATGGTACGAATGGGCATCAAGAGCAATACTTGCAGGATCATCGCCGCAGCACCACTCAAGCCTCCACCCAACGCACGCTTTAACGCGCCTTTGAGATCAAACTATGTCGCATACTGTGAGCTTTGCGGGACTGTGTGATTTGCCACTGGGAGATACATACATCAACGTCGTCTGCGTCAATCCATCCCTTGATAAAAACAACGACAACTAGTATGACAAACAACGCCAAAAGTCCTCTCCAAACATAAAACCAGGTCCTCGATGTCGCCTTTTGCGGCTCATCTATTGTGTCGTCGCATTCCGATGGCGTGGGCGTGCGCTGGCGTACGTCGGCATGCTGGAGCAAGGGCGCGCGCTCATCTGGCATAACGCCTTCTATGTCGTGTCGAGGAGGCATCTTTCTGGTGTTCGTTATTGAATCGCGACGCTGCACTTGCAATTGATAAGTAACGCCGTCCGAGGAATGTTGCGATTACCAATCAAGGGGCATGACGCGCACTCGGCTATACTTGTAAGCCGATGGACGAGACCCACTTATACGGCCGAATTCTCAATGACAACTGGCGACTGAGGCACCGTCTGGCTATATGACCGCGTCGCATCTCCTGTCTTCTTCAACTTCAATATGACTCACTCTTTTGATGTTTGTGCTTTCTGAACAACGCACACACATCGCAAGCGCACGCGTACCGCCAAGGCTGTTACCACCTTTGTCGCGCTCGAGACCTGTCGCTTCACAACGAAGGGTTGAAGATAGGCGTGTGCTGTAAAGTCATTATGATGGCGCAAGATACGTAACGACGTTGAAACCTCTATGCCATACTCGCGCAATTCTTGCATACCGGCCGACTTATTCTTCGAAGACATTGCGCGATGGAAGATAGAAGTAGGTAATACTGGGATAGATGGGATGCGTTGATGAAAAGGCCTACCAACGCTGAAGTACGCCATGGGCTTGCGAGACAAGTCAATACCGTGCCTGTTTGGACGAGCCCTGCTTGCGCTATCTGCGCGATGCTTTTGACATCACAGTCGAAGCCTGGCAGAGTCTTCCACCGCGTAGGTCCGACAGAACTTTGCCCAGGGCCATCGAAATTCTACAGCCACCATCAGCGGCTGCTCGCATGATGAGCGACCTCAGTGCGTTCCACCAATCATAGTCCTCTCAGCGGCTACCCGCCAACGGTCGCTCATATTTGCCCCAATCATCACCAGACACCACCAACACGATTGCCCACACATCCAGCGTATTCTCATTAACGCAAGGTTGTTTCCATCGCACGTGAACTACACAGCCATGCACAGCCGCATATGTATCGCCAGACATGCCAATCAACCCGTTGCATACAGATTAGACCCGCGTACCCATTGTTGTTGTTGGTGAGGCCACCAGCCGCCAGCCCAATCTGGGGTAAATACACAAGACCAGGTTGTACGCCACCCCACAGATTAAGAGACGCGATCCACCCCCAGCGGAGTGCCAAGCTACTACGGACGCCTGATGCGGCACAGTATCCGTCTATGCGAGGCTGCTGCGGTGCGCCTTGCATCCCGCTAACCGGTGAGATGCCAAGAGACAAATCTTAAGAAGCGTCAAGACCCCGTGCAAAAGGCTTGTGTCGGAAGTCATCGCAGAATATCCTCTCCCCGCGTTAAAACGACTGTCATTATCACTACGATGGCATCTCTTCTCCCGACCATGCTGTTCGCAGCTAGTGCGACCGCGCAAGTAACAACCTCATTCTGGATGCCCCGTTTCTACCAGCCGGTAACCAAAATTGGCTGGGTTGGATCCGTCGTCAACGCCAATGGAACACATACCACCATCGTCGCTGACTACGACAACGGCACCGATACCTCTGCTCTCAATTTAGGCGGTGGCCCAATGACCATGACTGTTGGCCCTACTGTTTTCGGCATTGACATTCCACTTCCAGCTGGAATCGGTGGAATCCTCGGTGACGACGACGGCGACAAATCCTATAACTATTTCTGCAACTGGCCTACCCCAGATGAGGCCGATTCGAACCGCACATGTACTATATCCTATTCTGCGGAGCTAGTCGCTCCGCTTGTCTGCGCCGGAACGGTTTACGCCTCGACATCGGAGGAGACGTTGACTTATACGTATACCTATCCTGCGCGCGGATCGGACCCAGCCGGTACCGAAACTGCGGAATTCACCTTGACCTTACCCTCTGGCTCCGAGACTCTCTCTCGCACTAATTTGCCGTCTGTTTGCAGCGAGCTTTCGAGTGGTGAGGAAGCTGACGAGGGATACTCGTTCTCGACACCCTATCCGGCGTCGGATCTTGAGACCTATTACCTTGTTCTTACTGCGGGGACGGAGAAGCTGGACGCGACTCAGGCGGCTACCCCTACTCTGTCGAGTGCTGCGTCTACCGGTACCGGAGATGCTGCTGAGACGGGTCCCTCTGGGAGTGCGGCGCAGCCTGAAGCGACTGAGGGTGGCGCACCGATGGCTACCGGTGCGCCTATGTTGATGGGACTTGGCGCTGCTATCGCGCTTTTTGTTTGAAGCGTGTAAAGGCGATGAGAGCTGACGAGGCGATGAATGCTATGGAACCTTCGTCTCGTAATTTCTAATGCAGACTCCAAATAAAATCGATGTAATGTCCTGATTTGTGAAATCTTCATGTGCGTTCAGGTGTGAAGAACTGTAGTTGAAGTCTTGGACATCTGCTTATCCTCGAGGTTATCATGTATCCGTCGAACTCTACTGAGAAAGCACACATGTATCAGGTGCTTTGTTGCTCGTTTCGACCATCCGCTTTTATTACGTACTTCAATATTGCTGAAATGCTTTGTTGTGCACAAGACGTCCGATCAAGCGCCCAGATTCGAAGATGATTCGGCCACCTCGAGGTTGTCAAAACAAAGACACTGATGAGCTGTGCTTTTCACTCGCTCCATGTGGTTGGCAATTCTGCTTGCGAACTGTTTCTGCAATTCAGAAAATCTCGACAGACTTGAGATGGTTTCCCGATCGCCGTTATCCTTAAAAGTATCCTTCGTGTCCACGACAAGCCTACTGATGCCTTAACATGCACCGTCCGAAGCTGATCTGATATAGACCTGACTACTATGAGCGACTCTACACAGTGCTCGAAAAGTGAATCAAACCCCCACCAACTAGGCAGTGACGTAGAGTTTCCCAATTCGTTAAGCTTTGTTTTGAAGTCTCAAACTTGCGCTCCCCTCCGTGTATATCTTGGAGGGCTTACTCCATGACCAACGACAAACACCATCAAAACTGCAATAGTAGGTCACCCTTTGCATTCCAACAACTTTCACAAAGCGCGAGACGCACGAGAGTCAAATTTCTTGCCTTGTGACTAGCTTCATCTTATGCTCGACCTTCCGGCGCGCTTCAACTGGCAGATAATCGAAGCTCTTTCACGCGCTCAAGCACAATCGTCCCCACTGTGCGCAATCTTCAACCCCAACAAATACTAATCGCCTGACACAGTCAATCCACCTTGACGAGGAAGAAACAAGATGACAACCACCCCGATTGGCAGTCCCGCCCACCAGGCGTCTATCGAGCCAGAGATGCCAACGCCGCAGCGCAAAGATAAGGGCAAGGCGCCTGCCACCAGCTCGTCTGTCCACGACTTCACCGACATCGCTAGCGATAGCGAGAGCGGCCTTTCCGACGATCCCGCTCCATTCGCAGGTCGAGAACTCAAAAACAAGCCAAACTCTCCACACGAGAAGTTCGCTCCCCACGACACCGACCCGTCCAAGATCGAGGCCTCTTTTAAAATCAAGTTGCCAGATGGCAGCGGCTGGTTCACGCAAACTGATATCATCCCAGAGCAGCGAGACTCTGCCGACGAGGATCTCTACGATGCGCGTGCTAGCGTCTTCTTTCCCGACCTAGAGAGCCGCAAGGTACCAAAGAAGGATAAAGAGAAGAAGAGCGATGTCGTAGTCCGCTGGAACAAGGTCGCTGCTTTCCGCTGGGAGCGCGACTTCAAGGGCAACCACGAGGTCTTTACTCCTAGCATAGCTCTTCGCCGGTTCAACGCCCGTACACACGCCTATGAGGTAAGTATTATTTACACGAGATATACACTGCAACACGAACTGACTGCACATTTTCGCATTGTACAGCACATTCACATCGGCATCTCAAAGCTCAAAGACATCGATCCCAACGACAAGGTCTGGAAAGATGCGTACAACAAGTGGATCGACCAGATCTCGCGGCGCTCAAACGCAGACTACGAAAAGAAGAAGACGCGGGATCACTGGACGGCTGGCGAGATCTGCGCCATGTACACAGCCATCAACGCCTTTATCCACGACAACGGCATCGATGCATACGATACCATGACTTCGGCGGACCTCCAAGCAATCACCGATGCGATCAACGCTGTTGGTGGAAAAGCGCGCGGACTGGACGCTCTACGTGGCCAGATCACGTCCGCTCACGAGACCAAGAACCACACCATGTGGTATCTCCGCGAGCACGCTCGCGACTTCCGGCTGATGATTGAGGGTGGCGGCGAGGTCACTGACGACGAGCGGTATCCCGAACACATCATTCCCTTGTCCGAGTTTCCACTCGAGAAGCGTGTCAATCACCGGAAGAGCGGACGGACACGTAGAACTGGGACGTACAAGAGCAAGTTCCGATCGGTTGGCACACAGACTGATGACGATAATGTTTACCGCGATGATGTGTACAGTGCAGCTGGCAACAACAACGCAGTATCCACAAGTCGTTCCAAGAAGCGTAAGCGCGCTGCGCCGGCTTCTGATAGTGAAAAGGATGAGGATGTGACGGAGCCTGAGGACAACGAAGAGATGGAGGTCGAGCATGGCTATGGCAGTGAGGCTCGCTGGAGTTCAGACAACGAAGAGGGTAACGGCGACGAGGCGGACGAGGTCGACGTCGTTGATTCTCCTCCACAAGTCAAGAAGCCTCGCCTGGCTGCGCGCGCCGAAGAACTTGCCCGCCAGTTACTCGAAGAAGACTCTGATGAAGAGCTGTAGTTCGCTCGCCCAAAACCGATTTTCAGAAGGGTATGTTTGACGGCACGGATTGGAAGAAACGAGCTGCGTACTCGGGCGTTCTTGGCGGGTTTTCGCTTTCTCTTGTCGCGTTCGGAATGTAACCTGAGTGTCTTTGACGCAGTTTCTGTAGATATCCCATGAAGCGAATATGCCACTCGGTATTGAGACTGGGTTTGCATATGGGGAAGACCTAAAATCAGAGTAGAGTAAGGGGATACTGCGTCGACCTTTACCGCCCTATGCACATGAACAAGGACTTTCAATCCAAATCATTGGCCTACAGGAATATTGTAGATAACCCCAATATCATCTTCCTCCACAAGCTCAACCTCGAACTCATTCTGATCCTCCTTGAGCTGAATTTTGAAGTCATCTGGATGCTCCACGTCTAGAGGAACTCCATAGTCATCTTCCTCAGACTCGCTCTTCTCAGACCCGCTGTTCACAGAACAGCACTTGACCTTGGCCCTGAGACTGCGCTCAGTTGCCACCTCTCCCCACAATGTGCGGACCACACTCAGTTTATATGCATATACGAAATCCGTGGTACCAGTCCAGGATACTGCGCTCTTAGTACCTAATCCGCCCCTGATCTCTGGCCCTCCACCGACCCGAACCGCGCCTCCGCTCCAGATAGTGCCATCAACTTGCACACCTACAAGTCCTTCAACTGCGCGTGACGTATCTGTAGCACCTCGCGCACCATTTACAGTGTTGACACCGGTGATAATGTATACAGGGGTGAGAAAACCCTATCTCTTAACATGGTCACGAAACGCTTCATTATCGACACAGCGCTGGAGGTATTTCTTGTTCGGAATGAATTGCTTGGTGTCTATGCGATCGCACGTTAACGATGTCTTATCGCTGCATCATGTTAAAGGGTGTCAAAAGTCTATACAGGGCTGTGCATACCTGCTCTCACAATTGACACCAGCGTCCGCACCAAATCGTAGCAGCCCGCTTAGAAATGTGGTCATTTTCGAAAAGGCAGCCGATTTAGACTTCTCTGTCGTGATTGAGATTGACAGCTTGGTGGGTGGCAACACGTTATCTTCATTGGGTGGGTAAAAAGCAATTGGCCGATCGGGCTCCTGAGCGACGTGATGACGCTTCCTAGCTTGATGGGATCATTAGGTGGAAGGTCCCAATTCGGAGAAATGAAGTAGTCTTGTCTTTTATTTGCCATGATGTTGAAGGTGTCGCATTATGGTAGCTGAGGCGGGGTTGCTTACTATATAGTTGGGAATAGCAGCCTGATATGGATCGGACTGTTCTAGGCCGTCGTGAATACAGCTGAGAACCAAAAGCAATGCGGCCAATACAGTGCTTAGCGGATGCGCCGTTACCTTCAAATGCAGCTGTAAAAATATTTAGCGCTAAGTAGCTAGCATAGGTCTAGACTATGTATGATATGCGGTAAAGCGTAACATTTGTCATACATTCAGCCTCAGCTGAGTGTAACAGCACTCCGTTTTACAACACAAGTCTCAAGGTTCATCTAGAATTCTTCGGTCACTGCTCGACGCGGGCGCCGAGGTCAATGCGCAGGGTGGAGAGTACGGCGCCGCACTGCAGGCAGCTTCAGCTAGAGGGCGCGAGCAGGTAGTTAAGACGCTTGATGTGGGTGCTCACCAACATCAGGAAGTTAACACCGGACCAGGGTCTGAACAGCATCGCTCAGGCCTTAAGCAAGCATTGTCGGGCGCGTAGTAAGCATCTTTTAATCAACACATGAAAGAACACCGAGCACAGTTCTCTGCACGCAGCGTATGATGCTCTTAGAAAACTGTTAACATGCGCCACATCTATCTCAAAGCCAATGCAAAGAGGCAATAGTGTTTGATTTGTTACATGAAATCATTAGTACCTAGTAAGAACGCTATTGCAGACCAAGCTTGCCTGATAGGTCTCGCCAGATTAGTTCTCGCCGTAGAGTTTCCCTTCCCCACTCTTCGGAGCCTTCAGCGAGCTCACTACTACGTTCAAGTGGCGTTCAAATGAAATGATCGACAGCACGACCAGCACTTCAGAGATCCTCATTGGAGCCTGTTGATCTGAAGGAGAATTAATTAATTAAGACCGCATGTAAATGTCAATTCTATAACTCTTCGCAATAGAGGCGCCGAAGCTCCACACCACCAATCCGCCTCGGGACGTAGTGTGCCTCTCCGCCCAAGGACGCACCTTAAAGCCTCTCGCGAGCATACATAGCGAAGTAACATCCGCGACTAGACTACACTGACGACAGCATCTGCAGCGAATCTGTCAAACAACTCCCACGGCATCCACGTCACGGTGCCAATCCTCACATACATTGAGTCCCCGCGCAAACGCCGAAGCAGTAGACCATCCATCAGACCAATATTCTGACCTCGGTATCGAGTCTCATACGTATACAACGCAAGACATACGACATATCGCCAATCCGTGATTGCATGTAATTGCTCCCACGTCTCTGGCCGCATTCTCGCGGCCCTGAACTTATTCTTGGCATCAATATTGAAGGTCAGGAATAATTCTCTTTCCGCCGCCACCTTTTCGAACAACGTCATAACGTCGGGTCCAGAAGCTACAGGGCCCTCGAGGTCGATCGATACACTCTTGATCCCACCATAAGGATCGTTTCGCAGTGGTTCCACATTCGAAGTTACCAAAGACGCCAACGATTGAAGGTTGTCCTTGGGAGAGTTGTAGACATTCTCCGGCCAGATCTGCGCTGGAGACGATATCCACGACCATGTTGGTTGGCGCAAACTCTCCAGCCGTATAGGCGTGGTGTCCATGTCGAAGTCGTCACAGTACCATGTGAGTTGGAACGCGAGGCCTTTTTCCCAAAGTCCTGCAAGGTAAGTTCCTGGGGCGATGAGAGAAAGGCTTCTCGCAATGCCGCCGAGTGCAGGAAGTAAGTCACTTCTGTGCGTTATGCCCATCTCGGTGTATTCCTTGATGAGATTGTTCCATAGCCCAGCGAACTCTGCATCGCCAATACTGCCGGACTCACATGCTGCACGCAGAGCTCGGTAGTAGTCGTCGCCTGAAGTGGGCTCGGGGTGTGGCCATGGTACAGCATCACATTCACAGGTGTCGTGGGTGCGGCATTCGAAGCGCACTTCGCCGGGAAGAAAGTGGACGATCCTCCTTGCTAGGTGTCGCTCTTGCATGCACCACGCTCGGGAGAATAACGGGTACTCGTTGTTATGTCTATTCAAGTTGCACCAATGTGTGTCGTTTCGACGGGCTTGCACATCGAATTGTGAACCAGATGGAGACGTGCATGAGATACTGAGTGGTGATTTCCTTGGCCATAGGAATCCTTGGGTTGATGCTTTTGCAGCCGTTGCTGAAATGACCACGTAGCCATTCGAGTATACGTCCGCCATGGTAGCAGCTTCCTTTGCCCAGTCATCGCGGTCGTCCTGCAATATACAGATCGAGTCGATCCATATGTACTCCAGCCCTAGCTTTTGAGTGGCGAATAACGCATCTTGCAGGGTTTGAGGAAGCAGAGATGCGTCTAGGTACCTATGCCTCTCTGCAACGTTGGCCTTTAATGTCATAGACTGGGGATATAGACCCCAGCCTGGTATTCAATCATCAAAGTCAGCACGTGGAGCACTACAGCGGTGGAGGACGTCCGTACAATATGTCAATACAGCGTAGCGCACCAGACCAGTCGAGGATACAAGATGAGCATCTTGAATGCTTTCCTTCCCGACCTTGATTAGGCGGGTCGGCGCAAACGCCTTGTTCGGAGCTGTGCACTGCCCGTGGCTTTGAATACAATCACTAATCCATGTAGTAATCTTCTTGAACTGGTCATTTGACCTTGGATCTGAGCAAATGTTACGTGTTTCGAAAGGACACTGCGTCTGCTTTATTTCTACCTTCAAATTAGGAGGGTTTCAATCTCTGGTTGGAAAATACTTGCCAGGAGAAAATATTTGCACATGTTGGCCCTCACAATATGGGTCCTGGATTCGAAAGCACAATTGGATGTCAAGACCTTTCTTCCCACAATTGACGACACACACTGTAGTCTCATCCTTCTTGTCCGTAAGCTGGTCAAATGACTTTTCAATAAGGTTACAGAAAGAACAGTCGGGCGTTAGATCGGACAGTTTTGCAAAGTTCCGCAAGAGTGAGTGTGGTTGATCTGGTCCTCGAGGCTTCAAATTGAGTGAGCAAACTCTACAACCCAGCTCGTATAGCAGGATAGTACGAGTGCTTTGCTGCCGTAGATTCAAACAGGTCTGAATAGTACTCTTGAAGCTTTGGTCCCGAATTCTTGAACGCACGATCGACCTAATTCATGGTTACTGTAGTGTTTGGCGATGACCATACGGCCACTTACAGTGACTCGAGCATAGTAGGGCGCTGTCTCTCCAACTGCCATGGTGAGTCTTGCTCAGTGTTTTCCATAGTTGATGCAAAGTCGAGTGTCAGGCTGTTAGACTGTCACCTCAAGTATACCTTGTGCTAGTTCAAACGACGATGGTGTCACGCTACGCTGTCCAGACATCAGGGTCAGCGCCGAGAGAGTGAGTTCACTGTATTGAGTAGTACGCTATGGTCTTCTGTGCCAGGTAACGCTCATACATCTGATGACATTGCTGACATTGATGAGTGTTGGCGAAACACGAATTAGGAGGGGCAGAGAAGGTACGGTAGGCCCGACAAACCTACCCCGCAGCCTCGCCCACATTCGCACACACTAACCGCAGAGCCTTCCCCCACCAAAGGCAACTTGACGCGACATCACAACTCTTTGCAGTTTTGGCAGACTTCAAAAAGCTTGCATTCGCACAAAGTACAGTGATTTCACTTCACGACATGTCAGACTTTTCATCAGACGACGACGCGAGCTCAGTCGGCAGCATTGTCGAAGACGCAAGCGAGCCGGATACGACTAGCTTCAAAGATCTATTCTCGGATCGACAATGGACTCGTGTGTCGGACATGGTAGAGCACAACAAGGCTGAGAACGGGTTTGATCTCATTGCCACGATCAAAGGGCTTGGACCAGGTATGGTTTCCAATGCGTCCATGTGCCCTGCGCACTTTACCTCTTTGGGACGACTACTGACTGCCTGTGCTAGACGCTGACGAACTCACCGTCATCAAGTTGATCAACTACCTCCGAGCAGAAGCTCAAAAAGGCACGGAGCCCAAAGCTATCAAAGTAACCGTACAGGAGCTTGCGAGCGACAAATACCTGCAGCCAGTATTAGAGGATGATGCCTTACTATTTGAACTTGGGGATCTCATGCCAGATGATGACAGCAAGGCCATCGACTACGATGAATATGAGGCGAAGATGCACAAAGACATGCAAGAAGACTTCTCCAAGATCAAGTTGACCAACGACCGGGATCAAGACTACTTCGAATCGTACAAAGGCAATAGCATCCACCGTGAGATGATCGAGGATCGGGTACGAACGGATGGGTACCGTGACTTTATCGAAAAGAACGCAGAGGTGTTCGCTGGAAAGACTGTACTAGATGTGGGATGTGGTACTGGCATCCTTTCTCTCTTCTGCGCACGAGCAGGTGCCAAGAAAGTCTTTGCAGTCGACAACTCCGGCATCGCAGTCCGTGCCAAAGAAATCATCGCAAAGAACGGATACCAAGACCGTATCGAACTCATTCAGGGTCGTGCGGAAGACTTTAACACGCAGCGCCTGATCGGCAAGGAGAAAGTCGACATCATCATCTCGGAATGGATGGGCTACGGTCTCCTTTTCGAGGGCATGCTGGACTCTGTTCTGCGCGCACGAGACATGTACCTCAAGCCAGATGGCATCATGGTACCTTCGCATTGCAACATCCGCCTTGCTCCAATTTCAGACGCCGATTGGATAGCCGACAGCACGAGCGAAAAGTTCTGGAAAGACATCTACGGCTTCGACTTCTCGCCTATGGTCCCAGGCGGCCTACTCAACACACACGAGATCGGTGTCTTTGACGTGCCCGAAAAGGCCCTCTGCGGCAGCGCGACAAGCCATCTACTCGAGATGAAGACCGTGTCCGTGCAAGATCTTAGCTTCAAGGTACCGCTTCGCATGACGCTCGACCGCGACGTTGCGTCTCTCGAAGCCATAGCGATATGGTTCGACACCATCTTCATCCACCCTGGCAGCTCCCAGGATGTTAAGACGCTGGATAATGTCGACTGGGGCAAGAACGGTATTCCCGGTCTGGGCTTTTCGACGGGACCGAACAATACACCAACACATTGGCATCAGGCGGTTCTGCTGCTGGATAAAGAGATTGCGGAGAAGCAGGTATATAAGAAAGGTACAGTGTTGGAGGGAAGCTTGACGTATGCGAAGGAGAAGGGTGATGATCGGGGTATCACAGTGACGGTGGAGTGGAAGGGGCAGGGAGAGCAGGGGGATGTTGAAGGAAGGGTGCAGAGGACGATGGCGTAAGGGCCATGTTGAAGGAGAAGATTGGATGCGGATGGCCTGAAGGTATCTGCGATTACACAAAAAAAAAGATGGATGTAGATAGATACCACAGAGACACGTTCTTGCAGCTTCGAAGCCATGCTCCAACCACTTGATGCCGGGCCGAGATTTGTCGCGCTAGCTTCCGATTCCGAGACGGCGCTGCGGAAGGCTCGCGCAACCCTCGAGCGTCAACAATGTAGTTTATTTCCAGACAACGGCGCTTGCGATTCGACTACGCGCTCTAGATTCTGACGGAAAACATCTTGAACTCGCTACGAGGCGACAAACATGTTCCACCTGTTGTTTGAAATTGTCGATGTGTGAGGTGACGACATAGCACGTGGATCGTGCGCGTGAGCTTCATTCGAGGAACCCTAGGTGTCGCACATTGTACCGCGAGACACCGAAAGCTTAATAGAACCTTACGAGTGCTACTCCCCACCAGAAGCTACTCGATCTAGCCAAACAGCCTGAGAATGTCCAGTCGACGGTAGCAGGGCTCGATAACTTCTATGCGCGGTATTCTCCCTGGGCGACCCCAGGCTAAGCTCCAGGCTGTCGCTCACGGCCTGTGGGACGGCCTCCAGATAATTGTATGACCAGACACCACATGGCGCATATGGAGGCTGACGCGCTTCTCGTATAGGTCTACATTTCCGGTAACGCGCTCATCGTCCTCGACCAACCAAACCACGTCCTGCAAACCATCTACATCGACGAGGAATTCGAGCTCGAAGCAGTCGCCATCGACCAAGGCACCGGCAAACTCGCGGCATGTTCGACGCGACGCATCTACATATACCGGCCATACGGGCAAGATGAGGGGGCCGTCAAGGTGGGCCACACGCCGAGGGGACGCTGGGAATGACTGCTGATGTGCGCAGTGGTCGCAACAGGGCAGCGTGTCCCTTTCCGATGTCGACGACCCAATCACGACCCTCTCATGGGGTATGCCCGACGAATTGCTCGTTGGCAGCGCCTCCCTCACCCTCTTCAACACGCACAGCGACAACATAGAACGCATATGGACCAAGCAGCTGGCAAACCCCGTCAAGTTTGCCCATTTCTCGCCCGATGCCGAGTTGATAGCTTCAACAGGCAGGTACGACCGGCTGCTGAAGATATGGCGGCGCACATCGTTTGGCTCCGCGGACCAGAGCTTCGACTACTTTTACCTCGCACACCCCAAAGCCATTACCGGCTTGCACTGGCGACACCCGCATCACAAGGACCAGTCTACAGACAATGTACTATATACAATATGCGCAGACCAAAGAGTGCGAGTCTGGGTTCCGGGTGAACACCACGGGGTGGATGGCATGCACATGTGGGCAGACGTGGACCTTGTCGAGTCGATAATGACACGACATGTGCCGCTGGAGCAGCAGTCCACCAAGAGATATGCCTTCTTCATCGACGGAAAACACTTCACTCACGCAACGGAAAGAGCTATGCAGCAGGCCTCAGCAGAAGAAAAGGACCACGGCATCGCCCTGCATCACCTAATCGAAGTCGCAAACCGCAACCCTGAGATATGCGTCGTGCTGGATGATAGAGGCAACATGTCCGCGTGGGGGTTCGAGAACGTGGGGGCTAAGCAGAAGAAGGTCACCGACGTTTTCAACATTGCCCATGTAGATGGACTGCATCTGCACTTTGCCAAGGAACCTAAGACCATCGAGGACAATGTACAGTTCTACGCTTTCATCGGCGATAAGCCAGACTCCGAGCTGACACTGCTGTCGCATCACTTTGACGGGCGGATCGAATGGCTAGAGTCGCGCATCGACTACCTCTTCGACCCCTCATCGCAACCGCAACGCATCCAGCGGAAAGCCATGTGGACAGGGCATTCACATGCCATCAAGAAGGTCAATCGTACGGCTAGTGGAAGGGCTTTGGTATCACGCACCACCACTGATGAAATCATCGTGTGGTTACAGCGACAGAGCGATCAGGGCATGACACTGCATCGACATAGCAGTGTCAAAGTGACGGAGCATATCCATCGCACCGCTCTCTTACAAGAGGGCAATTATGTCGTTTTCCTACACCATGACGCAATTTCGCTTTGGGATACCCGCGGTCATGAAGCCGTCGAGGTGACACGTTCTGCGTACAGTTTACAGGGCAAGCCTTTGTGCTTATTAGTCATACCTGAGGTCGAAGCTGGCGGAAACCGCGTGCACATCGCCACCATTAGTGCCGAAATGAAGGGCATATGCTGGGAGGTTACCTTGCCAACACCAGAGCGCGATCCAATCACATGTCGCAAGCTCTCTGCCATCGCGTATACCAATGGCTATACGAACGGTCATTCGGACATCGCACTGAAGCATTTCTCTACCTTCGACCTAGGATCAGGTGACGATCTTGCCTTTGTACTACCTGTAGATCCTGCGGGTACGGCCCCTGTCATTTCAGGGTTCCTCGACACATTTGCGCGAGATGTAGCCATATCATACACAACGTCCGGAATCATCAAGTCGTGGACTGCGCGCGTCAACGTCGATGAACAAAAGTTGGACTGGCTGATGACCTCCGAGGTCGAGACTGGTGTGAAGAGCCCGTCACTTGCTAGTGGCACGTCCATACGTAAAGCTGCACTGGTCGATGCTGACCGAACGACGCTTACCATATGGAACACGCGAAGTGCCCAGTTGGAGCACGAAGAGAGATTCGAAGGCAACGGCGTCATTCAGGATCTTGACTGGTCTTCCACCCCGGACAATCAGTCCATCCTTGCTGTTGGTTTCCCTCACCGAGTCGTCATCTACGCTCAGCTTCGGTACGACTACCTCAACGCCGGCCCATCTTGGGTGCAGATCCGCGATGTGCGCATCCGCGATATCACGCCTCATCCGATTGGCGATTCAGTATGGCTAAGCAGTGGCAATCTCGTCATTGGTGCAGGCAACCAGCTCTTCATCCAGGACGAGCATGTCCAGGTGTCGGAAGGGCTGTTCCCAAGCTTGCGTACCATCTCTCGCAAGACTGCATCTATTGACATTTTCGATGCCGTTAGTCGACTCAACGGTCCCCTTCCCGCGTACCATCCCCAGTTACTCTCACAATGCGTATTGGCTGGCAAGCTGCTATTAGTGCAACGCATCCTGATTCGCCTCTATGCTACACTTAAGTTCTGGATCGAAGGTGAGGAGCTGGATAGCTCGTTGGGATTCTCACCTGAAGACTTCTCAGAAGCTGCGGTACGTACATGAATGACTCTGGTAGGATGCGACTAACCCCAATAGACTCAAATGACTGCATCGCGGAAAGAGATACACACGTCATACGCCGACTTCTCGGATGATAGCGAACCAGAAGCTGTCACCGAAGAAGTCGCGTCCAATCTCAAAGAACTCTTGACTACCAAGCGGATACCGCTCTTGTCCAGTCGCGAACAGTTTCGACTAGCCGATGTTATCGAGTGTATTGGCATGGTTGAGAAGCATCGCCGATCGATCGACGATAATGCTAGGCGCTTCTTGTTGTTCTTTCGTCAACATGTGCTGAGTGAAACGCACAAAGGCCCTATATCATGGCGCGAGATCATCTGGGCGTTCCACTCAGGAAGCCAGGATATCCTCGTTGATCTTGTTAGCAGACACTTCAGCGGCAAGATGATGTGGCAGCACGCAAAGGAATGCGGAGTGTTTATGTGGATGTCCGACACCAACGCATTGGTACAGTAACGTGACACTATATCCTGACATATTCACTAACCACGTCCCCAGCGCGCTCAATTCGAAGTCATCGCTCGAAACGAATATACCAAAACCGAAGAGAAGAACCCTGTCGACTGCGCCCTTTACTACATGGCTCTCCGGAAGAAGACAGTCCTCGTCGGTCTTTGGCGCATGGCTACTTGGTCGCGTGAACAAGGCGCAACCCACCGCCTCCTTTCCAATAACTTCTCCGAAGAGAGGTGGAAGACTGCTGCGCTGAAGAACGCGTACGCACTTATGGGCAGAAGAAGATTCGAATATGCAGCGTCCTTCTTCCTCCTCGCTGACCATCTCCAAGACGCCATCAGTGTCTTGCATAATCAGCTTGGCGACACACAACTCGCCATAGCCGTTGCCCGCGTCTACGGCGGTGATGACTCACCCGTCCTGCTAACATTCCTGAAAGACAAGATTCTACCACAAGCTGCTAGGCAAGGAAACAGATGGCTAGCAACGTGGGCGTATTGGCTGTTGAACAAGAAAGACATGGCAGTTCGCTCCCTCGTCACACCCTTGTCTACTCTCCTCGAAACCTCGGAGCCACCTAGTTCGGCAGCGAAGTCTTATCTTACTGACGACCCGGCGTTGGTGGTCTTGTACAAGCAGTTGCGCGAAAAGTCGCTGCAGACACTTCGCGGCGCCACCATGATCGGTATGCGAGAGGAATGGGATTTCGTGCTGCATACGGCCGGACTGTACGATCGTATGGGGTGCGACGTCCTGGCACTCGATCTAGTCAGAGGATGGGAGTTCTTGTTGCCGCCGCCACCGACAAATGTAGGATCTGGACGTCCGCCGCTTAGTCCCGAGATGCCAAGACAGAGCTTCTTATCAGCGCAAGCGGGAGGAACGGGAGGGAGGGATGCGACGACCGACTTTGACTTTGATCCTAGGAAGTTGTTGCGCAGGAGGAGCTCGCTTGTCGTTGCCGACCTTCCCGTGCGCGAGCATGTGCATAATGAGCTTGCGGAGAGTAAGGGGACGTTGGAAGAGGGTAGGGAAAGTGGGGATGACGATGAAGACAACGGAGAGGGAAATCAGGATGATGAGACGGACGAGGGTGAGAAGAGAAAAGACAAGGACAAGGAGAAGAAGAAACCGCCACCGACGCAGTTCCACGAGCCTGATGCGAACAGTTTGTTGGATGCCTTTGGCTTCTAGTAAGAGCCAATAGTCTGGCACAGTTTGTGGGTGTATGTGGTTTGGGGGTTTTGGAGCTAGGCTGGCACGACTGGGCGTTGCGAACCATGGTTCTTGGGTGTAATAGTTGCTGTATGTAGTTTTGTGCATGGCTGTGAGCAACATGTCCTTGTGGCCTGTATTAGTCTTACAGTCTGGGCGCGCTACCCGAGCCAGGTCGCTACGCGAGCAGTAAAGGTTCTAGTAACTGCAGAAAACTACTATGATTTTATGCAGTACTGTAAACGTTGTTGTTGAAGAACTACAGAATCTGTAAGAACTATTCTACTTCCAAAGCTCTCTATTACTGTAGATTAGGATGATTTCTTTACAAGACTAGCACCAGCCCATGCTGATCCGGGATTGATGCGTTTAGGATACAAATCGAGTAAGCGATGGTAAAGTTCTTCAGCTGTCTCAGTCTCTTCGCAAAGCCGGTTGAAATTTTGCAAGTAGACTTTGGTTTCTTCAATCGCCTGTGGATCATAACCTTTGCTAGGATCACTGTGTCCTCCCACGACATTTTTAGGGTAGAGAGCTGCGATCTTGTCCAGTGCTGCAATCCACTCTAGTCGCGATGATTCATATTTCGCCTCCCCTAGGTAGGGGTGGGTGTTTGCGTAGACGGCGTCACCAACCACAGCGAGGTCAATAGAAGGAACCCAGAGAATGGTAGTGTCGTCTGTATCTGTGTGGCCTACTCTGAGGGCATGTAGACTTTCGCCCTCAAGCTCCAGTTGATCTGCGTGTAGAGGGCTACCCGAAACAAGGTTCTTCGGAATTTTGCCTGGGAAGAGTGTATTCCAGAATTCCCGTCTCTTCGGGGTCAACTCGTTATCCATGCCCGCCACTACCTCGCTTGTCGCGACGACTTTTGCGTTTGGAAAAGTTTCGAGGAGCAGACCGCAACCGAAAAAGTGATCGCCATGCGCGTGGGTGACGTAAATATGTGTGATGTTCTTGTCAGCGGCCACCACCCAGCTCACTAGTTCCTTTGCAGCTTCCTCTGTCAATTGGGCATCGACGAGAACGGCATCTCTGTCGCCGAATATCAAGGTTGAGCTTGTGGGTACCCATTTCAAGTCATCGTGTCCCGACGGACCAGTCCTGGTTGCGCTGGGGCGAGTAGAATGGAAGACCTTGAAGCCGAGACCCATGATCCCAGGAGTGTGAAGAAGACTTATCGATAGTGAATGAGGTGCTGAGTTTAAGTAGAGATTTCGTGCATCAAACACACTTACTCGTGTTGGGCTGCGCTCTGGATATGTACTAAGATTACGCACAGACATCACTAGACCACTAGTGGTAGCATTAGTGATCAGCCCTCGGTAATCATTGATTTGTGATCTACAAAACGCCCTTATTTTAAGACATAGCATTCTCTTCTTAAGCAAAAGGTGTTCCCTCACCCGGCTCTTCGACACCAAGACCAATCTTGCCTATAGTGGCCTTGGACTCGATTTGCCGATGGGCCTTCTTCAAGTTCTCAAGAGTAAGTTTGTACCGCTGATTAAGGGTCGGAAAGAGCTTTCCCTCGCTCATCAGATTTCCAAGGGTTTTGAAAATCTCGTGATAGCTCTCGACATTGCTGTGGTGGAACGCTGCTGTACCTAACCAGTCCCAGGAGAAGGTCATTGACTTGGACATGAATTCGGTTCCATAGAGCCTAACGTCGGCCTGTACGATAGTGCACACTTTGGAAAAGGGTGCGCAGATTTTTGCGATTGCGTGGACATATTGTTCAGTCGGTCCCAGCACGTACGCATATCTGTGGAGAGCGATCAGCTACGTGTGCTATGAGCGGATAGGTATATAGGAATAAGCATACTTAATCGAGACGTCCAGTTTCAAGGCTTTGATCTCCTCGACAAGATCGTTGCGGTGATTGACTACGTGGGTAGCGCCCATCCGCTTGCAAGACGCTGCAGTGTCGGGTCGAGATGCAGTAGCAATAACTACTGGTAAGTGTAGAACATTGCGCGCCAATTGGATAGCAGCACTACCGACTCCGCCTCCGCCATTAATCTGTATTGCATCATATTACGTTAGCTCAGACGTAGGAAACGTAGTTGAGAATACTCTTGTAAAAGGCAGTTATGACGTACGATCAGAATGCCGGCATCTTCATTAGGCTTAATCTCCAGACGATGATTCAAAGACTGGTAGGCTGTTCCGAATGTCAAGCCATAGCTCGCTGCTTCGACGAAATCGAGGTTCTCCGGTTTCTTACAGCAGAGGAACTCGCTAACGAGCTGGTACTCTGCGTAACTACCCTGACGAGTTGTCGCTCCGACCCATGAGATGTCGTCACCGACTTGAAAACGTGTGACGTCGGGGCCCACTTCTAGAACAGTTCCGGCACCATCGTATCCAATAACGTGAAAGCCTTGGGGCGCGTGTTCGTAATAATCTGATTACAGTTGTTAGCCATCAGTTGTTATGAGGCCGGTCATTTCTTACCAGGTGCGTCATCATAGGTACCGCCTCGAATCTTTGTGTCTATCGGGTTGACAGAGCAAGCCTTGACTCTATCGATATTGTTAGAAAAGTAAGAGGGTTAAGGGTTCAAGACTTCCTTGACAAGCACGTCTCTACCAGTTGGCTCTCCGGGCTTGGGAATGTCACGAGACTGGAAATTATCTACAGGCCCGTAGGTCGAAACTCCGACTGCTTTCATGCTTGCCATTGTTGGTGTCGTTTTGGTTCAAAATTGTATGAATGTTCTCTGGGGACTATGCATACGTAGAATGTTCTAGCTATTTATGTACGCCTACATTCAAGATACATTCGTAATCATATTACTCGCCGCGGTTGGAAATATCAGTTATTCGAATGGTGGCTGTGACTCCTCGATACCTAGGCATTTTCTTGCTGTGTTGCAGATGAGTAATCATATTTCCGAGGCAGAACATAGTCCATGCAGAGGATCTCTTTACACCCACCAAAGATGCTATCATCGATAAGATCCACGGAATCACAAAGAACAAAGAGGCTACCAAGGTAAGGATTTCTCAGGAGAAAGCTTTTAAGCAGCGCCTAGCAAACCTGGGCTACACTTTGCCATGGTATTCCCAGTAAAACTAAACCCGGAGGGTACTTATCTTGGTTCACAATACTAGAGTTTACCGTATATGTTTCCAAACTCTACGACGTGTGCCTCTTGCTAGAAGATAACTAAGTATCTACGAGCTTGTTTGTATATAGAGGACGGGTGAATCTGGGAGTGGAGATGCAAGTCAGTGGACGAAGATAATTAGTAGAACTAAGATTCCTTTCGACATAAAGAGACGGATGAGTTAATCAGTTGCCGTTCTGGAATAGAACCGTGCAGGTTGAGAAGAGGGATATGAAGTCAGAGTGGTCATCGTTAGTATCAAATAGCATACATAGTGAATGCAGTGGCTCGCACTTTATATTATGTTCAATTCAGATACGGTAGCCAATGGGTATTGATACGTGGATCTATTGAAGACTTTTTCTTTTCTTCAGCAAATGCCGTTGTGTACTGTAGATCTTGTGTTATTTTACATAAGTATTCAAGAAAGCTATCTGAGCCTGAATGTTCTTCTTAAAGTGATCACCCAGATATAAGTCAAAGTGACCACATCCTTCCAGATAATGCAACTGCTTCGGCTCTCTAGCTTTTTCGAAAGCACTCATTTGAGAAGCTGTTGATACAAGCACATCGTTACCAGGGACTACAAAAAGGAGTGGCGTAGGAGATATTCTGTGAATCATAGCTTGTCCTTCGAATGTGAGCATATGAAGTTGTGTCTGAGTTGTGACAAAATTCTCCCAACGGCTTCCGCATTTCTTCTGTTCTTTAAGAATGTCGTAGGCGTCTTTAGTAGGAAACATCGCCGTTGTCTTGGTCGGGTGGGCAGATTCGCGATCTTCCGCGATAAGAGGTACAGTGGGTGCCCCTGAGCCGGTAACAATCTGCCTTCTATCTTCCAATACTGCTGGAATGCGATCTTTAAATGCGATAGATCGAGTCTCGCCAGACACAGCAGGGCATTGAATAATTGCGGCTTTGATGCGTTTATCCACAGCAGCTGCATGAATAACGTTACCGCCTGAAAAGCTGCTTCCCCAGTACACAACTCTCGCATCATCTACGCAGTCCAGAGTAGTCGCATAGTTGAAGGCGTCGTAATAATCTGCTTGTTGCAAAGCAGGATTGGACTCTTGCCTGGGTAGGCCGTCGCTGTCGCCCCAGTTACGATTGTCGTAAAGTAAAACGACGTAACCGGCTTCATGGAACGCAGTAGCGAAATTGGGCAGTAGGAAATGACGCGTGCCACCAAGCTGTGAGAGTAAGGTTAGTTACTCGACTGACACAAGCAGAATGCGATGAATGAAAGGACGGAGAAAACGTACGCCATGAGTCATGATAATACAAGGCGATGCCTCTTCCCTCGGATACAACCATCCGCGAAGGATAGTGCCATCACAGGCCTTGAACTCGATATCCTGGCGAGGGGCAGACATGATCGGTTGACACTATGTAAGGCGCGAGCGAACTTTAGATGTGTCAAACGGGGTAAGAACAGTTTCTCCAAGAAAAATAGCTGCGTAAAGAAATGCAAGCTTACTCTACTCAATTATCTCGTTGATTAGAATCACGTTATTTTGTAGGGTACTTGGAAGCATAGTACACTTATCAGGTTTAGTGTTGTTGCCAAACTTTAATCGTCACCCCGCACCAAACCTCGGTATGATTACAAAACCAAGCACTCGCTCCAAGGTCGGCAAGCGGCCGATCATTTCTATACTTGGGCGTTAATAGCAGTGATGTGCTACATTGCGCTTCTTCAAAAAAGATTTTGATGCTAGGGCCACCGAGGCAGCGATCACTAGTGTATACTAATCCTTTATCTCTACGAGAGCAGCCGAACAACGCTTGTCATCATCTCTTATCAGTACCTGTAATTCAGCAACATGTTCAATCCGCCCACAGATTTCCTAGCGTTAGTGCCGACTGCTATAGATGCTGAGCTAGAAGAAATACTGGCGCCTATCATGAAGGTGATGTATGAGAGTATCAATTCAAAGACAATAACTCAAGGATTGTTTAGAAAGTGTCAACCCAGACCCTAACAGAATTTGGCCGGACAATCCTCGGATTCTGTTGTCAGATGTGTCTTTTCGCATTGACATCCGTCTCCTCACCTCGTACGACTGTTGGTAATCGTCCACTAGGATTGACCCCTTCCATACATGATATCCTTAAGCTCCACTTCGTATCCTATCCGTCTTCTTAAGTCACCTCGGCTCTATCAGTTATGATTAGAGTTAAGAATCATTAGCTTTGGGCCCATTATATGTAGTGATTTTATCTACGTGGTGATTACTTGTCAGCATACCTAGGTGTAACAGCCCGGTCTATTCCGGCACAACACTTCGGATCCTAGTACCCCGGAGAGGTTTGACTTATGTTATAACTATATAAGTTTGCGGCCTGTACCTTCCTCATCCGTACTTCAACATCTACGACTACGGCTAGTTACCTCAGAACGTTCGAGTCTTGAGCGAATTTCACACACTATCACACTCGCCTCCGTTCGCATTATCGAACCATCCAGGAAACACGAAATGCCTACCCTTACCGCGCAGTTAGCCGGTCCACATTGGGAACCAACAACGCCTACACAAAGGTTCTTCAAGGCTTACGTCCACGCCGTCGACAATAAAGGATACAATGTTGGCTCCGGCCTCAAGTTCTATTCCAAAGATGTTACATTTCACAACCAGAACAACGCCGTTTATCATGGCGGGGAAGAGATGTGGGCGTGGATGAAGAAATTGTTTGGCGTCTTCGACCGCATCAGCCATGACTGGATCCAGTTCACGGAGATTCAGCGTGATGACGGTACTACTCAATTCATCACTCAGAATATCCGCAACCTGTGGGTCAAGGGCAACGATGCGGAGAAACCGACTGTTAGCATCCCAGTTGTCATGATTGCTATCGTTGGTCCAAGTGGTGATGAAACCACGCCTGAAGGTCTGCATTTCAAGGAAGTCTGGTTGTACTGGGATACTGCTTTACTTCTCCCACACCTGCCGGGGGAAGCTGTTGTTTTCAAGACCAAGAATGTCTTAGCCTCTGAATAGAGGAATAGCCACAAGTTTATGCCTCCAGCCTACGGGAAGGCATGATGAGCCAGCGGAAAGGTGCTGTACGTAATGCTTGGTCATAGAACTGCCATTTCTCCCGCCTTACTCATATACTCTCGTCACGTACCTCTCCCGTTCTGTATATCGTTGGGCCTCTGGCGACCTTACAGTCGTATTCAGAATGGCGGAAATCTCGAAATGGAATGGGATGCCAAACCCCAGCTCCAACCCGCTGGACTAAGTACTCATCCCCAAAGATCCCACAACTGACCCTAATAGCGAGATAGCGGCCAATTATGCATAGCTGTGAGTACGATGTTCTTCTGCGTCGTGGTTCAGTTCCATGATCTTGAAAACCGACTCTGAATGCGGGGAAGAAGGACGTGTGAATAGCGGGGTCGCTTAACGGGCGAGTCGGCTCATCTTCTGCCCGATGACAGTAGCGCATCCTCTCAACGCATAAATGCAAGCTGTGCTGTTTCTCCACGTCCTGGTCCCCTGGGCGCCAAGCACCAGTTAGCCGACAATCGTCTTCTGGTGTGCTCAGGGGCCCGAAAGCTCGGTATTAGGTGCCTGGGTCGCCGGCGCCTGTTCATCAACACAAATCTAGTGAGAAATGTTCGATTCCATGTCCAATAGAGTGGAGAGCTCTGGACAGCCTGGAGGAGCTGTACCAAGACCAGCAATGGGACGACAAACTAAGGCTTGCATTACGTGCAGGCATCTCAAGGTGAGCTTTTGCTGATGCGCTTATGAATAGATCCACTTACAGTATATGAGACTAAGATTTGAGAATAGATCAAATGCGTCATGCCAGATACAGCAGGCCCATGTCGGCGCTGTCGCAACCGTGGTTTGGAATGTCGTGTAGAGAAACACCCGCAAGCAATCATGCTTGAGCAAACTGATAGGCAAGCACACCCACCTGGCGTTTACAAATCTCGTACCAACAAACCAGAAGATGGCGTAACGATGTTTCTGGTCGTGTGCAGCAGTTGCAGACTGCCGTAGATGTCTTACTGCGCATGTCTAATCTGCCAGCACTGAACTCATATGCTCAAACCCTGGCTGGCGTAGAGCCCGGACTGGAACATGAAAAGAGCGGGCATGGATCAGAAGAGGAGGACACGTTACCTCCGGCGCCCATTCTGAGACCTGTCGCCCCTGTCGATGATTCTATTTACAGTCTACCCATCAATTCTCTTTACGAGGTAACGAGACTGCCCACTCTCGGGGCCGGACATGCGTCGCCGTCTACTCCGCGAAACCATCAGAGTCACGATTTCATAACACGAGGCTTAATCTCAGAAGCCGTCGCCGAGAGTTTATTCACCAGATTCATCTGTCTCGATTACTTCTGCTACGGTCTCATGTGCCCTTACAGTATTCTCAGAGACCTTCGAGCTAACTCTCCAATGCTTACCGCTGCCGTATGTGCAGTAGCTGCACTCCATGATCCCGATGGCTCTTCAGTATTTAAGATATGTCATGCAGAGTATCAAAGATTAGTTATGGGAAGCATGTTCGTCGTGTCACAATCTTCCGACACTATCAGAGCGCTTATAATTGGCGCTTACTGGTTAGCTGATATATCATACACGTTGCTTGGGCATGCTATCCGCTTGGCCATGAGACTCAATTACCACTTGGCCTACTACGCGGTCATGAAGGGCGGCGCAGAGCAAGAAGACATTATAAAAGCACGTCTTTGGTATATCCTATACATCCACGACCATCAGTCAAGCATCTTCAATGGTCGACCTGCTTTGATCTCCGCTTCTGAAGAGCCGCATCAACAATGGGAAGCCTTCATCCGAATCAACGAGAACCAAGAAGTAGATTTGAGAATGTCAAGTCAGATTGCGCTCTATCACATTACGTCAAAGGTCAGAGATGTCTTTGGCGGAGATCCGTCACAGGGTGTACCGAATCACAGTCTACCCCAGCTTCGTGGGTACTTCGCCGAATTAGATCGATGGTACATGATCTGGGGCAACAGAATGCGTATGTGCAACATCCTGCCAAAGTATCGAACATGCACTAATTAGTTAGCACGAAATGCTTACGTTGGCTGGTTCCCGAGAGATGGTGCCATCTTGAATTACCATTTCGCCCGGCTACACCTCTGCTCCTACATCTTCCGAGGCTTGTCTTTAGGATCCTTGCCCAGCGCATCTGTCGAGGTGCAGGAATTTGGGAGAACCGCAGTCACGTCTGCCGGAGCCGTGCTGAGCTTAGCCGTTGAACGTGACGATTTACGATCAGCGCTTGTCGGTATGCCCATATACTACCATGCCATGATCAATTTCGCGGCTGTGTTCCTTATCAAGGCAGCTAAGATCGGTTTCCCGGATTCCACAGCGGTGAATGCCCCAACCGTACTATCCCAGGTGAACGACTGTGTACGCGCACTTCGTGCACAGAATGCTTCCAGTCAACACCTTGTATACCATCTGGCTAATGGCTTGGAAGGATACATGAAGGTGCTTTCTGATCCCAATCAGGATGTTTCAATGCTTCCGGGACGTACGGGTGCTTTGGGAGATAACGCCTCGACGCTAAGTACAGCGGATTCGATCTTTATGCTCGACACCTTTGATCTATTTTCCTATGTGAATATGTAGTCGTATTAGACAAGACTGTGATATCGGCACGGAAGATATGACGCAGCTTGAGGTGGTTAGTCAGCTATATGGTGGGGGTACCGTTTGTATCTCATCAAGATATCGTCGGGAAAAGTGCCTGCGAACGTGTTTTTTCGATATCCTTTTCGAAGTCGAAACAGTATACAAGGTATGGGTGCATCATGAAAAGCAGAGCAAGATTTTCTCGGACGAGAAAGGACGAGTACCATGATAAGTGAAGCGAGTAATAGATCTCAAAAATTGTCAATAGAGAAGTTCAAATTACTTTAAGAGCTATCTGGAATCCTATCACCCCCCCTTGTACGATGTCAGGTGCTCTGTGATTTTACCTCGGAGACTATCATTTCCAGTCATTCAAGCCGTCTGCGTGGATTTGTAGGGCCATTTCTGATATATGAAGAAGCATGCGAGATAGATCAGAGCGCCGATTGCGAAGAGTCCAGAAAATACTTGGAATCCCATAATAGCCAGAGGTGGTTTGGATACTGTGATGATCTCTGTAGCGTAAAGCTGGGCGAGATTGGCGGCTCCGTTGATACTGGCTAGGGAAATGGCTCTCACCTCTGGCTGAGCTAGTCCCAGAACTGTACTGGTATATGAGAGCGCTAGTGGGTTTCCGCACCAAATTGCAGTGTTTATGAAGCAGAGGAAGATATATCGAGGAATAGATGCTGTAATGACCGACGCGAGTGCACAAAACACGGTACCGAAGATCAGAAGGACTGCCATGGTGAATATTGCGCGCCATCTTGGAACTTTGTCGGCAATGACGCAGGCAATTACAGCCACGACGAGTGCTACACCATATAGCGGTGCTGTCATGTATCTGGGTTCACATGTCAGCGTCTCAATTCGGTCATCTGGGGTCGGAGACTAACTGAGCGTCTTCTCTGTCGTAACCAAAAGACATGACGAATGTAGGGTAGAAATTCGACAGTGTCATATTCCCGATGATGATCATGTATCCGCTCATCAAAGGATATAACCTCCAATTGGAAAATGCCATTTGTAATGCTTGTTTGTGACTGATCGTGAATTCGTCGTCGTTCCGGCTGGTGATACCGTCTGCGGCAAGTCGGTCGTAGGCGAGTGTCCGTTCTTCCGTAGAGAGTCGTTTCGAGGTGAGGGGGTAGTCGAGTAGGATAAATGGTACAGGGAATGCTGCCGCGACAGTGATGACCCCTTCGACGATATACAACCAACGCCAGCCCTCGATGCCACGAGAACCATCTAGGCCTCCAGTAATTGAGCCAGCGAGGATGCTTCCTACAGCTCCAGAGAAAATTCCTGCACTGTGGAAGGCGAGAAAACGTTTCGACTGTTCCCCTCTGCGGTACCAACTAGACACAATGAACATTACTGCAGGCTAGAATGATGTTAGAAACGGGACGAGCTAAGTAATTTCACCGTCGTTACTTACACTAAACCCGGCCTCGGCAACACCCAGGAGGAATCGGAGACCGACAAGCTGTTGCCAGGTCTGAGCACAAGCCATGATTGCGCAAACAGATCCCCACAAGACCATAATGACTGGTATGAAGATCGATGGTCGTGATCTCGACAAGATCATGTTGCAAGGAATCTCTGCGATAACGTAGCCGATCTGGAATGCAACAACGCAGAGATAGTAACGGCGATCATTAATCTCTAGGTCGGTGCCCATACCCGCGACTCGAGCGTTTGCGAGATTCGATCGATCCTTGACCACGTTCAGTTATCGCTCAGATGGGGAACAAATTATACTTACCATATAGGAGAGTAGGTAGACAACCCAGATACATGGGAGCAGAAACAGGTCGATCTTGTGGACGAGCTCGCGTTCTGCTGCTGTATTCTCTTCATAGCCGTTCCCGTGCATTGTTTCCTTGGACGCTGCTTCCTTGGAGCCTTCGTAGTCTTCGATCCTGCTTTCGTGAAGCTTCAAGTCTACAGAATTTCGATCAGACATGATGCTTCCAGATGATGAAATTGATGTTGCGTAGCAGATCTCAGAACGATCTCGAGAGAGTGAAATCTTGGTGAATAGAGGTGCTGGTCCACAAACAGATAAAGGCAAGTTTATACCACTCGTTCTCCTTTGAGTGGAGAAGGACCAATTTCGTGGGGACCCCGCATTCCACACACCCCGTAGTCCCAAATCTAGCGACAGCGGTGGCGGCATTCACATCCGGACTTTTCGGCCGATGACGGTACCGGTTGACCGATGATCTAAAAACGCCCTTCCCAGTGTTCGAGATCAGCACATCCTTGAAACTCACGCTCGAGACGAGGTATCTAGGAGCTCAAAGACTGTTATTTCCACTCTTCCCTCATTAGCTAGCCAATGCACTAGCAAGTGTTGACCACGGAGGTCATTGTCGTACGAAGGTAAGCCAAGACCGTGCACCATCTAAGCTCTGCTGAGGGAGTTTCAGAAAAACACATTTGTTTTCAGGCAAGAAAGAATAGGTGGAGCCGGGCGAATGGATCGATTGAAAAGGCCGATGAGTCCTCAGCTCGCCAAGAAGCCATGGCCGTTGGGAGGAGCGAAGACGTACCCCAGGTTGTTTCGTACATCGATTACATATCGTACTGCCTGTAGGGAATCTCTAGAGAAAGATAGGCATCGTTTTTTTTTTCTGGAACTTGAGCAAGTCTCTACGCCTGCCGCTAGAGGTTTGCTTTGATATTGCGGTCAACAAAGTCGTAATGGTCGTTGGAGTTGAGCAAGATAGGATTCCGAGTAGTTGTGACAAGTGTAGTCTTCACATGCCTTCTGGCCGTCTTTCCTGTTGCTTCGGTTCAACGAGTCGCGGATGCATGGGGCGACTTTTGCGGCACATCATTATGATTCTTCGCATCAAGCGCATACTAATTCATTTCTGAGTCTTCACAGCGACACATGATCTGTGTGTCGAGAACAGTTGATTGGGGTTGTAGAAGTTCTATATTACTGACTTATCGCACAAAATTACCTAAGCGTAGTCCAAGTCTTTCTACGAGAATACAGCTTCTGAACATGAATGAGCAAGTTTTCTAGTCGTGAAGATCTCGCGCTAGAGTCACTGAAGGCCTTTCCATTCTATATATCATCTTTGCCGTGTTGAAATAACCTTCATACTCAATCTCCTCTTGCAATCCTTCAATGTCGTGGTGGTAGTGACCTCCAGAGTTGTTGCCCTTTGGAGAAAAGCAGTGTGTATGCTCGAGTCGTAAACCCATTGCCTGTTCTGGATCCGCTGAATGCAGGACCGACAAACACACCATAGGACTATCGAAGTCGTGGTATGTCAGCCAGTCGTTGAGTTGCTTGGGGTCCTTGAACGGGAGCTCCGATGCCGGGGGGAAGTCCGGCATGATGTGGTAGTTCGTGCGTCCTGACTTTACGATGAATGCTCCACCTAGACTGACTGTCTGCTTATCGCCGTAAGCCGTTCTGAGACCCTTCCGTATACACTGCGTAAAACTGCTTTCTGGCCCCTTTCGTTTACGAGCGGTAATCTTCAGTACCGGCCCAGTCTTGCCTTCAGAGCCGAAGAGGTTAATCATCAATGCGCAGTCCAAGGTAGGGCTCTTTTCTACTCTGGGCGCTCCGGTGTCCTTGTCGATCTTAGCGATGTGTGTTCGGTTGTCGACATCGCCGAAATCTTTGCCCCAACTGAAGTTAGGAGCGAGCTCGCAGTTGCGACCGACCTGATGGAAAGGTCCAGCTCCGGCCCCAATAATGCTGCCCTTGTCGGGATCCATCTCCATCGCCTGTGCAAGCTCCTTCATGCTCCATATGGTGTCGAGTCGAGGGCTGGGAAAAAGATTTGACTGGCCTCCAACGTCCGAGATCTTCTCGTTACCCGACAGGCCCGTTGTTGCCAGGTTGAATGGTGCTGCGCGAAGATCGGGACACTCAACGACGCTGATGGCTATATGCTCATAGTTGGCAGCCAAAGGCGCTTCGAGAACCTTGGCGAGCTCTTCAAGGCCCGGGGGCGACAATGGGTATCTTGCGGTACGCATCGTTCGATGTAGTCTTAGAGACCTACGCCGTGTCTCGTCTTCGTGATTTAGAAAGTATAATCTGCAGTTCTGCAATGCATTGAACACAAGAACTGAGTGAATATGTGGTCGCGAACGGGTCGAAACTCTTATCATCAGCTTGTTCAGATCTCCAATAGATGCATGAAGGAAAGCGTATATATCGATATCGTCTTGGTACTAACGCAGCTAATTCAATCGCCGACCCGGCGGGGAAAATCAGCTCCGGCGTTTGACCGCGATGACGGCCGACTCGACCGGCGCTAACACCATCCACTCCGCAATTCGTTACTCATTGACATTTACTCCGCACTCGCTAGTCTCGATGCGAGTATTGCTCGATTGCGCAGATGTGAAGGGAGGTCAGATCTCTCCCGCACATGGAGAATGATAGTAGTATGTTATTTAAGCCTACGCTGTAAGCAATCCCAACATTCGAACGAACAACTATTTCTGCGACTCAGGTACCCATCGCGCACCTATTGTGTCAGACTTCATATCGTCTACCATGTCCCTCACAGCACCACCAGTACCCGAGGTATTTCCGATCTACTCTGACCTCAAGGGCAAAGTCGCTCTCATTACAGGTATCGGACAAGTGGGACCCCGAGATAGCCCATTTTGGGGTAACGGCGCCGCCGTCGCACGCCTACTTTCTCGCAACGGCGTGAGCATTTTCGGTTGCGATTTGAACAAAGACGCCGCGGAAAGAACTAAGGAACGCCTTCTCGAAGAAACTGGAGATGCGGTCGTCGATGTTGTTGCAGCTGATGTTACGAAATCATCGGATGTCGAAGCATTAGTTGCAGCCGTAATGGCACGACACAACAGAATCGATATCCTCATCAACAACGTTGGCCAGACGACCTCCGGTAACCCGGCCACCATGTCAGAAACTATATGGACACGCCAGATCGACGTCAATTTGACATCCGTATACCGGCTGTGTCACCATGTCCTTCCTATCATGCAGAAACAAGGCTCAGGCAATATTGTCAACAATGCTAGTATCACTGCGCTGCGCTACATTGGAAAACACCAAATCGCATACGCATCTGCAAAAGCTGGTGTTATAAGGTTCACGAAGGCTTTGGGCGTCATGTATGGCAAGGACAACATCAGGTGTAATTGCGTAGTCCCAGGCCTTATGTACACTCCTTTGGTTGACAATTTCGCCAAAAGCAAGGACGAAGGAGACCAGGAAGCTGCTAGAAGAATACTAGATCATAACTGTCCAATGGGATGGATGGGAACGGGGATGGATGTTGCGAATGCGGTCGCATGGCTGAACAGTGCTGCAAGCCGTTATGTGACCTCGCACGAGCTTGTTGTAGATGGAGGTATCACAGAAAGTACCGGCACTGGGTTCGTTTCTCAGTTATAGTGTTTCATCATAATGTTCACAACTTCTCCGTATCCTTTCGTGACTCTGGCGAACTGTGTCTTTTTGTTCCAGGTCTAGATGCAAAACTACCTAGGTAGAGTGGGGCGCCATCCATGTAGTGGACAAGACCAGATGGCTTGTGATCACCAACCAGAAGCAATGCAGACGATAGACGAATTAGTTATCGATTGAGCAGCGCGTCATGACTTTACTTAAGTTTCTTCTGCGTGCATGATACAGTACTACTTGAGGACTTGTTTCGTTAGGTCATGCTCAGTCGCGCACGTAGGGTATGACTTTGCTATGTGTTATAGCAGATCTCCACAACATTGATTACAACAGCTCGTTGTAGGCGCAACTTAGTCTCTTTTGTACGGTTTCAAGAACACACTTGCCGGGCCAGAATACGGACGGTGTTCTTTTCCAGCTCCTTGGATTCATCCTTGTGAAATAGTGCCCAAGTGATGATCCCGCACACACGGCAGTCGGTTGCAGCCGGAACATGGCAGACACGGGGAAAAGACCTAGCGTCGGCCGACTTGTGCGGGCCACAGAACCTTAGAGCGCTAACGCTCTCCATATTCTGGTGAACTTACCAATACGATCGCACGAAGAGGAATGTATTGCAAAATGGGATGACTGATAGTGGCGTCCGACGTAGGCAAGCTTTGCGGGGAACCCCTCATGGGTGGCAACTCCACATGCACACAAGAGACCGCTACGATGGACGCTTTGGCTATTTCAAGCTACGTCTGAACAGATCGTATCGAGCTGCTACCTGCAGTAACAATCAACACTTCTCCAACATAGAAGCAATGCCATCAGTATCGCGAGGTTTGAGAACTTCGACAGGCTGGTAAGTCCTTCACACTCTACACGTCGATGCGAGAGATGGGTCTGCTTGTACTTCAACACAAGTGCAGGTCACAAATTGTCTCCCCAAAATCTCTATATTTAGTTCACTTATTCGCAAGATTCTGAACGGCTGCAGCTCAACGTGTCGTAAGAGGCGCGTCAAATGCGATGAGACTCGCCCCATCTGCCAGAATTGCATCCGAGTAAACCGTCAGTGCAAGTTCGTGGAGAAGCGCAATGCGGCTTCCAGGTTACAGAGATCTAATACTTGTGCTATCATCCGTCCTCGAACGATATCAGAGTTTTCCCCATCACCAGCCTACGACCAGGGAGATCTTGGTGTTCTCAACTATAGTGGCATACCAACTCCGGAGGATGAGCCCCAACTGGTTGATTGCCAAGAAACCAGCGATCATGGTCTATCGATTGACAACTTGTTTCTTGACAATAGTCTTTTTAGTTTCGAGAATGTTTCCCTTCCGAACTTCGACATTACCGAATGGTACGATCTTCTAGCAAAAGACGCTATCGATAAGCTGGACGAAAACAAGCACACAGCGCATTGGAAATACGACTTCGAAAGCCTCTCTACAAGACAAATACCACAACCTCCCGTTTCTGGAGATCCCTGTCTGAGTCTTCATGATGATGCGGATAGTCACATACATGACAGGCCTACCCCTTCGGGCCGGCCTTGGAATGGTCGTGAGAGGATCGAATTGAAACAGGAAGAATTGCAATTTTTCACGCATTACATCGATTTTGTTGCACCTATTCTAGATCTGTTCGACCCTCTTGCACACTTCGCCAAGGTGGTGCCTGATCTTGCGTTCTCCAACGAAGGACTCTTGAACTCCTTGCTCGCGGTTGGGGCATGTCACTTGGCTCTTTGGAAGCCATGTGAACCTGTCGGGGAAGCAGGTCCCGAGCAGGTGCCTATCAGCCCAACATCCAAGTCCTGTGGGCCGTCAAGGACAACCAGAGCTGCCAGCCACTACTATCACGAGACATTGCGCTACCTTTCGCAAAACATCGAGCATGCGGATTACAGACAATCTGACGAGATTTTGGCGACCGCGGTTATGGTATCCACCTATGGCATGTTCGATTCGAAGTCGGACTACAGCAATTGGGATCGCCATCTTCGAAGGGCTTTTTGGATACAGCGGGACTCTGGCGTTAGTGGAGAGTCCTCGAATGGTCTTCAGCGTGCAGTGTGGTGTGCATGGCTTCGACAAGACATTTGGGCAGCATTTTGCACAGGACGTCCTACACTTACACTTCACCAACCGAACACCCCTTTAGCTTCGCTCTCGCCGGACGCGTTACACCAAAGAATTATCTATTTGACTGCGAAATGTGTGCAATATGCTGCAACGCCGAAGAAAAGCAATATCGTCGGATATATAGAGGCGGGAGAGACGCTGATGAGAATGCTCGATGCTTGGAAACGAATCCTGCCGTTTTCGTTCCAGCCTGTACCCATTATCGCCTCTGCAGAATCGGCACAGGGATCGCCAGTAGACAAGGATCGCATTCTCCCCATTTGGATCCATCCACCCGCGAACGCTGCTGCTATGCAGCTATACCATTTCGCTAGGATTCTTACGGTGTTGACACAACCATCGATGGGGGGACTGAATACATACCGGGCTCGGTCTAAATTACTACGAGAGAGTACTTCCGCAATATGTGGTATCGCAGTCGCCCAGCAAACACGAAATCTGCCGAATGCCTTTGTTTCGTTCCAAGCAGTTCATGCAGGTAAGCTACGTCTTTTGTCTTGGCACCAATCGAAGTAACGAGATATAGCCGCCCTTTGTGTTGAAGATACCGAGGCGCAATCCGAAGTGCTTGGGATTCTGGATGAATTGAGAAGTACCAGCAAGCATCCACATACGTCAATTTTGGATAGCCTGATCGAAGTGTGGGATCGTGTGATCTCAGAGGATGGTCTAGCTACGTAAGCACAGTTCGTTCTTCGATGATAGACTCCAAATCAATTGTAACTCATCATCGTGTTTGTACATCAGGAGCAAGTTGACAGAGATGAGGGGCGGATTACTTTTACCATATTAGTTCAATGCATCTTGCAATCGATGGTCAGGCTTAGAAGAATACATTAGATTCATTCTGCTCGATTAACTTCTAATCTCGTTGTTGTCGTCTACCATAGCTTCCAAGCTCCACGTGCCTCGACGGTGGTATTCGTAGCATTGCTAGAGCTGCTAGCGATGCGCGCACTAGGGTTGCCGTTGAAGGCCATCAGGTTCACCGAGCCCAGGGTGTCAGTCACGACACCTGGCGTGGCCAACTCGTATACCCTCGCCTTGACCTCAGCAGCAGTGCTGGGCCCCTCGAGAGCACGGAGGTACGAGACTAGGCCAGCTACAGCAGGGGAGGCCATGGAGGTACCCGTTGTGCTCCATTCCGCTGTGTCGCTGCGCCAAGATGCAGAGACGATGTTTGTTCCCACAGCGAAGATATCGACCTCGGGGCCGTAGTTGGAGCCTCCAGGACCAGAGTGTCGGCTGAAATCAATCTCGGCGTTTCCGACGCAGATGACTTCGGGAGAGCGGCATGGGGAAGAGTTTTCGGCTGGACTGTTCTCGTTTCCTGCTGCGTTGACGGCAAGGACGCCTTTCTCCCAGGCTGCGGTGACGGCAGCGTCCCATAGTGTTGAAGCGGAAGAGCCGAGTGAAATGTTAATGACGGCAGTGTTCTGTCGGCCCTTGGATACGATATCATTAATCGCCCAATCAAAGCCGGCGAAAACATCCGACGCGCTTCCCTGCGCGCTACCAAGAACCTTAACGGCAATGATGTTGGTTCTCTTAGCGACACCGTATTTTGCACCTCCAACGGTTCCAGCTACATGCCTAGGGTGTGTTATACCGGACCTAAATCCTGGACAGTGAGCGACTTACGTTCCGTGGCCCTCCTCATCCGTATCAGGACTGCCTGCAACGGCATTGAACCCATGGATCGCTCGTCCCTCGAAATCGACGTGGGTGATACGGACGCCAGTATCTAGATGAAGCTGTCAATACCACACCAAACACGACATGGCTTTCCGACTTACCCATTACGTAGGAGAAAGTGCCATCACCCGCACTTTCGTCGTAGACATAATCAGTGGGTTCTGGTGTACGAGACGAGATACCGGCTAGACCCAACGGCGCATTTGGTTGAGTTACAAACTCGCTTATTCTCATGACGAAGTCTGGTTCAATGGTGAGGACCTATACAAGATGTCAGAGCTGCTTTGACATATCTGTTGGTGATGCTGTGTGACAAACCTCGGGCAAAGCCTTCAGTTCTTCGATGGTTGCATCGTCGAATGAACCAGCATAGCCTTTGAAGTTACCAAATCCATACTCACGCTCCACCGGAGCGCCACCCGCGCCATCATCACCTCGTCGAGCCAGGTTGCGAGCATGTATGCTGCGCATTTTGTTGTGGTGAGCAGCAATCGACGCAACATCAGTGTCAGGCTTCAACTGGACGATATATTTGCCGGGGATGACCTCGTTCGCACGAGGGGTGTCGACGGGAGCAGCATTGGCGACAAAAGGAGCTGCGACAGCGGCGAGCGCAGTGATACGAGTGAGGAACCGCATCGCGATTGAGGATGAAACGAGCGTAAGTTGGAGCCGATTCACCAACCACCACCGGACTATATGCACTTTCTGCCTTGCACCAAGTCCATCGCGCGCACTACGGTACGAGAAATCACTAATCCAAGCATCTCTTGTCCTTTCTTGACTTCTGCCTCTTTGGGGTTAGGTTCCGCAATTCGATTCGTATAAGAGATGATATGTTAGGGGTAGTTGATGAGAATCTTCCGAGTCATGGATAGCCAAGGCGGCAAAGCCAGGGGACGTTGTGAAAGCAATATGCCGGGAGGAAGCTACCCCTGTTCTGCCGGCTAGCGGTTTCCATTTCGAGTGCAGCTACCGGGCGCGAAGCGATGAAACACGGGAACCGGCGTCGTATTTTGTGGATAGACCCTATCTCGGATTTCATTCCGCAGAATCGGGCCTTGTAAAACCAATGCCATTGACCTCGAGAACAGAAAAGGCAGGTTCAAGACGATTATATGGTGGCAAAGTCTTCGCAAACATGGTGACAGATAATGGACAGTCTGGGCAATGGAACATGTTCAAGGATCTGAGATGGCAGACCACTGGGAGCGCTCTCCGAAGTCATACGGCACCCCGAAATACTCCAGCCAGCGGTATATCTCAGACCGAATGATGTTAGCTCAGCAGACGGCACTCTCAGGAGACCAACTTGAGAAGAGGCTTTCAACTGAGTTATCGAATATCGTGCTTATTGATGATCGCAACGGAAGAATCCACTGCGCGGGCGGTCCCGAGATCTTGTCCGGCTTGCGGCAGATTTCGGCGCGAATTCGGCATGAACAGCGAAGCTCCCAATGATCTAACTATTCACCCAATTGCGGAGAAGTCCTCATGAAGGTTTCCTGTGTGCTTTGCAGTCAGGTTGTTTGGATGCCGATGCATCGTACGCTGTTTACGCATGATGGAAACGAGACGGGTTAGAGATGAAAAGGAGTAGCAGGAAGGCGGCCCCACTCCGAGGCACGCTAGATGAGTCAGCAGCTCTTGGCGTGCAAGAGCGTCTTTCGGCGGCGAACTTCAAGACTGCCAGTCAACATCCAGCGTTACAAGGCCTTCAGGAAGAAACCTCGTCTGTACGCGCGTAGCTTGTTATTATCATAATAGACCACACCTGCTCGGCTTCCAAGTCGTCGGTTACGGAGGCGCGCAAGACGAGCCAACACATCGCACAAAGCTCTCCGCTTTCGAAACAGTTCCTACTGACCGTGATTTGTGACGATGGTATCCAGTCAGCGCTCCAAATTGAAATTCGCATTGGATACTCACGAAGTACGAGACGTAATCTATTGAACGACAAACCTACTGTTCGACGCCTCGCAAACAAGCGTGACAAGATGAGACTGCGCATGAGGGGTTCAATGATCACCAAAGTTGCCGACAATGAACCAGCAACCGTTCTACCAAGGTATTAAGGAATAGGGTGGACGCAGTTGAGAGCGACAAACGAGAGAGTCACCAAGTGTTCCCTTTTCTTATTGTTGATTTCTCTTCGTCTTGTCTAATTTCTTCCTTCAATCGTATTATTACTCCTTGCCATCCTTTCCCTCGTTTTTAAAGGTGGTCTGCTAGGGTAGTACGCTTCCCAATTGTGAGGAGGATGGACATTCTCCTATAGCGTCATGCTACCATTGTGACTTTGCTCATTTGCTGTCCAAGTAGCTCCTTCACTCTCGAATGCCAAGCCTTATGGCGCAAACGCTACCACAACAATAGCTGTCACCACAGAAATCAAACAAAAGGTTCCAATACTCCAGTCGTATTCTGTAGTTTCTGGACAACTTCCGAAACGCAAATTGCAACTGCAAGATGGCGCGCGATGAAGACAAGCTAATTGGAACGATCAACCCTGCGACTGACGACGATGCCAATATCACCGTCGAACATGGTAAGTACAGTGCTCTTGCCGACGACTACAAATTCTCCGAACGCTTCTGACATATCACGATCCAGGAAAACCGACTACACGTACCGCCAACGACGATGACCCTGTCGAGGAGCCCGCATCTGCAGGAAACGTTGCATCAAATCACAAAAACGGCGGCAAGATGACGCTTGCACCGCCGGACTCATTGAGCACTCCGTTAGATCTGGAAAGGTTACATATCCTCCTGACCTACTCTACTCTTCTGGCCTTGACGAGAGACGCCTCACGGCCAGTCGTCGACCTGAACATGGAAGCTCAAGTTCGACAGCTAGATGCATTCCTAGCTGGAGACGTCACTGAAGACGGTGTCGCGATACACTGGTCTGCCAATAGTCAGGGTGCCGAACGACTTTGGCGGTACGAAAAGTTATGCAACGAACTCGTCCCCAACCTGATCGCTGCGATCAAGAAACAGTCGCAGGTCAACCTAAACACGGAGCCAAAGAATCGCGTCAATGGCGAAAAAAATCCCGAGCACCGATCTTTCTATGAGCTCTTTCTAACACCAAACCTGGTGACCATGTACGGAAAGCTGATTGAGAAAATGAGGAAGAAGGATATGAGCATGAACCCTGATTTCGATCCTTGGACGGACGCGGTGAAGTATGGCAAGCTAATACAGCTTTTCAAAACCATTTACGACCATCAGTACGACTTTACAAATTGGAAGCACACGCGACCCGAGCCGGTCTTCAACCAGACGCCTCGCCGGGAAGCCGAGGAATTCATGCGCATAATGGATGATCGTGATCAGATCCGTGTCTATCACTGTATCGTCACTCCTCTCGGGAAGGTCTTTTCACAGTTGGACACCATTCCTGAGATCGCAATCAAGTATAGCGACGAACAACTTGCGAAGATGTGGCGCGACAAGACGCGTCCGAAGTATCTGATCCCCGACCCTGCCTTCGTCACGGTTCCCGCCAAGCAAAAAGACATGACCTGGGCGAATCCCGATGGTGTTGGTAAAGTCTGGACGCGCGGCAAAGTGAGTTGGCCGACTATTTTCAAGTTTATGGTCTTCGACAAGGCGACAAACGCGTACATCCATGACCATGTCATCGACATTGACGTCTTGGACCAGATCAATCTCAACGACGAGACTTGGGTGAACCGATATCGCAAGAAGATATCTCAGTGGCGCAGCCGTGCAACCGGAGAATCGACAAAAGTTCGCGATCACTGGAACGATGAGGAGCGTGTCTTGGTTTACCAGTTCTCAAACAACTGGGTCATGGAGAATGGTATTGACAAGTTTGTTCCCCGGATATGGGATAGCGAGAAGCACAGTCTCATGGCTGCCGTGAACAAGGCTGGCCGTGCGCGCACGCCAGAGTCGGTTTGTGCTTGGGCAAAGAGGCAGATGACCGATAAGCCAAACGAGCCTCTTGGTATGCTTTACGCTGAAGGCCAGAAAATTGCTACACGTGTCGACGCTGGCGAAATCGTTCCGGACGACGAGCGTTATCCAGATGAAGCTATCGACATCGCTAGCTTCCTGCCCATATCACAGCCTAAAAAGTCTTCCATCCTCAAGAAATCTGATACTGATCACGATCACAAGCGCAAGCACGACTCTGATGAGCCGGATGCTCTTTGTGAATTAATGAGCGACTCTGGTAACTTCAACCTCGTTGGCGACTCCGACCAGGATGTCGATCTAGCGATGGAGACTGGCGACGGCAACTTCCACGACGACGATCCGCCTTCTTCTCCACCCAGACTCAGCAAGCGACCAAAGCTCGCCACCAAAGATTAGAAGGGTATAAGAAGAGATAACGAAGAGCAAGAAGCCAACTTCGCAAGTTGAGGCATCTGGTGAAAGCTGTAATGGATGCGCGCACGGCAGAACGCGATGCTGGAGCTGCGACCCATGATGACGACATTGGTGGTGGAGACGACGATCAGTTTGATATGAACTTTGATTGAGGATCACGGTACTGGTCGTACTGACTCGATAGTAACGAGACAAAGGTCAAGAAAGGCGAAATGGTTCGGTATGCCTGAAGCTAGTAGTTCCTGGGTTTTCCGGTTAGCTTTCTGGATGGTACTTAAAATTCAGTGTCAGTCCGAAGGATACCCCATAGCTTCTTCATAGTCAATTGTATCCTTCTTCTACCTACCCACAGCTACAGGTCCGCAGAGCATAGCGACACCGCCTCCCACCACAGTCATCTACTTCATGCTAGCCCTCATAGTTCCCGTCATCCTCGATGCCGATAAGTCACGGAATGCCTGACATATCGATAGCCTCGTCTGGATACCTAGCACTGTCCGGAATGACTCTGTTGTTTCTAATATCCTCGGCCATTTTCTTCGCACGCTCCCCCAGGTTGAAGATCGGCCTATTCGCTAAAGAAACGTCCCTTCGGATCGCGTCTCTCACCTGACCTTGAACTGTCTCCGCGGTACGATCTGATCCGTCCTCGTGTTGGCCTGCGCGCACTGCATTGATGCTATCTGCGAAGTTCTGCAACGTGTCGGTATCGAGATTCTTTGCTTCAAATTTGTCTATGCCATGTTCTTTGCACCATGCGTTGATGCAACGCCAGAGAGCATGACGTTCAGCATCTGCCCATTTCTTCAAGTCAAACCTACTTTTCTTCGCGGTGTTGGTAGGCTGTACCGTCAACGATGCTTGTTCTTGCGGTTCAGCCAGATGAGGATGCAATCTTGCCGCCAGATCCATAAGGAACTGCCAAATTTGGCTATCATTCTCCACATCTAGGTCATCCGTACCGCTTTCGGTGTTCGCACGGATTTTTCGATAGGCTGTCAGGTCATCCGACGTAAACATCGTGTTCAGAGCCTTCGGATGACCGCCTTGCTTGATGCGTTGGTTCAGCCTCTTGTCCAATTTCACCACTGTGGCCGTCATCAATCTTGCGGTCTTAGCGTTGAATAATAATGGATCGACAGCCGGTGCGGATGCAAAGTACGTGTTGTATTGGTCTTGGGAACGATGCATGTTCCGTAAGACGACAGGCTCGGAAGGCAAATGGGTAGTAGCGTACAGAAGACCGTAATGTAGCTCGATCCATGAGTCCTCTAACTCTTCGTTAACGCCTTGTCGTAGATGTACTGCTTGGTCGGACAGATACTTAGTTTGCTGAAGAGCCACATATTCGGTAGCGATCTGCTCGCCTGTCCATCCAGTCTTCATGTAGAACAAGATGTCTTCTGGCGTAAAGGGCTCAGGCATGCTGGATCTGGTTTCCCATTCCAAGTCGTTCAAGAACGCTTCTGCAGTATACATATCCGGCTCAGGTACAGACCGAATGTACCCTAGGTTGATCATGTCTTCGGACAATCCGTTCGCTATCCACTCTTCAACAGTTTGTACACTGACGTTGGGATTGACAAAGCGCCCCCCGCTGGTAATTCGCCACAGGATCGATCCCACATCGCCCCTCAAGTCGTGGTATACCTTCACCACATGAGCCCATTCGGTTTTGATGTGTTGGTCGTCCACACCCTGTGCGAGCATTTCGGCAATGTCCACTTCTTTCCAGGGCGGATACTTGCCGGAGCCCCTCAGCTCGGTGTAGAGATTTATCGCGCGCTCACATTGGTCGACTGAAGCCATGAAGCTGCAAAGTAATGATTGTTCTTCGGTCGTTCAGCGGAAAGTACCAGATCTTATACTTGTCAGGAACCTGCCATACTAGCGCACCGGCACAAACGAGTGGCACACAATGACCATCGCGTGCCCAGGTGTCGCATCATGGACCTTCTCGGGTTGTCATCTGCGCAAGGCATGCACCCACGCTCTTTATTTGCACATCTGACCCGTGAACATCTCGTGAGACCGGCGACTCACGTTTGGAACTCTCGACTTTGTAGGTCCAGGTGACTCTAACGTACTGCTATACAGAAAGGGAGTGCCAGCTGCTACGTCAAAGGACGAAGTCATTCCATGATGTGATGCACGCGTATACCAAGCATCTCCGTTGCATGTAGGGTTTCGAATATGGCGTTTTATCGCATTTGTGTACGTGAACTGTCAACCGTTTAAAGGCTTCGCGTGTCTCTGGAGAAAACCAAACCGCTACGGCGAATTTGTGGACCGTACTGCACCGTGAGCGAGAACACACACCTGCTAGCGATCACGAGACGGGATGACAAAGGACGCTCAGGCCGGATCAATCTGGACGGTTAGTAGACCCAAAGGCAAATTCTCCATGCTTATAGTGCTGAAAGCTGCTTGACAGTGTCCACGCAGTAATATAGAGTTTGACACGTCGATAGTGGCGTCACGCGTGCTGCAGACTCCAACGTGATCTTGAGGGCTGGCTTTCTCGTCTCCAACAACTTCATTAATATGAGTCGCATCGTCTTTTCTTCTGTCATGCCATCATTTGAAGCTAATAAAAGTGTTTTCTCGATCAAGTTGATATAGGTATCCAACACGATCCCACCATCATACCTCTAGAACAGCGGAGACACGTAGCATGCGACTGCCATCTTCATCCAGCACCCAACGCTCTCTGGAGGGGTTGCCGTCGACGAAATTTCGTGTTGGAGTCATCCTAGTGGCGTCGTTCGAGGCATTGTTCTGGGTGGTAGCTGAGAACAGCAGATGTTCATACATAGGGCAAGTGGTCACCGATTGCTTCCGTCTTCCGTCTCTTGAATAGCTGTAGAGATGCTGTCGCTTGCTCTCGAGCTTGAGCATACCTCCAAGAGAGCTCATGCGCGATAGATTTAAATAAGCGTCCTAGGGATAGGTGTACACTTTGCGTCTTGTTAATACATTACCTTGTCATGCTACATGTAATCTGAAAGTGCTTTGTAGCCACGGTATAGTTTCTGGATAGAATACTCTTGCTGTAGAGAAAATCTTGAACAAGACTGTCGGCTAGCAGTCGGGAGTAAGATACTGGCAGATAGCGCATGCGAGAAAGTCACAGATCGCCAAACACCAAAATCTAGACTAGACGCGAACATCGTGATCAGTGCGAAGCAGGGAAAAGATGGGCGGTTCATGTGGAGCAACTGTGCCGCAAGCCTTGTAGAAGAGGCGGTCTGCAGGGGCAGTCGGGTAGTCTTTGGTAATCCCTGGAGTCGTTGAGGTACTATGACAACCCGCCCCGGTTAAGCGATGCCAAGGCAGGACGTAGGAGCTGCGCCGACTCAAGAGGGCACGCGAAGTGCATGCTGGCTCGATGCGGACGGACTGCTGTGGGAGGCAGCATGGGCGGCGGTGTCGGCGGCAGTGATTGGTTGACGGGCCGAAATTTAGCGCGACTGCCGTGCTCGCGTCGCGCGTCGGTGGTGTGCATACGAGGGCGCATGAAGAGGCAGAAGCCTCGCCAGTGGAGGGACGGTGACATCAGCGCGGTCCTGGCGCAATCAGTCGCATGAAGAGCTCGATCCATAGGAAAGGCGGAGGTGGTTGACGGTGAGTAGGTGGGATGCGGGGCCAGGGGCAGCAGCTGGCCCTGTCTTAATTAAGTTGGAATGGCGAATGTGGACCCTGACGGATAGAGCTAGCGGGCATGCGGGCCTAGTCCAGGGCCTCCTTGATGCTCCTCCTTTCGAGGCCGTGAGCAAGGAAATCATTCCCTTTTTTGCGTGCTCGTCGCTCTCTTTTCGCGCGTGCTGTCTTGTCCTGTCTGCGCTGTTGTCGACTTTGTTGCTTTTGCATGAATGCAGCCTGGAGAGTAATACCTCGACAGTCACAGCGTGCACGATTCAGATTCAAGTCCGGCGCCAGAGACTAATTTCCACCCGAGTGAAACACGCTCTACACCAGCTCCTCAAGCGTCGGAACCGAGCGCCCGAGCAAAGGAAGCGTTCTGTCGTACTCTACGGCGGGGACGCAAATTTCCGCTCCGTCATCGAATTCCTGTCAAGACATTGTCAACAAGCTGCAGTCAAGACAGAACATGTCCAGCGGCAGCATCACCATGGAGGTCAAGGAGGAGCGCCAGCCGCGAACACACGTCGACAGCTCGCCACTGCCGACCGACTCGATGGTCACGGTCCCGCTCTCAGAAACAGACGGAACAAGCCCAGAGGAAGAAGAAGGCGCGAGGCAATCGGCGATGCGGCCAGAAATTATAGTCGAGGAGCGAAGAGCGTCGTCACGAACAAACTCAACAGAAATCCGCAATGCCTTTGGGCGACGTGCCAGCCAAGCCAGCATCGAGACACCCGCCCCAACCAGCCCTACCATCTCCGTCCGTGACACCGACGCGCCAGTATCACCAAAGACCGCGGGAGAGTCCAGGGGACGACGCACTAGCAATGGCTCGGGAAAAAGCGAGGAGGTCGACTGGGCCGAGCTAGAGAAAAAAGAAGAACAGGAGCCAGAGGGCGAGGAGGAGGTAGGCAGGCACCACACCCCTATGCCACGCGCCATCTGCTAACATATCTAGGCCATGGCCCTGCTGCTCGCACGACTGGAGCAGGAGAACGACGCCATACTATCAAACTCCAAATCCAACATGAAGGTCGCCCGCGCCCGCAGCCAGTCTCGGCCGCCCTCCTTCAACCAGCTCAAGCGCCTCGTGGCCGACGACACCTCCAACATGCGCTTCTCACAGCTGCCTTCGCCCCCGCCCATGACCGAACTCGAGTTCTGGGCCGCCCTCGTGCGCGACTACCCACAAACCGTCCAGCGACTGCCCACCCTCTCGCTGAACAAGATTCGAGGGGGTATTCCAGCGCCACTGCGGGGCGTTGTCTGGCAGAGTGCAGCTGGTTCGCGAGAAAAGCTCATCGAGGACCAATACGACGCCCTATGCGGAGAGTCGAGCCCGTACGAGAACATCATCAACAAGGACCTGGGCAGAAGTTTCCCAGGCGTCGAGATGTTCAAGGATCCTGAAGGCGAGGGGCAAAAGATGCTCGGTCGCGTGCTCAAATGCTTCAGTCTGTATGACCACAAGATTGGCTACTGTCAGGGTCTCGGTTTCCTTGTCGGCCCCCTGCTTATGCAGATGGGCGACAAGGAGGCCTTTTGCGTGCTTGTGAGGTAGGTTGCATTGCCCTGCATACAGCGACGTCAGCTAACCGAGCTAGACTTATGGAAGACTACGATCTGCGCTCTTGTTTTCTGCCAGACCTGTCTGGCCTCCACCTCCGCATTTTCCAGTTCCAGAACTTGCTTCGTTCCCATATGCCACAACTAGCCCAGCATCTTGATGAGCTAGACGTGCAGTCCGCCTACCTGTCGCAATGGTTCCTGTCTTTCTTCGCAGTCACATGCCCATTGCCCATGTTGTTCCGCATCTACGACGTGCTGTTCGCCGAGGGCGCATCTGAGACCATCATGCGCGTCGCGCTCGCATTAATGAAGCGCAACGAACAAAAGCTGCTGTCCCTCACAGAATTCGAAGACGTGATGCAATTGCTTTTGGGGCGGCAACTCTGGGACCCATATGGGCGGAACGCGGGGTCGGCGGATGAGTTGGTCGGAGATTTCGTCGGTTTCACAAATGACGTGACGCGCGAGCGGTTGCAAGGGTTGGAGCAACAGTACAAGGAAGCTCAGGAGAAGGATTCGTCCAAGCAGCAAGTCCAGAAATCTGCCACGTCGTTCCTGGGACGCTTGTGGGGTCCGTCCAACTCTTCGACCAAGTCGGTTTCACTCAGCCCGGGTCTCTCCGCGCCTTCACGACCGGTTAGCTTCCTCAGGCGCTCCGCGTCCAAACAGAGTCTTGCCTCAACACTCAACTCAACTGCCGAATCTGACGCTTCGGCTGCGACACAAAGTACAGCCATGACGGATATTTCGCGCGCCTCGAATGGAGATGCGCTGTCGATGAAGTCGGGACACGGGTCCATGGCCATGGGCGCTTCGGCGAAAGATCGGGACCTACATTATCAGATTGAGCAACTGCTCATGTCCGTGAGCCAACTCCAACGCCAAAACAGCGAACTCGAAACGGCATTGCAAAAGCAGCGCGAAGACCGCAAAGAAGACCACAGGATAGTCCGAACCGTTGTCGACAAAGTCCGAAAGAAGACTACAACACTCGCCGCGCCATCAACCCGCGCGTCGCGCCGACGAACAACAATCACATCTCCACCCAATCTCACTCCGCCTGGAGATGCTCCCGAACTATCGGAAGAAGCTGTGGAAATAGTAGAAACACTAGAAACCCGCTTCCCTCACCACCAAGCCCATCACCGCGCCTCGTCCATGTTCGAAACAAAAGCCCTTCTGCGAGACTCTTTAACACGCACGAAAGAACAGCTCGCCAACGAAACGCTGCGCGCCAACGCGCTCACCCGTGACTTATCCGACCGCGACGCCGAACTGCAGATTGCGCGTGACGCGCTACGAGATACACGACACAGATTAGCAGATTCCTACAACCAGAACCAGCGGCTCGAGAAGAACGTCCAGGAACTACGACAGAATGCACGCAAGGCGAGTGCGGCAGCGAGTTGGACATCAGCGGACCATGGTGGTAATGCGCCAGACACGCCACCCACGCTATCTCGCTCCACAACGTCTGATTCCATATCCACAACGAGCGCGACGAATGGCCTGCGAGAGTTGCGCCTCGGACGAACGAATAGCCAGAAATCCGAACGCCACCAACAATACTCTGCTCCTCCGCATCAGACGTTTGCCAAGCGCTCGAGTAGTCTAGCTACGCAGAGTGTGTTGAGCGCGACGGAGAATAATAGTCCGGCGGATAATGAGGCGCTGCTGCTTGAACTGGTGAATGCAAAGACGGCAGAGGCGGTTGCGAGACAAGAGTTGGAAGAATTGCGATCGAGATTTGAGGGCATGAAGAGGGTCATGTCGCAGGGAGGTGGCAGTGGTAGTAGTAATGCTGCTAGTCCAATGAGTGGTTCGCCTTTTGCTACGCCCACGCAGACTCCGGCTGTTACGCCTAGTCCTGTTCCCAAGGAGCCGGCAAGTGGGAATGGAGGCGGGTGGGGGTGGGGTGGGTGGAAGAGGACGGTTAGTAGTAATGTTGCGGGGTCGTGAGGTGGTTCAGAGAGAGGATGTTTGTACATAAAGAGTTCGAGAGATGTAAATTCTTTTTCTCGAGAAGGCCAACTTCTTCTTTCTTTGCCACGGGTGGCTGGAATGGAGGGCCGCGTTATATAAGGGATTTAATGTCAACTTTTTTTTTCCTTCGTGAAAACTTGGTCTTCATGTCCCCCTTCCTGGTTGTGTCGGTGTCTGTTGGATGCTATCTCCTTGGTTGATAGAGGTGGTACGGTGTACCTTGGAGCCGATGTGGTGCTCACTTCACAAGCATACGTGTCTGACTTGACGTTCTGCAGACTTTCTCACGTACTGTGTTTTCGAGATACGTTTCAGATGTACGTGTTAAAATTACAAATACCATTCTCACATACAGCTACCGAGAGTAGTTCATCCACCCACAAGTACCCGTTAAAGGAGCCTAGTCAAGGTGGAAAAAAAAAGGGTATCATCCGCTCTCACCATTCTGAATCCTCACAACACCACAGTATAACAAAACCCAACCACCCTAAGTTTTTATGTTCCATACGAAGCAACCCGCAGCGATGCCATGTATATTGCAAAGACGAGAGTCGCATTTTGACTCAACTCACTTATACTCCTTACTAATCCCCATCTTCAGCACAGGTCGCTCCCCAGCAGCCTTTCTCCGTTCCTTGGGATACGATTTATCTGCGAGGATAGCGCGGAGATTGGGATTCGTGATGGCGCGCTTTACTTTATCTTTGCCGCGATAGAATGGTTGTCGTCGTCGTGGCTTGGGGGTCTTGGGGAGCATGGCGGGAAGAGGGCTAGATGAAGGATTGCTTTAGTATACAACGACAAGTTGTGTAGGTTTGGGATGAGAAGCAAAAAGGGGAGAAGGAGGTTGGAAGGTAGTAAGGGGGAGACTTACGCGTATACCCGTTCACTGATGGAGTCGATAGGGCTGGGTGCCCCACTGCTATTAGTGTTGGCGGTGGTGGCGTTGATACCCGCACCAGTGTTGGCGCTGTGGACACCGCGATCTCCTTCTGTTGAGCGTGTAACACCGACACCCACACCGGGTAGATGGGAACCATCTCTTAAACAATGAGAGGTATCTTGTTGGCCTCCGTGACTACGAGCTGCCATCATGGCGGGTATTTGCAATGTGTTGTTCTCGGCGTGTTGTTGTTGTTGTGATGGTATGGCTCGATTGGTGCTTATAGGGACGAACGTGCAAACGGACAGCAGAAGCTCGGGCCAGTAACGAAGTAGCTCTTCCCCTCATGGTAGAAAGACGTTCCATGGTGAAGATGAAGGCAAGCGAGGGAAAGGGAGAGGTGGTCTGGTCTGGTCGGAAAATTGGGAAAGATTGTATGTTGTATTGAAGAGGAGGATTACGTGATCCCTCTAGACTAGAATATATAGTTTGAGTATTATCTCATCTCGAATTAATTATCCTTTACTGAAATTTCCTCTCCCAATTTAACATGTTGCATTGATTGTAACATTCTACGTTATTGGTAGTAAGGTTCCTGACAGCGCTTAGACTACAACGTATTGTCAAACGATATAGGAAGAGTAGATACTGGGTGCACGGTACTGGCCTGCCGGAACGTATATTGTACTTTTAGGCTGAGACGAATCGTTATTAAGCTGATTGGCAACATGGTCGCGACAGTCGTGGCTTTTGAGAAAGCATGAAGATCTTGATTATTTCTAGTATTAAACGCACGATCACGGTAAGGACTGACTAATCTCACAAGTGTTTCCTTCTCTCCGGACTTCACCCCATCTTCATCAATACCATCTAATTGATCTTCGCATAAATGTTGCTCCTGTACCCAGCCCCACACTTCTGGTCCTTGTTACCCGTACAAGCACTTTTGCACTCAGACTCTGGCTTGTGTTGCGTCGGGTTCTTGAACGTGTTTCCACAGAAGCACTCCTTTCCATTCTGAACACCAAAGTACTTCGATCCTGCGCATAAAGTTTCGCATCTCTCCACCGTCATGTTAGAATCGTTCATGAAGGTCTTGTCACCCAGCACTCGAGCGCTGCCGTCGGTGAAGCAACCCTGATAAGTGTAGATCTTCTTTTGGTAGGCACTGAGCTGCTCAAGCAGTTCTTGTTCGCGTTGAACATGCTTTTGCTCGCCTTCTTTGAGCGCCGTGACCTGGTCCATCAATTGCTTCTCATGTTCAAGACAGAATTCTTTATCGGCCTTGCATTCAGCATCGCCGATAACTTGGCTACTGCCTCCGTTGGTGGCGGAGGAGAAAGGATCGAGAGGTTGATCAAACTTGATGCCGTTGGTACAAGTACAAGAGCAGTTGTGTTTGTCAGACGCATCGTTGCAGACAACTGATGGCTTCGCGCCTGCATTCCATTAGCGATGCTACGAGGTATTGCCATGCTGATGTACATACCGTTATCGCACTGGTAAGAGCTCCCGGAAAGGCCGAGCGAGCTGAGGACTTGTTGTGGCGCAAAGGCAAAGGTGTTTGCGGCCAAGCCGAGGACGAGGATGCTTGAAGTTTTCATTGTATGTATTATCAGATACGTAAGATGAGTAGATTGTGTGTTGGAGGTTGGCACAAAAACGTGTTGCAAAGCTAGGTTCTTATACTGTTGGCCTTTTCTCTAGCCCTTAGGTCCCGTACTCCATCACTTCATGTGACAGGCAATCCGCTCATTCGAATAGGCTAAAGCGCATGCATTCCCAAACAATGCATCCGTCATGAAGACTGAGGTCCGAGACTACTCTAGATTCTTTTGCAAACTTTCCTTTCCATAGTCTTACTTTCTCACACTTTCTTCTGCGAAGACCTACCTTCGCTTGTTAGCCATCTTGATAATCAACACATACTTAATCATTTATACATAATGCCATATCCTGCAATGATTCAACTTGAGCGTGGAAGAATCGCCCTTGAAAGGGTACCAATCAAGATCAAAAGCTAGAAAGCGACTCTATTACTCACACGGGCTGCTTCGGGAGAGAAGATCTCCAGTAGAAACCTGTATGGATGACAAAGATTGCATTAGAATAGTTTTCGCAAAAGAGATGATAATCACGCAAATATACGAAAACAGGCAATGGGCAATCTCAACGTCTGTCCACAAGATTGCTTTTTGGCTCCAATTCACCCAAGCTGACCAACGACACGACTGCATTGGCACCGGACCGTTCCACTACGTTGTACACGTGCGGGCTATCCCGAGAAACCCCACAAAGACTAGTGGTAGCTTAAGCTTTGGAATATCTGGCTCTAGTTCAATGACTGAGTCTCAATTCTCCAATGCCGTTCCGCTGTGCTTTTTCTGACCCAGCGTGACCTTAGTCGGTACGTGCCTCACTGTGAGAGCAGCTCATACTGCACATGATGGACAACACAACGGATTTTCAATGGATGGAGGGGACCCGAGAGATTTTTCAGATTAACAATTAGAAGCTCTGCCCTTTAAAGCAGTCCAGGTCTGGTTCATGATTTCCTCAAGTTCACGATCCACAGTCTATAGAAACAAGCACGATGCGATCCCTCATCTTCCTCACGAGTCTTTTGTACTGCCGCGTTAGCAGCGCACAATCCCTATCGAGCATGCCTCTAGATGCATTGCTTACATGCCAGAATGGTATGCCTCCCAGCTCTAGGCAGATGAATGATCACAATCACTAACACATTCTCCTAGGGTATGCTCTCTCACTTACATGCGCCGAACCGCTGCCGGTCGATGACGAGTGCACGTGTACGTGTCGTGATGGAGCAGTGTACAACCAAACTCGTCCCGATCTCTTGGGCTTAGTCCCTACGACTCCCGGTACGGCAAGTGGAAGTCAGATCGTTGGTACACCGTGTACTGAGGAAATTATCCAACCCTGGACAAAACTTGTGTTGCCTCACAAGAAATACACGTTGGAGCCTACAGAAATTGTCTCCGGCCTTGTCGACATTGCTGAAGATAGTGTTTTCTTGGTAGCCGATTCCCAGCAGAGATGTCAGCACTTTGAGGTGTATATCGACGACCAACTTGCAGGAGAGACATTTGGAGATGGCCCGCTTGATAACAGCTGGTGCGGGGAAGTTGGAGAGGAATGTATGGAGAAACATGGTGGAAGCCATGGCTATTTCAAGCTTTCTAAAGGTAATCACTCTGAAAATGAATCGTGTTATTTGAACACAGGCTAACGACCGATGCTTTCTAGGACAACACAAGATTGGTCTTCGATGGGTAAAGGTCACAGATGCTTGCAAGCATTGGCCTGAAGGAGTTGGAGCCTTCCAAATCTACAAGCCTTGTTAGATACTCCTGTAGTGCTACATCCTTGGGTTGTGGTGCGGCGGAAAGAGAAATAATGCTTAGCTTCAAAGCATTCGCCTCACCCTCTAGGCTTAGAACTACGTAAAGGTCGAAAAGCAAAGTGTACAAGAGGAGATGATTCGATTATACATGACGTACGCAATTAATAGATTCTGCATTCTATGAAGAGACTACAACAGACTAGCCTGAGACGCTTCGGTTCTACTCGTGTATAATACCGTCAGGCCTAGTTATCAATATAGATGGGCTGAAGAACAGTTTTAACATTTTCTAAAATGGCATGTTTGACCGGAAAAAACAACTTCCAAAAAACATGTAGAGCAAGTTGCAAGACTCCACTGTCGCGCCGGATGTATTGCCTGCAAACAGGCAGGCTTCTACACATGTCAGTTGATGGGTTACCAGTTGGATGCCCTACTGTGAACGGAACTCAGGAAGTGAATGAGAAGTTAGAATATAGAGCCACGTTGGAATCGGGTACAATGTCATGCACTGATCGTTGACTGACTCCAATCGTTGCGTGTACAGGTACAGTACCTCTCTAGTGATGTTTCGGATCTCCTCAATCCGGATCGTGTAGTGATAGCGTACTCAGGTCGACAGCGAGCTGTTCTAGCATGGAGGCTGGCAGTGAAGAAACTCGGCAGACCCAAGAAGACATAGCAAGATTGGCGCATTTGCATTCAAAAACGGCAAATTCATCACTAAAAGAAAGTAACATACTAGTCTCAACTGCTCGGGAAGGGCCGAAGCGCCGCCATAGTGCCCGACGGACCAAACACAAAGATTTGCTTTTTCGTGAACATCATCAGTGTATGCAAGACCATAGATCAGATGAGCACTATAAGAGGACAAGCATAGAAGACGTTGTGATAATCCAAATCATATCCTCATCCCTCTCTTCCCTCTCCTCTTCCTGGCTCCATCGTCCCATATTCACGCACAATGAGAGCTGTAAACCTATTTTTTGTTTCCGCCCTGTGCACGCGAGTGCATAGCTACGATGCGCAACAACTCCTCAGCTCGCTCGACCTTTCCGGGAGCTCGTACCAATGCGACAATGGTAATCTAACCGAATTATTGTATCACTCAACATGACTAACATTATGTTTTAGGTGTGAAGCCTTCGATTGCATGCGTTGATCCAGCGACAAACCATGACACCTGCTCTTGTACTTGTACCAACGGCATCAAGTTTGATCAACCTCTCGATCCGTTCTCCTATACCGCCAACGGAGGTAGCGGCCCAGGTCTCGCAAACAACTCTGCATGCCAGGCCGACAAAGACCTTTTGATGGCCAAGATCAAAGATCTCGAAGACGACCAGCAAAAGCACCTGGCCGAGATCAAAGATCTCAAAGATGGCCAGCAAGAGTATATTCAACGCGAGAAAGGATTGTCGGAGGAGTTGAGTATATGCAAGGGCAAACCCTTCGTTTACCAGGGTTGCTACACCGACGGTGAGAACAGAGTGCTAGCTGATGGCCTCGTGAAAGATTCAGCAATGACAGTTGAAAAATGCGCGAGTATCTGTAAGAACTATATGCATTATGGAGTCCAGAACGGCAATGCTTGCCTTTGCGGAAAAGCTTTCAAACAGCCCACGGCAAAGGTCGCAGAAGGAGAGTGTAATCAGAACTGTTCTGGTTACGCCAAACAGAAATGTGGAGGTCCGTGGAAAAATTCTTTGTATTCAAGAACTATCTGAATGGTTCCTTCGTCTCAAGATAGAGCGGCAATAGTATCACAACATACCAGTTGTGGAGACATGTATCGACGCAAAGGAGGAGCATAATCGATTCAGCATACGATGTTTGTTAAGAAGAAGAAAATGAGGTCCCTATAGTTGAAGAGAACTTGTCTGCAAATGGAAGAATCAATGCACAAAATGGCTGCTGTGACGAGATCTGAGGTTGCATTGCGAAGAACTTCGTACTTAAGAATCTGCATGTCGACATGTATACCTTTTCTGGAAGAACAACGTGCGCTACGCATGCTTATAAGTCGCGCCTGGCTTTACAAAGTGAGGACTAGAGTTATTATTCTTACTGCCTACTCCTAGAGTAGCAATACTTAGGCTATGTCTCAATATTCTTGTAATGTGAAGCAAGTAATATTGCCTACGTTCACGCCGGTACTGTAACAGATCACCTAGCTCACTAAGGGGGCACTCACTATCATAACTGCTTGCTGGGATTGTAAGTACGTCAATCGCAGGTTGCGCAACCTCTGGGTACCTCAAGAGTATTGATTGATCGATTAATTGATTGTGGTTTAACGCCATATTTAGAAACTAGAAAGATGCTATGTACCTGAGAAGGCGTAATTAAATGCATTCAAATAAATGACAAGTAAACAGATGAGCGCGTCAACCACGGTCCCACACGTGAACTTGCTGACCAACAAAACCCCTGTATCCAATCGCTGATTGCCTTTCACCATTTTGAGCTGCGTTTCTGTCTTGTGTAATTTTAGAAGCTACCAACATCGATTATATCTGCCCAGCCCCCCTCCACTCTGTAGAGCAGCGTAGCAAGGGAGGCGTCCTATTCTTTTGGTTCGATGATACATCGCTTGCTCTTTGGCAAAGTCATAAAGTATGTGTCAACCTCCATTTCTGCCTTGCTAGACGATCTAGCGCTGGGCGCTGTAACGCCTTTTGTAATCTTCTCAAAAGCAATGGCTGTCGTAGCAATCTGATGTTCTCTATCCTCTTTATCTCCTTATGGGGCTCCTCGTGCAGCACGAGCGTGTAACCATGAATGTTAGTAGTATCCTCGTGTTATTCCGTTTCTGGAGAGGCTAATACACTAGTTGATGGGGAAGAAGATAAGAATATGATTGCTTCTTCTACTGAATACAGCTGATATTTGTTGCGAGTGGCTGAATCCGCTTACGTAGCTGCGTCTACCGAATCAGAAATGCAGCTCTGCGCCACCCCCTCATGATTTAGCAATGGCGTACTTCTAGCTCTGAATATCCCCATCTCCGCAACCCTTCATTCCAAGGTTTTGTTTAATGGTCTCCAATCATGCGTCTTCTTCGATTGGATCCTGAAAAGGCCACATGGATTCTCGAAGACTTCCCAGGACCAGTGACTCCCTTCTACGCTATTCTCTCACATACCTGGGGCCGTGACGAAGATGAGGTGAAGTTTGAAGACATCCAAGATGGACTGCGGTATGAAGGTGATACTAGCAAGCCAGGTTACGACAAACTCCGCTTTTGTCAGGAGAAAGTGGAGAAGGACGGTCTGACATACTTCTGGATAGACACTTGCTGCATCAAGAAGTCGGACAGCGCCGAGTTACAACGATCGCTAGCCTCCATGTTTTACTGGTATCAGAGAGCTGCCAGATGCTACGTGTATCTCTGCGACGTATCCATCGACGATTCTACTGAAGATCCTGAATCCAAATGGGAGCAAGCGTTCTCGAAGAGCAGATGGTTCAAGCGTGGCTGGACGCTTCAAGAACTGATCGCGCCAGGTTCCATTTTCTTTTTCTCCAAAGAGAAAAGCTTTCTAGGCGACAAGAAGGAACTGGTATCTACGATCAGTACCGTTACCCGTATCCCTGGTCCAGCTCTCGAAGGGGTGGAACTTTCGCGCTATAGTCAAAACGACCGGATGTCTTGGACATGGGGCCGCATGACAACAGTCCCAGAAGATGCTGCTTATTGTTTGATCGGTATGTTCGATGTGGAGCTAGACATGAGGTATGCAGATGGCGACTATGACAAGAGGAAGAATGCTGCCATGAAAAGGCTTCGAAAAGCTATCGAAGAGGATGATATCGAACCCGGACAATCACGAGATGTCCTACGGATTGGCGGCGCATCTTGGTTCGACCTGGTTGCATTGAAAGAAGACCAGCTGCGTCAATTAGATCTCGACCTTCAAGAATACCAGAAGTGGCTGCTTGTCGACTTTCCAAAGCAGCTCAAGGCTGCGTCAAGCCTTGCCACTTTTCTCATCACTTTTTCACAGAATGCAGGCAAACGGATGAAGGAATTGCTAGCAAAACATGGGGTCCGTTACCAAGATCTGTCAGATCTTGAAGCTACCGTGAAAGCTTGGGACAAGCCGTGGGCCGTCTACAACGACGAGAGGGCCACTGCTCAAGCTCGAGTGCAGGGGCTGGTGCAAAATCGGTGGTACTGAACGATAAAAAATCAGCAGAACCTCTACACAGTCATCACTGCAGCTAGAACGTTCGAAGATCTGATGATTTGGAGAGGAACGTGGAAGAAGAATTGACCTCGTCGATAGTAAGAAGACGAGTTAAACACCTCGTTGTCGATTGTTCCAAGGTTTATCACCAACTAGCTAGCTGCTTCGCTCGATCAAATCCACCCCGTAGTTGCCTCTCTGGCTTGACCACCTTGCCTTGTAACACCGTGTATCTGATAATGTTCTCGCAGTCCTCAGGCTTCACCCGCGCCAGCCATATGCATTGCGCAGCCTCGCCGTTGCCTTCTGCCTCCTGCTCCTTGTTGGCATCGAACAAGACCTCTTGACCGTTGTCGTCTTCGAGTTTTAGCTCCTCGAGTCGTTTCTCCGCGCCATTGCTGTGTCCATTCACTTTCTCAGGCCGTGAGACGACCGAAGAATGTCGGTACACCATGACATTTGCCGAGAACTTGTGCCCTCCAACGTGACTTATGAAGTATATTCCTACACCGCCTGGCCGCTCGTCGTGCAAGTCGCGGTAAAGTCCCATTGGCCGCAGCAACCGCTCAAACTCTTTCCGTAGTAAAGGTGCCGACTGGCCACAACGCGCGTCTCGCGTTTTTTGACTGCACATCAAGATCAGGTATTTGTGGGGACATGGTCGGGCTTTGAGCTGTGAGGTGGCGGGTAGCGACGGTGGTATCGAGGAGGGGATAGGTTCGGCGGAAGAAGTCTCTTCCGGGGATTTTGGTGGTGGTAACGCCGAAGCTTTGTGGGAGCGCAACGGCATGTTGTTCGTGGGTCCGGGGTTGACAAAGCCGGTGATGAGCTCTGGTATGTTCGCTGGCGTTACATTGTCTATGAACTGCCATGATGGTAGCAGTAGCACCATGGAACTGTGATCTGAGTGGTCTGGGACGGGTATGTTCGAGGCGGATAGCATGAGTTTCTATGCACAGTCAGCGATAACACTTGATATAGCCGCAAGACGTGCGACTAGGCAATGTCTCCCACTCACCCCGTTGCTAGGCTTCGCATCTCCTCTGTCGACCGCCTCCATAATGCTGCCCTTTTCATCTGCAACATCGCGTACCCAATCCGTCTTGCCAGTCGCAACGATAAGATGCGTACTCCATCCTTTCACGTGCCCGTACAGTTCCTCCGTCTCGTCAATTTCGAACTTTCGCGGGTATTTGACACTGCAACTGGCGCAGTCGTGCAGACAATCGTCTCCATCTACCGCGGGGTCAGTGGTCGGGAACAACTCCTCCGTCTTCTTGGCCTTGGTGAACTCGTCGCTGTCCTTGTTGACTGTAGGAACTTCAGACGACGACAATGCCGACGTCAGTTTGTAGGAGAGGTTTCGCAACATTGCAGGGACTCGGTATGCGTTTATCGGCCTGTGGGGCGTCTTGGAAGGTGCCATGGCAACTTTATATCAGATGTGGAGATTAGATCGCCAAGGCGCGGAATGTGGGCGCGATGATGACGCCGTTGCTTAGTAGTCGTTGACGGTACCTGGAATGGATGCAAAGTCGCCCGTTGTCGCCCGCTGTAGCCTAAACTGAACGACAACGATATCGAGAAGCTGTTCTTATTGCTCGCTCACCAAGAAGCTGACCGCTCCTTATATTGCTTTTGGTGTTCCGGTGAATTGTATCGGCCCTCGGAGCTCGCACCATCAGATAACGCGACAGACGCTCGGATTTACCGTTCTACGAGGCCGGACTTCCTCACTTTCTCCGACTCTTCCAAAGAGCAACCTCTACTCGGCTCCACCTACGTAAGCACCGCTCGCACCTCCCCTACGCTAGTCGCATATGGATAAAACTTCTGTCCTGGCGAACCGTTGCCTTGTCGCCGTAGCTTCTGCCTGATACGCGTCTCAACAACACGTACGCGTAGACGCGTCAGTCGCGCAGTATGCGGCTCAAAATGCTCAATGGGGCGCCATTGCGCGGATACCTAACCTTTGACGATGATCAGCTCCTGCCAGTCGAGGAGTGTCGTCTTTTTGATGCTGCAAGCAGTACACTCTCATCTACTAATGACTCGACACCAGTCATCAAATGGCGTGGTATCTCGTTCGGAGACTCCCGACTTCGAACCGGATGGTCACAGCCTATTCTTCCAGATTGTAGCCCAGGTCGCGATATGTCAGATCTCTCGCTCCCCAACGTGAAGGAATCCGTTTCATTTCTGCCAGAAGACACAACCAGTCTGGAGTCCAAGATCACCTTCGAAGATCCCTCATTGGCTACGAATAGCTTCCTTGAGCAGTCGCTCATGTTCCACGATACGTTGTTATCGTCCCAAGTCCTACCCGATGACATGACTGATAAGACTATCAGCTCGTCATCCTTCCTGACTACTTCCTTCGGAACTACGGCATCTGACCTCAGTAGCCCAAGCAAGGTCGGTGAGCATACTGTGAACATCCAGGTTCCACCCAAGATGGCCACCACACCCCTTGGGTCGCTTCCCAGTGCACAGCGCTTGCGGGCGATCTACCCGCAAACGCCTACGCCGAATTTCCTATGCGCTGTGACGGCAACTCCCGAACAGAAAGAAGTCTTTGTGCGCAAAGGTGGATACAAGATGAAGCTATGGGAGATCATTGTCGCCGACGATACACGCTCAAACTTCAAGGTGACGTTCTGGCTACGTCCACCTCGAGAGTCAAACAACGAGCAAGATCATGTTCAAAACTTGCTCCTTCAAATACTTAAGAGCATCAAAGTTGGCGACATTCTTCTTCTGCGGAACATTGCGCTGACGTCCTTCGGCGACAACGTTTTTGGCCAATCTCTGAACCCAACTATTGCACGCGCACGAACAAGCATCGACGTCTTGACAAAAATTGGCGCCGGTTCATCTGCTCAGCTAGGTGGACTACCCGCGCCAGTAGCTGAGACCCTCAAAAGGGTCAAGAAATGGGCAAAGATGCATATCGCTTCTGATACTGCAGGCTCAAGGAAGAGAAAAGGAAGCGCTGCAAAGCAAGGAAAATACACGAAACGGACTTATCGAAGTTTTGATGTCGATGATTCGATGCCTCCCGATACTATGGAAAGTGTATAAAGTGCATTCCCCACAACTTCACGATGAGACCAGATTTGCCGGTTAGCAATCACCACGTGCCGATAACAATTGTCGCATGTTTCACCTCCATCCGTCACTCCCGATTTTGGCAGGTGCCTGAATTTCGGCTGCTCGTCAATTCGCTCTTCGTGGTTGTCGCACCATGCCGCGGTGGCCTGTGCTGCAGCCCTGCCATCTTAGACAATCAACATCGCACACCTTCTCCACGTCACAGCCACAATCAGTATACCGCTCCGAGGAGAGACGGTCGGCTCGTAGCAAACTTTTGTTACACACTCGCTCGATGGAGATGGAGTGCCCTTACCATCTGCTTCATCCACCTGCACACATCTTGGGCTACGTGTTTGTCATAATCACATCGACCGACAAGTGCAGTGGTGATGGAGCTTTGCAGTTCAGAATCTCCATTTGAAGGTATCCCACGATAAATCCGCTTGGTGTTCTGGCTGTCTGTCATTCGCGCTCCACCGTCCTTGGCATTTTATGCGTAGAAACCAAACATGTTTCGAACATCACCTTACTTGCAAGGATACACCGGGAAACAGTGGTGCATGTGCCGCGACAAATGCATATTGAGAAGATGTGGATAGTCCTACGCATGAAGTATCTGTGGTACAGCCCGGTACGTCACGCACACGGAGCGGGGCAGTGGGTTGTGCGAATAGCCGTTCATCTTACTGGCATCTTATATACCCGATCATGTCGCTGTTCAGTTGCACACCACAGCATCGCTCGTCCAGTCTTTCTTTCAGTCCTAGTGACATTCAGTCTTTTCCCCAGCAACTTGTTGCATCTTCATTCTTTCAGATCTTGACGATCTCTTCCTTTCGTTACCGGCTGTGCCATCATGCATTCATTCTTTTCTACACTCACTGGTCTTGCTTCCTTGCTCTCGTTACTCGGAAATGTACAGGCTTTATCCAACTCAACGAACGGCCCCTCGTGCGGAGTCGCCAAAGCAGACGACAGCTCCTACTTCAGTGTTGTTGGAGTCCAGGGAACTGGAGTATACCCGCGACAGGAGCTCCGTGAGCTTGAGAAAGACACGGAACTATGGAACATCTTTATCCAGGCGTTTGCTCGCTTCCAGGCTATGGACCAGAGTCAAAAGACCTCTTTCTACCAGGTTGCAGGTATGCATTCCCCGCTACTACTAGAGAGCTTCACTGACATTCGCTAGGGATACACGGAGTGCCCTTCAAACAATGGGACGGCGTAAATGGAACAGCTGGTCAAGAGATGATGGGCTACTGCCCCCATACGTCTAGCATGTTTGGTCCCTGGCACCGACCGTATCTTGCGCTGTTCGAGCAGGTTCTCCATGATCGCGCTGTAGACGTTGCCAATGAGTATCCTATTGGCGAGGCCCGTAACAAGGCCTTGGACATCGCCAAACGCGTGCGCCTTCCATACTGGGATTGGGCGATGGATCCGCCGAACGCCCAGGAAGGCGTCGTACCTGAAAGTGTGCGTTGCCGAACGCAAACTGTCACTTTCCCCAATGGCACTAAAGCGGACATCCCGAACCCGCTATATCGATACGATTTCCATCCTTTGAAGTACGATGACTTTGCTCCTTTGAGCGAATTCGAGTTCAAGTACTGGAACCACACTATTCGGTACCCACTTGATCCGCATGCTGCCAATGCTACTAGCCGTAACAGCGATGTCAACGCGCGAGTCGGCAAACAGCAACCCAACCTTCGCGATATGCTTTACAAGTTGTTGACGACCTACCAGCCGTTCAGTCAAGTAAGCAACAAGGCGAATGGCGGCAAGATCGGGAATTTCGAGACACTTCACGATGGTCTGCACAACGTGTTCGGATTGGGTCATATGGGTATTGTAGAGGTTTCGGCGTTTGACCCTATTTTCTGGTTCCATCATTGTAACATTGATCGAATCATGACCATATATCAAACCCGTTATCCTGATACTTGGATGGAAGACGCTGTACAGCATTCAGGCACGTTCGCCGTCGCTCGGGGTAGCGTTATCGGAACTGCTTCGCCACTAGCACCGTTCCATATGAATGCTCTCGGCGATATGTGGACTGCCACCACTTCGCGCAACTGGACTTCCTTTGGATACACCTACCCTGAGGTTGCCAACAACCCTAGCAACGCAACACTGACATCTTCCATCAACAACTTGTACAAGGCTCATACTCAGGGCTTGAGCGACACCAACTCGACAGTTCCAGCTCCAGGCGGTGGCACGAACAACCGTACGACACAGGCCATTGACTGGCAATGTGAAGTCAACATGCCAACCGATATCAAGATATCCTACTCCGTTCGCGCCTTCCTTGGTGAACCCAGCTCCAACCCGATTGACTGGCCTACGGATCCCAACTACGTTGGTCAGCTTGCATCCATGTCTTCTCCACGAATGAGTTCCTCGGTCATCGTCACAGGTAACATCGGCCTGACTGAGAAGCTTGCGCAAAAGCATGCCTCCGGCGAGCTCAAGAGCCTGGACAAGGAAACCGTGCAAGCCTACCTGAAGGAGAAGTTCAGCTGGCGCATTCAGGCTCTGGACTTCAGCGAGATCCCACGTAACAAGCCACCGGCCGGCTTGAACGTCACCGTCTTCAACGTGCCAGTCAGCATCCCAGAGTCCGACACCGAAGTGCCTACCTGGAACGGCGATGTCGAATACAACGACGACATCGAAGGCAACCCGCCCGTATATGATGGACCTGGTCCTGACGGCACGAACTCGACTCTCCCTGCTGACGAGGCGAGTGGATCGTACAATGTTGGCACCGGCGAATTTGAGTGGAAGAAAGCACCGGATGTTGCGCCAGTGCCGGCGGATCCCAAGACTGAAACTAGGCTCTTGGAGTCTGTCATCACGCAGTATGTGACACTTGGTGCTTCTCCTACCCAGACGTCCACGCCGATGTCGACGGCTATTCAGGTTTCTAGCAAGATGATCGTGTCAGAGGCGCCTGTATCTACTGCGCCCACTGTCTCGGAGCAAGCGCCTGAACCAACTGCGCCCGCTGACCCGAGGACTACGGTTGTGACTTCTGTGATCATGGAGTATGTCACTGTATAGGCGGTCAGGATATCAGCTTGATCTTGATCTTGATCTAGTTGTCGTTGGCTACATTCCGATCCTTTTCCCTCGGTCTTCCTGTATAAGGCTCTTCTCACGCTTGTGTGCACTTGCACTAACACACTCATTTCATGTTCATGTATATACACCATCACATTCGTTTTATGTCGCTGTACATACATCATAACGCTTTACGCATCACGCTCATGTTGCTGCGTACGCAGAAAAAATCAACTTTTCTGTTGCTATCCTCTCTTGCGCGCGTGTCGTTTGTTAGCATCATCTCTTATGCCTGTCCCGCTTGACTAGTCTCCATTTAGGCTCATCCACCTATTGTGCACCAAAAAAGATATGGAAACCAAATAACAAGAGCTCTTGCACCCGCTCATACTCAGGGTTTCCAGCAAATGGATCCTAGCGTGTCTTTCTCTGCAGATCGTATGGTCTAGACTCAACCTACCCACCATGCCAGCCTTTAGTCCACTACTAAAACACAGAAGCGTAGGCCTAACGGTATCAATTCATGTATCCCACATAGGGAGATGGCGGGTATGCTGAAAGCCCAAGCTGCCTATCACAGTTCGTTATTGTTACTGCTGAATACCATCATGCACCCACTATGTTTTGAATGCACATGCATCCGCGACAACAAGAGATCCACAAGCAGAAAGACTCATGCGGTAAAGTGCGAATTAAACATATTGAATTAGCCGGTAAGTAGATGCTGCATTGTTGTCTTCTGCTGCGCTTGCGGGCATGGAGAGACAACAGCCTACCGAGGTCTGCTCGCGACGACTGCAAGTTTGCGACCCTATCACGGTTGCCAGTGCAGATATATGAGGCATTGTAACGCACCTCCCCAAATGGAAAGAGACTTGCAAGCGGCTTGCAGTATTCATGATGCGCCAATTATGTTGCGTCGAGACCAATGTGATCGCAAAGGTGACTACCTAGGTACCCAACGTGCTTAGCGCACCTGACTTGTTGCTAACAACGCCAACACGTTATTTGGCATATGTATCGAGGGATAATGTCATGCAAGTTTCGGGCTATCTTTATACTCATATCATGTACTATTGAACTATGATGTTGTTGAGCGCGTAAAATGTCAACATCGATCGGACGTAAACACCGCCTGCCGCCACCGCTGCCTCCACCCCGCCCGATTCTTGAGCGACAGGTAAAGAACGAAGTATCGCACGCACTCCATCTTCCCCTTCTGAATTCACGCAATGCAATGTTCACGTTGACATGAATAGTAGCATCACCTTTTGGTCTAGATAGCATCTTGGGCTGATAGTAAGAGCAGATACATGATGCGCATACACCGCACAGCAAACCGCTTACCGTTACTTTCCGTAATGATGAACTTTCGCATCAATTGTACCACACTTGCGCATGTTCAAGGGTTATACTGGTCAGCCATGAGGCCGATCTGGTCCTATGCCGGACTTCCAAGACCTTTCGAGACAGTAGTAGTAAGGGTCATGCCAACATATAGCCATCTTCAGAGATATATTGCCCTTGGGCAGGTCTATTACGCAGTCTAGATAGTTAGAAACTGACCAATCGGTGCATATAGAGAGCTGACTATCTTTGTAGTGAAGTGATCACTTCCAAGGTCCTTCTGTTCTTTGGGGACGTCACAGGTGACAACAAAGCTAGACGTTCTGCCATGTCATTAGATACCAACTCGCACAGAACCATGGCCATTGCCCATCACTCAAACCAGGTGTGATGAGAACCCGCTGACAAAAGCAAGCTCATCGGTAGTACAAGCTACAAGTGGTTAGGACGAAGATGATAAGTAAGGCCACAAACAATCCCGCCGGCATCTGTAGGTGATTCTGGCTCGTGGAAAAAGGGACAGATCGCAGAACGCATGGTGGACAACGCGTCAGAATGATCAAGTACACAGTGCATGGATCTGCTCATCGAGTTTGAATGGAAAGAGCTGGACGATACAAAAGGTACCTAGGTAGCACTTGTTTAACGCACGAAGAATTCTGCTAAACCACTCTCCATAGAGTGCGTTAGTCATGAAAAGACCGAAAATTGTATTTTGGTATTGTTTTTGGAGGTAAGTGGGTAAAACATGTCAGAAGCATTTGCATACCGTACGGCCCGGAGGGGGGTTTTAGTCACGTAGATGTCGCTATATTAAAGTTAGACAGTGTGCAGACACTGCGTTAAATTACTAACACTGCATAGAGGCTCTGTTAACATTACTTCAATACTATTCTAGTGAAATGAAGCGACAACTACGTGACTAAAACCCCCCTCCGCGCGCTATAGTATTCTAACCTGTCTAACAGAGTCACCGCAACCGCCCGAACCGTATCCATGTAAGTCGAAGTGCTACCAATATGCACCAAAGCATGCCATGAGTCACAATAGTCAGACCAATCCATGCTTTCCGCTGGCCACACGCCAAGCTCATGCCCAAGCATCGATCCCTCCAATGATCGCGCAACTGCAGCCACTGTATACTATATTCACACTGGGCACGGCAAGAAAGACCGCGGTCTGATCGAGCCAGTAAGAGCAGACCATGTCTGCCTCCTGATTGCTAGGAGCTGCTATTCGCAGCTCTTCCTCTGCCCACAGGAGCTCAAAACGGCGTAGATGCTCAGCGCACCACATCAAGACTAGGAACTTGTATCGATCCTGCAATAGCATGTTTCCCAGCGTAGTTTGACCTACTAACTATTTCGTGTATTTTGAAACAGTCTGGCACAGCCCACCCACATAGTGCCAAGTTGACCAACTAGCTTTGAGACGACCTGGGTCGCACATACGTCCATTATTACATCCAGAAGATCATGGACGCTCTGGAGTCAAAGCTCATTGAGCATGGTCAATCTCGTATTGCTCACTCCCATCTCCCTGCCAACAATCTGGTGCTACTAGACTGGATGATTGACCGTTTTGATGGGACTGTGGACCTCTCCCTTGCTTCGTCAGAACCTTGGAGCGAATGCAGGCCAGGCCAAATCGAGAAAAAGATAACCCCGACAATACACAGGTATTGAGTAAACAACCCAGGAATAATTTACAGCAGCCATGGTCTAATGATCTCCAATGCGGCGTATGTCCTGGTCAGCGCATGGAGCCATTTCATAGCAATCGTCAGATCAATGCATAACTCTGCGCTTGCTCCAGCCCGTAGCCCCGGTAGGAGACGCTATGACCAAGACTAGGCAGCCACCTCACGAAACACTTGAAGCTTTGGCCACCGCTACATAGCCTTACAGATTGACCGGGGAGGCGTAAAGGATTCAGGCTGGCGTTTGAGCCACAGACTATGCAGCTCTGGTTGCTCTAAATCTAAACCTTCCTGGTAAACAAGGCCGCGGCTGGGTCTACTAAGTTTCCACAGATCTGCACGTTGCGATTGAGCGGCATGCTGAACATGGGGTGTATATATGCGCGTCTCTTCTCGAGGAGCCGATCAGCGGGCTGAAAGTCCGCAGTGTCACACCGTAGAGACTGTGCGTCCAAGGCACCTTCAGCCCTTCCGCTTTCCCCGTCCGCGGCGCCAGGGGATCTCGGGACGCAGAATCCTTCACATTCTGATTGGATAGGACCAAAGCTGTTGAGTCACACTCGGGCCATCAATCCAAGGGTAATGAAATCATTTTGGAGGCTCCCTCTGGTTTGGAAACTCATAGCATGCTCTAGACATCGCTTGGCACAATGCCGGTACAACCGTTTGCTACGGCGTTTGATCATGAACATCAATCGGAAAGCATGCGAACCAATCATAGATGCAAAGCCGGACGTCGTTATGAAAGTACCAAGAGATACCGTTCCACTTTTCTTCACACTGAATGATGCATCGGGCGCCGGCGGGTCGATTGCGGCGTCACCTTGCAATCGTCAGAAGGTTCATGCTCAGGGACGTTATGTGATTGTAACCTAGAATCTTCCTACTCCACATGTTCAATTTGACCAAACTCCTCTATCGAATGTACCAATGTGAAAAAGAGAGAACTCAAGGAAAATAGCTCATTATAGGCCACCGTCATTGGCTTCCTCATTCTGTACCAGGTTTGAAGGCGGCAGCTAAGGAAAAGGAACTTCGCGATGCAGGAAGCAGTTTCCCTTCCCGATTTGCTGGCCATCGAACAAAGAATTTCAAGTCTCTACCGATTATCTCGATCTGGAGGAGCACCTCTACGCGGATCTTCAAGTCTTGCGTAGACAACCCTTTCTCTTTGTGGGCTTTGACATGATGCTCTTTGAGATCGGTCACATCAAAGACAACCTTGCCTAGTTGCGTAGTCCTTCCTAGAAGAAGTGCATGAGCATCGTGGTATATTGTAGCGATAAAATTTTCACTAACCTTTGTTGTGTTTGGATGTGCGCTGCCAGTAGTCCTCCGTGCAACTGTCCGATATGAAGAGGAGCTCTTGTCCTTTCCAGTACCTTGTGTCCTCTGAGAATAGATGCCGGACCACAGCTTCGACTCGGTGTACGCGCGGGATCACATCGTGGCCCTGAGAAAAGAAGTCAGTCTACGTGACAGCCGGCCTGTGCAGAGCTCATGCGTACTTTTTTGAGGATCCACAGAATCGTGTTCTTGATGACATATTCCCCTTCTCCATCTTTCTGTGCCTTCTGTTTGGTGATGCATGGATCTGTGGAGTCTTCTTCCCAATTGATGTGGCGATAGATCCCAATACTCTGAGTCGGGATACGTTCCGGTCCAAGCTGTTTGTTTTGGGCTCGCATGATAGCACCCATAGCTATCGCAGAAGCTCCTTTGTTACTGGTAGTATGAGTTAGCGATAACAATGCCAATGAAATAAGAGTGTTCCTGGTGCGCAACATACGCGAGAGCGAACTTCATGTCAATCAGGGAGCCATTTCTGTGGTTGAATGAATTCAGCCATATTCGAAGGTACTCTCTCAAGGCTGGAGAGTCTCCGAATCCACCAATTACGACAATGGAATCAACCACAATGTTTTTCGTAGAGGCGGATGATATCTGTTCCTCCATAAGATCTCGGATGATCTCTAATGAAGGTTTGAAAATGTCCCACATGTCGTCGCTTGGTTGATCAGCGGAAAGACTTTTGTAACAGGATATGTAAACCACTTACTAGTCCAATACGTAACGCCCATCCAATAGGCGTCGGTTATTGTGTGATGCTCGGAGACCCAGGAGTGGAAATCTGAAGCGCTGGGATCTGTTACGCCACTGAAAGGACCTTTTGTGTTCGTTTTCAAATTTTGGCATGATGTAATCGTCGACAATGGCTTCGATAGTTCCCGTTGCGGCGAGGTATTCCTGATCGCGAAGATCGGATAGCGCAAACGCTCGCATTCGCTCATTAAGATCGCTTGATCCACACATGGCCCCTAAGATATAGTCAGTTTCCGCTTCCCCTTCGTGTTTTTGAGGATTCATCTACCGGAAGGAGGGTTTATCTCTTTTTCGAGGCGTAAGGGTTCAACTTCCGTTGTTCGATATAGGCCAAGGTCTGTTGTGCCCCCGCCGCTGTCGACAAGAAGAAACACTCCCAAACGCTGATCATGTTAGCATGTTTGTCCTTGAAAATAGAACGCATTCACATACCTTGATAACGCCATCGCGCTGATTAGATTCAAGGGCGTATGAAGCTCCTGCCTCAGCTTCGTTCACCATGAATAGGTTGACTGTTGAACCACGTTGATCTCGGATCAAACCAAATCCAGATTCTTGCATTGCTGATTCGATGCATTTGCTCATCAACGCATTCGCCATGGTGCTCCAGCAAACCGGTACAGAGAACGTAAGTTCAACTAGACTTATGTGTTAGCAAGAGCGATAGAAAACTGCCAGGCCGCACTGTCACATACCAGATTTATCATCGATGAAGCTGTCAGCCATCTCCAGAGTTTGCTTGATGTGGTGGAAATAATATATCAATATGTGTCGTATGATATCATGCTCGGATTCTATCAAGCAATGAGCTTTAAGTTTCTGTACTTCCTTCGCAACATCACCCTTAGCATCCCGAGTCCAGGCACAACCCGTATCGTCAAGAAGCAGCTTCATTCGCCTGACGTGAGCAACAATTCTGTCATTGGGTTTCAATTCGTCCTGCCAGCTTTGTGCTTTGTAACCGTGCAGCCTGGAAGCAAGGCTATAGACACTTTCCGTTGGAACTTGCCTGTAGTCGGATTGTTGACAAGAATCTCCATCCCACTGGTCAATGGTGTGAATCGTCGGATCACCCTTTCTAGCAAACGCAACGCTAGTATATGTCGTGCCGAAATCGAGCGCAATACGGTAGTCGGGTTCAGTGGGTCGGTCAGTGACCATGACTGATGGCTGAGTAGCTTCGGATGTCTGGCGTGCAATGTTGTGAGCGGCTTTCATCCTTTTTACGGAGTCTCGCAGAATGGTGTTATCAGCGCCAGAGTCTGGCATGTTGGATACTTGCGGAACCAAGCATGGGTGGGAGGTGCGTCGCTTCTTGGGCCGTCTTATCTTGAGTGTGACAAAGTTCTCGTTGACTGGACGTCTAATGATTCTTCCCTTTGATGATTTGACATCCGACATGTCTTCAGCCATCGCGTCTCAGAAGTGATGGACAGCAGGTCGTGTTCATGAGAGGAAGAAGTAGATAGGCCCGTCAACTCTGTGGGAAGGTACGCTAGGAAATACTGTACCTAAAGTACCGCTATACCTAATTAAAGTATCAGCTGCACCTAGGAACTGGGTGGTGTCCTCGGACCTAAAATATTTGCAAGATTGGCACGCGTATCATAGCAGCGTCTGCACCATTGGCGTCTGGCACGTCACTAGCTCAATACGATACGCCACTCGAGCTTGGACCGATATGTATGACTGGTGTTATGCATCTCTTCTCGGTTCTCAAATTTATCCTTGTTATCATCGAAGCAGTTGTCTTTGGACAACGCATGATGCAAGTTAGTCCCCAATGTTTCAAAAATCCGTATCGCAGCTGCTCTTTTGGTTCTGTGATGAAGCTGCATATCGGATTATGTTGCTTGGATCGCTGTGGCGTAGTTGAATTCGCCTGAAACAAGGCAACCGACAAGCACCCCGGCCGATCAAGGGCTAACATTGGTCGATATTGCTACATTGTCAGGGGCAACGTTTCCGGAAGGATTCGCGAAAACTTCAAATGAGAGCGATAAAATTATTACACCGTTTAGACTTATCATTTCCGTTATGTGCCTGGCCTTCGGTTAGGCACTCGTCCTTCTCTTCTGTGTTGCCAAGAACACCCAAGTGTTTTCTTCCTTCTGGCTGCTTTCTCAGCGCCCAATCCCCATTCCCCATGGAACTCCGTTCATCGTCCTGCATTCTTGTTACATATCACATTGTATCGTCGTGATGAAGAAATACTTTCGATGGACGGACGACGAAACAGTGGTGGTGTTGAATCACATTGATTGGTGCCTTGTCAACAAACAGGATTACTGGCAGACGATACACAGCAAGTTCAACGAGGAGACCGGTCGAGTGCCCGATGAGTCGCAGATTGTGACCCGTCTCAAGGCTATCTGTAAAGAGCAGACCCCGAGAATCAATTACAAGCATTTGATAGACCACGGTACTGTGGTACTGGAGGACGCCACGATAGCCGGGCCCATCTTAGAGGCCATGAAATACGGTAGAGAGAATCTGAGCCTCGACGTCTTGGAGAAACGTAGAAAAGAGATTCCACCATCGCAGGCCGGCTTATCGCAGGCAAGTACATCTAAAGATGTTTTGAGGATGTTTCTTAACGTTAAGCAGCGCAGCAAACGGCAGACAAAGAAGAAGCGTCGATTGACTAATCACCGACATTCGTTGCATGATAGACCTTCTGGCTCAAGAGAGAACAGTGGTCTCATCATCCATCACAGTCAGGTCGATCGAAAACGAAAACGTGCAGACAGCGTTCCTCACAATGACATCGCGTCCTCTCTAGACCTTTCCAACCCCGAGACTGTGACATTGGGGATGACGACAGAATCAGACCTACCAGCGCAACTCGGAAGTTCGGAATCGGGAAATACTGTATCGCACCTACACAAACGGCTGGAGGCCCTTGAAGGGGAAGTCAAGTCCATGTCCGAACTGGGACAGAACACAGAACAAGCATTGAAGATGGCTATCCAATGCATAACTTGGGTCTTTCGGGAGCAAGTTGGACCTAAGAACAAGATACCTGAAGAGATCTTCTCAACAATGCAGCTTGTTGAGAGAACCATCAAACGGGATCCGAGCGATGCTTTGGATAGGCTTATCAAGGACTTGCAGCAAGCGAACGTCGTTCGCCAGCGATATCAAGAAACCGTCAGAGATCTGATTGGGTCACGCGACTACGCGAAAAAGGTAGGATTTCCACCACTGCCTCTCCCATCTGAGCTCGCTGAAGATTGGCGTCGCATTCGATCACCACTGAAAGAAACCATGGTGGGCACTGGAGCACATGTTTCGCGTATGAAATTGGCTATGACTGGCTCTTTCTCGAACACACATCTGGATGATCTTGCCAAATGCAGGGAGGGGGGAGCATACGAAGCACAACCGTGGATATCTACACGTCAATTGTATCTGGACAATCCGACCGCAGCGCAGCATCTACTGGCAGTTGTCTTGTGCCAGTTGCTGTTCTGCGGGACTGAGACCATGTGCGAAGTGACGCCTGCAAGTCGCGCGTTCCAGATTTATAGAACTGTAACAGGTACGTTCTGACACGTGATGGCATCTCATATCTACAACTGACCTTTTGCTTCCAGAAGACAGAGAAGAGATAAGGCGTATCGACACAATTGCCTTCCAGCTTTTCACCAACCAGCCTTCCTTCGTGACCGAGGTCCTTCCAGATCGTATCCAGAAAATGCGAGAATGCCTTGAAGCCTGCGCTAGAGAATTCACCACTGGTGTTAGCTGCAACTCTCCATTTCGTCATCTCGATTTCATGTCGGTTGAAGCGGTCAAACATGCCCTCAGCCTAAAACGAGCACTGATGTTGAGCGTTTTCGAATATGAAATCCATTTCGCTACTCCTGGAATGGACTTCGATCCAGTTTGGATGGATGCAGAGGATGATAATGGTGTCAGCTTGGACCCGCTAACATGTGCTAAAATGAAAGTATCAATTTGCGTGTTCCCTGGACTTGTGCAGGCACCAACGAAGAAGCTGCCTGGAGACGCCGACGTCTCTGCAGCACTATTGCAGGCGAAGAGCTTCTTTCCTCCGCCTCAAAAGGCATGCCCATCTCTGGAACATGACATAATCATCGCGAAGGCTATTGTGTTGGTGCACGACGAAAACATCGACGCTACCTAGACTGAGCACATATATGAAAGACTTTGACGGGCGAGGAGGGTAGGGAATGCCTTGTTATGTCTGCGTTGCTCGGGAGTATATGGAGTTTATTGGTTTGGGTAATAGTCCTTGTCGTAGTAATGAATTCGAAATTTCGATACCCTTTGCTTGTACCAAGTCCCCTTTGCTTGGTTATCTTGTGGTCGAGATAGGTATCCCAAGAACCCAGATGTGAACGGGGAAGGCGCGATGGGAAGGTCCCGTTGTGCTCAGAACTATAACAGAGTTGCAGATCGCTCCAGGCGACGGAGCTGTGGCATTGGATAGGCTGAATGTTTCTTAGCGCGCGTTATCGTAGCAGGCTGTTCTAGGCTTCTTAACGAGGTTGTGCATCAAACTGTGTACAAGCACCATCTACTGGCAATCGACTCACAATTGTTAGGCCAAGGCATTGCTTCTATTAGCGGACTGAGGCTAAAGGGTGTGAGCCATCCTTTGGCATCAAGTGTCCGAATGATACCTTCTAAGAGGAGTATGTGGTATCAATGCGCTGGGTAGGCGCTTCCAACAAAGCGTTATATCTGTCTGCTTCGACTGATCTCACACTTGATAGCTACGTCGAATGCCAGCCTTTCTTACTTATATCGAATCGCCTTGGAGAGGTCAGATCGTTTACATGGTGAGGAGTCTTGAGAACGATATGCTTGGGCGTGTGTCTTTGCGCTGAGCAGGTGACTCTGCAACTACTACCTAGGTATGCTTGTGGCCAGTACCCTGGCACAGACCGAGGCCATAGTGTCTTGTGTACCCACGAACACGAACAACAGGGACTACATTAATCGCGCAGACATAGCGGCGCAGCTACGGAGGCATGGACCCTATTGCCTGTGCGCGCCATGGGTCACGAGTCTGAGCAGGATACTAAGGCATTCATTGTAATTACTAACACTGTTCCTCCGTTGGTGTGCGAGCTTTTCGTTACCACTACGTCTTCTCCCGGCGCTCCTGTTTCTTATAGATTTGCGTCGTTGTCCTGTGCGCGACTCGGTCTGCGGCCGCTACTCGTTGGTGGCAAGGATGGGTGGTGAAGATAACGATGGTTTAGAGGGAGATGACAAGTACATCTATACTGGCTGAACTATTTTAGAGGGCGTCTACCGCGGGTTGGCTGATTGCGGGGTTGTAATTGAGATTCTAGGAGTAGCTTGTCGAGGGCTGAGGCAGCTGATTCGAGCGCATAGCATCGTGAACACGATGTGTTGCGACTGTACAATCTGGAACGGTTTTACTTTCCTATCGCTCCAAGAGGCGTCAATCAGACAGTTGATATCATTACGTAGCTGTAGACAAGCAAGCGAAGACTAACACTGCTGGAATTGGCGGCCTGTTATGTGTTCCCGTTAGCAGGCGTCTAGGTGTCTTCGAAAACGCAGGAAAAGGCACCGCTCATCCACTTCACACATTTCGAGAATGCTCGATGGAATTGCGCTATCGTGTCCTTAACGAACAAAGGAATGGAAGCTGTGCAAGATGCCCATGTTCGTTGTGTGTGCATACAGCTCCGGACAGAACACGCCCTCATGCCAACGCGTGGTGAGGTAGAGCTTCACCAGCCGGTGGTTCGACCAATCAGCTGTTACGTCACCCCCAGCATACCGCCTCTGATGGAATGGCAGACGAAAGACATCCTTGGAGCCTTGCGCATCTAACGAACATGGCTGTTACTTGCTTGCGCTTTATCCTGCCCTACGAACAATCGATCACCGTCGTGGTGGGGTCCACGAGAGCCGCGCAATCAGCTGGTGTCCATCTCTCGTTGCCGCAGGGCTAGGTACCGTCAACACCTCCTACCGCACTGCCACTCCTACAAACGAATGCAAGCCTTGCCATCTATGTTCGCTCCATCACAGGTGCATAAAGAATCAAATTGTTGGCTTCTACAGTTATGTCTGCTTCACATCTGGTCGGATCCTCTTGTATGCTAGCTTGTTTTAACACGCTTGGGTGAAGGCACATCTGCAGAAGTCCAACGAAATAGTCCAGCCAGCAAAGACGAAAGCTCTCTCTCAGACTTACTATACATGGCCAGAATCTTGCTTCCTCTCCTCAAGATGCTGCTTCCCTTGCTCTTCCTGATCTAATGGTTTGTCTTTGATAAACCAAGAAACGATGAATCCAACCACAGCAGTAGCGGTCACCATCCACAAGACCCCGAAGATAGATTTCCTGTAAGCCTCAATGACCCTGCCCAGTACATCCGCCGGCACCTCAACACGCCTCAAGAGCGTCACAAAGCCGACCGCTTCTCTCACATCATGGAGCGCAGCCAGCTGGCCAGGTAGTGGCTGCAAGCTTGCGATGTTGTTGGCGAAGATCGAGTTGAAGATGGTTGACGATATAGACAGTCCTATGAGACCACCAAAGAGGCGGAAAGAACACAAGATGCCGGCCGCAAAACCCATGTCATCGACAGGCACACTGGCCTGGAGCGGCAGGTTCAGTACAGACCAAAAAGGGCCGATACCGATACCAAGAAGCACCTGGAATGACTCCATCTCTGCCAATGTGGAGGAACGATCCAAAAGTGTAAGAACACCTGCACCCACGGCCATAAAGATCCAGCTGATGATTATCATGAGTTTGTACTTGCGCATGATTTCGACTGCGACTGCAGACGCAACTGCCGTGGCAATAGCTAGAAAGCAGACTGGCAAAGTCAAGACAGCTGCTGGCAATGGCCCTTTAAGGTATACGGCTTGGAAGAACAACGGGATATATAGAGTGATGCTGTAATTTACAACGCCGTGCAGAAAGGCTGCAAGCAATGTGAGGGACGCGGTGCGGTCGCTGAACATCCGGTATGGTAGGACTGGCTCGATGGGCGTTTTCTCGTAATGCAGAAATGCGATCAACACAATCAACCCTAGTATAAGAGGGACAAGAGTTTTGTATGAAGACCATGGAAACATGCCACCGGCCCATGCAATTGGTGAGGCGAACAACGTGCAGCCGATAGTGAACAGGACGATTCCAATCCAATCCAAGCGACGTAGCTTCACACGTAGTGGCTGGTCAATTGTCTTCAGCCTCATGAAGATAATCGCCAATACTAGTCCGATGGTGGACAATGGTAGGTTGATCCAACCGATCCACCTCCATGTGACATTCTGACTGAACACACCACCAAGAACAGGACCAAGGACAGTGCCTGCCAACATGGGTATCGAGAAGTATCCGAGGTACATTGGTCGTTCTTTCAACGTCGTGATATCAGCCAGGATGATCTCGTTGAGGACGTCTAAGCCGCCAGCACCAAAGCCTTGCAGTGTTCGGCCTGCAATCAGCACAGCCATGCTTCGACTTAGGCCGAAAACAATGGACCCGGCGATGAAGAATATGTACGAGATGTACAAGGGCATTTTGCGACCCATGACATTGGAGACACTGGTGTAGAGTGGTTGGACGATGACTACCGCCAGTAAGAAGGATATGCTGGCCCAGAAGCCTTCCAGGGTTGACCCGTCGAGCTCATGAACTATGGACTACATTGGTATCAGTACTTCAGCAGTGTATCACCTCGACGAAGGATCTTACAGGAATTGCGACACCAAGTACCGTGGCATCAAGAGCGCAGATGAAACCCATGATCAAAAGGGAGAGGAACGACATATGAAATGCCAGTGATTTGCCACGCCGCGGCTCTTGAGGTGTCGATACATAACTGTGGACTTGGTTGTGTTTGTCGCCGCTGCGATGGCTTCTCGTAACAGGTTGCGGACCATCAGACGTCACACATACTTGTTTTCGAATCTCGAGATTCACCATGTTGGCTTCTTTTGGTACGAGCGTGATAGGACGTCTGCGGTGGTAGTAGAAGCACACAACTTTTCCTTAACGGCGACCCTCGCAACTCCCGACTGTATCTCAGCGATGCACCACGGTAAGTCACGACTATTTTTGGGCGGATATTGCTCATCCGTTACAGTGGGTCATTCTTGTGATAGGAAGTGTTACCGGACGAGGATAATGGCTTCGCCACACATCAATACGTGCTGTAGCGCGGGCTAATGCTGCGAAGACATCGCAAGGATCGAGACCAGCATTGAACCAGGCAGCGGTCTTTACGAAGCGCTCATACCAGGGTGTATCACATCATGCGAGTAGCTATTGAATTAACCAAATGGGCTGAACTTCGATGGATACTAAACTAATGCTGATTTTGATCGTCTCTCACTGCATATGTGAGTCAGTTTGGCCCCCACCATCTTCGCCGATAATGTCTGAAATGTCGCTTGACAAGGTACATTACTTCTCGCAGTATCGAACTCAAATCATTTATTGATGCATGATACGGCTAGGCGGCATGGTGGCTTACATGGATCATCCGATCAGGATGCGGAGCTCAGACTCCGCTGTGCCGCAATCTAACACTCCGATTGGCAGCCTGACTTTGGCTGAAAATGGTGGCACCAGGGCGGCGGCCATACCCGCTGTGCACCTTGGGGCGCGTGTGTTCCCCGGTTGCCCAAAGTACACTTAACGTTGGCTAGACTGTCTGCCTTGCGAGATGGTTGTGCAAACCCACAAGTATGATGGACGATATGTCCGATTGGTCAAAACGTTGGCGAATCGCATGGAGCAATTTACCCGCACCCAATACACTCGCCCAGGGATAACATGAACCGGTGAACGATCACGACCCGATGTCTTCCAACCATCGTTGAAGGTCGCTCATCAAGCGCTCGCCAAGCTCCGTATCAACCACGCAGTCTTGCCAACTACATGTGACACACATCTCTCCACCCTTGACTGTCATGATCGACACCGAGAATGCAGCTGAAGGTGTCTCTGCACTCAAAATGAGTTCGGCTCGACGAAGCGACCAGGCGTCCTGGCCTCCATCGCTAACGCTACTTTCCCCATCGATGACACCGAGGTTGGTAACTAGCCAAGACAGATACCTCGTTCTGCGCATCTCGCTTTGCTGTTGGCTGTTCCAGTCGGGGCATAGCTTCATGATACCTATCAGATCATTCCGTGTGCCAGACTCTAGCCTTGCCTTGATCTCTTTCCGGACTCTCGCAGAGACGGACCAAACAATATCCATCGCATCCAGAGGCAATTTTGATCCAGTAGAGGTGACTGGGATTTGAGAGCGGATTGAATCGACCAGGTCGGAGCCGAACTCGTGTTCCACAACTGATACGTAGTTACACATGAGCTCTTTGGGTTGTATCCAAGGGTACTGTTTAGTGTTGGATGGTAGAATGTGTCGCAGGTCGTACGGTGTTCTGCTTGCAAAGCCACTGGCGTCATGAAGCGCAGTTGAAAGTGAGACTAGACAAAGGGCTTGGAGAAGACCTGTGAGAGTGGTGTGGTGCTGACGGCAGGCATCTACTAGCTTCGTCACACATTGACTACCGATTGCGAAGTTGCGAAACTGAGTCCGGTAAGGGGATGCTTGAATTGGAGCCCAGTGTGCATGCATGTTGCCAGGCGGGAAGATCCATTCTGGTTTAATGCTTTTCCAGACTTCCCATAGCATAAAGCCTAGGGATACAGGCCACGAAGACAAGATTTCCGGATTCGGTGGTAGCCTATCCGTCGGATCGGGTAGATTGAGAATCCACTGATCCGAGTCCTTAGAAACTTCGACAATTGGCTCCTTGTCATGTTTAGAAGCTTCGCTGAGTTGGTGCAGCAAGTTTTGATGAAATATTCTGCCACTTGAGCCATCGTGATGTGGGTGGTTCCAGACGTAGAGCACCTCCATTGATTCGGCCCCAGCCTGATGTAAGACGATCACCCGCCAACCCGGCCGAGTCGATAAATCTTCAAATCTCATGTCAAGCTGATCCTGCACAATCTTGAGATACTGTCGCCGTGATGCGGCGGAATCTTTTACATCAATCCATTGAATGTGGTTGCGAAGATCGAGGTGATTCAGTCGAACGAAGGTGGGGTTCTTCGAATGCTCCCCGGTGATTCCGACCTGTAGATGAGGCTGAGAGATCACAACTCGTGCAACAGAATCGATGAATCGAGCTTGAACATCTACGAATAATTCTAGGCGGGCAAGGATTGGTGGCGGGAAGTAGCGGCAGACGACAATGGTGCCGCGGTACTGGTCGAGGGTGTGCATCGCCAGCTGGTAAGCTTCACTGCTATGTGTGAACACTCACTCTTCAGTAGAGTCTTGGTGTATCGTTGCACTTACTGGCATCCCATGCCGCGAACCACGGCGCCCGCTTTGCCATTATTTGCGGCCATGATTGGAGTCCGTTCGCATGTGCGACGGGCACCTAGTGATTACCTGGGAGGAGATAATGAACTGTGATAGTGGTAGAAGCAAATATACAATCGCCTGTAGCGCTTTTGCCTTTGGTATGGTGAACGACTACTGGTGGTCTATATACGCAGCCCTGGAGGAGCCACGCCACACCGAGCTAGTCGGCTTAGCGCGTCCGCACGGACTGTTGGACGCTGCAGACTTAAATTGACATCGCACATGCGACCTTGCTCACTCTCCTTGCATAACCATCAGATCCGTGCGCTTTGCATCACTCTACGATACTTCCATTGGCTTGTACATACGTACTTCCTTCCATAAGGAGCTTAGACAGTCTGCAGCTGCCTGTTCTGAGCAATCCCTTTCGTTACACGTACATGTACCATCTCTGGGTCCCGAACATCGTCGCTCCTGCTTCTAGAATCATCAACGCTGCTTGTCGACAACAGATCGTGCGTATTCAGTTCGCTCTCAACCTCAAACACGCTGCGACGCTGTCGAGACTTCGGCTTGTACATCACCTGCCATTTCTTTGGCCTGGATGAGCCATTTTGTCTGCTGCCGCTCGACAACGAGCGGAAAAACGATGATACGGCATCAGGTACTGGTACAGCTTTGGCGATCCGAGGAAATGCAGGTATTCCCATGATAAGGAAACCAGTTGTGACCTCCCAGATAGTCCATAAAGCGACACCAGTCATCTGATAAGTAACATCGTCGGAGTGTAGTAAGTTGACGAAGTATACTGTACGCACCACACCCATGGTCCATGCCCTAAAAAACGCGCGGTTAGTTTCGTAATCATGATGATACTGAAGGAGCTTACGAACCCGAGACCTACGACAAAAAGCAAGGATAGGCCTACTTTTTGGTCGCGCGAGATGTTCAGATGCCAGATTACCCATTGCGGAATAGCGAGGATGACTGTATCCGAGATGAAGTTCAGAACACTGGTTGCAAGATTCTGTCCCAATACGTCGACAGAGCACGTGCCACCTTCAAACCAGGGATTCCAGATCTTCTCACGCGGCCAGCAGCGGAACACTTCAGTGAAGGTCGTGATGGTGTAGTAGAGTACATTGGTCCAGATCAATACATGGAGGGTCCAATAGAAGGCGTTGCGCGTTCCTGTTGGGACGAATATGCGAAGCCAATTAGCCAAGATGGCGACTTTTATGCACATGGCAACTGGTCCATAGTAAACAGCACCCAAATGCGAGCCCTTGAAGACATCAGTACGATGTGCGGACGACACTGGAAATGTAAGCCTATCGAAGGGTACTCACATGGAGGAAGTCAATGAGTGTTTTGTTGTCCACGTTCCATTGATGAACCCATACACCTGGCCATCTGCAGAGGTTCCAGGTCATGTATTGGTTTCCGGCGAACACGCCCTATGAATCGGTTAGCATACACCCATCCTCTGTTCTTAGTGACTAAATGAACCAAATTCTACTACTTACCAATGCTGCAACCATCAAGAAGTCTTCGATGACGAACTTCTTAGCCATGGAGCTACTCACCAACCGTGCTGCGACGGCGATGAATGCTATGGCAGAGGTTGCGATGACGATGCCATACCCAAGATTGTGGCTCCCACCAGGATCGGCAAAGTCGGCCACCACACCAGGTGGCGGATCTAGGGCAGGCTCCAACAAAATAGCATCAAAAGTCGCGTTTCCCATGTTATGAATGAGGATGTTGTGGTTCTTGGCGGAGTATGTTTTGCACTACGTCCAGGAAGAAAAACAAGGAAAAACGCATGGATCATAGACATTGGAAAAGTCTATGTTTGTATGGGAGATTGAACGCGGGTAATGGGGAGTTGCGAGCCGGTACAAGGTGAGACCACAAGAGTGCTGCAGATAGTCGGGTAGTACAATGGCTGTATGCGCCACTAGGCTAATGTGCCTATTGGTGCCTCCAGGCATGGGATTGGATGCGACTGCTTATCATGCATGCGCAGCTGACAGACTTGGCATACAGTCAATATGAAGACTCCATCCCCTTGTCGCTGAAGGGGCTGTGTTTCTGCAGGCCCTGGTAACGAGCTTTGGATACCCTGTACTGCTACCCCACCACAAAGCAACCAGGCTGACATCAAGCAGGGGTGGTAATTCCGACGGCGCCTACGGACAATCCTTCCCGCAGTCGTTGCGACTGCAGAGAACTGTCAACGAGCATGCAAAGGAGCCCATTTATTTTCCAAAGTCGTACCTCTCTTTGGTGTCACGCTAACGATATCAGCCGTTCCTTACCTTGAGATACTAACAAAAGTAACAGTGTATACTTTTAGATTGGTATCCAATTTCTGTGGAATTTCTTCACCAAGCCATCTTTGTTCGTATTTGCGACGGCAGACGCACAGCCTACTGCTTGCACGACGCGCGATCTAGCGACACCTCGAATCTTGACCACAGCCAACTTTCCTGCATACTCAACGAGGTACTGGAAATGGTTGCAACGACTCCAACGGGAGGCAAGCAGCTTTTCAACCCAGATCGATCAATCACAAAGCAAATAAAGGCTCAGCAGATCCAGCCGAATTCGACAAAAAACCTTCCGGCCTTCTACCGCAATGTTGAAGAAGCGCTTGACAAGCGCCGCGCAACTCAAAGTCTGTTCTCTATAGTTCATAGTAACTGGCAGACCAAAGATGCTGTCGATTTCTGCTCGAACGATTACCTCAGTTGGAACACTACCGGTCTGATTCGTAAGGCCTTCCTCGAAGAATTGAGCCGCTACCCGGACTTCAGCGTTGCCGCTGGTGGTTCAAGAGTCATGGAAGGAAATTATCCCTATATTGAAGAGACAGAGCTAGAAATTGCAAAGGGCCATAATGCTGAGCAGGGTTTAATTGTGAACTCAGCTTTCGATGCGAATGTCATGGTTTGGTCTGCACTTCCAAGACCTGGCGATGTGATCGTATACGATAGCTTGGTTCATGCATCCACCCACGATGGGATGGATCGAAGCCTCGCCATTCAGAGAACCGAATTCCAGCACAACAACATCGCCGCATTCCGGAATACCTTGACCTCTATCCTGGATACTCAGCCGCTGATCAAACAAGGTCGGCGCTCAATACTCGTAGCAGTTGAATCAGTGTATAGCATGGAGGGCGACGTCTGCCCCTTACTGGAGCTTGTTGAGATAGCCGATGAAATCTCAGAAGGTCTTGGGAATATTCAATTTGTAGTGGATGAGACGCACAGCGCCGGGCTTATAGGACCAAATGGCACAGGCTTAGTGTGCGAACTGGGTCTGGAAGCCGACATTGCGGTGCGGCTGCATACGTACTCAAAAGCAATGGGTTCCTGTGGAGGTATGAATTGGTCTTATGACTTTGATCATAGCTAACGCAATCGTCGTAGGGATCATACTCAGCAACGATATCGTGAAGTCTGCCTTGATCAACTTTGCGCGCCCTACAGTCTACTCTGCAGCACCGCCATTCCCGTTCGTCGCAGCAATTCGAGCTGGACATAGGCTACTCGGTACCCCAGAGGCAGTCAAGGCAAGTACAGCATGACATGTCTTCGTGACGGAAGCATTAATGACAGAAAGTAGGGGCAAGAGAACGTTCAATCCATCGCTCGCACTTTCTTCGAGACACTGACGTCGCATCGACTTTGGCCAGTCGCGCGAAAAAAAGGTCTGCTCGACGTGCCGTTAGCCAGTGGCTGGGAAGAACGCCCATTTCTTACACACATCGTTACTATTTGGACTCGTCAGGAATATGTCTACTGGATTTACATGCATTTCCTTTCAGCTTCATTGTTCGTGCTCCCTGTAAAGCATCCGGTTGTGCCCAATGGGCAAAGTCGACTTAGAGTCACATTTCACGCTGAGAACACCACTACGCAGGTGATAAGCTTGGTGGAACAAATCTATGTATGGGTGGAGGAAGCCATGGCTATCGAAGATGGAAGATCAGGAGAGAAGGTCACTGGAGCAGCCAAACAAGTATATGCATGGATGAAGGTAGAGGGCTTGAGTGGCTTCGGGATGGTTTAGAATCTGCTAGGGTATTATTTCGTCATATCGAAGTTGACCCATATTTGGAGATCTGACTGGCACTTTGATTTATCGAGAGCAATATCTTCATGTCGGAACGGATCACTCTTCTCCATAATCACCAGCTAGTTGTGGCTTAGTTTCGCTCGTTCCAAGTTTGGCAGATGTTACTATCAGGTGGCACGACTTTCTACTTTTGTAAACTCACAGCCACCAGTGGGATACAATATGCATGAGGGGTGATACCCTGGCAGCGCTTACTAGATCGATGCATACCGGGGTATGGAGCCGGCTGTTCGTCCCAGCGGAGACCCTAGCGCTGATGTGGGTATCCTTGCGCAGTGCACATGCCCAGCGTAGAAAACTAACCGATGATTTAAGACTAAGACCTCCGCACTCTAGGCCTGTCGGAGCTTGAACTTGGCCCTCAGTTGCGCGTCAGCGGGCAGTGCGCCAACCGCCCACGGCCCGTGATTACTTTATCTCGAACCCGGCTAGCAGACTCATCAGAAACCTTGCAAACATGTTATTCGTTCAATGGAAAAAATAAGCCGCATTAGTCTCGTCTTGTGATATTGTGGAGACCTTCGGGGCTGTTGATACTTGAGCCTAAAGTACTACACCCATCTCGCTGCAGACCCGCTTCAGAAATACGCCTCACCGGACGACTATCTCCCGAATAAAATGGTCGCCGTGGAGGCAATATACGTTCGAATGCCGACGCTACTGACACTACAGGGTATGCTCAAGCCGACATTGATATTTTGGGCAAACACTGAGCAACGGGGGCTGAAAGATAAACATGCACACCATTGTGTCGGTTCGAAGTTCTAGCAGTAACAGAATATGTGATATCATGTCTTACCGCTGATGTTGCCTAGTCTGGTGAAATTGACGGCGGCAAAGACGATTCATACGTCAATCGAAGTAGAGACTTCCAGGCAATAGTTCGACTCACAAATACGAACATCTTTTGTAGACATATCCGATAGTTTCTCGTTGTCGAATATATATCGACTTAACAGCAACATAATCATATCGCCAAATTGGAAAACCCAATCAGTCTAGCACTCAGTCATACTTCATTTTCCCCATATCAGATCCCCAAGCTCAATAAAGCTCAAGTCACCTATCCGCCATGGAACCCATCGCTATCGTTGGACTTGCGTTCAAGCTCCCTCAGGATATAGAGGATGAAGCAAGCTTCTGGCGCATACTCGAGCAAGGTCAAAGTGTGATGACAGAATGGCCTAAGTCGAGAGTCGATGTCAATGCGTTTGCAAGATCACCTGAGGCTGCACTCAACACCGTAGGTTCAGACCAAGGAATGTAAGACGCGCGGCTCTAACACAATCATACACAGTTGACCTCGACCCGAGGACATTTTCTAAAACAGAATCTGGCCAGTTTCGATGCTCCGTTCTTCTCCATATCCTCGAAAGAGGCATCGGCGATGGATCCACAGCAACGCATGCTGTTGGAAACATCTTACCATGCACTAGAAAACGGTACGTTACTGTTTATCTAATCTTAATACACATGCTCTCGAGTGTGTTCTGACAGGCTCAGCGGGAATACCACTAAGTCGCATTGCTGGGACTGAAACAGGCGTGTTTGTTGGCACGATGGAAAGCGATTATCATAGGACGATCTCAAAAGATCCAGATGACGCACCACTGACTACGGCGACCGGTATATCAGTCTCCATCATGGCCAACAGATTAAGTTGGTACTTCGATCTGAAAGGTCCCTCCATGCAACTGAATACGGCCTGCTCCTCAAGCATGATTGCAGTAGACCTTGGCTGCCAGTCGATCCGATCGGGTCAAAGTTCTACGGTAAAGACTTCTCAACCCAATCTGCACTGTGGCGACATACTCATACCCCATTAGGTGCTTGTCGCAGGATCAAGTCTGATGTTGGATCCCGAATACTCATTATATTTGAGTAATATGAACATGCTGTCGCCTGATGGTATTTGCCACAGCTTTGACGACCGTGCGAACGGCTACAGTAGAGGAGAGGGCGTTATAGTCATGATCCTCAAAAAGTTGTCCACGGCAATCTCAGATGGGGACAACATACGTGCTATCGTTCGAGGCACAGGATCAAACCAAGACGGTCGAACACCAGGGATCACCCAACCAAGTTCGGTGTCGCAAGAGAACCTTATCCGACATACGTACCGGACTTGCAATCTTGGATTCGAATCAACACGCTACATAGAAGCTCACGGTCAGTCTCTGCAATGTCCGCAGACTTTGGTATGATCTTCTGACTTACAGTCCAGGAACCGGAACACAAATCGGAGATGCCATGGAGATGAGAGCTCTTGGTGCTGTCTTCAGAACAGCTCGCTCGCCCAGAGCGCCTCTTTTTGTGTCAGTCAACCTCCCAGATCTAAGTGGGCATCTACTTACCATTATGAAGTGGGTCTGTCAAGACCAATATTGGACACCTTGAGGGTGGAAGTGGACTGGCCGGGATCGCCAAATCCATCCTCATTCTTGAGAAAGGTTTCATACCACCGAACGCGCTGTTTGAGAGACTGAACACGAAGGTCAATGCCAAACGAAATAATATCCAAGTAATGGCACTTCTGTACTTTGAGTCTACTTGATACTGACAGCTTCAAGGTCCCAGCGTCTTGTATCCGTTGGCCAGGTGAAGGCTTGCGTCGAATCTCAGTCAACTCATTTGGGTTCGGTGGCTCGAATGCTCACGCTATTCTCGACGATGCGTATCATACACTTGAAACGCTTAGTTTCCGAGACAGTCTCCGTAGCATCGAAACACCGAAAATTGCGCTGCCAGCAACGTCGAACGGACACCGCCAGAACGATGTGAAAGTGATGGGATCAGTATCGGAAGAGAAACTCGACGGACCAACTTCTGGTATCGATGATGCTGCGAGAGCCAATGGCGTGACTTCATCATCTACTGGTGTCGTGGCTTTGACGACTACCAATGGGCTGTCGGCAATCCTTAGTGAAACGGATACCCAATCGGCCCAGGGCTCAGAGAAGCAGATTGACGGCAATACTGTATCAAACGGCACATCTCCAAACCACCGCCAGATTCTAACCTTCACTGCCCGCGACGAAGCGGCCTTGAAGCGAATCCATCAGCAATACGCAGAATATTACGATCGCAGCATAGCTGGAGCGCCCAGAATGCTGGATGATCTCGCTTACACTCTCGCAGCGCGTCGAAACACAATGGCCATGCGATCGTTTACAGTCGCCGATTCAAACTCGTCGTCTTCGAGTTTAGGCCTGCCGAATTTGAACTGTGTACGATCGTCGGGGGAGCCACAGCTTTGCTTCGTATTCACGGGCCAAGGTGCCCAGTATGCGAAGATGGGACTCGAGCTTATTGACTATCCGGTGTTCAAGGACGTTCTGACTCAGGCTGATCGCGTTTTCCAGAGCATTGGGGCTGAATGGTCCTTATTCGGTATGTTGTCTTGCGTCGGCCCTCCACACACAATACGCGCATAGCTGACCGATGATACCAGATGAGATGGAAAGCGGAGAGAGGATAAATCTCCCGCAGTTCAGTCAACCCCTATGCACCGCTCTTCAAATAGCCCTTGTTGAGTTGTTGAAAAGCTTCCACATTGCTCCGGTGGCTGTTGTCGGCCACTCATCCGGCGAGATTGCGGCTGCATACGCTATTGGTGCATTGTCTCTCGAGTCCGCCTGCAGAATTTCCTATCACAGAGGTAGACTGAGTGGACAGTTGGCTGCGCAGTTGGCAGCTTCCATGAAGACTGGAGCCATGATGTCTGCCAACCTTCAAGAAGGCCAAGTTCGTGCATACGTCGACAAGTATCTTTCGGTCGCGAACATCCGGGTAGCCTGCGTCAACAGTCCTTCGAATGTGACTTTAGCGGGACCTGAAGCAGACGTTGATGCACTGAAATGTCATCTAGATGACGACCGCATATTCGCACAGAAGCTGAACACTGGGATCGCATACCACACTGCGGTTATGAATGAGATGGCCCAGGAGTACATCTCATGCCTGAACGATCTCGTTGAGTCAACACCTGGATCCTGTGCTACCTTGATGGTGTCTTCAGTCACAGGACAAAGAGTTACCGCAACAGACTTGTGTACGGCACAATACTGGGCCGACAACCTTACTTCGCCAGTGCGCTTCCTCGATGCGCTGCAGTACCTTGCAATAGCCGCACCGAAGCTAGATGGCATCAAAGCGATATCCGACTACATTGAGGTCGGCCCCCACGGAGCACTACGGCGACCCATCAAGGAGACATTAAGCCAGGTGCCGAATTACAGGACCTTCGCATATGTATCCGTCTTGTCGAAGCTTGTGTCACCTGTAAAGACCATAATGGAAGTAGCCGGCCATCTCTTTACCCGTGGCTACCCTGTCTCCATCACTGCAGTCAATCGATACACTGCTAGCTCAAATTTGCCCATGCTACTCTCGGATACACCAAAGTATCCGTTCGATCGTACTCAACAACATTGGTTTGAAAGCCGACTGAGCCGTGACTGGCGTCTACGCGGCGCTGCTCCAAGAAGTGTACTGGGCATACGTGTGACCGACTGGAATCCACTTGAACCGCGATGGCGCAAGATGCTCTCTACCCAAGAGACGCCTTGGATTGCGGAACACGTCGTGTCTGGCGTCATAGTGTTTCCGGCGGCTGGCATGATCGTCATGGCATTGGAAGCTATAAAACAAACAGTACAGTCGCACCAGACACTGTCCGGGTTTCTGGTCAAGGAAGCCACATTTGCGACTCCAATATTTGTCGACACGGAACGAAAGACCGAGGTCGTGACACAACTGCGTCCGATCAAGGCGGCTTACGAACGAGAAGCCCTGCGATTCGATGTCGTAATCTTTTCGATCGACGACAATGGAAGATGGACGGAGTGTTTCAAGGCTACCGTTCATGCTCAGCCTAAGACGGGTGCCACATCCGAAGTTGACGGAGGACTTGAAGCACGTGAAACAGCGGAAGC